AAAACCTAGAAAATCTTATATTTCTTTAATTATCTTTAGTAATTACTAGTTTTTAATAACTATTATCTTATCTGGATTTACTTTAATACCTCTAGTAAAGATAATAAAGCCTAAATACTTTATATAAATAACTTTAAACTCTAATTTCTTAATATTTATTTAGAGGCCAGTATTTTATAATTACTAAAAAACCTTTTATATATGGTTTTTATATTTTAGGAAATTATCTAAATAAATTAGGATATTATTTAAGTAAACTATATAAAAGATATTAAGATAATTAAAGAGGATATTATTTATATATTTCTAATATATAATAGAACTATTAATTAGGCCTTCCTAAAGAATCTTATATTTATAGGCCCTATATCTTATATAGAATATTATAAGTTCTTCTAATTCTAGATCTATTTGGATCTAATAAAACACTTATTAAATATCTAGCTTTATATAGACTTTAGCTTAAGCTAGCTATATAAGGATTTCGTAAATAAGAGAAAAAGGATAATAGTTCTTTTATATTAAGTTATTTAGCTTATAATAGTTAATATAGAATTAAAGAGCTTTATTAGTCTTTTTTATAAAGAGAATTAGGAATATAAAAGGAGACTAGCTTGGCTTAATAAAGCCCTATTAGAGGTTCTCTTTAAAGAAGTACTTAATCTCCTATAGCTTATAAGTCGACTATTAATAGAACGGGAAATACTCTAGGCTTTCTGGGCTTTCGGGATTATTAATCTGAATCTTATAATTATATAGTTAATACGGAAATAAAATATTTAATATTTCCTTTAAAAAGATATTTATAAAATCCTTAAACTTCTCTAGTAAGACTCTTACTAGCTACTATAGCTTTATTTCTCCTGGCTATTATTTGCCCGGAATAAACTTATTCTCTTATTATAATTCTAGCTTTTTATTAATCTCGAAAAATAATATTATAAAGAAAAGATTCTCTTTCTTTTATAGGTTTATCTGGAAAGTAGCTAGTAAAATACCTATAATATTAACTAAGGGCCTTAATTAGATTTTATAACTTTTTTTTAGATAATATAATTTTAATATTTCTATTTTTAGCTTAAGAGAAACTTTTATATTTCCTAAGGCTACTTATATTTCTCTATAATATTAAGCTTAATTCTTTTACTATATATGGCTTTTTGAGTTCGGGTTAGGAAAAAAATAAAAGGATTTTCTTTTTATAAACTAAAGTCTCTAGAACTTATTTATAACTATAGCTTTATTTCTTTTATTTATATCTTCTTAGTACTAGTTACTTTTTCTAGATTCCAAGTTCTTATATATAGTAATTAGGATCTTATCTTAACCCTTTTTTCTAGGCTAATTATCTAACCAGATTAATTTTTATTCTTGTAATTAATTAGGATACTAGTATTTATAAACTACTATTATTTCAAAATTATATTATACTTGCCTAGCCTTATAACTAGTATAAATACTAGGATCTTTTATCTATTAATTAAGAATATAAGCTTAATATAATAAGTAATAGGTATGGCCTATTTACTATTAAACCCTCTTATATTATAGGGTAATACTAATTAAATAAGCTTAATATCTAGAAATTATTTAATTATTCTTATAAACTTGGAATTAATAAAAGTATATTTATTTATTCCGGTATTAATAAAAGAAGAAGTCTTAATATCTAATTTATTATTACTAACTATATAAGGAAATATAAATACTTTACTTCCTAGTAACTAGCTCAAATTAACTTCTATTATATCTATATAATATAGCCCTAAAGAAAAGACTTTCTTTAAGGATTCTTATTTCCCTATTCTATATCTTTAGATAGCTTATTTATAGTAAATATTACTAGCTTGGCTACTAAAACTTACTTTATATATTTTGTTTTAGGTTCTAAATAGTTTCTAGATATATAACTAAATCTATTATAATTATAATACTTGAGATCTAAGAATCCGGGCTTTGGGGTAATAGGCTTATTTATTACTAGGGTTTTAGGAGCGGGCTTTATATAAGAAGTGCCTTCTGGGCTTAGCTTATTTATATCTTTATTAGCTTTTTTAGATATTTATTCTTTCTTTTTATAATAAGCTTGGATTTACTAGTTATTTATAATATAGTATTATATGAACTCTATAATATAAATAGCCAGGTTATTATAATATATAGCTATAGCCTCTTAGAGCTTCTAGGTAAGCTTATTATTTAGGTTATTCTTAAGGTCCTATAAGTTAATATTTCCGTTTACTATATATTTCAGGAATAGGATATAGAACTCCTAAAAAGTCTAGCCCTTCTTTATAAATAGCTTCTTAAATACTTACCGAGTATTATATTTCTTATTCGGGTTACTATATAGCTTCTCTAGATAAATATATAGTTCCCTAATAGTTTTATATATATATTAACTATCCTAGTTTAAATAGGAAAAGATTAGTATAAAAATATAGCTACCTATATAGCCGGATATATAAATAATCTTAAGGTCCTCTATCTAATAAGTATTAGAGTTACTATAAAGCTTATTCTTAATCTAAACTAACTAATTATTAAAAGTAATACTATTCTTAGTTATATCTTTAAAAATAGGAAAGTCAGGGAGTTTAACTAAGTATTTATTTTCTAGAGCAGGGAAACTAGTTATTCCGGTAGGCTATATAATAAGCTTCTCGATAATGGCTTCGTTCTTTTATAAGGCTTGCTTAGTTTCTCTTAGCTAATTCCGATAATTCTTACTATAGGCAAGGATATTATATATCTTTAGAATTAGCTCAATAATCTCTTTATATAAAGCCTCTGGGTTCCGAAATAACTCTTAGAACTCCGCCTTTAATAAGGCAGGTCCCTCTTCTTTCTTTACTTTCTGGAAGAGAATATCTCTTCTATTATAAATATTAACGGGATACTCGGACTCCTCAGGAGACTTAATAAGAGGCTCTGGTCTATCTTCTAGTAGTATACTAGTAGTGTCTCGTACTATAGCTCCTTCTAACTTGCCCAGTCATTCCGGGATTTGCTTTCTTATAGATCTTCGTTTAGTAGTAAGGTTACTAGCCTATCCGCTTGCCTGGCCGGTCCAGGGCTTTCTTGCCTAGTTGTTCTAGGGCTTTCTTTTGTTCTAATATTAGTTAACCGGTTCGGGAGTAGCTACGGTGCGTTGCGTCTATACTCGTCGAAAACCGATTGGGTGGGTATTATTTAAATCCTCTATAGGATTGAGAAATGGGTAAGCTTTGAATTATATTACAAGTATAAGATCTAGGGCCTGGAAGGCGTAGTTAGACTGTCTCTATTTTGATGATTCAAAGCTAAAGAGAGAAGAGGATCCCGAAGGAGCCTCGGATCTAAATAATCGCGAGCTACGTACGGGCCCACGTGCTAGCTTAAGCTCGGGGTCACGTGCAATGATCAGGTGACTACAGATACCTCGCTCAGATGCCAGATGCCTCTCTAGCTCTAGTCTAACCCCTACTAGTACCGTATATCATAACAACCGTAATAGATAAAGCCTTTGGATCTCTTATTTTCGGCCAGGGGATATATATAAAGGCCTTTAGTAAGGGTAAATTAATAATTTCTCTTATTCCTATTATCGAAAAATAATATAAGGTTCTTATTTCTATTATACTATATATATATGAAATAGAAGAACTAGAGAATAGCTTTATTAGAACGAGTATACCTGTTTTAACTATAAAGAAGTTCCTTAGCTTAGAAGAGTACCAGGAGGCTTAAAATATTTAAATTAAGCTATATATAGTAGAATAGTTTAATATATATATAAAGCTTACTTATAGAAACATATATCTCTTTACTAATATAGTTATTTATTATAGTTAAAAACTATTATATAAGGATTTTGCTATATATTTAGCCAAGGCTTTTTTATTATTAATTCCGTTATTTGAAAACTGGGAGCTTAATTAATGGATTATAATCTTAAAACGTATAAATATAGTCTCTTTTACAAGTAAAGTAAGCTATTATTTACTAGTATCCTAATAGAATTAGTACTAATATAAATAGATTTGGCCAAGAGATAAAAACAAGAGAATTAATTATGTAACTAGCCAGATATTTAAAGCTAAAAAGGATATTAATGGCTTATTATTTTACTTTAACTAATTAAATAGGAGCTTGCTAAAGTATATTTGTCTTATATTTAATCAAGATATTAATATAATTCAGGAAAGAGACAACGAGATTTAGGATAAGCGTAAAAGAGCTAATGGGAAGATGCCTTTCCTAGATTTTAGCCCCCTATTAGGAGGCTCTCCTAATACCACCCCTAATATAATATCTATATCTATAGTTATATCTACGGTATCTTTTTTACCTGCTTTAACTTCTAATTAATAGATCAAAGCCCTATAGGAGAAGGTTGCTCCTTTAGAGAATGGGTCAGGTGACGACCTGAATTCTGACGATTTTAATTCGGACGATATGCCTATACTAGAAGCTAGAATTACGGTTTCTCCTGCTCCTGCTCCTATAGCTAGTAAGTTTTAATAAATTTAGATATACTAGTAGATCTGACGTTTTTACTAGCCTTTGCTCCCGCTCTACCTACTAAATCTCCTTAACCTCCTCTGAAGTCTATATTAAAGAGGAAGCAACAAGTGGAAGTGACTATATCAAGCGATGACGATGATAATAGATCAGATCTTGACGATGGAGGGAAGGAATTACCAGGGGATGGTGATTATAGGCCGGGGAATAGGTCAAGACGTAGGGATAATCGGGGGCAGTTCAAAAAAGCGAGAATAGAGTAATAGTACTGGGTGCATTCGACTATGATGTATGGGAATTGCGTATTTGGCTATTATTAGGTGTGTTTTCCATATAAAATGTGGCTTTAAAAAAAATCTCGATTCATAATTCTCATTTTGCGATTGCGATAAAATAATAGATGCAGTAGCGTCGCTAAATCAGCCCGTAGCAGCGACACTTGCGCTAACCTTAAAAATCATACGAAATCAGTAATTTAACTTTCCCAACTTCACCTTCTCATCACCATGAACACCCTTGATAATTACCGGATCCAATGGTCGCACAGGTGACGATTCTGCAAATCGCATATTGAACCCCTCCCGGCAGACGAAATGGCAGTTGAGGAACCCGAAATCGATGCCGGATCGGCTCATAACTCGCCGGGCGATATCCATATCGAGAATGCTTCCTTGATACCCAGGTCTGAGACGGCGCTGAACATTGAGCCTAATGGCATGACCAGACCACAGGCATTCAATCTTTACACATCCCACTTGCTTTCTACTTGGAATATTAGGACTTATGAGTTCGCAGCGGTAAGTGCGGGATTGGGAGCTTGAAAATGGGGGTGCTGATTCATGTCAGATTATCTTCACGGCTGCGGCTTATCCAGATACTCTCATTGCCGCCGCCATACGGTGAGTGTCCATTCTGTTGGTCCTTCAATGGTTACAGAGACGATTCGTCTTGGAGAGTGGGATGTCACATGATGTTAATTCTTCACAAGGGGGGTTGTGAGAACCTTGGCTTCAATATGTTTCTCTTCGATGGCTGGAAGATGGGTTGATCAAAGTCCCAATCGATTGAAAACTCTACTCCGCACAATTTCAGCAAACAGACTTGCAGTTATTGGTGCTTCGATGCTATGGTTCTTCGTCGTTGAACCTCTCAATGGCCTTCCCGAAGGAGCAAAGTTTGGTCCTTCTCTCGGCGACCTTTCTTCAAAGTTTATTTTGAAAGGGGCTATGTTTGGACTCATTCTTCTTCTTGGTATCCTTGAGAATCTCAGCGCTTCTGGGAACATGTTATCCATGGAGAGGGACTGGATTGTCACAGCGGCTTCCGACGACGGCCAGCCATACGACTTGACCCACCTCAATGCCGCTATGAGAAGAATTGACCTCATATGCAAACTCATTGCACCAATTCTCATATCAGTCATTGTATCAGCAACAGGTACGAGGATCGGAGTGCTCGTTGTTGGCGGAATGAACGCAATGAGCTGGGGCGTCGAAGTATTTTGCGCCAAGAGGGTATGGAACCGAAACCCTAGGCTAAAAGCCACCAAGGTGGTGAGCGTACAAACTGAGCGCGGAAATATCGTACCAGACCTCTGGTCTCGATCCAACTCGAACCAAATGTCCGAAGGCTTTCGCCGCTACTTTCAAGAATTCAAGCACTACTTCTCTTCACAAGTCTGGCCCGCTTCCCTGGCACTGGCTTTGCTCCATCTCTCAGCTCTATCATACGGGGCTACATTCATCACCTTTTTGTTGAGCGTGGGATTTTCTCTCGATCTGATTACAGTCGCTCGAGCAGCAGGGAGTATTGTCGAAATCAGCAGTACAGTTGTTACGCCAGTTGGCGTTCAATATCTCGGGAAAGCTCGGAATCATGGAAACTTCCGTGGAGAGAGTCGAGAGAGTGAAGATTCGGAAACAGCACTGCTCGAAGAATCCCCGGATGTGGAAAGAAGGACGGAAACTGGCCTGGAACGGTTGGGTCTCTGGGGCATCTCTTGGCAGCTTCTCAACCTCGTAAGTTCCTCTTTTTAAGTATTACTCAAAATAGATGCTGAATATGCTTAGGTTCCAGTGATGTTAGCTATATGGTCACTTTCTTCAGGCGCGCCAGATGGCTCAATGCCACATCTCGTCTCACGAAATCTGGGATCCATCACCTCCCAGCCTCTCCTCGCGTTCGTCCTCTTCTTCTTCCTCTCAATTTCCAGATTAGGGCTTTGGATCTACGATCTCACAACCCAGCAACTGACACAGACCATGACATCTCCTTCGCAAAGATCCTCGTTCACAGGGGTGGAAAATAGCCTCATCTCTGTGTTTGAACTTGTACAGCACCTTGTAGCGATTATCCTGCACCGGCCGGAGCAATTCAAGTGGATTGCTTTGATGGGCTGGACAGCGGTTGCGGTGAGCGCTTTGATTTATACTGGGTGGGTGTGGAGGATGAGGGGCCATTTGGTGCATTGGGAAAGGCTTGGGAAGAGCTGTGAGTGTATCAAGATTCGACGTTGATCATTGAAGAGGAAGCTATAGAAAGCCATGGGATGGTGTTTTTATTTAGCGTTTAGAGCAGGTGCATAGTGAACTAGTCACTTGATACTTGGCAAATATTGGGGAAGGGAATGATCCACTCTCATCAAAATGTGCCCAAGTCTGAGGGCACAAACACTACAAGTCCTAATTTCTCGGAGTATCAATCCCTCTTGTAGCATGTCCAATGGATCTTGGTACATTCTATTCGTAATGTCACACAGTTCCTGGAACCTTCAACTCCCGAAAATATCTGAAAGAAAGTATGCTGACTCCGAATTCTTGGGAATAGGGCGTGGTCATTGTCCTCTTACTTGTAGGCCTAACATTGGGTTCCACTCTGGACCATACCTCATGAATCAAACCTAGCAATTTGCACATTCACAAGTCTAGCATTTCAAAGTCAACAGATGTTCTGGTGCTTATTTTGACTCTCAAGCTACAAGAAACGCGATGCTTTCTTGCCAGCAAGCAAACACGCTTGTTCATTTTGTTAATCCTTCTCCACTCCAAGCAGTTCTTTCTCATTACACAAACCATTCACGACAATAGCACTCTAACTTAAGAAACCAAGCTTAAAGCCAATCTCAAAAAGGTCCTTAAGAAGTTGTGCCCACAGATGACGAAACAAAAAGGTGCTACAAAGGTTTTCAACACCGGTATTGATACCTTCTCAACTACCAAACACTCCTTCGTAAATCGACTGAAATTCTGGAAAGTGGGACACAACAAGAGTCTCGAGTCACCTTGCGAGGGGTGTCGTTCTTGGAAAACTCGACTTGATCCGGAGAATGAGGCGAGCACAAATCTACTGCGAGGGCACTCACTCAACCAGGAAAGACAAACTCATGAGAGGGCTGAGCGAATGATGGAACCGTCAGAAACATCAATATCAAGGACTGCACCTATCCCGATTCCCGGTGCGACAAAGCCTTCGCGTCGTTGCTGCCATCGGAAGGGAAAGGAGAACCAGCAGGATGGCAATGTTAACATTGATGTGAAAGATACCGCTTTCTTGAACACATCATCGATGCCAGACGGTATAGTCAACATCACCGTTGAGGATAGTCAGGTATTGTCAACACGCCACTTCGCAAAGAACGAAGACTCACTTCCTGAAGATGGGCAACTCCCAAGTCCAGAGCGGGAATGCTTCCCAATTGATGAGGAATACATGAACGATCTCGTGCTTTCTCCAGCCGGACTTCGATGTACGGGACTCCCTCCCGACCTCCTGCGTGTTCCAAAAGACATGGATTCTCTCGTCAGCCTTGGTATAGTCTATCCAGCCGGTGTGGACCTCGAAGCAGAGCTGAAGGAAGCTATGGAGTCATATTTACCACGCCCAGAGATTGAGTCGGAGACAGCTTCCTCCCCAACTGCACCGACTTTGGAGACAGCCAAGAGTGAAGCAGAAGGCTCAGAAATATCTTTAACGAAATCATTCAGCAGAACTCGATCATCCTTATCAAGCCATGGGGGCCGTTCGGCCCCGCCCCACTCATTTCATATCGAAAAGCCGTATTCCCACTTAGGTTCGGACTTCGTCGACGTCGAAGATTACTTTGCAAATCCAAGCGCGAGTTTCCCACAAGCGACGTACCCAGCTCTTGATAGTTCGGCTACAACGGAGGACTTTGGTTTCAAGCCCACGTGTGAACGCAGGCCAGGATCGTGGCCATTGCCCAATGAGACGTCAGATGGGACATTCCTACCGGATGAGCCGCTGATTCCTGAAAGGGGGAAGGATATGCCTCCCAAGGCGGTCCGGCTGCTCGCTCCTGACTTAGGACGCCCTCGAGGCTTCATCATGAGCAAAGAAGAGGTGATGAGGGATTTTGAACAAGAGTTGCCTCCCAAAAGGGACACAGCATTATCATTCTGGAGATGCCGACCTATCCCTGGTGCGAGGAGAGAGAGCTCCCTTTCTCCATCTCCGCTGCCAGCCACGAGTGGCTCTGGCTCCACAACATCAAATTCACTTGCGAGGAGGTGGAGATGAAGCCCGCTACAGCCTGTTCCGCTCAGCTGGTAGAGGAAGATTGGTGGGAAACGTTGAGCGGGGTAAGAAAGCGCTGGATGAGCCAGCGAGTGGGACTTATATAATTGGATACTTGGGCCGGAATGAGACTTGGAGGGAATTCAGTGTGAAAATGGAGAAGAGAGTTGAACAGAGTAAGAAGATCGAAATGCTTGAGGCGGAGATTGGGAAGCTTAAGGCGGAGAAAGCCAGCGAAGGAGGTGTGGGAATGTTCAAGGGGATGGCGATGAATGTGAAGGGTTGGTTTGTTTCTGGAAGAGGAGAAGAGGAGTGTGAGTAGGAAACTGAAGAAGTCGTAGTGACTGTTCCTGCTTAGCATCATGTTGAGCGGTTGAAAATGAGACGATCTTTTACTGCAGGTTCAGAAGAAAAATTAACAGGCAAAGGGCTGGTATCGTGATATGACTGAAGTTCAGGTTGGAACAGCTCAGGCTATTTTGTGTAGACCATTGGATCTCACCATCGGGATTAAACAAAGATTGACCTTTTGCCGGTTCCCTCCCTGGACCAGAAGCTTAAGGCGTGACGAATGAGTCCAATTGACCTCGCAATTAGACACCCTCACAATGGACAGAAAAAGCAGTCTTTCTCAGTGTTCCAAGTCAAGCTGGATAACCACAACGTTCCTCGAGGAATGTTCCGTCAAGTGATAGTACAATCAAAAACGGTCCCCTTAGATGTCTCGGAACTTTCGAGTGCACGTAATTGTCCAACTTTGACCTAGGACATCGAGGATTAAGTGTCACTTTTCCTTCCGTCCACCGCGAGACACCTTTTGTCTGATATTGATGTTATTGCAGCCTTTGACAGAGACTTGTGTACTCGGTATTGCACCTGCCGAGGTCGAGAATTAGGGAAACGACCCTCTGTCCCTCCCTCGTTGCCTCCTCCCCAGTTGATGCTAACTAATCTAGGCGGTGAACACCAAAAATATCTGCCCTCGCGCCCTACTATACTTAACAAAAAGTCATATACTAAACTCTTGTAATTTTTTATATGCTTAGAAGCTTATAAATTCTTTCTTTTTGCTTAAAAATTAATTTTCTTTCTTCTTAAGAAGGAGCGCGATTAATTTAAAAGTTATCAGTCTGCGTGTACACATGCGCGAGTGCGATGGTTTTTAGCGATCGCTTAGGCTATTGGTTGCTAGGTTTCTAGTGATCTTTCCCCTAGAACTCGGTATATTTTTAGCGCCTTATCCCTAAAACCTAACTTACTTATATGACTTCAAAAAAAAATAAAGCTTAAAGAAAATTATTAAAGAGCGCACTTCTAAATTTTTTTAAAAAGGCGCACTACTATTCAAGTAGTAAAAATTAACACAGCAATCACGTGTTATTTAAAACACGTGACCTCTAAATAATAGATTAAAGAGAAGAGGAATATAGGGCTTACTTTGACTTATACTTAATCTTAGACATAGTGAGGCCTTTTAAAGTAAGTTTAAAAACTAATAATTAAGCCGGGGGACCCCCCTACTACGATACGTGCTTGCACGTGCCTTGCTACTTTAGTTACTTAAGTATATACTTAATGAGTATTGAGTAAAGTATGAGTAGGACCCACTACTCTACTCTACTCTACTCTACTCTACTCTACTCTACTCTACTCTACTCTACTCTACTCTACTCTACTCTACTCTACTCTACTCTACTCTACTCTACTCTACTCTACTCTACTCTACTCTACTCTACTCTACTCTACTCTACTCTACTCTACTCTACTCTACTCTACTCTACTCATTTGACACACTGTCTCTTCCTGGGATTGTGAAGAAAAGAGTTCTTGAGGTTTTGTGGTTAAAACCGATGGTTGAGAGCTCTTTGCTGAGAAAAGGCTCAACATGATTACTCCACTTGGCCCCTTATCCTTGCCTAAGTATCTAACCGATCCCCTTGGCCAAGGTCCAAGAGCCATGTTAATGATTCCATCAGTCCTGAATTTTTTCTTTCTCGCAATTCACTGTTTTCATCTCCCTTCACAATACAATGACAATGTGGCTTACATGAAAGCCTTTCGCACATCATCCACACTAGCGGTCCAGCCCCAAGGTATATCTCATCAGGACTCTAGATCTAACAGACAATATGTTGGGATGTCTGCGACTTTGGTGGCCTATCCATCCGTCGGATGATGTTTTTCCTGATACGCCGTACTCGAAGCTTGCGGGGGCTATTGAAGGACGTAGATACTTAGTATTATCTATCAGTCTTATTCAAGATCTCTACATATTTTATAAACTCTTAATTGCCTTCAAGCTCATTGATCAAAATTCTAGACTAAGCAGGCGCAGCTCCCTTCCAGTATTTGCTTGGTACAAAGGGCATTTTGGTGACTTGCGCCTTACGTTTCTTCCCCCTGACTACAACGTGGAGGTTTGTTCCAGCTTTGTGGAATCCATCCTTGATATATCCCATTGCAATATTCTTCCCTAGGGTTGGACTTGGACATCCACTTGTGATGCTGCCAATCTTCTCGCCTTTCTCATCCACGATATCAGCGCCCTCTCTCGCTGGTGCTCCTTCAACTATTAACCCAATTCGGCGTCTCTCAACACCACTTCCACCTTTGCTCTTCGACGTCAGCTGTCTGAGAATGACTTCTGAGCCATGAAATCCCCCACTTGTTCTCCTATCCTTCCCAATGACCCAGCTAAGGGCTGATTCAACAGGGGTGGTGGTATCGTCCAGATCATGTCCATAAAGGCACATGCCAGCCTCAAGCCTTAAACTATCTCTGGCGCCGAGTCCAGCCAACTGTAATCTCTCTTTCGTAGCACTCTGCAATAACGCCTCCGTAACAGCGACTGCCTCGGTAGGCGGAATAGAGATCTCAAATCCGTCTTCCCCAGTGTAACCACCCCTGCTAACCAATAATGGGCTCGAAGCCTCCCCACTCAAAAGCTTAACCTTAATAAACTTTGACTGCCCAAAATAGAGCTCCCTCAGCTCTGTCTCCTTGGGCTCAACCAATACACTGCTCAAAATATCCTCACTCAGCGGCCCTTGTAAAGCCACCAATCCCCACCCCTCAAGAATCTTCCACTCCACCTTCTCACCCCCTCCATTCTTGAACTCTGCCAGCTGTTCCTCAAAATACTTGAGATCCTTCTCCCTACACGCCGCATTCGTAACCACGTAAAAAGATTCCAGGCCCAGCCGGGTGATAATGGTATCATCCACAATGCCCCCCGTAACCGGCCAAAGCAAAGTACTCAGGCCACTTCTATGTGTCTCCAACCCAGCAATGCTCGCAGGTGTTATCCGTTCCAAGAAAGCGTTAGATCCGGGACCAGAAAATCGATGTTGCACCATGTGGCTTACGTCGAAGAGGGAGGCGTGGCTGCGAGTGAAATGGTGGGAGGCGCTAACGCTGAGGGAGGAGTACTGCACTGGCATATGGAAGCCCCCGAAAGGGACCATTTTCCCGCCGTGGGCGAGGTGGAGGTCGTAGAGGGGTGTCTTTTGGAGGTCTGATGGGCAGGATGTGGATGAGGCATGACGGATTGGTATGCAGAGTTTGGATGGGAGTCGATGCAGCTGCTGTGTTGGGTTCTGGGTGCGGGGTGGGGAAAGGGAGGAGCTTGAGGCTATCGTACCTCGGGGGAGAGCTGTTGATAGTTGGCGTGATGCTCGCCCAGCTGTGCGATTGACCGTAAGGGCGCCATTGACATATGATACAGCTCGAAGGCACTTCATTCTGGGTCAATTGATTGTGTTGAAGATTTTCGACCTTGAAGGCTCGAGGTGGAGCACCAGGAGTTGGAATGGAGTTCTCGGCTAGGATCGGAAGTGGGGTTGCTCAGATTCAAAAGAATTAGAGGAACCTGGAAAAGGGGCAAAGATGATAATTTCACTGAAAGAATACCCATGAAGGTGATTTAATATACTGCCTCAATTCTACTCTAACATCATAGCATTGTAGGTGACGCTTGCTGAAAATAACTAGCGAAAAGCCCCTATGCCAGACCCCATACAAGCTCCCAGCGGCCGTGAATGATAATACAGCTCCAAAATTCGATGTCCCAGGCCTGGAATCCCTCACTTAGTCTCAAAGCTATATCTCAACCATCCGGATAGTGCATTCAAACTTTCCCATCTCACGGCCTCATCCGGTTCCTGCATCAACTCCATTACCCTCGTTTTCAAGCCAAGCTTCTCCAATTGAGTCCTCTTCTCAGGAACCTCCTTGACCAAGCAGCCAACATCATTGCAGGCAATAGCAAGGACTTGCTTGTCATTCTCCCAGGGTTTGTTCATGATTTCAGCAAGTTTCCTGGGCAGTTCCCCCTTCTCATGCTCGAGAATTCTCCGAGCATTCTCAGCCCAGAACGTAGGGTTTCGATGGGGAGGAGACCATCGTAGATGCCCCGAGTTTACTTCCGCAGCATATTCGTCAAAGGTAGTTTGAGTTTTGGTGTACTCATCAAGCATCTCAGTAAGGTTTTGAAGGTCATCCAAGAGGTCTTGGTCTGAAAGATGACGTCCATTAACATTCTGAATGAGTGCAGGAAGACGCGCCAGAACAGCTGCAGGTAGTAAGGTCTGCTTGTTAGACGATAGAAGGTTGTATAATGAGGATATAAGAAGCCTGGTGGTCTTTTCCTTCGGAGACAATCTCAGGAGCTGTGTGAAGAGTGGTATGACATCGTAGTCGCTGTTGGCTAATTAGTCTTCACTATCCGTAGGACTGCTCCGCAATTGAACTCACTTTTCAAGGCCGTCTCCAACGGTGGCACCCTCAAAGCTTAGCTGCCATAAGACCAAGAGGACATGGTAGAGTAACTGCAGGCCGACCCCGCCTCCAATTACACCCTCCGTACTTCGAACGCTGGCAGCACCACTCCACAAAGTCGAGGCCGAGTCTGCGTTCGAGACCCCCGCAGCTGATCGAAGAATATCAATCAGGGGGCTAATCGTCTCGTTCTTTTGAGCCCAGAACAGCTCCCTCGACTTCTTGCCCCGCAATAAAGCAGAATATTCCAACACCGCAATATCCTGCAGGCCTCCATCCGAGGATTTTGTCAAGGTCGATAGGTATGAGAACAATCGTGGCATTGCGGAGGATTCCTTGTCCGATAAAACTGGAGCTGCAGAAATCATGCTTGCGAGGACAGTAGATGTGAGCAGTGGTATTGGGCCGTCAGGGTCATTTGATTGGGCGAGTAGGGGCAGGAGGTGCTGGTAGGGATCTGAGTGCTCAGAGAGAGCTTTCGAAAGAGCTGGAATTGCTGCAGAGCAGAGCTTGTGTTAGCCAAGAATCATGTAGGAAGGTATTTGTACACACCATCAAGCAGATCACCTAGAAGGACCAAAATATACTGAACCACATCTGCCCGCCTTGCAGCAGATTGCAAGACACTGGGCTTGCCCTCTCTGCCGACAAAGAGTGTGCGGTACCCATCAAGATCACCTTCAATAGTCTGCTTCCTGACCTCTTTCCTAACTTTATCCACAGCTCTGATCTTGCTCAATTGATCATCAGTGATTGTTCCAGCTCGAACAGCACCATCCCAAGGAATAGGGCGAGCACGAATATTGTTCTGAATCGAGGATAGGTATGGGGGCGGATCCAAAGACATATTGAAGGTATTACTCAGCTCCTGGGGGAATAGGACTTGTGCGGAGCGAGCGCGGTGCCTTGAGGTTGAGTGATAGGCAGAAGCAACTGAGCTATAAGTTGGAGATCTGGAGCTCTTATCGAAAAGTCGCTTCCGGAGCTTGTGACTAGGGTAGCCGAACGGTCTTGTTAACTGCCACAAAAACGAGTTGTCAGTGTTTGGTAACATTTCAGCAGAAAAAGATCAGAAGCTGAATACACAGATCTGGGAGTTTCTTCGTTATCACCTTCGTCATTATATACTTGATGTAGCTTGCCTGAACCTGCATCAGACCACTGGAAAGAGCATACAACTCCAAAATTCGGTCGAACCCCTTCCCTCCGTCCAGACCTGCCTTTTCCAGATGCGCTTCATTGCTGTGTTTGCGGACTTCATCTATCACCAATAAGTGTTGAAATTCTTTATGATTTAATTTCTTTTCATTATCACTGAAGTATCTACATGTGACCATAAACAAACCGTCGTCCCGTTCAGCACATGATAGCAAGTATGGAGGATACTGTGGGTCCTCTTTCTTGCCACTCAATACTCAAACACTGAGGGAGGTAATAACAACAAGAGGTGAGCCAGACTCCGTACTCCTGAGAGGACACGGACGCCAGCCAATGGAGAGCGAAAATGATGATGTAGCGCAACAGGCAGTTCTGAACAAGAAAAGACAGCATGGTTTCCATAATATCGATCCAGCACCAGATCCTCAGCGATCCGGCAAGATGTACATGAATGGCAATCGGTGTCTCTAAGGAAGTCATCCGTCTATCGTAATTTCGATTCGTGTCCCATCCAAATAATGCATTGTTTTGTATCCAGTAGTCGTGTATGGATATTCGTAAGGTCGTCATTTCTATCGAGCGGCGGTATCTAGGGGAACAGAGACATCAACTCCGAGCTCGGCGGCGTGCTTCTTGGCCCATTGTCTAGTAAGAATAGATGCTGCGAAGGTCAGTTCGGGTATATGAAGCAACGAGGAGCATTTCTCACCCTTGAGAAACTTCTTGCTTGCGTATTTCTTGAAGAAAGCTTCGTGGGTGACAGGACGGGCAAGGTAGTCGACCATCAATTTGAATACTGGTTGAATCGCCTCTTCGGTGTAGCCAGCATAATGAGTCAAGGTTGGGTCCTTCTTTTCATTAGCTGTATTCTCAAATTAAGAGCCGCTATAGACTTACCCAGTCACCTCTCTCAAGGATCTTGCGAGCGAGATACATCGATGCAGCTGCGACATGACTAGGAAGGAAGTGCATGAAGCGGTGGTCAAGTAGGCTGATCTCCATGAGGTACTTGCCAAGGGTTCGGGTTTGGATGTCGTAGTTGTCGGCCTTCGAGATGCGGCGAAGGAAGTTCATTGGGTTGGGGTAGCTCAGATCATAGTTGAGAGCAGTGAGGACGTATCGCTCAGCACTCAGAATTTCTGCCTCCGTGAACCCATCGTCGGCGACGTGACGGAAGTTGGCAACATGAGGAGACAGAACCTCTTCGTACTTGGAGGCAATGAACATAGCGGTAACACCAACGAGTTGAAGGCGGTCAAGCTGAACGACTTTGGTTGAGAGGAAACGGTCGATGATGTTGACTGCGAGGAACAGGGTTTCTGGAAGGAGATGGAAACGCGTGTGTACTTCGATGAGCCAGTCGACAAGGATACCTCGCATCTTCCACTCCAAGTCTTCTTGGTGGTCCATGTAGTCTGCGTTGGGCCGAGTATCAACCTCCAACTTCTTCAAGTACTCGAAGATCTCAACAACATATTCCGCCACCATCAAGGGGTCTTCAAGATCTTCACGGTCTAGATCCTCGACTCCTTCTGCAAACTGTTGTGCAACGGATGCCTTCGGCTCGACATCTTGTACGACTTCATTCTCCTTATACTCCTCAACAGTGATTCGTCGTTCAACTTGCTCGAGGTGAATCTTCTTTCTAAGTGGTTGCTCTTCTTCCGCTGGTGTTTCTTCCTTGATTGAGAATGTGCTCGAGGACTCGCTTGTCTTTCTCTTAACAGCCATGACACCCGATCCTGAACCAGTTCGTTTTGTGTCCGAAGACTTCTTGTTCATGTCCTTGGCTCCTAGAACAGATCGGCTAGAATTTGTCCGTGACAGGCTCTTCTGGACACCAGTAGGTTGAGCTGCCTTTGACACGAGACCACCCTTTCCTACATTCTTCTTTCCATCGACGACATCTCCCTTTGTGACATTGCTTACATCTCCCAAAGCAGCGCGCTTGCGGAGTGGTTGTGCCACTTGTGTGTTGATGCCAGACTTCTTCGATTGGAGTGGCTTCTTGGCAGCACCAGCAACATCTTCAGTGAAAGCAGCAGACTTTGATCTTGTAAGACGCGTCGTTCCTGAAGCACTGTTCTCGTCATTCTCGTTCGTGACAGCCCGCCTAGTCGACGCGGCTCGAGCCTGGGGTTGAGATGTTAGCGTTCAGTTCGGAGGAATCGACAGAGTCGAGACAGGAGCGAAGTTAAGAAAAAGTGATTGTCTGGACTTACTGGAGGCATTCTTATTTGCCGACGTATTAATGATTATGCTTTGGTACGTTACGGAGGCCAAAAGCTATAATTGTGGTCAGCAAAGACGCGATATAAAGGCATTGAAGACCGCGTATAAATGGAAGAGAAGGATGCCGGCAGCGACGCGACCGGACGCATTTAACAAAGTTTAAAGGCCAGAATACTTACATGAAGTCAGGTAAGGGACCAAAACACTCTGGTATGAGTGTCTGGTGCTTCTATCAGGTTGTTCGTGCACTGTATCAACAGCGTCGACTGAGGCTTTCTGAGTTTGGAGCTGCAGGAACCCGGGGGTGCTCAATGCGTCAACAAGGACTTGATATGGCCCTGAGACTCGAAGGTAAAGGCGTTTTAAGTATTGGAAGTTTGTAGGGAGGTCGTTGTCGTGTTTGAGAGAAGGTACAAAACCGTGTTGAAAGACTTGGAGAGTTCGAGAGGCGGTGGTCCTCGCTTGTTATGGCTGGCGACTTAGCGCGACTCAGAATCCTTACCAGAATGCAAGGTAATCCCGCGAAGAAACTACTCAACGCAAGGGAGGAGAGTAATTTGAAAAGACTTGGGGATTTCAAAGAAGATGAGAATCTTGATGTCAAACAGTCGTAGGAAGATGGGATTCTTTGAGGTCAATTGAATGCTTTTTCTCGTCGGGGAGGGGATGGTGGAGGGGAGGTGCATCAAGGATTCTGCGTCTGCACGGACCTTAATTGGCTTTGTTGACTTCAGTTGCGGAGGCAACGAGCTACAGCGGGCAAGAGTGACCGAGAAGTCGCGAATGTGGCTGAACGCGGCTGTGGCTGGCGCGTGCAAGCTAAAAAGCTCGGATCAGAAATTCGATTGCCGTCGACCTATTGCATGATTTGACTTCCAATGCCATTCACTTACCTCACACTCTCTTTGGCATCAAGATCGTAGCAGTGGACAAGCAATTGGTTCTGCCCATCATGCTGCAGCCCCGAATACTGCTGCAGCAGTCCCAGAATACATCATGCAGATACCTTTCCATTCGACAAAACCTCACCCGTTCATACGCAACCGTTGCCCAGTCCGTGAAGGTCGAGCCTCCTCTTCCTGCAACTGGCTTTGCACCGCCTCCAACTCTTGATGAAGCCAATGCCACATTCATGATGAGGACCTACAAACCACGAACGCCCGGTGTGCGGCATCTTAGACGACCCATAAACGACCACTTATGGAAAGGGAGACCATTTCTCCCGTTGACTTTTGCAAAGAAGGGCCACGGAAAGGGAGGAAGAAACAACAGTGGCCGAGTCACAATTAGACATCGAGGTGGTGGACACAAGAGACGGATAAGGACTGTTGATTTCCTACGCATGGTGCCAGGACCTCATACTGTGGAGCGTATTGAGCATGATCCAGGACGAAGTGCTCATATTGCATTACTCAACGAGGAAGCTACGGGGAGAAAGAGCTATATCGTTGCTGCCGAGGGAATGAGAGCGGGAGATGTGGTTCAGAGCTATCGAGCTGGTATTCCCAAGGACCTGCTTGATAGTATGGGAGGAGTTGTTGATCCTGGTGTGCTGGCTGCAAAGACCGCCTGGCGAGGCAACTGCCTACCACTTCACATGATCCCTATTGGGACTATCATCTACAACGTTGGCTCTACAAGAGGGAAAGGTGCCGTTTTCTGCCGAAGTGCTGGCACCCACGCCGTGGTTATATCAAAAGACGATGAGGGGACGAAAGGTGGCAATAAATATGTCAATGTACGTTTGCAAAGTGGTGAAATCCGAAAAGTAAGCCGGGATGCGTGTGCAACTATTGGCGTTGCAAGCAACCCTAACTACCAGCACCGGCAGCTTGGTAAGGCTGGGAGAAAACGATGGTTGAACATTCGGCCAACAGTCAGAGGTCTTGCAATGAATGCAGGTAAGAACTTCCTCTTTGAACTTAGTGTTCAGACCAAGAACTAACAATACTGCAGCCGATCATCCTCATGGTGGTGGACGAGGTAAATCCAAGGGTAATGTCGATCCCGTGAGCCCATGGGGTATGCCTGTAAGTCACTGTGATTCTTCACGAGCCTTCAATTGCTAAAACTGTGCAGGCCAAAGGAGGGTACAAGACTCGAAAAGTGAGAAAACCAAACAAATGGGTCGTCACGGCTCGGGAACGAAATCACGGGAAACGAAGAGTCAAATAGTGGACTTTCCTTTCTCTGTCCATTGCCTCATTTCACTCTGCCATACACAAAAATAGATGTCCAGACATGTATTATACTCTAGGAAATGTAAGATGTGTACGACTGGCTTTGTTTTTTGTGTCCCTAATGAACTTACTCGGCCCTGCTGCATTCTCCGGTTCTTTTTTCAACCTCTGAAACGTCTTCTTCGAGGTGTTCTTTACAGGAGCCACATCCACACCGTTGGCTCTTTCAGCCTTACGCCCACTCCGCCAGCGGCTCAAGCGTTTCTCCTACCCATCCCTCCTTTGGGATTCCTCCTTGTACAACCTCGGCGACTCCTGGCGAGCGGCTAAGAGAAATTCAAAGAGCCGTTGATAGGCCAGAGGTACGAGTCGGGTCATCATTCCTCACAATTAATTCGTCAACTCCCAAGCGAAGCCCCATTTAAACCCAACCCCCCCTTCGGATTCATTCCCCCAATCCGAATATCTTAGGTCGCCTGAATAAGGTTACGGTTACTCAGAAGATGCAGCCAGATACAACGTTTCAGGGTACAGATTCGGCCATTTGCAGCTAAACTTCGTCACGTTCCCCGGAGGCTTTGGGCTACGTGCTGATATCCTAAATTAGGAAACGAAGCGAGATCCTTGGCGTTTGACGTTCGACATCTCCGCGGAGGACTCAGGGGAAGAAGACTCACAACCAGTCAATCATTTATTCTGGAAACTCGGTGAGGATGCAATGCTTCGGCGGTGAACTGTAATGAGATAAGATCTGCAAGAGCACGAAATGATCGCTTCCAGGGTCTCAAGAAAGCAAAAATAGCATTGTGAAATCAATCGTGTGATATTCTGTTTGACGTGATTGATTAATTTTGGTTCTGCCGCAACTACCGTAGCCAAGAGCGGGAATGCCAATCCTGAACCCCGGGCCCAATCCTGTCCTGCCCTTCCAAAATCCCGGAGAAAATAATGGTATCTGTTTCTACATAGGGCTTCAAATCGAGGAGAATCATATACACAAAGAAGTTTGTGCTGTAAAGTAAGAACACGAAGTTCAGTCCAATATAAAGGACATGTTCAACGCCTGCCCGTAAGTTTGGGGATACCTTTATTCCGCAATCGTCATATGTGAATTTGAGAGGAAAAATTGAGGGGTGATTTTTTTCTAAGAGCCGCCTTCCCATCCAATATCCCTGTTAAGATTGTTAAGAGTACGTTCTGAAAGGGGGGTGAGTATCAGGGTAACTTACATAGGATCCATTGGTCCTAATCCCATTAGTGTTCTAAATACTCCTTCCCCAACAGGTGTTAATCCTGTTGTTTGGTTGCTCATCTCCCACCCACTAGGTACGTCGAAGGACCTACCAGGGGTCTCTGGCATGGTGAAAGTATTATCAGGGGTAAGACCTGTTGAAGGAATATTACTATAGTCTGGCTGAGTGGAGAAAAAAGAGCCCAACGCACGTCCATCGGCGGTTGGAAGACGTTGGTTCGAAGAAGCAGGGCTGGTCTCATAGGATTTGCCTCCTGAGGTTTGTCCCGGCTGGAGACTGGGACGTGTGTCAGAGGGTGTGCTGGCGCTTGGTGTTGGTCGATTGGAGGTTGAGTTTGCTGTGTCTGGTGAGAGTCCAGAGTCAGCAGTGGTGTTGCTCTCGCTATTACCATAGCCACTGCCATTATTCATCTCGCGGTTTAGGTAGTTCGCCGTGGTAATGGAAATTGAAGCCATATCTTCAATTGCTAAACCCTGCAAATTGCGTTGGACGTTCTGTCCCTGGTCCGAAGAAAGCTGGCTGTCAATTGGCATCCAATTAGGCTGGTCCCCAAAACTATCGTTACGAGCATTTGCCGATTCTGCTGCGGCCGGATCGGATTCACTGCGGAAATCGTTCGAGGTGGCTGTCGGTCCAGTTGGACTGTTGTCGTCCATTGGATTTATGTCGTCTGAGATTCTTAGGAAATTGCACTGATTCTGAACCCTTATACCGCCCGCAGTTGTTGTCGTTTGAGGGCCCAGTTGAGGGGCCCTGGCGCTGGAGATGCCGAGCTAAAGGCTGTCAGGCAGTGCCATATACTGAGAGCTGTGTAGTACTCACATTATCGTCACTATATGCGAACACCGACTTGTATTTCGGATTGCGCATGCCTAGTCCCTCGAGATCAACGTCCAATTGAACCAAGAATGACTCTGTCAATGGATTCTTCCTTTTCAAAGCGTTCATAGCAGATAGAAGGAACCGAAGAGAATCGCCTGTCTGACTATCATCTGGTCGACTCTTCAGATATTGGACGAAAACACGGGCCGCCACGTATAAGCAAAAAGAGATAAAGGGGTTCATCTATAAGCAGTCAGAATCAGGTTGAAGCATCGGGTGAGTATAAAAAACTTACAGCAGATAAGTCCATATGAGAGATCATCCGCATGACACTAGCAATCTCATTTGCAGCCGTGATGCAACGTACTTTGCTCTCTGCACTGATCGATGCTGGAAGATGATTCTTGTCTGCCTTGTAGATTGCAGCTTGATGCAGACAGATAGTGGAAGTGTGGATGTTCATATTGGTGAAGACGATGTTGGGATTGGATAGCCCGTTCGGCAATTTCAGATGGGAGGGCAGAGATAATGAGGTGTTGAGGAGGATGTTGTCCATATTCCTGTGGCGCTTCCAGAATTCGCCATTCAGGTCATTGTCTCGCTTGTCTGCGTCGGGTCGATGTAGATGAATCAGGTTTCGTCCAAACAAACACGCCATCAATACTACACCCGCAAACGCCGAGAGCTTCGACGCCCCAGATGGGCTCATTGCATCAGAAAGAGATTGCGTGCGCTCTGGTTTGCTCATTTCGAAGGCCTCGTCCGAAGCAGGAAGATCGGTCAAAATATCCTTTTCGTCAATGGTCATAGGCCAACCCGTTCCAATACTTGCATATCGGTCTTCGCAGAAAGCAAACCAGAAGGTCCTGCGTCTCTCTTCCCGTTCCGTCCAATCACGGGGAGGGGGGAGGCACTGTTTCACATCCAAGCCTGCTCCATCCAATCTGTGCAAGCCCATCCTTTTTGAGATTTAGCGGGAGTGAAACACCACATTGACTATAATCTACTCACATTTGACACAAACGAATGGCTGATCCAGTGCTCATCCATGCCCTTGGAAAGTACATCATCTTAAACTCAAACGACGCGAGAAGAGCATGTGTCTGCGCATGAGCAATGGAGATCATATGCTCCCCATGACCTTTCAAATAATCGCTCTCCACGTACTTTCGAGCTCGTTGGTAGAAGTGCTCTTTGAGATCCATGAACTTCTCCACCACAGACGCAGCGAGAGTCCACATGGCGTAACGGAGGGCAACAGGAGGACGTTGACTGGGCGCTCTAGAACTTAATTAGCGATCTATTGCGAGTTTGTGGCCTTTGAGATGGCGAAATGACTAAGTACAGTATGGAAGAACAAAGTTCTCTTAGGAAGTGGACATAGCAGAGCAAGAGAGGCATGTGAATAGTTCAGGTACAATGGCAAGGGGCAAATTCCAGACTAAATTAATCAGAGAACAAAATGAAAAGGCATCTGTGCTCACAAATTCATGGCTGCGAGGTACCGGAACTTGTGAATCATTGGCATTGATGGGTGTATCTTGTCGAAGTAAATTTGGTGTCTGGAAATGCGATATAAGCTTCTGTTCCAATAGATAGAATGGAACCATCACATACAACTCGTCGATGGTCTCTTGTGGAGGAAGCGGCTCTTCCAGACCAAGCCCAATCATTTCCCAGGTGAACGTGTTATCGTCAAGGCCCATCCCCATGTTCATGTCTGCTCCAAATCCAAGGTCATTCAAGGGCGGTTGCGGAGATTCTCCATTGAATCTCCAACGGTCAGTGTTCTCAACAATGCCGATCGCAGGATTGGAAATGTTGAAATCACCAGCAGGTACAGAACCAAGATTAATCCCACTTACACCTCCTTGTCCCGCTGTAAAGGTTGTTGGTGGAACTTCTGCCGTGGTGACGGCGGGGTCCTGAGTCTTCAGCAAGGTTTCGACTTGTTCTATGAAGGAAAACTGCATTAGCCTCGCGGTTCCTAAATACTCACCCTGGCAGCTATGAGAGGATCGGCAGCAGGACACTTACTCAGTCGCTCTTCCAAGGCTTTGACATAACCCCGTTTGGGACCAGACTTCCTTCGAACCTCATCATACGCGCAACTATGGCCCAATCTTGTACATGTGGAGCAGCTCGGTTTGGATCCATCACACTTCAGTTTCCTCTTCCTGCAGATAATGCAAGCAATTCTCTTCGGCTTTGGGACATTGTTGTCTCCTCCACTGGCAGCATCCCCGCCATTTGCCTCACCACTTGGACTTCGATTTCGTTTGTTCCGTCCATTGTTCCCAGTCGGTCGTGACAAATCATTGAAGTACCCCTCCGGAGGGGTGTTTGAGCTCGAGGACATACTCTCAGCGGTTCGTCGTCGCGGATGATCGTAATACAATTCAAATTGACACTCTCCGCTTGATCGTCAACGTCGCAAGTCGAAGAACGTAAAATCGTTGCAGGACAGGACGTCTACTAAATCCGCTGCAACTACGCCGGACTTAGTTGATCTGTCGGGATGAGAGCTGCAAACCCTCGGGCAGAACAGTGAGACCAATTCAACCCAGATCTCAGTCACTGCTCCATTTGCTACAACTCGTACGTCGAATGATGCAAAGGAAGGGGGAGGAAACTGTGGTTTGCGCCTTTCGAGGAGGCAGTCCTGTTGGGGGCAGATCAGATTAACGCGGACTGGGTCGGCGTTCGCTTCGGACCCGTTTTTAGATCCGTTGCAATCTTTGGGGGCGGTGCTTGAAATAGATCACAATCAACCCGACCTCGTCGACATAAAAGAACAGGACAGAACATGAGCTTCCACAATTTGGAATGAAGGAGGAGGCTTCCAAAGTGGAACCGCGAGAGGACAACGCGATAAAAGCCCGCCAGCAGCGAGAGTTTGAGTTGTCTGATATGGGTGGCGGTGTTTTTGTGATCTTGATCCGCAGAATGCCCTGCATGAAGAGTGATTCAGACGGAACGGCTGACCCAACCGCTCTTCCCAAGGCACCAGCGCCATTGCGTTTTGCTTCCGTAAGCCCTGGGAAAGGTCCTTGATCAAAAAGTGCATAGCCTGTCCCTCCAAAACCGTCCGGGCTCAGCCTTGTGGAGGGGGATTACCAATCAGGGGCAGCCATGAGGCATGCTTAAATCAACCTTCCAAAGAGTCGGCCCAATATTCGTCCGACTGGGCAACGGGGGTGTCCGAGTGCTGCAACACGGTGTCTGCCCAGCCATCCACAGGTGGTAACGTCTGTCTACGACGCCCAATGTGCCTCGGCATTCCAAATGGCTCGTAAAACGTGAATAGAAGGTCGTTGCGACTGGGAAAAATGCAATGTAACGACGTGGCCACACCTGAGGAACCCCCCACTGCCTGCCGTTTTCCAGGCATTCACGTGACCATCTCTGCCCTCCTCCCTCATCCCTTCCATTGATCTTCATGAATCGAAGCCCGCCAGAGAAAAACAAAGTTATAAATGATAAATCTGAATCGCCCAAATACTGCTCGAGACAGGAACCATCTTAACTTCCACTTCAGGTTGGTCAATTTTCGTGCATGTACATGCATTGAAAAGCATTTTTTTAGTATGACTCTTCGGTCAACCGTGAATGAAATTTCTTTCAGTGAGCAGCTCTAGTGAAACACATGAGCCTTGTCAAAAAGATTTCCCAGCATCATCAAAAGAAACGCCGAGCTCCCCCAGGTTTGAAGATGCCAAAACTACCTGATCTATTTCCTTTCTGGGTCAACCCCCCAAATCTTGAGGCTCCCAAGATCACTGTACGCCAGCCAGTACCGGCTAGGATGCCAAGCAACAATTGGACAGGGACCAGCCGTCTTCAGGCTGAGCACATTCTCTCCAGTCTCTGCATGTACTATTTCCAAGCCCGGTCCTTCATCACTTCCACCAACGATATAGCTTCCATCAAAACTGAAACTGATGCTTCTCACTGGTCCAGTCATGTCTATCAAGCTTCGTTGGCAAATCCACTCGGTTGTATCCCACAGAGCAATGATAGAGTCGGATCCTCCAGTTGCAAGAAGTCGAGCCGTTGGCTGTAGGTCGATGGAAAGACAAGACGAAGTATGGCCATTCAGAGTGAATGGAAGTCCTGGATCATAGCTGGAGTAGAGAATTGGCCTGAAATCCGGGTATGAGAGGATCTTAACTCGTCCTTCTCCAGTTGTTAGGAAAATCTTCTTCCCACTGTGGCAGAAGACGAGTTGGTTTGTTTGGACAGATTGTTGATGGGAAGCAATTGGGTTTGATTGGGTCGGCGAAAGAACGAACAGATTATCTGCCTGAAAGATATCAACTGTTGGAGCTGGGTAAGTTATGTCAAGGGGTAAAGGGCAAACAAACCTTGTTACCAACAACAAGACTTTCGCCATCGGGACACCACGCAAGTGTGAAAGCATCACCAAGACCCTTGATCTCATTGATGACCGCCTTCGTTCTCACGTCCCAAAATTTGACGACTCCATCTGAGCTCACGCTACATAACTCTGCATCCTTGACTGGATTGAATGCTACCCTTTCAATCCCGGCGGAGTGGCCCCTGAGTTCGGTGGAGTATCTCACATTTTGCCTCTCGGGGTTCCATCTACAAAAGTCAGTGACAGCATCTATATCTGAATTGATTGACTTGAACTTACACTCGAAGTGTACGATCGGCGGCGCCAGTGGCAATCAAAGTTCCCAAAGGATTCCATGCAATAGTTCGCAACCTGATGAATCTTGTCAGCAATCACCCAAGAATTTCCATTTGGAATAGAGATTCAAGAGAAAAGAAGCTTACCCATGTGATACAGTTCCTCGGGTGGCTGTAGGGTCATGATATGTCTGTGTTTTTGAGTCCTTCAGCTTCTCCCAAAACCTCTCTTTCGAAAAGCTTTGACGTGGCCGAGTCGGTGCCATGGCGCAAGTTGCGGTACTTGTCAGACAAATGGCGAGAGAATGGGATGCCCGGCAAATATTTGTTGTTGGTCTGGGGAACAACCGAATCGAAGTTTCTTCAGTTTTAAAGTAATGTCTTCGACAATAGGACGATTTCCAATACTAAATTTATCAAGGCGGCATGGTAGTGACTAGGAAATGTCAGCAATAAAGTAAAAGCGAAGCAGATCTATAATTTAGCCAGCTTTGGCCAGAAAAGAAAGTGAAGGGTGAAGGAAGACAATCACATTGCAAAGGTTCCACTGAGGATGCACTAGCGCCAGAACCCTGCAGATAATTGTCAGCCTCTCAACCTTGGTGGGACTTGCCTGCCACACGTTATTTCCAAGTTCCAACCTCCGCAGTCTCCTTACCCAAGCCGCAGGATGCATTAAGTATAGGAGTCAGTATTTACTTACGAGTCTTTGCAGGGCCATTTGTTGGCATGCAACCACACGAATGAAGCTTCCAGTGGTCCTGCCCAGCCATGTACTGGCCCATTGGAGCTCCTCGAATTTATGCTGCCAGCAACAGCAGGTCCTCGAGGGACCACGTACTCGAGTCCGACGATGATGCTGAATCGCGGGAGACAATCGATGGTAGTGATTCTCTGGTAGACGCTCCGAGCATCGGGACGGCGGGAAGAGCAGAGGATGAACATGACGTCGCATCAGGTTCATGCACACTCCTGACTCCAATGATCCCCATGAACCCAGGAATCAAGCCCGTCGAACATGAAAGTCGATTCATCACCGGATCGACTGGAAACGAGACCATACTTGCTGGGTCAGCAGAGAAGGAACCTCTCCTAGCACTCAGGACATCCCGAACCGGGCATCTTTTTGCAGTAATAACATCGACTTCGCTGACAATTTGGCAAACAAAGGTATGCAGGGCGGAGCTTTGCTCTGAAGAGGGACCCAATAACCGTAAACAGTCAGCTAACTTTCCCACAGCCAACTGCCATATTAGCAGCAGTAGTACGATCCAATAAATCTCTTAGTACCTATGGCCCCAATATCTCCCTCCTCGTACGACCGGACTCTGCCATCTTCGTGGTTCAAACAACTTCTGGATATTTGATCACATACACATTGGCTACTGATCCAGATGCACGGGTATTTAGACCACATTTTGCTAGTCATACAAGCGGTCAAACTCGCAGGCAGAGCAATTTTAGCGGGTCCAGGAATCAAGGTGGGGATCGAATCCTTTGGGGGCCAGGTGAGGGAGGCGGGGTACGAGAAGTCAGTGTTCGGTTTCGGATGGTAATCAAAGTTGACGCTGGAATTGGAAGAGCTTTGGCGCTAGATGACGAGCTTGTTGTGGCAACTCAGAAGCCAGGAGCAGTTCAATGCATCAGGTGGACTCCCGACAGTGCTGGAAATCAAACCAGTACTGAACTTTTCAGTCGGATGGACTGGCTGCCCAAAAAGACCACTGTCACCGAAATGATACATGATAGGCCAATGAACTTGTCAACCTGGATTACGAACGATGGAAAAGCATACGCTGTTCAGAGGCTACCTCATTCGAATGAACTCGAAATACGACATAAGCTTTTCAGGGGCTACTGCTTTCACGCCCCTCAAGGTGCGAATGATCATGCTACCAAAGCAACGGTTAATGCTAGATTCTCATTAATAGCTGTTGGTTGTTCGGATGGGACGATCCAAGTGTACACAGCTAGAGACTATGCCGGCAACATACCTCCATCTCATACGCACAAACCATCTGTCTCAGGACAATCTTCAGGGCAATTAACATGCCTGTGCTACTCTCCTGATGGTTACTGTCTTTTTGCTGGGTACGAAAACGGATGGGCTACTTGGAGTGTCTTTGGGAAACCTGGGGCTACCAGCTTCGGCGCAGACCCAAGAATCTCCGAGGAGCATGAAGAATGTTGGCTGGAAGGCGTTAAGGAAGCCAGTTGGCTTGGGGGAGGATCAGAGATCCTCATAATTGGGCAGCATGATTACCGGATATGGACATTAGAAATGGCTCGCAGTGCCATCACGGGTTGCTACTCATCCGCAAACATTTCACGAACACTACTCCAAACAACATCAAGTATAATGGTATATCGAGGCTATGATTTGCCTGATCTCACTACGATATCCGCCGAAGCTTCATTATGGCATACCGCACAGATTCCTTCAAGCTACCTCGTGGACCAATGGCCTATGCGGTGCTCCGTCATCTCCGCTGATGGCCGATACGTTGCTGTCGCTGGTCGGCGGGGGCTGGCCCACTACAGCATCAATAGTGGTAGATGGAAGACTTTCGTCAATGAGAACATGGAAAACGAATTCCAGGTAAGAGGCGGGATGTGTTGGCACCAGCATATATTAGTCGCCGCCGTTGAAGCCGGTGATTCGTTTGAGTTGCGCCTGTTCTCCCGCGAGTCTGCCCTTGACAGCTCTTTGGTTCTTCACATTCAGGAATTACCGGCTCCAGTGGTACTCATTGCTCCATCTGGCGAGGATTCTCTTCTTGTCTACACCTACGACAACTTGCTTTACCATTACGTCTTCGCGACGACCTCCAGTACGGTAAATCTCGTCCAAGTTGGCCAGATTGCCTTTCATGGCATAGTTAGGTCACCTGCCAGAGTGAGAGGACTGAGTTGGATTTTGCCTGATGACCAGTTGATTGAGGGCGATCCATCCCAAGATGTTGCCGTTGCAACCGTTGTATTTCTTGTTGATGGTAAGCTGGTCTTTCTTCAGCCGTCACTCAATGAAGAGCGGAAGCTTAAATATGACATGCGTGTCATCGCACAAAACGTCGAATACTATGTTTTGATGCGAGATATGGCTGCTTCGGCCCTAGCTCAAGCTCCGGAGGTGTCAGCCGCCGTTAACAGAGATGAACTTGGTCCAGAGCAGGGAAATGGCCTTCGAGACTCTCTCTGGACTTTTGAGGGCAATGATATGAAGGTCTGGCCTGAGGTTTTGGACGTTCTTCGATCAGCACCATCGGAATTGGGTCGTGAACTGCCTCCTATGGTGTCTATACCTATCGATTTCTACCCTTTGTCGGTCTTATTAGCCAAAGGCATTCTACTTGGTCTTGAACCGGACCTCGTTCAGCGCCGAGATGTGAACTTCGCCTTCTTCCGGTTCACGATACGGGTGCGTTATCTGTAACTGCGTTTTTAGGAACCCCGCTGACCTTCTAGACCCACCTCTTTATACCTCAAGTACTGAGATTTCATTTGTCTCGATTCGATTCCTCTGCAGCTTTACATCTCGCCCATCAGTACAAGAACTTGGAATATTTCCCTCACTCGCTGGAAATCCTCCTACACGATGTTCTCGATGAAGAAGTTGACACCAATCCATCTCCAGAAACCGCTCTTCTACCCGGCGTCCTGTCCTTTCTGTCCTCTTTCCCCCGATATCTGGACATCGTTGTTCAGTGTACCCGCAAGACGGAAGTTCGGTCATGGCGCACGCTGTTCACATACCTGCCGCCCCCTCAAGAACTTTTTGAAGAGTCTCTACAAAGAGGAACCTTAAAGACGGCAGGAGGTTATCTGCTGATTCTGCACACGTTTGAGGAGTTGAGTTCAAGCTCAGAACAATTGGTACGACTGCTCTCCAGAGCAAAGGATGAAGGAGACTGGGAACTGTGTAAAGAGTTGGCACGTTTCCTGACTGCTCTAGACGAAACCGGAGCAACGTTGATGGAAGCGTTGGAGATGGTTAATCTAAGAAGCCCCCAGGACGAGCGTGAGGGCAGCAGTTTTCTTTTTGAAGGCTCAAGGTTGAAAGTCCCCAGATCGGCAAGAGGGTCTTCTCATGGTCTCGAGGGAGCTGCCAACAGTGACGATGATCGCTCTAGCAGTGGCAGTCGCAGTCCTCGGAACAGAAAGGCCGATACTGCAGACTATTTCACACCGCATAATGATGTAATTAGAGACTAGACGTTGGATTTTGCGGCATGGAACGGAGTTCGATCGCCGGATGCCAGTACCCAAAAGGCATTGAATAACACTGGCCTCAATCATGATTTCAGACTATACGACGTTGTGAATTGTATTTGCAGCCCCCTTCCTCGCAAGCCATTGCCTGAAAAGGTCTGTCGCCTGCCATAAATCGTCCTTCTGGCTGTCGACCCGACAAGTTGTAAGATCTTGCAGGGTGTTATGATAGACTTGGAAGAAGGCAGATGAGCATCTGTGGGGATCTTCTCTTGATTCCTCCACCCCCCCTCAATAATCAGGAGAATAATAACACGCAAAATAAAACCAAAAATGACCTTGACAGTCTTTCAGATTTTTGTTTCACTTAAAATCAACTAAATTAGCCGCTTGAAACTCTGTCTGAAGCTGGGGAAAGTATTGCAGGGATTACTGAAAATCGCCAGTGAATATTTAGCTTATCAGCAAAATCATCTCAGCCGCGGACTACTTTAAGACGGTGTCTATAACACTGTGTTCGTTTCTGAAAAATTCCCTCTCTTTCCAAAGGCAGACGAGACCCCGGAAAAAGGGGGGCCTAACCGTAGCTTGTATTAGCGCAAAGCGCGCGTCAAATTGAGGAGGGGCACACTCATGTTTCGCTTCCGCCATGAGCCTCATCAACAATTTATCAACAAACAACCTCGGGACTTCTCCTCAACATCGACGAACGACGTTGCTACTCTTTGGCAAGTGCTTCCTGAGCACATGCCACAGGGTGACGTGAAATGGACGACTTTAATAGCGAGACGGATAGCGACTACACCAGTTACTGGAGAGATTGGGTAAGCCTTACATTTCCTTGAGCTTATGCGCCGCTCGTGCCTGTTCTGGCAAGAAGTCAGGAGGGATTGTGGGACGTAGGAATAGAGCAGAGAGAAAGATGGATCTGAATCCGGAAGACTGGTCGGTCCTGCCGGCCTCGAGAACCACATCGCCATCCACCTCAAAAGGATGGCCTTCATACGCAGCCTTGAAGCCTTCCGCTGGCACCATCCTTCTCAACTTCGGATCTGATAGACTGTACTTGGCCTGAATCGGTCTGCGGCTGTCGAATCAAAGAGCTCCCTGTGGCGGCGCAGTTTGCACTTCGTAAATTAAGGCCATCGACCTTGCTCCAGGGAATGGCAACAAAGTTGCGACAGCGCTCGATCTACGGCCCGAAGAAGACGACCGGTGCAAGTGGACCCAGCGATGCGCAAGATGCGGTTGAAGAAGTTCTTCGCGACGCCGATCTCAGAATACACAGGACGAGGTTCTACAGTTTTTCCAGGGTCACCCGAGCTAATTTAGATATGCAATCTTATGGTGCTTCGTCGAGCGGGCAGAGCGATGACTACTTTGCAGCTTGTGTATTTCGTCGAGTTGATATCCGCTGTTTGATCATGCGCTGACAGGTCTCTGGTAGTTCATTTCATCGAGGGGCAACGAATACTTTTGCGAAATCGATGAAGACTACCTGACCGATCGATTCAACCTCACCGGCCTGAATACCGAAGTCCAATATTACCAATACGCCCTAGACTTAGTCACAGATGTTTTCGACCTGGACTGCGACGACGAGATGAGAGAGACGATCGAGAAGTCGGCGAGACACCTTTATGGGCTTGTGCACGCGAGATATATCGTCACAACAAGGGGTTTGGCAAAAATGGTATGTGGTTCTTCGGTGATAGTAACCCACATCTGATTTGTCATAGCTTGAAAAGTACAAAAAGGCAGATTTTGGCAAATGCCCGCGAGTGATGTGCAAGTCACATCCCTTACTACCAATGGGACAATCAGACAACCCAAACGTAAAAGCAGTCAAGCTTTATTGTGCCAAGTGCGAAGATATCTACAATCCGAAATCCTCCCGCCATTCAGCAATTGACGGAGCATACTTTGGGACTTCCTTCCACAATATCATATTCCAAGTTTACCCTGCCCTGATCCCGACGAAGAGCTATGATAGGTATGTGCCGCGGATATACGGCTTCAGGGTTCATGCCCCAGCGACTTTGATAAGATGGCAAAATGGGAAACGAGACGATATGCGGAAACGGTTAAGAAAACTCGAGATTGAGAGCGGATTCAAAGATGATGAGGAAGAAGTCGAGGCAGAAGATTCGGAGGAGGAAGAAGAAGAAGAAGAGGATGGGGATATGGATGCTTTGGAAAATGGAGAGATGGATGGAGGGGAAATGAATAATCAGGTGTAGTTCGACCGGCGTTACACTGAATTCGGGTTGCTTTGGCTGTGACTCACTGTTTGCTTCTTGATGAGAGGTCTAGGGAGGATGGATTATTGCATGTGTGGCGTTGGAACAGGACATATGGCGCACGAATGTCGTCTCAGCCAGGTGTGGCTCGCATAGAAAGCGTTTTATTGACGAGCCTCCCTTCTCATTGCGGCTCTCTTAAGTGATTTGATGCCAATTTTGAAGCTGTAGGAAGCGGGTCTCGAGGCATCGAGTCTGGACAAACAGAGAAGGCTGCTGTGCGCTCTACGAGCATTCCCGGCTGCCTCTGTCAGAATCTGATCAGGTTGCTCGAGTAGCCCAAGATCAACAAGAACCTGACCGGCGTACCTGCTTCTGCTCCCGTTGCTCTTGCTGGGGACCGCACCCTAAAAGCCTCTCTGAACTGTTCCTCGAAGACGTATCTTGAACGAGGCAATTTTCGTGGTTTCTCGTTCCTCAGCACCATTCACTCTCATTGAATTCACTCGGCAGTGGTAATAGTCGGACTTGACGTCGCACTAAAGTGGCCCTTTAGGCGTGAGATCAGCTCCGACTATTAATTTTCTGGTCGTCGCTTCGCTTCGGTTGTGCCTTCCCCTTTCCGCACCTATTTACAAATATTAACTCGGCTCACTTCTCGTCTTCTTCAACACCTCCAACCTTCAACCTCGAGAATTGTTCCCTTCCTCCATTCAGCCCTCAGATGGACTTCTCAATAGTACTTCCAAACCTTCCTATTAGGAAGTCCACAATCCAAATCTCCGTTCAACCAACCTGAGCAACGAGTTTCGTTTTCGTCGCCTTCAATCCCGTCCTTAACATGAAGGTACCAAAGCCCTTCACCTCGGAATCCCTCACTTCATCGCATCTCTAACATTGCTCATCGCACTGTCTGTTTACGGTGGCGTCCGCCGAAGTTACGTTCGTCAACTTCTAAGCTGGCATCAAAGCTGAAGTCCTGGAGATCATCACATCGTAGAAGGGAGGAGCCTTCAAAAGTCAAGTCACTGATGGCATGGCCGTTGTTGAGATCTTCCATCATTTTATCGCCTCTCCTCTCACCACCAGCAAGGAGAGGAAGGTGCTTCATCTCGGAAGAAGCCTTGTATCCCCATCTGATGATTCACTTTCCGGTGAAGAAGTTCCCCAACGTGTCCGAGTCTAGTGAGTGATTTTCCATTCCTTTTGGCTCGAATTTGTACCTTTTCATCATGTAAACCTATTTCATGTCGCGATTGGATTTAGGCTAACCTTATACAGCTTCAGTGCAGTGACCGGTGTGTTCAGAGAAGATGGTAGAGACTTTAGAGCTCCGCCTTTCCAAGTGCGTACTTGAATTGTTCCTCTCTCCTTGCAACAGCCTCTTAATCTCCCCTCCCAAAACAATCTTTATCGACCAAACGCTGACTGTATCTTTACCCGCAGATCCTCAACGATGATGATACTTTGGCATATATTGTCAGAGGCTTGCCATTCTATGTTCGAGACGGCAACGCCGGAGAATATCCTTCACTTCGACTGTTAATGTTTACCCCAAGTTTAATGCGGCCATGTCCATAAAGCCGCCATCGAAACTCTCCGAGACTACAAAGACCAAGACTGGCCCCGCTAAATGGGCTTCAGAAGCACGCAATGCTTTTGTTCATCCTTCAGCTCCTCTGGAGTTCCCAGACCACACCAATCCTCACCCAGACGAGATCGACAACTATTCACCCGTCATGGATTACTTTCGAAATGAAGTGTTTGCTTAAGCTAAAACTTACAAGAAAGGGGCTTTTAAGGACCGTATCAAGGCGGCGAGGAATATCCAAAATTTGTTTAAGCTTTTGATAGGATCTACTGTTACTTCCCCTGCTGAAAAGACAGCCTTCATCGTGCCGTGGAGTGGATTGACTATCTTGATGGCCGATTTAGAAGGCTTTCAGGACTCTCTCGCTTCCATTCCATGCTTTACTCAGGAGTGTTTATTGAGAAGGTTTTCAGGATTTTCTGGGAGGATCGAGTTTCTGTAATGGATAAGGAGAACAAGCCGACAAGCAAACCAATTCAGCCACTCTGGGGTCTGGCAATTGTTGACAAGGGCATCAACGACCGGGTTTCGATTGGTGTGGGTTGGGATGTCGTTAGGACTCCTACAGGCCATGACCAGGTTTTAGCAAGGATGAAGAACGGTTATATAAGGCGAAGATGACTGAAGAGGGTGCTGACCTAACGCGCCTCTTAACAAGGTTAAGTCTCTCGCTGAAGAGAGCGGTATCGCCAAAGGCAGCATGTATTTTAAAACTATCATCCCCTTAATCTTGCATCTGCTGACTTTGACAGTAGGCCCCCCTGAACAATACGTTGCGAAGGGCGAGAAGGCTGGAGATCTTAATATGACTAAGAAGAAGCTGGGGAAAATCTCAGAGTCGTGGCTCAGTGAAAATGCTTCTCGTCGAAGAGCTCTTACTGGAATGTACCGAATGGAAGACCTGGCAGACTGTGCTCGCTTTCTGCAGAGAAAACTCGTGGCCGGTATGACTAGCTCCATGTCCACGGACGAAAGCTTCCTTGCAAAGAGTAACTCATCGACTGCAAATTATTTGGTCTGATCTTAGTGCTAACATCTATTTCTAATAGTTGAAAAGGGGGTAGCGAAGTCTGACCCCCTAGTCTGAGGACTGAGCAAAATGAAACATGGGCGGAGAATGAAGTTTAGGACAGCGTTCTCTTGAGGGTTCTTGCACTTTATGTGATATTGCATCAAATAGCTGCTGGTTGATTTCGAGTAGGAAGGCGAAAGAGAGAGGTTTTAGAAGCATTGGAGGGGTTGCTGAGAACTGCTTTATGGAGACATTTCTTCGGCCACCGTAGATGTTGACTATAGGAGAAGTAGGTACATAGCTAATGAAAATGAATAGTTTCATTTCAAGATACCACACAACGATGAGCTCAACCCTCTTCTTTGGGCACCAACACTTTACGCGCCTTGTGGGTCTCGTATGTTAAACTAAAGGTAGGAACATCATTGCTCCTAGCACGATTCTCTGCGCGGGAGTAATTTAATGAAGTAAAGCACTTATCCAAAACAATGGAGGACTGAACCCTCCCCTGAAGTTTTTAGAATAAGTGCAAGAAAGGCATTATTGTATTCTAAGATTTTAAAAATATATTATTCTGCTTTTCCTTTTCATAAATACTCCAGATATATAACCAAAATCCCATGTATAAAGTAACCTGGCTCTCCAACCCGAAAACGCCGCTTCCAGCCACCTACCACATTATCCAAGAGTAGAACTCGGGTCAATACGGTACCAATTCGCTTTCGGATCGCCCAGGCACTCCCCCACAGTCACAGGCTTATACCCCTTGCCCAACAGCCCCTTCAGCATATACTCTACCAGCACCTGACTCGTCTGGTTATGGATATCGTGGCTGATGACTAAGAAATCGTCCGTCGTAGAGGAGGCACCGGCGAGCGCATTGTCGAAGATGGACTCGGAGTTCAGGATTAGGGTGGGCGAATCGTTGAGGTAGTCTTGCGTGTCGAGATCCTGGGGAGGGAAGCTGTTAGGATGGAGTGGAAGCGGAAAAGAGGAAGAGGGAAAAGTGGTGGGACACGTACGAAATAAGTTATCACATAACCAAGTTCGAAAAGATCAGCTTCACAACCGCATGCTTGACAAATCAGTGCTTAAATTTATGAAGAGAGCATAGGAGACTTACCAGCTGTGCATGATGAGTATGGAGGGCGCATATAGGTTGGGATTACACCCAAGATGTTGCGGAGAGCCATCTCATTTTTATACATTTCGTTCTTCCTTTGTGTGGAGGTGATGTTGCATAGATCTGGGTGAGACCAGGTATGTGATGCTACTTGGTGACCCGAGTTATACATTCGTCTGCAAAGGGAGGTCAGTATAGGCCATTTAAGAGACTCCGAATACTCACTGGATGAGTGCGGGCCAAGCCAAACTCGTGTTGTCGATTTGGCCCTTTCCTAGACGGAGAGTGATTATTAGGCCAGTGGAATGTAGAGGATAACTCACCATTATTATTACCAGTAATGAAAAACGTTGCAGAAGCATTATACTGAGCAAGTACATCAAGGATGTGACTGGTGTAGATAAATGGTCCGTCGTCGAATGTCAATGCCATGTCACCAGGATTAACGCAATCATAAATTCCATCGGACCCATAAAGGACGGATCCAAGCTGGGTTCGCGGAATCGACGATGTGTTGGTTCCAGCAGGGATTTTGTTGGCATCACAAGCTGGTCCGTAGGTAAACTGACAGTCTGGCGCTGCGCAATAATCTACAAATTGTAAGTTTGATATCTAATGGTGGGGAGGCAGCCAGACCTTCTGTGGTCCCGCTTTAGAGAAGAGTTAGCAACGTGAATTGGATAATGCCTGAAGAAGTTGAGATTTTGGAGCCGTCTTGGCTCCTGAGACATAAGGAGAAAGGGGATATGACAGCTCCTGATACAGCCAGGTTTGAGGTGATTATTGTACCCAATTTGGCCGGGACAATCGAAGATGGAGTCTGAGATTCGTGGAACTCTTCGATTATTCAAGCCGGGTCGAGCACAACCGTCGGCTTGAACCACCGCTTCACTAGGCACGCGGTCCTTAGAGGAACGAAACGGTAATTTAGTCCGAGAAAAAAACACGTACCAGAATCCGGCAAGTGAGCAACATTCATTTGAGGCGCAAGTTCCCTGGCCAGGCCCACACTGTCCATTTGTACTCGTTCCTCCAGTCCCACCACCTGAAGTAGTTGTGTCATTGTTGCAAGTTCCATAGGCGGACTGACATCCTACTGATGCGTTGCAGTAGTCTGTGGTATTTCCACACCATCCACTTGCCACACTCGTGAGCTGTTCCGAATTAAGGCAAAAGGAGGGATACAACGACTTACTTTCCAGAACAGCATGGACTAGCTGCACCACAAGTGTACCCCACAGTGCCAGCACCGGTGATCCCGCAGGTCTCGTCAGGGCTGATTGTTCCAACCGAGGGTGCTGTGCAGTTTCCAAAGGCAGACTGACAGCCAGAAGTAGTTAAACAGTATTCATTCGTGGACCCGCAAAACCCATTGACCGAACAACATGGGAGGGTAGATGGGCATGTATAACCGTCTGCACCCCCACCAGTTCCACTTTTCCCACAGGTATTGTCTGGGGATACAGTGCGCGCTGAAATCTGCTCCAAAGGCCCTGCAAAAACTATGTTGAAGCTGCACACGATCAATGCAATGGATGGGAATGCCAATCGCATCCTGAACATTCAGATCAGTTGATCAGAAACAAGCACTCAGGATAAGTTAGGAATTGATCAGTTAGATGGCTAATAGAAAAACGAGCGCAAAACCAAACGAAGGCAAGTCCAAACATCAAACAAAGAAGGGGATGTGGGAAGCCACAGAATATAACAACGTTGCCATGGCAAAAGCATAGCAAAAGGAAGCGCGGGGACAGGGACGAAGAAAGATGAGCACGCCAAGGCCATGATCTGATCCGGTTTCCAATGTCCAAGCAAGCGAAGAGTAATGAAACCATCCAAACGAGGGACAGACCGTGGGCCCAGACGAACGCTGATCGACGAAACGACAGCTGATGCTGGCACAGATCTCCCGGGGTTAATCGATGGACGAGGCACTGAGACTCTAACAGCGCATTGGCATCCCTGGCCCAATACCAAGTCGTAGGATGAGAGTGCTCGGCTTCGCGACGAACAGTGCGTCTCTACGGCTGAAGCAGGAGGACATGGAACCCTGGGGCTCACTTGAGATACCCGAGACATAAAATAGGAGGGGAGGGTCTCCGTGTCTTGTTCTGAGTCTCGAAAGGTCGTTTGGGGTCGCCTCGGCCCTCGTTTCAGTTCACAACCAACAGATGACGGTAAATCACGAGGCATGAATTTATGTTTGCTTGTTGTACGTCGCAATTTAAAATGTGGTGCCTATTTAAAGGCATTGAAGTGCCGAAAATATGATGAGATGGTGTCCGGTTGTCTCTCGGGTCTTGTCTCGGGTAGCGTCTGCCGGACAGCTCATTGAAATTAGACGAGATTGGGCACAACTATTAATGCAGCTTCCTTAACGTATTCTCTAGTTCAGAAATCATATCCAGGCTCATGATGGACAAAAAGCAGTAGCGAATGTCTAATGGCCACGGGGATACTCTAACTAGTATCAGTCCAAATAGTCCCTCGAGTTATCGTACCCTAAAAGTCTATGCCCTCCCCAAACCTCGGGGTTCTCAAACTAAAACATCAAAATTCCGAGAGATCCAAGTCTATCTGGATGTACAACTTTGGCCAATAAAGATTTGTGCCCACTTTTTGGACAACGGTGAGCTAGGGCTAACTCTAAAGTTCGATTAGCATATGAATCCAAGGGTATATAAACTTCCTCAGCCAGGGGTTTAAGTGGGGACGAGGCCGATGCAAGACAAACCTCCCAAGTTATCTTCTTTCTCGTCACATACTCCAATGGAGTTAGACAAGTATTTTATCCTGAAGTATTCTTTCTCCTTCATAAGTAAGTACAAGAAATCTCCCCATTCGTTTCCAGATGGATAATAGGAAGTCAATGCCGCTTTCCCAGTCCGTCATGCTTTTCCAAAACTGTCCCAGCCTGTTCGTATAATGCAACTTCCTGCAAATCATTCCCTATAAAGCCACAACCAGCCCCAAGAACCCAACCGCCCCTAGAATACCAGCTGCAGCGATGTTTGTGGGTGCAGCACCTGCGCTGCTCGACTTCGAAGGCACAGGGGAGCTTGAGGCCTTTGTCGTGGGAGTCAGAGTGGGAGTCGCCTTGCTCGTGGTGGACATTGTGCTGTTAGAGTGTGATTTCGTCATTGAAGATGTCGTTGCTGTTGCACTGCCTGTCCCACCAGCAAGAGTGGTGAGGCTAGCAGCCACTTCGAGCGAGACAATTTCCGGAATAACGGTCGCGGCTACTCCTGCAACGCTGATGACCCAACTTTGTGCATCAGGCGCAAGAGAACTGTACCACCCTGGAAAGCCACTGGCATTAATTTGGCTCTGGAGCACGGAGACTAATGACGGATTATTAAGGGCTGCTGTTACTGTAGCCGGAACGCCTGAGAGCCTAAGAGACAAGAAATCAGTATGCTTCATTCAATTGTCATGGCCAGTTAATAATCTGGTCCTGGACTTTATGAAGGGTGCTAGAGAAGGGAAAGAGCCTAGAGACGCCAGGAAAGTCATGGAATAAGCTCGATGAATCATGACATACTCGGAAAGAATAGATGGAGGAGGTTGGAGCTCTGCTTGAAGGGAGGAAATCTGGGAGAGAACCGAGGCGAGAGAAGGACTAATACACAAGTTAGCTTGTGATAATGAATCATGGGATGATCATTATCAAATACCTTTGCCTCTTGACGTGTTCTGGGAAGGCGCAAGCCAAGGCGCAGAGACCAGCAAGAGTAAAGAGAGATGCCTGCATGTTGAACTTAGGAGTGAACCAAAGGGTTGGAGGCACTTTACTGAGATGTAGAAGGCAAGTCAACGTTGAAGATGGGGAAAACAGAACATGGTCGGGAAGACGGGACAGGATATAACGCTTGTCATCTCCACAAGCCAGGGTCAAGGCAACACCCAGAACTTGGGTTCTTTAAGGACCCCTGGCACCAACCGCAGCCACTCTATGGCAAAAGCAATGCTCTCATGATTCCCTGGAATTGTGAGTTGCACCAACATGGCGCTGTGTGGCCAGCAGCGGTCCTCTCTCCTCAAGATTTGGCCTTTCTGTGGCTGAAAACGCAAAGTTGTGAAGGAGGCGCAAAAAGGGGCCAAATATGCTACGCGAGCACACGCGAGATGCAGCCAGCTGGAACTTCCGAGGAGAAAAAAAAAATAGGGTTAGCCAGCGACAAATAGTTTCCGTTATAATTGACGTGTCATATCTCGGAAGGCACTCATAATTCCTATCGTGAGGTGTGCCATCGGCCTTTGTGTGCTGCAAGTGTCCAGCCCTGGGATGGAGACGAGATCTAGTGTGGGGCAGCTTCCCGTTCAGGGGACCTATTTTGGGAGAGCCGGACAGGCACGCTTGCCCGCATTCGGCTAGTCTTTGATGCCAAGCATTTCCTAATATTAATGGGTATAAGTTGGCTGTGCACTGCTCCTTTATGAGCACTTTTTGGCTAGATTTCGTGGAAGAATGGACCCTTCGACCTTTGCACATCCAAGAAAGACCATAAGGTAGCCTCGGCAAATCTCCTCACGTAGGACTTTCCCATGCTCTGCAATCAATGCTGCAAAAGGGGGATCAACTTGATTGGTCTGGGACAACAACGTTTAATTTACCTGGATTTGGAGCAAGGACTTGGCTGTTATAGAGCTTGGAGGATATTTTGATGGGAGGCCTTGAATGTACGGTAAGTCGAGGGAACATTGGATGCAGGGTAGGATTTTGAAAGTCCCAAGTGACCGTGGGACATTAAAGTAGATGACTTTTTTTGGTCCGCCACGAGCTCCATTTTGGACAATACTGCTACTCATAAGTCTTGTAATTTCGTATTATTATTAAGTTAATCGAGTAACATTTGTCAAAGAAGCCTGAGAGCCTCGTTGTGCAAATACAAACAGAAATGCAACAAGGTATCAGCTCCACCACTAACTCCTTACGCCAAGAATCATGCAGTCCAATCTCCTTCAGTCATTGGATGTTTCCCATTCGTTATCAACTGGTCGAAGCTTGATTCGTTGTTATTGCTATCCCAACTCCGCTCCACTTCACTTCACTTCACTACCAGACTGGCCCCCAACAGTACCACCCACATCATTGGTCACAGGTCCGTCTACAGTTCCATTCTCTTCATCTACGTTATCGGCCACGACGTCGGCCTCACCTCTGCCAACATAACTTCCCACGCCAATGCCTGCCCAGAAACTCCTCTCCTTACTCCTAGGTCCCCAACTCCACCCGGCTCCCTGGCTTATCGGGAGATGATACCAACGGAAGCTGAAGACGGCTGTTACCGTACCGATAAAGAAACCGAAGAGAATATCGAAGCCATGATGTCTGAAATCTGAAAAGCGTGTTGACGAAATGTAGATGGCGGCGAAGAAGGGAATAATGGCGAAGATGAGGAGATATACTGGAGGGGCCGCAGCTTGGTTGCGTGCTGCAATGATTGCGTCGTTATGTCCTGAAGGAAGCTGGACCCGATTATCTCCTGGTTGCTTGTCTTGGCTTTGAATTCTAGAGTTCTCCAAGTCTCTCTTTTCGGCGCGCGAAGGGAATGCTGAAAACATGGACCTGTCTTGGCTGTAGAAGCTGGGCGCCAGGAATGGGATGGTAATGGCAAGCTTTGAGGCAAGGAATAGACTGAGGTAGATCAATCCTGCCGCGGAGAATGAGGAATGACCACTTGGGAAACTCCGGAAGCCGTCATCGAGAAGAGATTTGTCAGTCTGCTGACTGTCATCGAATTAGTATGGAGTTCTGCTAATTTCTGAAAAGAGTTCAGGAGCTGGAGCCAGCTCTCGAGAAATAAACTTACCAAATGGCAGCGGCGACGACGTTGAATCCCTCCAGAGCATTTGGAAAGCCCCCCACGGCGTATTTCCCAATGTTCAGGAGATCGGGGTTGCAGCGCGAGAGCAGGTCCGGTCGAGGTTTTCCGAAGAGGTTTTTCATGCCATTGGTGATGAGGAAAGCCGCCGCAAGAGACAATCCGAGTCCTAGCCATCCTGTGTGCCATTCCCACAGCTTCCTTCTCCATATCAGAGCTTTTGGCGTTGATTTGGGAACGGTTGGTCCAGGAACGAGGAAGAGGCAGACAATGAAGATGATGGCTGCCGGAGCTACAAGACCACAGATCACCAAAGTCGCCGTGGATATCTTCTCCTTAGTGACAAAGGGATAACTGATCTCGGCATTGTTGAGTGAGAATGGTCTCTTGTTTGGGGTAATGGTTGAAAACACCGCTGCGACTACGGCGGCGGCAACGATGATGATCCAGTCAAAGACATATGACAAGATCAATGGTATGGAAACTCTGCCGCCGTGGGCACGAGACCGTGTTTTCTTCATTATTGCTGTTTGTTGTTCAAGATGGTGAGTAGGGCGGAAGAAAGGAATTGGGTTGGGGGGAATCCAATCCTTATTTAGCCCTCGCACTCGCGCTTGCCTAGAGTGAGAGGCAAGGGAAAGTGAATCAAATCCTGGCTGTGTTGATCGGTGGCTCAGGCGCACACGTAGTGAAAGACATTCATCTATCTGATGATTGGCGCCTCACCCTTCTGCCAAGCGACCACAATCTAGATGCGGCAGTAGCCACGAAATCAAGGGCCAAAACAGCAGTGTAGAAGAGGGAGGAAGCGAGAGCAGAGCAGCAAATGAAATGCCTGAAGGGCAGTAAAGCACCTCTTCTACCACGCAGGAAGTTATTATTCTGCAATAATAGACACTATGTCGCTCAAGCTGTCCACCTGCCCATCCCTGAAGGCCCGCTTGGCGTGGCCCACTACGTTTGATATGAGGCCGCCCGCTCTGAAAGTTCTGGGTGATTGCCGTGGAGCTCATTCGTATTCGTACTAGAAGCGCCTGTCCAGGGGAGGCATGGCCTGCTTTGCGATGCTAAGAATAAGCATGGGAAAGTGACTTTGAGAAGTTTCTTTAAGCTTTTCCCGAGTGAAAACAGTTGTTGCGTGCGATGACGAAGTGTCGCGAGCATGGATTCCGCAGATGTGGCGCATCGTGGCGTTGTGGCATCGAGGCGGCTTTGCTGACAATTGAGAAACGAAGCTGTTTTCATTGGTCCAGCTCTGCTCGGACGTGACTAGGCTGATCACGTGGAAAGGACCCTCCTTTTCCGTAATAACCGCAGTAACAACAATTCTCTGTAGCGGATGTCTCTCCCATTCCTCCACAAGACCGTCAGACGATCCGATTTTACGGCTTGACATAGGCTCAGTCATTCTTTCAAAGTCTACGAGTACGAGTCAGGCAAAGGCATCGACGCAAAGGTAAGTAAGGTGAATAAGTCTTAAAAAGTCCTGTCCCGCTTTCTGATTTTACTGCTCATGTTTACTCGCACTTGCCTTGCTTGGCTTTCCACAGCTACCTTCTCTCGAGTCCCCCAAATTTCATTACACTTTCAAGGACAACAACACAGTATGGCAACTCATCTGAAGCTCAACACTGGCCCCACCATCCCCGCTTTGGGAAGCACAATTCACGGCTGTTACTGAGGCTTCGAAGGCTGGATTGACTCATATAGACGCAGTAAGGGGCAAATGACCCCGATTACACCTATATAAAGCACTTCTGACAAATTATAGTTTATGGAACTGAGCAAATGATTGGAGAAGCAATCAAGAAGAGCGGCATTGCTCGATCCAAGCTCTTTGTGACCATCAAACTCTATAACAACTCACACAAGCCCGAAGTGTTGTCGAAAAAGCTCTGAGCGCGCCAGTAAAAGACCTGGGAATGGACTACGTCCATTAATACGGGTGCACTGGTCACCAGCCTTCAAGCCTGGAGACAACCTCTTCCCTAAAGACAAAGACGGCAAGAACGAAGTATCCATGTCCAATGGCATTGCCAATCCGGAACCAGAGCGAGATTTATGATTCTGAGAAGAATGTGGCGAAAGTGATGGGGAGTTTCCTTAGGGTCAAGCAACCTCTCTACCGAATTGATGGGCTGACTCTGCACTACGATGACCCCGTGCTCGTTGGAATCGGCAAGAAACAAAACAAGACCAATGCTCAGGTTGCACTTGCTTGGGGCATTTCGCAAGGACACTCTGTACTGCCCAAATCAGAGACACCGTCGAGAATCCAGGCGAATCTAGCGGGTGACTTTAAACTAGATGCAGAGGATATGAAAAAGATTTAGAAGATTGATAAGAAGCCGAGGTTTAACGATCGGAGTAAATCTTTCAGATACGACTTTTACACCGATTTGGAGGGCAAGAAGAACTAGAGACAAATTCAGAAAGAGATAGAAGCCAAGGGAATGTTGATTCCAGCCGAAAGTTGTACATGTTATCCAATGTACTCACTCTTTTCTAGACATTGAAATCATGAGTGAAATTGTCTGCTGAGTTCTGAAGATTGAAGTCATGTGTGGTTCAGGTGCTAACAGATTGATGTCAACTAGGGTGCGTAAATCCCCAACCTGGCCACCCAATGCCTCATGGCTTGATACGGCTTCAACAATCCATCGAAATCGAGACTCAGTAATTTTGGTGCTCATTATCATACCTATTGTTATCTCTACCAACGCAGAATGGGTGTGAACCCAATCCTATTAAACGCCGCATGAATTCAATAATTATACCCAATCACCAGCCGAAGCACTCCGCATGTAAATATACCCCTTGAGCTCCAGAGCCCTTGTGCACAGCCCTCTCATCGCTACATCGTACGACTGTCGTCCTCACATCGCTGTTCAAGCCCAATGGTCCACAGACAGCAACACCAGTCTCGCCCTCTGCATTCTCCAGCAAACTCCAGAGCAGCTCGTAGAAATCTGGTCTCCCACTGTGGAACTCTGCGCAAGGAAGGGCCCTCGTCGTCTTCCCCGATTTCAAACTTGAAGATTGTGATCGAGACTTGGCGTTGATTTGTATGTCCTTGCTATCGACGGATTGGCCTTTCTCGTCGACGATCTCGCGGATGCTGTCGTTCCCCTCGTCGACATTTACGCAGCAACATGGTCCTAAGTTCTTATCGCACTCACAGCCACATTCCAAACTGCTTTGGTATTCTTCTCCTGTTGTGAAGTTGTCGTCGCAGGTTACGTGAACTTGGATGCAAAGTTCGATTCCAACTGCTCTTAGTGCCGCGGCTGCAGAGGTCAGTTCGCTTGAGATCCAGGATGTCCAAGATGTATTCTTGACGATCCAAAGGAAAACTATGCGTTTCACTGGAAGTTTCATCTTCTGAGCTCGGGCTGCAATATCTAGCAGGATTGCTAGGGTGAAAGTGGCACCAGTAGATCCTGCCACTAACAGAACAGTATCAAAAGCGGCGAAGTCGTTGTGTGAGCTCCCATAAGGTCCATCAATCAAAGCCCTTTTGAATCTTAGTAATAATTGAAATGTATGGAACTGGAAATTTCTTACAGATGACTAATTTGCACAGTCGAGGTAGCAGCACTGGACTCTTTGCCTGATGTTGGGGCCAGGGAACTCGAGGAACTTGTGGCTGATTTGTGAAGTCGAGACGTAAAGCCTCGATGCCCTTTGAGAATGAAAACCAGTTCCCCACTATCGGATGTAGGGACTGAAGCAATGGTTGCAGGATGAGACTGGCCAATTCCAAATTTAGGAATGGAAAGGAACACATGCGAGCCAGGGCTCCATTTCTTGATTGCCTTACTTTGGATGCAGACTTTGGTCACACCTCCTTCGAGAGCTGTCAAGGTGGCTCTCCCAGGCCGGACGTTATTCCACGCATATCTGGCAGACCGCATTATGCGATCCAGGAGGTAAAGTCCTATAGGGATGTAAATGTAAACCCGGGAGTAAAGCGCTGTACTTGGGAGGTGCATCATGACGGCGATGATGAATCCGAAAAACGTGATAATATGCTGAACAACGAAAAATTCGTAGGAGAAGTTCCGAATTGGTGCCACTGTGCTGATATTCATCCAAATCAAAATTGCATACACTGCCCAGCCGGTAGGAATACATGAATCTGTCGAGTATTCCAAAGGACCAAGCTCGTATGCGTTCCACGAGACGTGCAAGAAGAGCATGTGTAGAGTAACGAGGAGTAATAGCACCCTTGAGACCCATCTGTGGAGGACGTTTAATCTTTCGTAGGAAACACCACTGACGACACCGATCAAGTTGTTTTTGCCCGCCAGCAAGATCAACAATGGCACCTGAGCGACACCCAACCAGGCGGCTCGAACTCCCAAAGACGTATAGTGTTGCGCCCCCTCGACATTGTTGTTGACAAATTCGAGTAATAAAACCCAGGCCAGGTAAACCACCAACAGACTTACGGTCCCAACAGGTGGGACCTTCAGGAACTTGCTGCTCTTTGGTGTATACTGTATGTAGGTTGCTTCGCGGCCGATGGCTGTAAGGCAAGCAAACACTTTCGAGAACATGTTGGAGGGTGTGGCAGGCCGTAACCGGTTTGCGGCAGCAGCTCGAATTCTATCACTGGTAGCTAAGGGTTTCTCTGGAAGTCAGCGGCCCAGACGTACCTCATTTTGAAAGTGATCTTCTGTGTTACGTTGAAGAAAGCACAAATCGCAATGAGTGCGCAAATGCCAAACCAAAAGTTCCTCGCGTACATGTTTCCATCGACCTGGAATACTCCGTCGTCCAAGATCTCTCCCAGGAACATCGAGGCTTGAGTATCGTTCGAAAAGTCGATTCCAGAAGCATTCAGGGGGGAGTGTGTTGGAGTCCCCCCCATCATCATCGTGTCTCCCATATCCATGCCGGCCGATATTCAGAACTTGGTCTCGATCTGTAGAGGTTGAAGTTCGCCAGGAACTTGACGATCGATTCCGAGTGTAATAGAGATTATAAGACACTTAATTTCCGCGACATGAAAGCAAGAACAATTGCAAACAATTAAATTGCAAAAAATGGAATTACCCAGCTCTGATTACCTTCAAGAAGGACGAGTCTTGGCTGACTTATGTGATAAGGTCAAAAAAATGAAACGCCCTCACTGCGTGATACGTTCGACCGCTCTTATCCAAAGGGTCAAGGCCAAACGGCCGACAAACTTGCTCACCTTAGTCCCGGCTAACGCAGCGGCATCATGCTAGAAATCTGTTATCAGATCTCTCTTTTGGAAACACTTCCGGGTGGAGAGCAGATCCCCATATTTATATTCGTCACAGGCTGCCAGGTCGCGGAATCTGCATCCTGTCGACGCCAATCCCGGACAAAGGCTTGGAAATGCTTGTCTTCGACCCACCAAAGCTTGAACCTTTTTCTTGCGCATAAGGACGCACGCGGGCGTAAGAGGGTCGTTTTGCTCCAGTTTGGAGCCACGAGGGGAAGCTGAGAACCTTTGAGCATGTTTCTTACGAATCGCGTTAGTCTTCCAGTCTGCCGGTGAAGCGAGGGCCATGACCCTCTGGCTGCCCCGTCTAGCGCCGCCAGGACAGTTGGAGGAAAGGCCCAAGCTTAGTGAGGGCCATTTACCTCAGCCTCGTCCTAAGCTCCGAGTCGCTGGGTGCTCCGAGGTAGGCCTCTTAGTGCGGAATGAAAGGACATGAGGAGAGCGGTAAGGGGTCACGATACGATTCTTGTCATTCGGACTGAACAACCGAAACAGTGCAATGATTTGTGTGTCATTGTTCGCCATAGTCGCCTATAGCCAGCGTCTCATTTAGGACTCGAGAGTGGCTGAGATTGACATTTCCCACCACTCTTGTCACCAAGTTTGAAGTCAGACTATTCGAAAACTCCCCCGCCAGAAGACGAGACCAGTTGTTCATTTATCTCGATATCAAACAGCACTCTGTCTAGTCGGCACCCTAAGCAATACATAAATAACACCTCTGCAGAGAAATCCCCGTTGTTTGCCAGAGTTACTCAGAACACCACACCCGTGACGGTATCAGAGAAAACGAAAGACGACACATCGTACATCATACCCTCCAGGTGTGACCTATAGCCATGCGCCAAGACCAATTTTCCAGAAGGCGGGAATCATAGCACAAGCAGGACACAACTATGCAGCCTTCTCTTTGGCGACGAATTTGGGGTCGCGATGGAAGATGGTCTTGTATTCTTGGGCATATCGTTGCCTGTCTGTAGTCGCCTGGTTCTCGTAGGTCTGAAAATATCAATACCATATTGTAAACCGAGGTTGGGTTACTTACCTTTTTGTCACTTGGTGCGAGTGCAGCCCATTCTTTTGCCAAAAGACGTGCGTTATCTCCTAAAGCAATTCCCTTTAAGTCACCCGAAGCATACCTCTCCTTGTAAAACAAGAACATAGGGTTTGATGGACGCTTTGGGATTCTGTCATCATGAATTGCTCTCCACGTGTGAAGAGGATCCTTGGTCCTCAACTGCGCACGAGCGAGGTTTGCAACACGGATTTGCTCTGGTGTGTGAGATTCAACCCATTGTTTGTACGTGGTTTCATTTGCAGCTTTGTTTAGGTTGGCGGTGTGGTTATAGTGCTGTCATTTGTTAGTTAACTTGATTAGTATCAGAGCGGATCTATTACCTCCAATTCCGCAGGACTGAGGCTTTTATACTTCGCAGAAGCTTCGACCATTCCAGAAGCCACTCTCGGGTTCGTTGGGTTTGCCTTCGACATTTCTGAGGCGAGTACAGTCCAGGCGGTGTGAGGCAGTTTCTTGGGCAGAATGAGCGCCTTGGCTTTTAGATCCTTCACGGCTACCTTCTTTGCCTCTTCTTCCGTCAAGATCTTCTTCTTAGCAGGTCGACCCCTAAGTTTGGGCTTGAGCTTTTTCACGACCTTCTTCTTCTTCGCGACCTTCTTCACTGCCTTCTTCACGGCCTTCTTCGCAACTGGCTTCTTCTTTGGTTTCGCTGTTTTGGTGGTTGTCTTGGACTTGGGAGCAACTTTGGTAGTTGTTGCGTAGGTTCGCCCTGGAGAGAAAGAGGGCTTCCGAAGAGTTGAGCTGATCTTTGGGTTGTGGAAGGTGCCAACATTTTGAAGATGCCAAATGCTTCGAAAAGCGCTGTTTGTTGATTGAGGACCAGGAGCAACCACTCGCCTGACGGCAGCTCGTCCGATGGTGGACAGCATGATGATGTCCGAGGTCGCACAGGCGGTACCTCTATTGGCGGTTTACGAGATGACTCAATTGAGAGAGGAATGAGGGTGACGTTGGACGGCGCAAGAAGGAAGCTTGGATTCGCGTTCCTGAGGTTGTTCCTAGCCCCTTCCTTTCCGACACGCGAGCTGTGGAAATCACGCTAAGAGCCTGCCTTATGCAATAGCTCCTACGGCGGACGGTAGCGACCACGGATAATTTTGTGAGTCCTGCACGTTAAAACGGCAGGCGACACCTCTAACAACCCTTCAGCCTTACATCGCTGGACCCCCGCAGACTCGGGATTCTGCTCGCAACCGCCCAGGTATCGGGGAAAGACCAGAGATACGGAGCTCAGCCTCTGAACCCTGCCAGAAAGTATTTCTGCCATTGACTGAGGCAAACCATGGCTCGGCACAGGGACTCTCGCTCACCATCGCCAGCAGGAAGCCAACACTCTTCGAAACGAAGCAAGAGGGACGATGATGTCAGGAGGGACAGAGATAGGAGGGATGACGCGCGATTACCGCGCCGGCGAAGTCGCTCTCGGAGCGCGGATGTTTGTCCTGTCCTTCTCCACAAGTCATCCTCAACGCATACTGACTCTTCGCGATACCAGCGTCGCCACCGCGACCGAGACATGCACCGCCGTAGGGACCGTTCGATAGACCGCCGAGAAGACGACTTCCATAGGTCCAGCCGACGAGAACGGTCAAGAGACCGAAGAGACCGATATGTTGAGAGAGAGCGTTCTCCGGAGAGGCGAAGGCGGAGAAGTCGAGATAGGGACTATCGTGACAGGCGAGACGATTCTTATGACAGGGCTCGAAGGCGCCGCGAGGACTCTACTGACTCATGGCCTCGTAGCAGAGGTGATGGTAATCTTGGAAAACCTCCAGGTAGACCCGAAAGTGTCAAAACCGCAGAAGTCAGTTTATACCTTCCCTCTTACAGTAACATAATGGCTAATACCTTTTTTGCAGGCAGCAAAACCACCTACCCCACCTGCAGAGACCGAAGCAGATAAGAAGGCCGAGCGCCTAGCAAAGTTGGAGGCATGGAAGAAGAAAATGGCCGAAGACAAGGAGCGTAAGGAGAAAGACCTTGCTGCCGGTGGGACGCGAAAGCTTCTAGATGATTTAGATGAGAAAGTCAACGCATCGCCTTCTCGAGGATCACCAGCATCTCCAAGTACTCCGAATAGCGTTGCGTCTCCAGCACCTTACGCCGGCAAATTCGACCCGAAAGCCATAGCGAAGAAAGCTGCTGCAAACTCCACTGCTACGAGTACTCTGGGCAAGGATCTACCACTGAAAGAGTTAACAAAAGCGTCCGCTACCTTACCATCTTCGGTCAAAGGGTTACAAGCTGACAAGAAGCCAACAGCTTTCAGCAGCACATCCAATGGTAGGTTTTCAGTCAGTCAACCTACATACCTTGCCTCCGCTAACATACGCTCGATAGTATCTGCGTTACCTAAAGCTAGAGGAAATTTGAGTGCTTTTGGACTTGGTGCGAAATCTAACGATAACGAAAAGGTCCCCTCGAAACGAGCTCTAGACTTTGGTGATGATGAAGGGTCGAGAAAGAAGTTAGAGAAGCTACCAACCCCACCATTGCCAAACACTGAAGATGAGGATACTGCGCTCGCTAACGGTGCTGAGGAAGAGGATGACGATGACATCGACATGGGCAATGTGGGAACCGAAGAGGAGGTAGCTGCTGCGGCGAAAGCTGCCGCAGAGCGGCGCGAGGAGATCTTTCAGGAACAAAATCTGGGGAGCAAGGAACCAGATCCTGGCAGTGTTTTCCTTGAACCCACTCAAGGCGATATCAAAATGGAAGAAGCTCCAGGCATATCTTTCGAAACAAACCCTATGGAAGAAGATGAAGATATCGACCCCCTGGATGCTTTTATGGAAGAAATGGGAGACCCTTTCGGAGCCCCCAAATTCAGCGGAACTTTCAAGAAGAGTCAGAGCAAAGCGCCCCAACAGGAACCGGAACCGTTATTTGGAGACGATGAAGTGGACCTAAAGACGATGGACGCTGACCCTGACGACATTCTTGCAATGGCGAGCAAAGCTCGGAAGAAGAAGGATCTACCAACGATCGATTATTCAAAAATGGCGCTTGAACCCTTCCGAAAGAGCTTTTACACCGAGCCTGCAGAATTGTCAAATATGACTGAGGCCGAACTTGCGGATCTACGTCTTGAACTTGATGGCATCAAAGTCGCTGGCAAAGATGTACCAAAGCCTGTCCAAAAATGGTCGCAGTGTGGGCTTAACGTTCAGTCATTGGAAGTAATTGGTAAATTGGGCTATGAAAGACCGACTGCAATTCAGATGCAGGCAATCCCGGCCATAATGTCGGGGAGAGATGTTATTGGTGTAGCCAAGACTGGCTCCGGTAAGACAATCGCCTTCCTACTACCGATGTTCCGGCATATTCGAGACCAGCGGCCTCTAGAAGGATCGGATGGTCCCATGGGACTGATCATGACTCCAACACGGGAACTTGCTACCCAAATCCACAAGGAATGCAAACCATTCTTGAAGGCTATGGGCCTCCGAGCCGTTTGTGCTTATGGAGGAGCACCCATCAAGGATCAAATTGCAGATCTGAAAAGAGGAGCCGAGGTTATCGTTTGTACTCCAGGCCGCATGATTGATCTCCTGGCCGCGAACTCAGGTCGAGTGACAAACCTCCGCCGAGTGACCTATGTGGTCTTGGATGAAGCAGATCGCATGTTTGATATGGGCTTCGAACCTCAAGTCATGAAGATATTCGCCAATATTCGGCCAAATCGGCAAACAATCCTTTTCTCGGCTACCATGCCTCGTATCATGGACGCATTAGCGAAGAAGACACTCCAATCTCCAATAGAAATAACAGTGGGTGGGAGAAGTGTTGTTGCTCCAGAAATCACCCAGATTGTTGAGGTTCGAGAGGAGAAGGAGAAGTTCCATCGATTATTGGAACTTCTTGGAGAACTGTATGACAAAGACGAAGACGCTCGCACCCTTATCTTCGTTGACAGACAGGAGAAAGCAGACGATCTTTTGAAAGACCTGATGAGGAAAGGCTACCCCTGCATGTCCATCCATGGAGGAAAGGACCAAATCGATCGAGACTCAACGATTGACGACTTCAAAGCAGGCATCGTTCCAATTATGATTGCTACTTCTGTGGCAGCTCGTGGATTGGACGTGAAACAATTGAAACTGGTCGTTAATTTTGATGCTCCTAACCATCTAGAGGACTACGTCCACAGAGCTGGTCGAACAGGGCGAGCTGGAAACACCGGGACAGCAGTTACTTTTGTGACAGAAGACCAAGAGCAATATTCCGTTGGCATCGCCAAAGCGCTCGAGCAATCTGGCCAACCTGTCCCGGAACGGCTTGATGAGATGAGGAAGTCGTTCAGGGACAAGGTAAAGACTGGCAAATCGAAAGACAGCTCAGGATTTGGGGGTAAAGGCCTGGAACGTAAGCAACCATCTCATATGTTCTATCGATCGAATTTAGGATATTCAAGTGCTAATTGTACATAGGCCTTGATGCAGAGCGTGAGGCAGCGAGGAATCGCGAGAGGAAGACACATAAGACAGACGGAGATGAGGATGAAGACAAGGACGAGAAAGGCAGTGATGAAGATGTTGTTCTTAAGGCTGCGTCAGCTGTGCAGCCCGCAGTATCTACGCCGCAGCTGTTTGGTGTTCCAAAGGGTATCGACCTGGACGGCAAGATTACGGTACACAGAACTGAACCGGCTACTTCATCGTCTGCAGGCGGATCGAAGAATCCTTTGGACAAGGTCACCTCTGCAATTGATGCCATCAATGCTCGACTCAATAAGACTGGCCAACTTCGGTCAGGGGTTCCAATTGATAATAAAGGCCCTGATGCAGGAGCTTTCCACGCAACTCTGGAAATCAACGACTTTCCTCAGAAGGCTAGGTGGGCTGTCACGAACAGAACCAATGTTGCGAAGATCCTCGAAGCAACTGGTACATCAATCACTACGAAAGGAAGTTTCTATCCGACGGGCAAAGATGTCCAACCGGGCGGCGATCCGAAGCTGTATATTCTTGTGGAGGGCGACACGGAAGTAGTGGTAACCAATGCAATGAGAGAATTGATGAGATTGTTGAAGGAAGGCACCATGGCTGCAGCAGATGCCGAAGGCAGGGCACCAGCCAGTGGCAGATACAACGTTGTTTAGAAATAAATCTTGTATACTCGGAGCCCGACTCTTAAGTTATGCAATTCAACACTTAGTCATGCTCTTTCATTGATCGTGATCCCAGGTACGCCAAACACAATGCTTCTGCGTGGAGACCAATTGGTCTCTCTATCGTCCGTCTCCCCAAACAAACCCTCTCAATTATGCGCTCTTGCTTCCGCCACAGCATCCGCCTCCCTCAACCTCCGCTCCTCTCTACTTGCAGTGTCCAATGTGTCCGTCCTTGTCTGTTTCTTCTGCTCCTGCAACTGACTGCCCAGCTTCCCCTTTGGTTTGTTCGCCGAATTCGCTCTTGCCTAGAGCCAAAGAATCAGCCCTTGCCCTCGTTATATAAAAGCAACAGCATCTGGTATTGAGTTGCTGGTTCGGGTGGATCTTCGACTCACCTCAGCAGCTTCAGCCGCCTTCCTCCGCGCATCCTCCTGTTGCTCGCTGCCTCCGGCGTTTGCAGCGGATGAACTCGACCCCAGCGTCCTTGGAGGCCCGCCAACCTTCTTAGGAACAGCGGACGTCTTGGTATTGCTGGGCGGAGGAGCGGAGGAGAGCGTACGGCCAGGCTGAGCGAAGTGGTCGGGCTCGGATTTTCCACAGATATTTCCCATGATGGATGTTGAAGAATAGGAGTTCTAGAATATCAAGAGTGCTAGTCGAATCAATGCGTTGAGGAGTGGTTGATGTTATCGGCGCATTGTGGTTGTCGTGCTTGTGAGTTGCTGTTTATGGAGGTCGTCGTATTTGCGGCGAGAGGCTTGGTACGGGCTGATTTAGCGACGATGCTGCAACTATAATTTTTTTCGCAAAATCAAAATTACGATGAATCGCGATTTATTTAATGGCCACATTTTATATGGAAAACACACCTAATTATGGCCAAAGACGCAACTCCCATGCATCATAGTCAAATGTATCCAGTAGTATTACTCTATTCTCGCTTTTTTGAACTGCCCCCGATTATCCCTACGCCTATTCCCCGGCCTATAATTACCATCCCCTGGTAATTCCTTCTCTCCATCGTCAAGATCTGAATTATCGTCGTCATCGCTTGATATAATCACCTCCCGCTTCCTCTTTAATATAGACTTTAGAGGACGTTGAGTGGGTGGAGCGGGAGCGGGAGCGAACGCTAGTAAAAACGTCAGATCTACTAGTATATTTAAATCTATTAACTTACTAGGTATAGAAGCAGGAGCAGGAGCAGGAGCAGGAGTAGGATCAGGAGTAGGAGCAGGAGCAGGAGAAACCGTAATTCTAGCTTCTAGCGTAGGCATATCGTCGTCTGAATTAAAATCGTCAGAATTCAGGTCGTTACCTGACCAATTCTTTGAAGGAGCAATCTTCTCCCATATAGCTTCGATCTGTTAATTAGGAGTCGAAGCAGGTAAAGAAGATGCCGTAGATGTAACTGTAGATGTAGATACTACGTTAGGGGTGGTATCGGGAGAGTCTCCTAATGGGGGGCTAAAATCTAGGAGGTAAGGCATCTCTCTATCCCTTCTTTCACGCTTATCCTGAATCTCGTTGTCTCTTGCCTGAATTTTATTAATATCTTGATCAAATACAAGATAAATATGCTTTGGCGTTCTCTTATTTGATTGGCTGAAGTGGGATAATAAGCCGTCAATAGTATTTTCAGCTCCATATATCAGATTAGTCACATGGTCGATCCTCTTGTTTTTGTCCTTTGGCCATACCTGATTATATTAGTACTAATTATATTAGGATACTAATAAACAATAGCTTACTTTAGTAGCAAAAGACACCCCATTTGCGCGTTCCAAGATCGTGATCCATTAATTAAGCTCCCAGTCTTCAAGTAACGGAATTGACAATAAAAAAGCCTTGGCTAAATACATAGCGAACTCCTTATATAACAGTTCTTGACTATAATAAAGTACCATATTAGCAAAGAGGTATGTATTTCTATAAATAAGCTTTACGTACGTATTAAACTATTCTACTATCTATAGCTCAATTTGAATATTTTGAGCCTCCCAATACTCTTCTAAGCTAAGGAACTTCTTTGTGGTTAAAACAGGTATACTCCTCCCAGTAAAGCTACTCTCTAGTTCTTCTATTTCATATATACGTAGTATAATAGAAATAAGGACCTTATATCGTTTTTCGATAATAGGAGCAGGAGGGATCGGCGATTTACCCTTACTAAAAGCCCTTACACGTGCCCCCTGGCCGAGAGTAAGGGAACCAAGGGCTTTACCCCTTTTAAGGGCTGAACCTAATAAAATTAGTATTAATATAGGAGTTAAACAGATGGATACGCACTTTCGCCCTGAGCTTCCTAATGGAAATTACCACGTAATCGCTCTAAACGCTCGAGCTTAGCCTGCTGTCTCCTCTCACGTGCTTCTGATTCAAGGACCTCCTCTGAGAGATCCATGCCCGGGGGGTGGTAAAAAGGATAGGAATCAGCTGAGATATTGACCCCTTGGTCTCTTAATAGCTGGGCGGCAGTATTCTGAAGTTGAGTTTGACTAGAAAATGGTATACCATCTAATGCAATAGTCGGTATAGCTAAAGTAGGAGTAATAGGAGCAGGAGGAGAAGCAGCTGGGTTAATCGCACCACATAGTGGACACTTTACCATAGAGGGGGGGTGTGGTGCCTCCCGTACAAAACAAGAGTTCCATAGATTGAGATTATCCATTAAAAACGTTTGGGGATAATATAATAAGGATCTGATTTATAATTAAATATCAGAAGGAGGGTATAGCTAATAAATCTATAGTTTAGTGAATGGTGGTGTGAAGTCAAGCAGCAGGATAGAACTATAATATATTAATATTATTTTAACCCTTTAGCCCATGCCCCTACAACTTTTTCCCTAGGGAATTTATGTATTAGAGACTTATTTTGGAGGTTATTAATAGTAGCGTATTACTAATATATAAAAAGGGGTAAATGGAAGGACTACAAGGGATGCCCCTTAGCACAAGTTAAATTCGGACATATTTTATTTATCCCTAGCATTATTCCTATATAAACTATGGTTTCCTATGCTAGGGGCTATAGAATATTAAGTAAGGGGCTATAGAAATTAAGGGGGGGAAACTAAATTCCATATAAAAAGAGACATTTTCACCAAATATGTCTTGTAATCACTTCAAAAGTTCTCAAGAACTATTAATTCAATAGAGCTAGTATTAACGGAGAATTTGATCTATACTATGGACTCCTTACTACTAAAATAACAAGTTAATAAAATAATTATAGGGGGTGTGGAAAATAAAGGGGCAAGGGTCGATTTTCTGACGAGGTGAATCATGTGACCTTTTGACATTAAACCACCTGTAACTATGTGAATTTAACTAATTAAGCAGACTACTATTAGCTTCTGTAATTAATTGCTTTACCAAAAATTAATGTTTTTAGCTAGTTCTTTCTTTAGGATATATATTAATATGTCCCTATTCAGCCTCTCTGAGGCCGGGTAAACCGACTAATATTTACAGGAGGAATTTCTAGATTATCCTCCTCCTCCGCTTCAGGCTCAGATACGTATCCATTATCCATAAACTGTCTATACTCTTGACCATTTATGACCCAATTGCCATTTGCCCTATCAAAAGTAATACCATCTATAGTAAATCTAGTATCCTCCGCATTATCTTCAACCTCCGCTTCGTCATCAGAGCCAATATAGGTGAGATCTTCATCTCTATAGCTAGCGTCTCTCCCTTCATTAATGAACTAAATGCCATCTTGATCATTATAATCCTTTAGCCTTGCCTCTTCTAGTCCCACAGCTACCTCTGGTAATGGATTCCAATCATATACACCCTTAGGTATTAATAAAAGCCCTAGCTTTGGACGAGTATTCTTCGTATTAATTAGGTGGTCGCTAATCGACTCCCTTAGATATATATACGTACTTAGGTGGTTCAGATCCCTATTCGAGTCACGTGTAGACTCCGTAATTGGGAGTATAAAGCCGGCATTCTTAAGCTCTTGCTCATACCACTCAAGTGTAACCTCCGGTAAATATGCGTCTTTATTATAGCTAGCATATCCTTCACGTAGCTCGTTCAGTTTATCGATATTAATAGGAATCCCGTAGTCCCTGACCCCTATCTGCTCTGAAAACATGTAGTTCTGGAATGGTTGACCAGGGACGATATGTGAACGATTAGGCTATTTCCTAATTAAATGGATATTCCAAACCCGGACGAACTCCTCAGTTTGCTCCCGTATAATAGGTAAATAGACGAAAAGCATAGCGATATAGTCAGGGAGAAGTTTGCGGGAGTAAAGCCTTTGAGAGCGTAGTTACTTGAAAAATATCTTTTATTTATTTAGCATGCCCTGTATAATATTAGCTAATTAAATAAGTCTATATGGGATTAGTATAGATAAATTACCTTCGCAACTTGCCCCCACCATGCCTCAATTCGTTAATTAGCTATACTAGTCCCGAACCAATAGAGATCTGAGAACTAATATGGATCAATACCCCTTGTTTGGCACGTCGCTTTATGGAGGATATAATGGGCATTAGCAACTATGGGTGTTTCGCATCCTCTATCCAATCGAATATGGAGCGGAATAACCTCCATTTCGTCTACCAAGTCAAGGTATTGCACTAGGATAGCAACCTGGAAAGTGGTATAAGTAAGTGTATATCAGTATAATATTAATCAGCCTAAAGGAGAATGTGGTGTAAAGATTCAGGGGGTTTATCGCCTAAATTAAGGGTTTTTCAAACAACTAGTTCTCTATAATACTACAGAATTACATAGCCGGAATCACGACTAAGTGAATTTTGGCATTTTCAAGGGAATGTATTCATACCGAATTAGGAAATACTACTACTTACAGCACAACCATTTGAGATTCCAATATAAATCCAAGGTACGAACCGTGAGTAGGCATCAATACCAGCATATATCTCAATCCCACAAAATCGTAGCTAAGTAAACGGATTAGTAGTTATTGAGATAATGATTTTTGAAGTTAAGTATATGCTGCACTTACCTTGCAATAGCCATCGATAGACCAAACAAAGTTCGGCCCATAAATATTATATTCCCCCCTAGCTGCCTTCATCTCTTCCGAGCGACGTTATATACTTTCTGGATCAATTTCCTGCATTACAGAAGCTATTCTATTCCTAGAAAACTTCTGGCCATCCCCTAGGGAGTTGAGATAAGTATATAGAAGCCGGCAGCCATAACTTCTAGTATTGCCTTGTGGGCCTTTATCCACTGTGTGTTGCTTGAGGATATGGCGAAGTTGCTCCTTTTCTAGCTCAACTTGCGAATTAAGCATTCGACGTCGAAGGCCCATAGCCCGGCGAGCTTGTTGTAATAGTCGTAGATTAGGAATGTCATATCCTAAGCTCCGGAGGTTGGTAAGTATATTGGCATTAGTCGTATGGATATCACAAAAGAACCAGGCGATAAGACCCTTCACCTGCGGCGAAGGATCAAATATCGAACGTTTAGAGGGCGTTTTCCATTCGGAAAGCCTACTGCGTAGCGTTCTCAGGGAAATATCAACGTCAAAGTCATGCTTTAACCTCTCCACAATAGTCTCATGTGACAGCTGCTGCTCAATTAAACAAAGAATATGGGCTTGATAGCACATAATATTAATCTTGAAACGACCCATTATAAAGAGTTTAATGATAATAGATCAATAGTATTAGAAATAATAACGTAGGAACAAAAGTATGAACGAAGTGTGCCAGATGGCTAGTAGGCCAGGGGGCATATCACGTGCATTTTATTGATTTTTCCTACCCTATTGCATTCCTACCATGGAATGCGATAAAACACCATATAGATCGACTGTTTTAATTGTATTCTACCATAGAAATTAGCTAGACTATTAATAATAGCACATTTTTAAAATATCGTAATTTTGATTTTGCGAAAAAAAATTATAGTTGCAGCATCGTCCTTAAAGGAGCCCGTACTTGGGCAAGACTGAGACCCGTGTTTGCTGGCTTGGCGTGGTTACCTTTACCTGAACTGGCTGCTCTTTGTAATGTAACCCTTCCTACTCTATGGCAACCTCTTGAATCTTCCGTTATTCATCTCACTGCCACTAAACGCTCATCCAGCCGGGTTCAGTTCAATCGGGCGTCGACCACGGAGGTACCATAACAAAATACATGCTCTAGTCCATGACCAATTCATGATTATCGATAAGCCCGCCCACTCCACTCCACCGCAGCCTTTTGCGGAGTCACGTTGAGCTGACAGACCAATGGGAGCCACCATGTTCACAGGCACATTCTTGCGGCGCGTTTGCTCAAGAACAATCAACCTTTTCTCTCTGTTTGGATTTACATATTTGCGATCCTCTCACCAGCCAGCCAGAATTCTTGCAATTGACGAAATCTCTGCACTCTGCAAGTTGCGATCCATCGGAGTTGCGCCCGCCGCTTTCCCCCCGTGCATTTGGCGCTCGATAATTCTCTTTGGCGATCTCAAATTTCCTTGGGTACCCGGATGGCGATGGCTACCTGATATCATCTCACTCCATACCCACGCATCTTGTCCCACCACTTCCCCCCGGTCGCTTCCAGACAACCGAAACTTTGCTTCTCCAAGAAGTCACTATTCACCAAGGAAGAAAGTTGTGTATCTTAACCCTCCGCCCCAGCAATCAACTTCGTGCGTTGTCACACTGTAGAGGAGCGCCGGACAAAATTTCACCAGTCTCGATGGACAACGACAGCTTCAACTATGCGCAAGTTCTCCCGAGTGAGATTTCGAATATTACCTTCGACAAATTTTGGGAAAGCTATAATGGGCAGCTTGCTTCCTCCTCGAACGAAGCCCTGCCAACCCAAGCTGCACCCTTTTTCCAATTTTCGGGTTATGGACATGTGCCAATTCCAAAGCCTTCTTCGACAGGCTCTCCCCAAAAGCTGCCTTCTCAAACTCGGACCTCGCAGGGAATTGACTCGGCCAGCCAGCCAAATGCGATCGACTTGGTAGAGTGGCAACGAGGAGGATCTGCTCAGATATCACGAACTCAGCAACCGAACAAGCGCCAGAAAATCGCCCATCCTATCAGCTCAAGCTACGAAACTCTGGCTGCACAAGAGATGGATGGGGGAGAAGACGAAGAATCGGTTGCGGGATCAGAGAGTGAGTGTTGTAGCAGCTGCTCTGATGGGATACCATGCGCCAGCCCGGATTGTGCTCCCTGTAGTGAACCCGAATGCAACAGTAAAACAATCGAAGTTATACCCTGCAACAAGAAAGAGTGCGAACAGCCAGCTTGCACAGATCAATGTCTCAGTACTGGCATTCAAAGCCAGCAGGCTCTGCTGCACCGAAGCATCGTGCCCAGAGAGAGGGTAATGTCAAATTTGGTTGAGCCTCCTTGGAATCCTCAGAAGCCTCGAGAGAAGTCTCGGATGGGAAAGGCTTCCCTCAATGGAATCCTGGATCCAGTCCTCAACATCTTTGATGGACCAGAGTATGCCTCTGCTTCCGCATCTGCCTCACCTACACCAACCACGCCATCAATGGGGATCAATGTATCTGCACCGCATTCTGCCAATCCTCGAATGCCTAGTTCTCAATTTGGTCCATTTCCCGGCCAAATTGTTTATTCCACCCATTCAGGGGACGTCGTATCCGGTACGGGAGCTATGTTCAATTCCCTGTCTCAGATATGGGCAGATCAGGAGTTCACCCAATCAAATGATACTAATAGTGCTTCGATGTTTCAATGTACGTGGGATGGATGTTATATGCCTTTCCCGAGCTACGAAGATTGGCTCCCGCATCTCCATAAGGATCACGTCGACCCTCAGATGGTCTTTGGATGCCCCATTCAAGCAGAGAACTGCCCACAGACTATTAGCACCAATCCTTTGGATCATCTGCAAACAGATCATGGCTTCAATTTCGACATGGATACCAACAACGTTAGTTGTCCCGCTCCAAATTGCCTTCCCACAGAGACCTTTTGCGATCCAGCGATGCTTCATAACCATTTCGACCATGCTCATGCTACTCCAGCTCAGGGAGGTCTGCGATGTCGTCTAGAAAAGACATGCGACTTCTTCGGGGATTATAGCCAGCTTGTCTCCCATATCAACGAGGAGCATCAGCTCCCTCTTGTACTAAAAGATGAGGACATTGACCTCTCGCTACCCACAGCACCAGGTCCAACCGCACCGATCCAATCCGACCATTCATCAATAGAAAACATTTTAGATGCTGAGATTGGTGGTACGTCTTCTGGCGATGAGACAGTCCACGGGTGCATGTGGAAGGTGAACAACCAAGTTTGTGGTTTAATATGCCAATCAGAAGTTGAGCTTCAAACCCACATCAAGTGCAGCCACCTTGATTCTCTTGATAAACGTTCAGGTTACAAGTGTCTGTGGGAAGACTGTAAACGAAAGGAGATGCCGCGCGAGAAACAAGGGTTTTCACAAAGGGGAAAGCTCGAGCGGCACATGGCTACTCACACGAATTGTAAGGGAATCCTATTATTATAGATCGAAACTGATTCTTTGCAGTCAAATGTTCCATATGTGATGTGTGTGGTCAAAAGTTTTCTGCTCCACAGTCAATGAAGCAGCATCGACTCCTTCATACTGGCGAGAAACCATGGAAGTGCAAACATTGCGGCAAAGCATTTCCGCAACAAAGTGCATGCAGTGAGTAAATCTAAAGTGATCTTTCGGGATCAGGGCGTTAACTCCTACAGCTATACACGAGCGAACACACACGAATGAGAAGCCTCTGGAATGTTCAATTTGTGGCAAGAAATTCTCCGAGTCTTCAAATTTGTCTAAACATCGAAAGATTCACGGAGAGAAAGGGCTGCATGCATGTAACTTCGAGGGATGTGGCAAGTCATTTCACCGTTTGGATCAGCTGAAGCGTCACGCAATTACGCATGAGAGGTAGGTGTTGGGGGAGAAACCTTTTCCTATTACGGGCTGTTTCATGACTTTCTCCTAAGACAATGTCCTCTCCCGAAACAATCTCAATCTAGCAATGCTAACTCCCCCGTTACCCAGGAAGCGACTTAAAGCAGCCAATTCGGAGTCTGATTCTACGGTTACAAAGACAGAGATTGATGGGCGTGTTGAAGGGGATCTTCTGTCTGATAATTAAGATTTCGGTTACGTTGGCTATTCATGATACTTTTGCGTGGGATTGACGTTGTCGTCTAGGAATAGTTGAAAGGTTGAGAGCGATAACTGAAGTATTTAATGAGATCCCTGGCTTTACCGTAGTGCTTGATCAAATAACGGCGGGATGGAGCCTCTTGGAGCATCCATCATTTTCTACACCACCCGAGACCTAACTTCATCATCGAAGACTATGGTAAGGCATATGTAAGAGACATACTCTAGAAGATAAATGTAGACTCGGCTTCATTTTATTGATTCAAGGTAGCATTCTTAAACCCAACAAAGGTGCTTAAAAGAGGCAACACAAGTCAACATCCTCTCTGGGGTCAACATGGGAAAGATATGTTCATGCCATGACAAGACAACTGGGTACTGCCAGACTGAAAACTTTCCCAGCCAATTTCCGGCCTCGAATTTCGTTACTTTTCGGAAGACACAGAATTTTGAGAAACTGCACGGAAATGAGATGGCAAAACACATCCATGCCCTTTGCAAGTCACGGCATCCATCCAGAATCGAAAGATTGCTCAATGTCGTGATTTATTTGGGATGACTCCATGCCAGCCATGCTATTTTCGATGATACACCATGACCCTTTAAAATCAAGACCGACTGCAAAGAATCCATGCCAGAAATCAACTCATTCCGCGCCACATCATCTAAGCCTCAGCCTGTGTCCCGTTAGCCTCTTTCCCCTAATTCCCCTAATTTTCACCAATGTATTTGAATGCGTACCTTGATGGCATATTTCCGCTGGGGAAAGTGAGTCGCCCGCTTCTTCGTCTTCAACAAGGCCTTCTCGCTCTCGTGCTTGCTCAGGCGTCTTCGGATGGCACGGGTCTGCTTCGGTCGGAGGTCGAGGGGGAGGTATTTCTTGTTCTTGTAGAAGAGGCGGAGTTGTGCTCGTTGGTTGGCGTTGATGACTGTGAGGACCTTGGCGATGGACTTTCGGATATCATGGCTATAGACGCAGAGAAATTAGTTGTCCATATTTCGCGAAATGGTGTTTGGGGTTCTGGATTGAGTGCCCAAGTCTCGCGACAAATTGAGTGGTACTTGACGCAAGAAGATACGCACATCTTTGTGAGCTTCGATGCTGATCCTCCTGCAATCTTTTGTGTACGAAGTTGACCCAGCTCGGTCTTCAACTCTCCCAGTTGCTTTGCCAGATCGGTCTTGCTCTTGGACCAGAGTTGGCCGGTTTTGACTTTTGATGTCGACTGTCGCATCGTGGGTTAGCCATTGTCCTCGAATCGAGCGCCCGTGTATCTTCCACCGATAGGGCTTTTCCTTACCATTGTAAAGGTGTGACGGGGTCAAGTGGAGTACCGGTCGTCGTTGATGTCTTCGCGAACTTTTGAATTCGTGATCAAAATGAAAATTGTCGTGGTGGGAGATCTTGCATGCTCTAGCATTTGATTGGTTGGTTAGCGAGTTCTCTGGAGGCCAAGTCCCGACCAAAGCGCGGCCCGTTGATTGTCCCACCAGTGCCTGGAAACATCAAGAGGAGAGCTACTAATATTCAAACGGCCACTGTGCAACAACTCAAAAAACAATGTCTTCAACAGGAACAGGATGGGCTCAGCTTCGGCAGCAAGCTAGATCATTAGAAAGTCAAGTACGATTTCCTGGGAGATGCACAAAGAGCTGAACTGACAACTTTCCAGACCGAAACGCTATTCCATACCTACTCCCAATTCGCCTCGGTACCAAACATACCCGCCAAACCCTCAGAAGATGAAAGGAGTACGGAATCTAAATTACAAGATCTATTAGAGAAGGAAGGTTTCTGCCTCTTGAGCTCAAGACTTCTCTGACTGTCCCCAGCGAGAAACACTTATAGCACAACTGTCCCGCTTACTCGACTCAGAAGCAACCCTCACAGCCTCGGCCCTCAAGCAAAACAACCTTTCACGGCACAAAGAAGTTCTCCAAGAGCATCGACGGGAACTCAGCCGATTAAAGTCACAGATACAAGATGCGCGGAACCGCGCAAACCTATTGTCAAATGTCAGGAGTGACATTGATGCCTACCATTCGAACAACCCCGAAGCGGCAGAAGCGGACTACATGCTTGGTGAGAGATCAAGAATAGACAACAGCCATAACATGGCGGATAGTGTGCTTAGCCAAGCGTATGCTGTGAATGAGAGCTTTGGGCTTCAGAGAGAGACGCTCTTGAGCATCAACCGACGGATTACGGGCGCTGCAGCACAAGTTCCGGGACTGAATAGTTTGATTGGGAGGATATCTGCTAAGAAGAGGAGGGATGGGATTATTATGGGAAGCTTCATTGCACTCTGCTTTCTGGCGTTCCTGTATTTCTCATAAGTTGAACATCACGCTGAGAGCATGGCGTTCGGTGGCTGGCAAGCCAAGCATTGTTGTACAAGTATGGGTATATCCGATAATTTATCATGCCGCAGGTGCTGCGGCTTTCTGGGTTTGTCCTTCCCGAATCTGCCTTTGTGGGAGCGGCGTCGGCTTCTCTTTCCTTTTGGTCTTCATCTCTTCAATCAGCCTCCTGGTGCCTCTGACCAGGCCTTCTTTCTCATCCCCTTCACAAGGACCACTTCCTGCCCATCTAATTTTACACTCTCCATCCAATAGGTACGTATATCCAACTTTGCTATTCAGTAACCCTACCGCATCCCTGATTTGATCCGAGATGCCTTTTCGAACCAGGAAATACCGGCCCCAATTGTCAACTCCAAGTCTCTTCCTCAAACCTGGCATGAACAACCTTACAATCATTGCCTTCAGAGCATTCTCCTCAACATTGATCTGAACCATTTGTGCCAATCCACCGCTATTCTTGACAACGTCATGGAGCTCCGGATTATTCTTCTGTGACGCGAAAGTTGCTGCTTGGTTCTCAGCCCACGCACTACTGAAAACGCTCACAATGGAGATCTTGTCTTCCAGTAATGGAGTTGTGTCTCGGTGGATTTTGTCCTTAAGCAACGTCTGCCCATAGAAATTTGGGAAATATAGAGCTTTCTCTCGCTTGAAAAGCCCTGGGGGAGCAAGGAAAGATTTCCCTTTGTGCATGCGCATGTTGCTCCATTCTCGAAAATATGGGGTTGATATCTTTTGTGTACTGCCACAAGTTGTCAACATTCTATTCGCAGGATCGAGTCAAGGCAATGCTCACAGCACTTTCCTCCTTATCAGATGTTTGTCGTAATCCACAAAATCGGCCCTCCTTTGTCTCCATGTCCTCGGGTCTATCCCAGTATTCTCTCCGGGCCTTGGTGGATTCGGGAGACCTATAGGCCTACTGAGCGGCTTAGGGGTAAATTCGGAGACCGCTTTGCCGTAAGATCTTGGAGCATCGTCGAGGGGGCCTGAAGGCTTAGGAGGAGGTGCTGGAGCTTCAATCTCGGCGAGTCGGCGATACGAAGTACTGAATGCGCGCCATTGACAAAGCAGACAAGCTGCTGAATCAAATTTGATACTGGCAGGCCGTATTGGCCTTCGTGATCGAATCATGACGTTGGTTTCGTCTCATTGAATTGTGGACATCGAACAAGAAAATTGACCTTATTTCCCAGTCGGGAAATGCCGAGCTTGCCTCTGTCAAATGGGCCGTGAATAGCCGCCCATTCTTCTCCGCAAACCCCAGAATCTAAACATTGACAAACTCGAATTCCTGGAGAATGTAAGTCACAAACTCTTTCTCCTTCGACTTGGAGGACCAGGAGGATTTGGATTTCACCATGCGGCTACATCTGTACTCGCGGTTTCTATTACGGCAAGGCAGTGTCTATAGCGGGCTCAACTTTCCGAGACAGTTCCCCTCAGCCAGGACTTTCCACGCAACAGCCAGGGCACAGGTCATAAAGCCCTTTCTCTTGGCAGATATTGGAGAAGGTAAATGTCGCTATCATTAGAACACTCACTGGCATATTTCTGACTAGGAGATCAGGAATCCGAGAATGCGAAATCATTCAATGGTTCGTAGAACCCGGAGCCAGGGTCGAGGAATGGGACAAGTTATGTGAGGTACAAAGCGACAAAGCGTCCGTGGAGATCACGAGTAAATTCGACGGCGTCATCAAGAAACTTTACTACGAGGCCGGTGAAATGGCCAAAGTGGGAAAAGCTCTCGTGGATATAGACATCCAAGGCGAGATTAAGGAGGAGGATCTGGCGGCTCTGACCGAACCAGGAACTGGGGGGATATCGCAAATCCAAGCCCAAGACCAGGCAAAAAAACCACTGGAAGCTCAATTCACCGAAAGTATACAACCTCCAGAGGCTTCCTCGGCTCCGGAGAAGGTATCACCGCCGAAGGGAAAGCATGCTACATTGGCCACCCCAGCTGTCAGGCACCTCACGAAACAGTTAGATGTCCGAATAGAAGATGTCAATGGAACAGGGAGGGATGGCCGAGTCCTGAAAGACGATGTCTATCAGTTTGCAAAGCAGAGGGATACCGCTCCGGCACAACTCCAATCCTCCCCAAGCGCACCCAGAGGCCCTCAAACAGAGACGCCTACCAAACTCTCAAACACCCAGTATCAGATGTTCAAGACCATGACCAACTCTCTGGTAATTCCTCATTTCCTGTATGCAGACGAGATCGATTTCTCCAACCTCTCGGAATTGCGTGCAAGACTGAACAAGGGCTTGGCGAAGTCTCCGATCAATGAGATCAGAAAGATATCTTTCTTACCATTCGTCATCAAGGCTATGTCCATGGCAATTCAGCGGTATCCAATCCTGAACGCCAGGGTCGATACCGACCCAGAATCTGGGAAGCCAATCCTTATCATGAGGAGTCAACACAATATTGGTATCGCTATCGATACACCGTCCGGACTCATGGTCCCTGTGATCAAAGATGTATCGAATCTCGACATTGCATCGATTGCAGCCGAGCTCAACCGACTCCAGGCACTCGCTACTACGGGCAAACTTTCGAGCAAAGACTTGAGTGGTGGTACCATTACTGTTTCCAATATCGGCAACATTGGAGGCACGTATGTCTCACCGGTCATTGTCGAGAAGGAGGTTGCCATATTGGGGATGGGAAAGATGAGAACCATCCCAGCCTTTGACGAGAATGGCGCGGTGGTGAAGAAGCAAATCTGCAACTTCAGTTGGAGTGCTGACCACCGCGTGATCGACGGTGCGACCATGGCCCGGGCGGCCGAAGTGGTGAGGAGTTTTGTGGAGGATCCGGATAGCATGGTGATGCATCTGCGTTAGGAAGCTCTCGTCACGTTGTGGGATATTGGGTATTCACAGCACAGCATATGTGCAAAACGAATGATAGCGGTCTGGGTGTGGGGTGATCATGGTATTTGGTTGGTAGGAGCGTCATGGCCAATGACCGAATCTCTGGCTCAGCCTCACTTTTTGATGGCTGTCACACAAAGCTGGGGATGCGGGGAGCCTACCCCGCAATGGTGAGGTGGGAACAGGGAGTGGTGATTGTGGATAAGATAAAGAGTGATAGACTGATAGACTGATATATGAGAAGCCATTCGAGAGAAAAAAAGAATAGGGACCAGAAAATTGTGCATTTTTTCATCTAAGGTCTTGTGATGGCCGAATCTATTCGATCAAGAACCCGGTCTGATGCATAACCGCGAATAGCAAATGCTTGCAAGCCCACGAACGTAGCGCCTTTTTGCTTGTAACCCCCATGATGCCTCATAGCCCCTATGCACCCAAGACCCGAAAGAGAAGTGGTATCCCAGTATTAAGAAAGAACCATGCAGGAAGACACCCGAAACACTCAGCCATAGGCTACCAGTTGTGTGCAGAAAAGCAGACCATAACGCCCAACCCGATGTTTTCCAACGCCATTTGGCGAATTACCGCACCCCTCACGAATCGCGAATCAACTCTCTCTTGACGGCCTCTCGCATCTTGGCCAATGCCTCTGCCTCAACTTCATCTATCGAGGCGCTCACGTCAACGGTAATGACATCGGTCTCCTCTTTTCCCGGCGGCTCAAGGATCATGCATTGGCTGTGAACCATGTTCGCTCCCATGTAGTGGCCCTTCCGGGCTCCGACTCGAGCGATGAGGACCTCCTCTGGAGCATGTAGGTATACGAAATGTACGAGGACATCGTGGGAGTAGTAAGGTGCTACGCGGATGACGTCGCGGTATTTACGCTTGAGGGCTGAGCAGGTGAGGACGACTCCTTGCGCACCAGCTTGGATCTTGCGGATCGACTCTTCACGCAGGTTGGTCAACCAGTCCCATCGGTCGGCGTCGCTGAGGGGTATGCCCTTTGCCATCTTGTCGACGTTGGCTGTTGGGTGGTACTGCGAGGTGTTAGTGGAGTTACGGACAGTGGCAGAGGGGTAAGTACCTCGTCGCCTTCGATGTACGGCAGGTTCATGGTCTTGGCAATGAACTGGGCCACGGTGCTCTTGCCACAGCCAGCTGGGCCGGTGATGAGCCAGATGTGGTGGTGCGTGGTCTCGGGCTGGTTGGACTTGGTGGTATGGCCGTTCGTGAGAGACGAGCCATTGGTAAGATTCGAGGCGGATGGTGAGAGAGGGAGGAGATCTGAGGTTGTGGGGGTGGAGCGAGTCATTGCTGGTCGGTTCTCGTATGACAACATCATTGAAGAGACTTTTGGGCCGTTATATATGCTTTGGACAGCGATTGAGTCAAAGAATGTGAAGGCACGAGACAGTAGTCAAGCTGACGTCAAGGAGAAGAGATGGAAAGAGCAAACAGGAGTGGAGAGAAGGCTCATAGCATTTGCTATGTATTCTGACGAGCAACCCGAGCACAAGAAAATGAGGCAATTAAGAAACTCACGATGTGGCGGGGCCCTGGGCTTCCTTTATGAATTCCAGGATTCTCTGGCAGTGGAGAGTGGCAGAGGGGGCAGAAGGGCAGCAAGCATTCTTCGCCGCCGTTGCACACAAGATCAGGGCCTGCAAAGAGTCTGCCCCACACTAGGGCCGTGGGCCGGACATGAAGCAAGCACCACTAAGCAGGATCGGTGCGTCCCAACATCCCAAATGACTGAAGAAAAAAGCCGCCTCGTTCCTTTTTGCCTGCGCGCACTCGATCTGGGCTCGACCTGAGCCAGGCCGGCACCTCATTGGCAGCCAAAATCTCCGCGGCGGGATGTGGGTCGCGAACCCCGTCAAGGGCAGCGCTTTTCGCTCTCGGGCGGCTATTGGACTCTGCGAGGGGACAGGTCAATAGCCGGGCGTCGTGATTCGAGGACGAGAAGGGTCACGGGGGGTGGCTGTGGTGGCACTGGGTGAGGGGGGGGGGATTCGTCTCGCTCGTTTTGGGAGCCCGCAGAACACGGACCGGATGCCACGGAGGAGGGGGCCATCGGCTGGAACGGCGGGGGGTGCGTAGGTTGGGCTGGGCCGGGCTGGGCTTGGGCTTGGGCTTTCATCATTTTCATGTCAAGAATTGCACTTGCTTTGCCGCACAGAGGGTGTTGTTCGTTCATCCACCGTGAGGGAGGGACGGAGGGACAGAGGGAGTGCGTGACTGAGGAGTCGATTGCCGACACGGGCGATTCGGGGGGCAGCCTGCGCGTGCCGCGTTGTGAGGATGATGTCAGCCGGCCACTCACAAACAGATGCTCGGTGCGGTGCGGTGCGGTGCGGTGCGGTGCTGCTCGGTGCATCTCGGTGCAGCGCTCCTGCGCTCGTGTCCCAGAGCTATTTTGAAAGCTCGCTGGCGAGCCGAGTCCACGTCCCTCGAGGATCCGCAAATGCTGGAATCCCTGGATCCATTTTTTCAACCAATTTCTCCCGCCCCCTCATTCGCACAGCCGAGATCTCAAACGTGGGATGCCTGCCACGAATATTGCGTCCCAGAATCCCAACAACGACATCGGAGAACCCGCACAAATTGCTGCGTCTGTCTCCGCCGGCCGTGCTCAATTCAATGCCAGAGGCAGAGTGACGTGCGGATGCGAATATTAATGCCTTTGCAAGACTCACCTTGGGAAGGGCTGCCGTTTTCAAGACCGAGACGTCCTCGACTCTGACCCCTTCTTCTGACCCCTCCACCCAAGCCCGTGGTTACATGGTCAGGACTTGCCGTTGACGTGCCTGTCCGATCGAGACGTGCCATCGTAATCCATGCTGGTGGCTTTCCCCTTAGCGCGGGTGGCGTGGGGGTCAACAGCAAGTGGCCCATGCAGCCATGCAAATTCGAACTCCACCTCCTCGACCCCTCCCCTCCTGCCAAAATGTAACAAACGATCATGAATTGCAGCAGCAGCAGACGCTCTTCTCATTTGCTGCTCAGTTGTGGGCTTAGATGGTTGAGAAAAGGCTCTTACGGCACACCGCTTCTTTTTTCCGAGAGAATTTAACAGCTGGCCGTCCCCCGTCCAGCAAGTTCCAGTTCCAGCTCCAGCCACATGCCCCATCTCCCTCCACTGCTCCACAAATCGGATTGCCCCCAACTTTCCCCCCCAAACTTTTCGAGGTTTGGCAGCGTGGACTCCAGAATGGCAGCATCGACGGCACGAGAGATCTCGCCGAATTGATCATTTTGGATGAATGTCGGCCAATCTAGAATCCGGAACAACCGTGGCTATCCCGTCGAGCCCCAGCTCCGCCATTTCCTGGGACACTGACTCGCCTCGGGAGCACGTCAGACGCCTACCAAGTTGGTTTGCGGAGATGTATACATATTGAGGGGTTTGGCTCTCCCAACATGGCGACATGCAGGAAGTTACTGCCAATGATTCCTTGGGTTCCTGATGTAACACATTGCCCCGACATATTGCATTTGAACACAATCCAGAGCTTAACACTTCGGGAATTGCCACTTACTGGATGCTCTACCGAGCAAGCATCTTGCCTTGACAGTTCTCAACACTAAGTGCAATATCCACTCTGCTCCAGCCCTCAACGACCGATTCAAAAGGTGGCTGAACAGGTGCATCACTGATTCAGGAGAGCACACCGCTAGAGCAGTCCGCAGGGAAGCCCGGAAACAGTAATTCTCCAATCTCGTAGAAAATTACTGCATTTAGAAGACGTCTGGACTCTTCAACCCCACGCCGGAACTAGTGTTCCGGGCATCAATCGGTACCACTAGTATTGTATTAGCTTACTTCTGCTTCCCTCTCTTGAGATGTAGTCAAGACCGAAGGAATTCCATTTCAATTTTAATTTCACGTGATGACAAGCTCAAGGAAAGCTTGCCTCCTTTCGAGGATCACCGCGGGCGAGCTAAAAACTGTGGGGCAGGTGGGGTGATGAGTATTCAACGTGCTACGGTACTTCCAGAACAGTAGTGCAACGCATCACGGCTCACACGACCCTCCCCCTTTTCACCAAACTCGCTTCTCGATCCTTGCCAAAACAGTCGTTCTATATTTTCTTTTCCGGAATCAGTAATAGACATAGTGCTTTATATCATTCGGGCAACCGAAATCGAACAGCAATGGCGTCAATGAAGGCTGCGAATCGTTTGATGGTGGCGTTTGATGAGGGCAAGGGACCGAGCATGGGATGTTGGTGAGTGGGGACTCCATGAGCTCAGAGCCTCAGACGGCCGTTAATGGCTGAGCAGGCAAATGATTCCAGGAAGTAACGTGTCGAGGACGCTGGCCAGAACTGGAGTGGATTGGGTTGTTGTGGATTGTAAGTCTCGCGCCGTGGCTGTGACATTCTGGCTCACCAACTAATGGCAGTATGATCAGGTGAGCATGGAAATATGGATGGTGAGTCAGTATCTCCGATTCGTGTCATTTAATCGGTTTGCTTCTTTTGGGAAATGGGTTCACAAGGACTGTCGTCAATATCTGAGCAACCAGGAATGTTGAAGTGAAGAATTCAGTCCAGTCCTACTCGAAAACTCTTCTAGTTGAGACATGTTTGCAGTGTTATACACTATTCATCATTTCTAACTTTCACTTCATCTAGACGCGGCAATGCATGAAGCTGTTCCAGCCATAGCAGCTTGCGGGGTGAGTCCAATTGTCAGGATACCTGATAACCAGAGTTTTATGGTCAAGCGTGAGTCCCTCAATTCTCCTTAAAATATGAGAAAATTGACAGTGCTTCAAAGGGGCTCTTGATTCAGGAGCTCATGGGGTCATTGTCCCACTCCTCTACACTGTGGAAGATGCAGAGAAGCTCGTACTCAGCGCGAAGTTCCCTCCTCAAGGCCACAGAGGATTCGGCTCTCCCTTCCCGCAAGAGAGATTCCATCCCGACCTAGGATCAACAGATTACCTGCAACAAGCAAACGAATCCCTCTTAACCATAGTACAAATTGAGACGAAAGCGGCCCTCGAGAACGTCGACGGCATCGCAGCTGTGCCTGGAATTGACGTCCTGTTCGTCGGACCCTTTGACCTTGGGAATAATATCGGCCATCCAATTATCAATGGTGTGATGCATGATGATTTACATGCTGCTATTGCACAGGTTCTGAGGGCTGCGAATAAGGCGGGTAAGAAAGCCGGGATTTTTTGTACGAGCGGTGAACAGTCGAATGGTTATGCCAAAGCCGGGTTTCACATGATTAGTGTTGCGACTGATACACTTATTTTACAGGCGAGTGTTATGGAAGCTCTTAGTACGGCGAAGGGGTTGGGACCTGCCCCGAAGTTGATGGGGCCTTATGGAAAATAAGGCATTGTATCATAATATCGAATTTGTCAGTTGAGATAGAAACACCTTGTTCCCCTCAGGATGGAAGCTTGGAATACTTGGGCTTTCAATTCATGAAGGGGAACCAATCCGTTGTGAAGAAATTGAAGGCGTAGCAGAGTTGTCTCATTTGGAAAAACAACCACATTGCCTTGATGTGGTTTCGGCATCAGGAGGACGATGGACTGATGCGCTTGTTACATGCTCAGTTAATCTTCGAAATCCTCACGGAATTCCCTCAAGAGGTTCGGGTACTTGCGTTGTATCGATTACCATCTGGCTCCCTGGACTTCCACACGTTTTTGGTACTTGAATAGCCCCCTTTGAAGGAACATGGTTTAGACACCGAACTCATAATCTGAGAGCTAAGCTAAAACCTTTCAGTACTGGTTTTGGAAACTCTCAACCCAGCGAGCTTATCGATGCGCTTTATCATGTTGATGTTTCCTGTGGTGTCGGTGATGCTTCTCACAAATCTCTATAACCGGCAGGAGATGATACGCCATCAAGACGGTAGTAGGAAACCCGACTTTGAGCTTTACGGAAAGAGCCCCGGGGGCCCAATCTTCAAGCAGCACAAAAATTATCTGGAGATCCTACTCCGAACATCCAACGCCAATTAATATCATTACCCTTGGAAGACCAGCGAAGTTCAATGTGAAGAAGATGCTGAATCGTGGCAGGAGTTTGAGCAAGGGGAATGCCAAGTTAAGCCCAATGGATCTGGTATTGTGAGTCTTCGTACCCCGTTCGCCATTCCGTTTCTCCCTCTCTCGTGCTGTCTCTTCTCTCAATTGGCCAAAGCTTATTATATTTTGCAGCGACGTTTCTGGCGATTCAAGCTCGCAGAACATACTGCTATAAACCTATCTACCAAAGCGAGGCGAGAGGCGAGAGGAAGCAGACATGCTACATCTCATCCGATCGAAAACAGACATTGAGATAATGTCGGAGTGTTCTTCGTGCCACGCAACGACATTATGTCCATGCCTCTCTGAGTTCCCGAGTCCTAGCAGGTCAACTACAACCCAGATCCCATTAACAAAGGACTTTTATTGACGACTCGATGAGGCGTATTGAAGGAGATATCTAATCCTAGCGGAGGAGGCAGACATACACCGCGACTAGCAAGCGAAGAAGACGCAGACGTATTGGGAGACTGTCATAGCCGCAGAGTTGGCCGCTCACGTGCCATAAAGTCCAGTGCAGTCAGATATCGTATTCCGTCCTCTGGTTGACATCCAAGTCTCTCAAAACCTTGCTGAAGGACGTCTCCCGGTTCTTAACTTCGCTGCGCAGCCATTTTGGTCAAATCAAGAGACCACGATCCGATTCCTCGACACATCGCTTGGCACTTGTCCGTCTTCCACAGGACAGGGTTGATTTAATAAGAGGGCTCACACGGCTCTCACACAGTTTCATTCTCAACAACATTCATCTTTGCTTTCACTTCCTCAGCACTGAATCGATGCATAAGCTTCTTCGCCTGTGAAGCAAGCTCTGGGAGCTCATCACCCTTCTTCGAACTATTGATGTGAATCTGTTCAGAATTAAAATCTAATTGCTGATCACACGAGGAACAATGGACTTACTACGGGCGTATCAAACTCGTATAAATTACGCCAATTCTTCTCCTCAGGCCTCATAACATCAATCTCCTTGAATTCAAATGGCTTGACATCCCAGACCTCAGACAAAGTCTGTTTGGCCTTTGCGCAAAGAGAACAGTTGGCTCGAGTAAAAAGAGTGATCCGGCAAGCATGCTGCAGCAGTCTTACTGAAGGATACATGCCGTGCGACGTTCTCGAGATCGAGAGGGAAGAAAAGTTCGTTGAGTTTAGAAATGTCTTCGAAAGGCCAATCGACGTCTTTTCCGCTTCCCTTGCTCACTCTCAGTGGCTTGCAGGGCAATCTCCTGGCCTTGCCGGGGTTTTAGCGTCCTTTAGAGGGGTCGACAGATTTAGCGGCGGCGGACGAGGCGGCCAAAATTTCTGGCAGATTCCAAACGTCAATTCAAAGTAAACAACAAGCCTTCCCTTCTCAACCTTCATGAGATAAACTTAACCAATTTCCCAGCTTAAGTCTCTTCAGCTTCGGGCAGCTCAAGATGGCGCAAAAATGTGTTCACCAGTCTTGCGGGAAGATGTACTCAGACCCGGAAGAGGAATGCCAATACCATCCTGGTCCACCGATCTTCCATGAGGGGCAGAAGGGTAAGAGATGATTTGCTACTCTCTCAAGGTTCCTTTCGAATACGAGGACTAACTAAATCTCCCCGGGCAGGCTGGAAGTGCTGCAAACCCCGCGTCCTGACCTTCGACGAGTTCCTCTCCATCCCGCCTTGCACAACCGGCAAACATTCCACCACCGACCTTCCCCCTACAATCGAGAAGAAGCAGGTCGAAGCTTCAGACGATATCGCGATCCCCAGGCCAGCTATTCCTACACCTGAAGCTTCGCGAGGTCCTGTCTCAGCTCCACAGCCGACTGCTACCCCTCCCCCTCCCCCGCCAGAGTCAGAGGATGATGATCCCAACTTAGAGATCCCGAAAGGCAACACATGTAGACGGAGGGCGTGTGGACAAGGATACACGGGCGAGGGCCGAGAGGGCGAGAAGTGTGTTTTCCATCCTGGTGTACCGATATTTCATGAGGGCAGCAAGGGTTATACGTGTTGCAAGAGGAGAGTACTAGAATTCGACGAATTCATGAAGATAGAAGGATGTAAGACGAAGGACCACCATCTATTTGTGGGCAGCGGTAAGAAGAAGGGTGGCGGCAATAGTGGTGGAGAGGAGTTGTTGGAGACCGTTCGGTAAAATCACCTTTGTGAGAAAATTGTTTCGGAGGAAGTATATATTAATATTATGCACAGGCACGACTTCTACCAAACGGCCAGCACAGTCATCGCCTCCTTCTTTCTCAAGAAAATCAATAAAGACACTGCAAAAGTAGAATTTGCCCACACGGAAACCAACCTCGACCTTATCACCACCGACACACCTCCCAAGAGATACAAGGCAGTAGTTCCTTTGTTTGGTCCGATTGACCCCGAAGCCTCGGCATTCAAGATTATGGGCACGAAGTTGGAGGTGACCTTTGTGAAGGCGGATGGTAGTTCGTGGCCGGTGCTGAGAAGTGATGAGCAAAGGACTGGCGAAATTATCCAAGTTGGCAAAGCCGGAAGAGCTCTTTAAGCTAGGTTGAAAAGAAGTTGCCGAAATAGAGCTATTCTCCTGGTCTTCAACGAAGAAGCATTGAAGAAAGCCGAATTAAGTGCCATAGCATTGATTGATGACATTGTTCAGATGACTTACGGCCTGCCCCTTTCCCACTCGCCATCTTCGACATGCGAGGTATTGAAACTAAGGCAGCTTCAAGAATTTTCTCTCGGAACGGCCTGGTTCCGGGACGGGGATGAAGGAGGGGTGGAGGCCTCTGCAACTGAAGGCTTCCTGCTTCTGGAGCAAATATTGCAGAGTTCTTGGCCGCCTTCATCTTGTCACATGCACTAGGAGAGTAGCACCCGCTGAGGTCTCACCAACAACCGTGGTATTTGGAGGATGAGGCTTCTTTGAGTGCCAAATCTGAAGGATAGGCCCATCCTCCAGCGACAGAGTTGTTGCTTCGAAAGCGGCAGAATGATTGCTCTCCTGGCTCCCAGCCGATGCTAAAACCCTACTAAACCCAATTAATATTCTAATTATTCGCGGGAGCAAGTATGTAACTTACCCTTCCTCTGCGTCTCTATCGGATCGTTCACTCCTTCGCTCATTAATCTTCTTTGTGGCCATGCTCCAAATGAGATGTATAATAGCACAAACAACGAGCACGGGAGTACCCATCCCTACGGAAAAGCAGGGAAGCTCGTGTTCCAGCAAGCCATATATTTGATTGATTACAACTCCAAGCATGGCGATGGTAGAGCCAAGACCAAGAAGTGTCCAGAGCGGCCAGTAAAGGCCAAGAAGGTCCTCATGCCAGCAATGTTGGAGAGAGATGATGGCCAAGACTTGGAAAACATTACATGCGATGGCGAACACCAGGCAAAGGCCAGTATTGATCAGGCACCAATGAACACTGCGTTTGTGTTCTTCCCTTTTCTTTTCAAATATTTCCTTTTCTTTCGCGGTTGGATTTCTTTTCCGTTTGAAGATCTCGGCTTCTCCTTTATACAGCCTACAGAAAATCAGCATTGATCGCTTTGTGTATTTTAAAAATAGATGGGAACAGCATGGCCCTTCAGATAATAGGGGATGATAGGAGATAGACCCTACCTGTATTCTTTTTCTTCTAGTGAATATATCACGCCAGCGTATCCGGCAGCCATGATAATTGCAACAGCCATGGACCAAAATACAGCTTCTGTTTCGCCCCGCGTGAGGCGCGCCATAATTGTAGCCTTATTGCATGCCCTCTGATCGCACGCAGCTTTCTCCTTCGCGTCGTCCAACAGGCCCTCCATCGTCTTATTCCAAGGCATCTTGTGGATTGGTAACCGAAGATTAAAGGCAGTAAAGGTATAAGAATATTGAAGAGAGATATTGTCAACGAAAGATCTAGTTTTCTATGAATGGGGGATTAAAGCAACATGAAAAAGGTGAAGAATGATTGGAAGAAGACATTCAATAAGAGGAGAGCAACCAAGTTCAACTATTTTTGGGAGTGTGTGGGAAGGTGCGAAGGGCTCACAATTTATGACATATGTCAACCATACTTAGGACCAAGGTAGGGCGGTAAGGTAGGGCTACGCTACACTCATATGACTCGACTGATGCATACAGTTTCGGGACCCATTGTTACTCCATACCCTCCATTAACTCCACGCGGTCAAGCATCATACTTTTTCGACCAATCCACTCTCGCAAAGCGTCCCAATCCTCGCCCTCCTCCTCGCCACGCCTCCAGCTTTCACGGAATCCCCAGGCGCCGGCTACCTTGTCGATTGCAGCCCGTTCTTCTTCGCGCATCCACCGTTCTCTCAGAGGCACACCTGGAGCCCAAGTCACGCGATCCATTTGATCATTGGCTGTGGTCACTGCAACCACACCAATCGTGGCCGTAAAGCCGACGTAGGCAAGTATGCCAGCAAAAGCAACATTGGTGGCCATAGCAGAATCCATGGTCGTTTGAAGAATTGCGAGCTGTGAAGCGATGGTGTAAGCTGCCACCGGAGCGACTGCCAGACCCGTGGCTGGAAGCAAGCCTTTTCGGACAAACTTAGCTCTCTGGAAAGCTTTAGTCGTGTATGCAGCCTCGATGATATCCATAGCTACGACTAAGTGTTTAGCACTGATAGCAGTTTGCAGAGCTCGATCGGCTACAGGGATCGTAATGGCATTGGCGGCCTTGTTAGGGTTCTGCTCGGTGTATTGTATTGGAGAGGTGCCTTCTTTCGGTAGCGGCTTGGAAGCATACAAATGGAAAACTTCCGGAAATGTCTGTGATCTCCCTAGAGTTGCCTGAATCTCCACGTACATTTCCAAGGCTGCCGGCGTGATGAAGATCGGCGGATGCTTGATAATGGAATATGCAAGATTTGACAATTGATCGACCATCCGCTGAATAGCTGGAGGAAGTTTATGGAGAGGTACTTTTTTGGCGCTCGATTCATCTAGGGAAAGGAGAGCAGATGTGGCACCATTTTTGCTCTCCGAGGATGGTGTAGGTGGCTCTAAGACGAGGAGCTTGGCCATAACTTCGCACCGTCCTAGAGCATAGTTCGTGTCTGCCTCCGAAGGAATCTTTTCCAAAGATCGGAGTGCATTGGCCGTCGTCTTCACTTCTTCCAAAGCTTTCTCAAGCGCCGCTTCCGTCGCATGTCCCTCATTTCCCCTTTGAGGCTTTCTAGCAATTGAATTGGATGGGATCGTCTTGACGACAGTAATCCCTGGCCCGTTTGATGTCCGCAGTTTCTGAGAGTATAGTCTCGTTCCACTGCTTAAGGATGCGCGGGGAGTTGGGGAAGACTTTTTGGTTCGGAAGGTTTGCCTGACAGGTTGTCGAGCTCCCATAGATTCGCAGAGCTGGCAGACATCTGCTCGGGGCCGGAGAGCACGTCGAGACATTCGGAGGGAAGGGTTGAAGGGATTGCTGTCGCTGATTCAATCACATAGCTATCGAGAATCGAAAAACCGATGTTGAACGTTGAATTAGCATTGTAGTTAATCCTTGTAAGTGTCCCCTGTTTGGATGACTAAGTGAAGATAGCCGCGCCACAGCGTTACGACGATCCCATGGCAAATGCTCCAGGCACCTCAATATTTCAACTGTCCAAGCGCTTCCAGGGACATATCGAGGTCTTCTTTCTTTGCAAGGACACATCCGCTGAATTGATCGACGATTCTTCCATGATTCAATAGCAGTCCCCTCCAACGCCTAACTGCGGGCTTGTTCTAAACCACAACGAACTCCATCTCAGCAGCCTCGAATCAATATGCCTCCCCCTCCTCCCCCCCCTCCGCCCATGCCTGGGATGGGTGGGCCTCCTCCACCGCCTCCTCCACCTCCTGGAAATCATCCTTCAAGACCTCCGGCCGCAAACAGGGTGAAGCCCCCACCAGTCGTATCTATGCCCTACTCAATCCTTGGGCTTACAACAAGTCACTTCAGGATGCTAACCTTACCATAGGGAGCTTTACTATCAGACATCACAAAAGGTAAAGCGCTTAAGAAAGCGGTCACGAATGATCGATCAGCGCCGATAATTGGGAAGACATCTGGAGGGTCAGCAGCGCCATCAGCTGGAGCCCCACCGGTACCTGGAATGCTAAAGGCGCCTGGAGGACTTGCACCGCCTGTCCCTGGAGGAGGAAATAGAGCGAGAAGCAATAGCGATCAGACTAGCAGAGATTCCGGAGGTACATCGGGGATGGAGCAGCCACCGCAATTAGCAGGCTTGTTTGCAGGTGGAATACCGAAATTGAAGAAGCGTGGCGGGGGAGTTGATACAGGAGGTGAGTTCTAGCATTTTAAGACATGACACTTTTTCTGATTACAGACAGCGAACCGGGAATCATCGTACACATCGGATCCAGAGTCGTCTGCAAGTTCTGCACCGAGGCCACCAGGAATGGCAGCGCCAAAACCACCAACTGCTGCACCGCCAATACCAAATTCGCAGAATGGATTAGGTCCTACATTTTCCCCTTCTATTGCGAATCTGAGGAAAACTGGGGGCTTCAATGCGCCAAGGCCAATGTCAGCTGCGTCCATGAAAGGTCCTCCTCCTCCGATTGGGAAGAAACCCCCGGTGCCTCCAGGCAGTAGGAAGCCGTCCACACTTGCGCCCTCGCCTCCCTTTTCAGGCAAGCCAATTTCCATACTGATTTGCTATCTTCTTGTTTAAGAGCTCAAGGCCAAGGATTTTTTGACAGTCGTCACTTGTCTTAAAGGCTCTGCTCCTCAGAATCCCTCAGGACTCAGAAATCACCATGCTAATTCATTATATAGCACCCGCTCCTCAATCTGCTCCTCCTCTGCCATCTTCTGCTGGTAAGTCTATGTCCGTGCCGATATGCCGCTGTTTTCGAGGATTCAGAGCCAAGGTTCTTCTCAGGAGCCGCCATTTGACCTGAGAGCTTAGCTTCCAGCTTCCTTGGTAGAAATTGAAAATTATATACTGATTCACTACTTAGCACCCTCTCCTCCATCTGCTCCTCCACCACCTCCTGCTGCTGGTAAGTAAATGCTTCCCAGCTCTTGAGCTTTTCCTCAAAAATAAGAAATTTTTATGCTAATTCATTGTCTAGCACCACGGCCTCCCATAAGTTCGACCCGATCACAACCCCCTCCCCCACCAACTTCTCCTCCATCAACGAACGGCTCAGGCCAAAGTCTTGCAATGCAAGGTAAGCTTATTCTCATACTAATTTGCTGCCTTTTCAAGTAGGAGTTGAGAGCTTGGGAGCTGTTTCAAGAGCTGTCACCACCCCATTGTTCCTTTTTCCCGGCAGCTTGAGACTACTCTGAGGCTCTGAGCTCTTCAATTTTTATAGAATTTGACAGTGCTAATTTGTTGGGCAGCCGCTATTCGTGCAGCGAGTCAAAATTCTCCAGCCGCAGCGCCACCACCACCACCACCTCCCCCAAACACTAGCCCTCCTTCAGCTTCCCCAATACCGACCACGTCCAGGCCACCTCCAGCCCAGCAACCTATCAGATCAATGCTAGACCCAAGTTCTTACACTCTATCCTCGAACGGAGGTTTACCTAAAAATCCTAGTCCCCATAGAAATTCTGAGCCATCAAGGAGGTTAGTCATAAACGATCCGAGATGGAAGTTCCAAGACGAATCCATGTTACCAAAACCGAGAGACTTTCACGGAGGGCCAAAGAGGTATCGGGCTGGACGTGGGAGCAGTGTACCTTTAGATTTAAGCGCTTTCCATTGAGGAGTTATTCAATGGCCTGACTGGTAGGGATGGGAGGCAAGGGTCGGCGCTCGAGCGAAAACGCTACAATTAGGAATGGGCATTCGACACTTGTACTTAGGAAATGAAGGGTGTCAGACGTATTATATGACTGATGCTTAGTTCCAATCTTGCGATGGACAGTGAAAGCAGCATGGTGTCAGATATCCCCAGTCCAGCCTGTGACATTTATCTAGATTGAAGGAAGAGGATGTTAATGATATTCTGGAACTCCTCGGAGATATCAAGGGAGAGTCGTCTTTGAATGTGCCATAATGTCAGAGAGTCTCCAGAAGTGAAGTACTTGGAGTCTCCAACGTAAGTTAGGACACTTGAAGGGAGAAGACTCAGTACGTCACCTGATGGAATATCCAAAGGAAGCCCCACTTTGCAACGTCTGGAACATTCGGACCCTAATGCCCTTTTTTGTCCACCACAAACCACTTTTCGACTTCGTGATATGCAATCACCATTGCTTGGAAGATCGCCAAGTGCTTCCTTGCTCCTAGTGTTTTGTTGCTTAAAAAATGGCCAACAATTTGGAATATGAGAATGTGTAAATATATCTAACATGTGCATCGCTATGAGCGCTGTTTTCAGAGAGCATTGGTCCCTTTGCTCTTTATGACCGAAGAATCCGGATGGACTCATGGATAATAAATGATGAATGTCCTTTTACTTTCTTCTTCAAGAGATCCGAATATATATGCTAAAGAGCTTCATGGGGCCTGTGAGCATAATTGTCAAGTCGTTAGATGTCTTTGTGATAGATAAATAAACCCACTGATATTTTCAGAAAGCTGTTTGAAATGAAATTGTCCCATTCAGTTTTAGAAGTTCGAGCTCCTTCCTTTGGTGAGTTTCTTTGACTTCTGATCAAGCTGAAATAATGATGCAGGACTCAGGAGCACATGAAGATGTTCATGATGGGGAAGTAACAAAACCAGGTCTTCGATCTTCTAGCGGTTCCTAACTTTGCAAATTGAGAAAATAATTCACTCTCCCACCTGAAGTTAATATTTCGGTAAAATACAAAAGGTGTTCAGTTCACAAAGCCACCTTGTGGGGAAACCGTCCGCTTTGGCGAGGCCCATCCGCTAAGCCCCACGGTCCGATCTTTGCTCTGAGGCCAGCTTGCAGGACTGGATTGCCGAGCCGTAAGCTTTCATCTATAAACACCTTCCTGCACCACCACATCCTTTCGAACCACGTCTCCTTCACAACGCTGCTGCTTCTTTTGCTGGCAATCCATATTCCAAGTCGAATCCATTGCAGAGACTGAGTATTTTGGTGCGCAACCAGCAGGACTGAGATTTCATCATGGCCCAAATTCGAGGCACAGCTGGCTATAACCTGGGAGGCCAGACTTCATTTGGAGGCCCTAGCAGTGGAGATGCCAACAATGACCCGAGTCCGCTCGATGCGATCAGGGAACAGACGAGCAAGATCGAAGATTTCTTGGATACTTTGAGCGACCCAGTAAAGCCGTATGTCACCATTTGTACACCCCACGTTCTGAGGTCATGAACCAGAGGCTATCTCTTAGGCCTTTTGTTCTTGTCTGCAGCGCTTGGCCTTGTTAACATGCATCTTGCAGATATTTGCCAGCAATTGGCCGGTTCCTCATTGTGGTTACATTCTTGGAAGATGCTCTTCGAATTATCACCCAGTGGAGCGATCAGCTGTTGTACCTTCACGATTACCGACACAGTATGGCACATCTTGATTGCAGAAGAATGAGGCTAATTGAGTGGTTCTGCAGTTCCGTATGGCCTTACCCATCTCTTCCTGATTGTGAATGTCCTCGCTATGGTCTCTTGCTCTACACTGGTCATTGCACGAAAATACTCTGACTACGCTGTCGGTGGACTCATTGGTGTCGTGGTCACACAAGCCCTTGGATATGGGCTTATCTTCGATCTCAACTTCTTCCTCCGCAACCTGTCCGTGATGGGTGGTCTACTGATGGTTCTTTCGGATTCCTGGGTTCGCAAGAATAAGGCTTTTGCAGGCCTGCCACAAATCGACGAGAAGGATCGCAAGATGTACTTCCAGCTTGCTGGCCGAGTCCTCTTAATCTTTCTCTTCGTTGGCTTTGTGTTCAGCGGGAAATGGAGTGTCTGGAGAGTCATTGTCTCACTATTTGGCTTGGTTGCCTGCGTCATGGTCGTGGTGGGCTTCAAGGCAAAGTTCAGTGCCATCATGCTGGTTGTCCTTTTGAGTGTTTTTAACATCTTGGTGAATAACTTCTGGACTGTAAGCTTGTCTCCAGCTGAAATTTGGCTTGAAAACTAACTCCTATCTAGCTTCACGAGCACCACCCCCACAAGGACTTTGCCAAGTACGACTTCTTCCAGATTCTCTCGATTGTTGGCGGACTCCTCCTGCTAGTCAATAGTGGACCTGGCAAATACAGCATCGATGAGAAGAAGAAAGTATACTAAGCGTCAGGGAATGGCAGGAGAGCCATACCAGAACGAAGGTTAAGAAAATTAAGAAAATAGGTGCCTTGCATTGGTGGAGTTACTGGCGAAGGTATTGAAAGTTCAGTCATTTTACGAGGGGAGACAAGATGTCTCTGCCACCTCTCTCAGCGCATAGCAATCTTCCAAATGTAAATTCTAAAGCATCAATCGTATCATGTGAATTTCCACCCTCCTATGACCATCAACATAATATATTGAGAGTATCGAGTAACTAAAAATAGCTCATCGAAGCAGACATCATATCTGGCACCTGAGTCGCATAGAGAAACATGAATCTTCAAGAATGTACCGAATTTCAATATACCAATTCATATTACTGTAGATATTTTTCTCGGGGGGTTCGAATGTCCAGAACTTCGAGGACATTGAAAAGACTAGGCTTGGAATATGCCATTACTCGAGCGAACATTTCGAAGCATTCAGACTTTCTAGATTGTCCTGGGAACGCTTCAGTCCCTTAAACCCCTCTTGTACCCTTCTCCTGATGGAAGCAGCCACCTCCGCCTCTTGGCGCGAGATCCTAGATGTCAGTCTGCTTCAAGAAGCCACGGTATCCAGTCCAATTAGCTACCATCCCAACGGCTTGTTTAAGCTCGATATGATCACTAAAGATCTAAAACTAGTGAGAAATATACGAGTCTTTTATAGACATCGCATAATAAAGAGAGTAAAGAGCTCTCTAGGACCTCCGTTTGAGGCCAGCACGTGATATGCTACGTCCTTTCAGCCTTTCAACACAGCCACGCGCATAAGCTCGGCAGCAAGTGGCAAGGGAACTCCATAACGGCAAATGATGGCCTGCATGTGAATTTCATATTTCTCGTTTTCAACCTTTTCCATCCTTTTCATCCTCTGCCAACGCCGAAGATCCAAAATGCTGTCTATTTTAGGTATCCCAAACCCACGTTTCACGTGATGCTGCGGGGTCCGAGAAGTGGGGATTTTGCTGCTGAACATATGACTTGAGTGTTCCTTTATATTGCCGTACATTTGCCTTCAGAATGGCCGAAGCACTGGGAACAGCATTAGGTCTTGTAGGTGCTGTCGGGGTCCTGGCTCAGACCTTCGACGGATGCATAAAGGCCTACGCCTTCTTCACCACGGCAGCGAACCTCGGGCGAGATAGCGAGCGACTCGTCTGCAAGATCCGCATCGAAGAAATGCGGTTGCTGGTCTGGGGACGAGAATGGGGCGTTGTCGAGGGAAAGCTGGAAGCTCATTTGCAGGCTGAGAGCAATTCGGGGAATCAGAGGTTGAGGCAGCTTGCTGTCTCTATTTTGACGCAATTGCATCGGACGATTACGGATTTTAATAAGTTGCAGGATAGGTATGGGTTAAGAGAGGAGCTTATGAGTCCTGTTGATGAGAAGCTGCCCGCACCGAAGAAGACGGATAGTTCAAGTGTAGCGGGGAGATTGAGGAATGAGCTGCAGTTGCGTGCGAAATGGGTTATCGCCGACAAGGAGAAGTTTACAGTAACGGACCTATTTCTTTGTCCTATATCCCAAGCTCCTTACCTCACTGGGTGGGAAGATATCTCATGCTCCCAGCTCTCTCCTTCCTAAAGAAATACGTTGTTAATTGGTTGGTAGGTGCTTTTAAGAGACTTGAAGGATTATAACGATGGGCTTGAACAGTTGTTTCCGCCTTCGAGGCTGGCCAGCGTTCAGAGAGCATGTAGGTAACTGGGAGAGAAACCCTACCCGGCCAGTCTCATGATACCTCCGAGACAAAATCTTGATTATTTTGGAACAATCTTGCTAATTCGCCGATCACATCAGGGACGAATGAGCTTCTGCAAAGTGCACAAAGGGATCTGGCTAAATTGAGCTTGCTGGAAACTGCTTCAAGTGGGGTATATCCTCAATTGAACGCTTCCGCTAGCCTGAAGCAGTTGAAAATCAATCTCGACACCAAAACCACCGCGCATTTCAAGCCAACGTATGCTCTGAAAATACAACGAACGGATCTTTCGTTCTCAGGTCAAGACGTCAGACGAAATCACGGTGCTTATAAAAATCCATCAACATCCAGTATCGAAAATGTTCTTGTTGAGTGGGTAGAATATGATAAAGAGGATCTCGATGCGAGGTTAAACACAGTTAGAAGAGTGGATGACCTCGCAAGATGCATTCATAGTGCTTCTAATCGACATCCAGATCTCCACACGCTGTAAGTGAGGGAAAGTCACTCTTAAACACTTCCGGACAAAGTCCCAATCTTCTGGGGACAATCGTCAAGGAGCAGTTGCTGACTCCTCTCTTATCCAGAGACTGCTTGGGCTATACAGATGACACCACAGTGAACCAATACGGATTATTATATAAAGCCCCCCAGCCATCGTCTTCGAACCTCAACACACTCATAAATAGCAACGAGTTCAGGACCCCAGATCTTGGCGACCGATTCAAGCTGGCCCACACTTTGGCCGTTGCTCTATGGTCCCTACATTCCCTTGATTGGCTTCATAAATCTTTCTCCAGTTCGAATGTCTTGTTCTTCCCTTCGGCGTTCTCGAGTTCAGCCACGAAAACCACCGCGGCAGCTGCGAGCATACCAGATATATCATCCCCATATCTTCTAGGCTTCGATGTCTCGCGGCCCGACGGTATCGGTGAAATGTCTGTAGGGAGCAAGAATCCAGCTGCCTCCGATCTCCACCGCCATCCTAGTTCCTTGAACGGAATGTCAAGGAAGCCATATTGCAAGAGCTTCGATATTTATAGCTTAGGCATTGTTCTGTTAGAGATTGGTTTGTGGAAAGTTCTTCAACTTTATCACAAGCCACACTACTCTGCAGAAAGGTTCCGAGATAAGGTTGTAGTCCAGAATCTTATACCAAATTTGAATAGCAAGACTGGCAGGATGTATAGGGAGGTAGTCGAGCGATGCATCTTTGCCAGAGAAGATCTCCCAGGCCAAGAAGCCGGACAGCTGATGGAATATGTTGTGGAATCGTTGGAGACCCTTCGTGTATAATTCGTCATTAGAACGAAATCTAGACTTTGAAGCTAACCCGGAATCCAAGTCTTGATAGGTCCTGGCGATCTTGCAGCAATGCGGGCTCGTAGTGAACACGAAAAGCGACGATCATTTTTCAATGTCCCACATCAAGTTGAACATTTCAAAGGTTCCCTGGACCTATCGTACATTTAAGGGCTAAGTCTTCAAATGTCCCTGGAGTTCTAGGACATTCAAGTCTTCTCGTTCCGAGTCCATATAAGGCTAAACGACTAACGTCACTTGGGACGTTGAAATTCCAGTGCGCAGTCTTTGCTCACTCCGAGGTGAGCTCGTAGGGTCGCTGAGCTCAACAATTGATCCTCTTAAGCAATGGTGAGGTTATCGATGGCAGACTTAGCTACCTGCAAGATCTGCAAACATGCATGAGGTTGTGCTCCTTGAGCACATGTTGTGTGGCCGTGTCCCCCAACACCAGCTTTGGCGGAACCGAACGGACCCATCTCCACAGAATCTGTGCCTAGAACAGCGGCACGAGCGTCCAACATCTCATGACGGGTCCTCTGACGGTTTTCCATCTCAGCAACCAAGTCCTTCAAGCCTTTATGCTTAAAGCCTGTTTGCTCATGGCCATATATGTCCACTCTCAATAAAGCTCTCACGGTAGTCCGCCACTGTTGGGGAGGCATCTCAACAGGACGGGAGAGCTTGGCGGTCTCAGCACAATCCACTTTATCTGAAATGACCTGTTGGCCACACAGCCCACCATAGTCGTGAAATCTGAAGGTTTTCGTTTGCCCAAGCGATTCTGCCCTAGTCGTCTCATCGTCTATCATTTGGAGAAGCTGTTGGTAGCCATTTGCGATGATGGGTAAGATAGTCCCAAGAAGCATAACATTCTGGAAGGCCTCGATGGGAGGAGTTGGGTTGTCAAGGAGAACAGTACCGCATTTTTGACACCATATAGTCGCAGCTGCTGTTGCACATGCGGATCGAACAGTTCTCAGGGCTTTAACAATATCGCTGGGGAACTCTTGCATCGACGCCAATGATAAATACATTGATGCCAAGCAACTGCAGCCAGGGCCTCCAGTAGACTGGGGCGGTGAACTCTCACTCGAGACTGTTGCATTTGAGTCCGTAGACAGTTGCGGCGCTGGGTCGAGAGGAGGTGTATGGTCTACGGTCCCAAAATCAATGTTTCCAAAGTTGATCGGCGGTACTCCCATTATATCTTGGTGTCCAAAGCTCCAAGCACCGTGTCCATTCTCAGCTGTTGGTACTGGCCCAGGAATCGTGGACTCTGGCGGGAGTGTCAAAGCTGACAATGGATTCGTGAAATAAGGCTCCGTTAGCATGCCGTCCATATAGGAGTCGAAGTCACCGTCGCCGAAAGGAATAGGGCCTAAGTCAAGGGGATCAACTTGGTCGGGGGCAACATCGTCAGTTGTTGATTCAATGAACTGACGTTTCCTCGGCCTTCCCATACTGGACAATGTTGGAGTTAGTACTCCGTCGTATATTATTGGGACATGCAACATGGACTCTGAAATATGCGTACGGTTTCTGTTCCGAGTAGTGGCACACGATTTTCTCCTTTTTGCACCGCTCGCATCCGTCTGGGTCTTTCGAGCACGCAAGCTTTCGAGTTCCTGAATTTGGATCAGTAATCGAGGTCCTGCTCCCGATCAGAAACATGGATCCTGACTGCACTCATCGCAGGCTCTGTGCTTGACCACCGTCTCCGTCTTTTCAGGCATCACGACAAGAGCACCGCAGCACTTGGGTTCGAGATTCCGTAAGTCAAAGGTCGTGAGATGTCAGATGCATTGTTTACTGTAGAGAACGGCACTGCCAGCGTGAGGCAACAAGGTGACACTTCTGCGGCACAGCTCAACCAGCCTTCACGTCCAAATGGCGCTAAGATAAGAGATAAGGTTAAGCACATCGAGAAATATTTTGGGAAAATCTTCAAAGCTCTCCTTCAACAGCTTCGAAGCAATAATGGCGCCCACCACCATTGACAGAAAGCGCAAGGCCGTTACTCGGGATGTTCCTGAAACCTCGGATGCTGAGTCTGAGGCCGAGTTTGGGGATGGACTCCTGGAAGGCATTTTGTCGCAAAGCGAGGATTCAGACGATGGAAGTGACGAGGGCTCGGAGGACGAAGAAGAGGAAGACAACGAACTAGACGAAATTGAGACTCTTAATAGCGATGAAATCCCGTCTGACGATCTCGAGAGCGAGGGAGAGGAAACGAATGATGGTCTGAAGAAGAGCAATGGCACCAAGGCAAACCTTCTTCCGGAATTGGTCTCGCCGTCATCACTAGAGGAAGACAAGCCTAATTACACAATCACCACAGATGCCAATGGTGGAGAGAGATATGTGTACGGTGAGATAGATCCGGTGTATGATTCGGATGATTCAGATGCACCAGGGACTACCAACACTATTGGCAACATCCCCCTTACGTTCTACGATTCTTACCCACACATTGGCTATGATATCAATGGAAAGAAGATAATGCGGCCTGCCAAGGGGGAAGCATTGGATGCGTTGTTGGACAGCATTGATGTCCCCAACGGATGGACTGGACTTACGGATCCAGCAACAGGGAAGCCGCTCAATCTCAGCCAAGATGAGCTTGAGATTTTGCGAAGAATACAAACGAATGAGCTGCCGGAGGAGGGCTATGATCCATATCCTGTAAGCCATATGCAGTGGACCTTTTATGATTTCACTAACACCATTAGGCTACCGTTGAATATTTCACTGGAATTGAGGAGATCATGCCTTTAAGTGCTGCGCCTGAACCGAAACGACGCTTCCTTCCTTCAAAGCATGAAGCCAGGAGAATAATGAAGATTGTGCGAGCCATACGAGAAGGCAGAATACTTCCGTATAGGCCACCTCAAGAGCAAGAGGAACAGGAGGAAGAAATACACTACGATATTTGGCAGGATGAACAATCTCGTCCAGACAACATCATGAATGTTCCGGCTCCAAAAATGCTTCCGCCAGGTTATGACTTAAGTTATAACCCACCACCTGAATACCTCCCTACAAAAGCAGAAAAGCAAACTTGGGAATCAACCGACCCAGAAGACAGAGAAAGGGATTACTTACCGACTGGTTACGATTCCTTGCGGAAAGTCCCAGGCTACGAGAAGTTTGTCAAAGAAAGATTCGAACGCTCCTTAGACCTGTATCTTGCACCCCGAGTACGCAAGAATAGACTCAACATCGATCCTGCATCCTTACTCCCTAAACTTCCTCGGCCTGAAGAGCTCAAACCATTTCCAACAGTCTGCTCTACCTTATTCCGTGGTCACGAGGGCCGTGCCAGGAGCTTGGCGATTGATCCCTCAGGAATCTGGCTGGCTAGCGGTGGAGATGACGGCACTGTCCGTGTCTGGGAGCTGTTGACCGGCAGACAAATCTGGAGTGCAAAGATTGGCGATGGTGAGGCCGTCAACATTGTCAGATGGCGACCAGGAAAGGATGCAGTCATCCTATCCGCAGCAGCCGGCGAAGATATCTACCTCCTGGTGCCTCCAGTCACAGATCCAGAAACAGATGCCTCCAGTCGAGAATTACTTGATGCAGGATTTGGCTATGCAACGAATGCTACACAAGCTCTCACAGCGAATGGAGCCAGGAAAGACCCCGCAGCAAAATGGACTCGGCCTGGATCGCGGCTTGAAGATGAAGGTGTTCTCATTAAGATCACCGTCCGAACCACTGTCAAAGTCATAAGCTGGCATCGAAGAGGAGACTTCTTTTCAACCGTTTCTCCAACAGCACAAAAGAGCGCTGTTGCAATCCACACCCTCTCGAAACACCTCACCCAAATTCCCTTCCGCCGATTACCTGGCATACCGCAAACTGTGCAGTTTCACCCTTCGAGGCCCCTTTTCTTCGTTGCTACTCAGCGGACGATTCGAAGCTATGACCTTCAAAAGCAGGAACTTGTCAAAATTATCCAGCCTGGAGCTCGATGGATCTCTTCCTTTGATATACATCCTGGAGGAGATAATCTGATTGTTGGATCCTACGATCGACGACTACTCTGGCACGATCTTGACCTTTCTACACGACCTTATAAGACTATGAGATTCCATTCGAAAGCTATTCGTGCGGTGAAATATCACAAGGGAGGTTTCCCCCTTTTTGCAGACGCCAGTGACGACGGGAGCCTGCAAATATTTCATGGCAAGGTTGTCAGTGATATGATGGAAAATGCCACTATCGTACCAGTCAAAGTACTGAAGGGGCACAAGGTCAAGAGTGCTTTGGGTGTTATGGACGTAGACTGGCATCCGAGGGAGCCCTGGCTTGTGAGTGCCGGTGCAGATGGTACTTGTCGATTATGGATGTGATATCTAAATGTTGTAGCTATTGCTCAAAGCATAGGCGTTGAGGGCACAAAAATACCGGTCAATGATACCTGAGAATGGTTGAAGATGAAACAGTGCGGTCTTTGTGAATATGGATTTCAACCTGTTTGAGCTCCTGTGCATACTCACGGTGGGTATTGTTAAAGATGATCGACGCAAAAGCGGGTAATCGGTAGGAAACGCAGCAGAATCAAACCTCTGTCGAGTGAGCTGAAAAGCGGTATGAATGTTTAGATGGACCTAGTTAATTTGGACTTTTTTCTTAGCCAGGAAGGAGAGAAACTCAGACAACTCAGACATTCCAACGCTGTCGATTTGTTCCAAGTGAGCACAATTTCAGTACACGATAATCAGAGGGAAATTTTGTTAGGGAAGTCTTGCGAGTGACCAATTTGACTTGGGACATTGGAAGCCAGAACCCTCGCCATTTGACAGAAAAAGCCGCATGTTTTGAATATCCTCCATCAGTGTTCTACTTTGACCTGGGACATGGGAAATTGACGCAGCTTTTGTGTCCAGGGCAAGGCACCAGCTCAGCTTTTACAAGCTTAATTTCTCATGTTTCAATTCCGCCACTGGATGTCGCTCGTAAGCCTAATGGCGCAAATCACAGTTCATGTGGGGTCGATAGCGTTATACGGGAAGGTGCGAGGGGTAAGATGAAGTTACACCGAACAGTCGCTTCCGGGTGCATTGTAACCGAACCTGCCACCAACCACCCCTTCTCCTCTTTTTCACCACGGTCTTTGAACATCGCAATTCTGCCAACTCCCCTTCAACGTCAATCCACCCAATTCAGCCTCCAACAAGTCTACAGCCGATTTTCAAGATGTCTGGCTTCCCAAAGCTCATTCCCGCTTTCACTACCCATGTAAGAGCATCCCTTCTCGTGCCACCTCGGCACACTGGCAAGTCATACTATGATTCAAATGCATACCAACATTTCCCGTCATTCAATCGGCAAAGGCTTGAACATGGAACGCTCTGCATCGTGATGATTGTTAAAACTCACACAGATCGTCCTCGACCCACCATTCTCAGTTGGCAGCGTCTCCAAGAGCGGTCCACTTACAGTTGTCCCATTCATTTCCGAGAACAGCTTCCTCCGTTCTGAGCCAGGCTATCCCGTCAAAGTTGATGCCACCTTTGTTCACGGATCGGACTTCATTCGCGGTGATCCCAGCGGCAAGCACGTTCGGTTGGACGTTAACTCCGTCTTGAAGGACAGTAAAAGCGGTGCCATCATCAGCTACAAATACAGTGGTATTATTGAGATGAAGCCAGGGTAGGTATTGGGGGAGAAGTCCCTTTTTCCTAACTCTGACCGTCTCATGATTTCCTTCCAGACAATGTTCCGGTTCGTTTGGAACAATCTGTATGGACCAAGTGCTGACTCCGCCCCAGACCAACCGCTGTCTTGACTGGAAGCAAGGACGCAAAGACTACGGAGTTTGGTGATGTTCGTAAGTATTCTGGGACATTACCTAGCCTGTCTGTCTGAAACCTCCCCTTTATTTTAGTGACCCATGTCTTGTTCGAAACCGGAAGTGATGAGTTGAAGCTCATGGAGCAGAAGGTTTATGTTGCCAGTGGAAGATTCATCATTGAGGCTGGCAAACCTCCCGTTGTTGAGTACGTTATCACGTTCGGCTTGTTTTCCCAGTCTCGATATCTCGTGACTTGTGTCCACTCAAAGTCTTCTCCTTTCACTACCCCCCAGAGTCTAGGGCATTGAAGTTTTCTTACCCAAGTAATACTAACTTCAAGTTATCCAGGTATAAAATCAGTGAGGTGGCTGCTCAATGAAGAAGGAAACGACGCAAGTGAGGATGGAAGACGGATCATGATGTTTCTTCAAATAGCTTACTAAAACCCGCAGTCCATAGCATGAATGCATGAATGGCTTTTATTCTCTTCGTTCCATAATTAACCAGCCTTGCCCTCTAGCACGCGCAAGAACCTTCTTATTGAAATCAGAAACGCCAACCGGAAATTTCCTCGCTGTTTCATGCTATCAACTTCCTTCCATATGCACGCGGGAAAATCAAATAAACTTCACCGAAAACAGAGTTCAGGAAATCTGTTCCCTCTCAGCGCGATCTGAAAAGCATCCTGTTCATTCTCATCAACATCAAGTTTATAAATAACCAGCCCTTGAGTCTCCGTATTCAGTTGACACCAGCAAGAGAAAGTAATCGTTCGCCGGCTTTAAGATTTGCGCAAGCGTACGCCTTTGACTCCTTAGGGAAGGTTCCGTTCGCAGCCCAGAGATCAATCAACGGTTGCATTGGCTCCAACTCGTGAGGCTTCAGCATATCGATCTCAGTAGCAGTGAGAACAAAGTGACTGAAACAACTGTTCATTGGCTTCTCAAGGCTGAGATGATAGAACGGATCAATGAAGTGTGCCCAGTAGAGATGAGCGTAAACACGGAACATTTGACGGAAGATTGTTTGGCAGACCTCCACAAAATCGACTGGGAACCCGCTACTCTTGCCAACCCAATCGCCAGGGCCAGCAAGTTGTGAAAGTGATGTGGTCAAAGCAGTTGGTCCAGCTGGGATGGGCGTATTGGAACCTGGTGTGTTCAGTCCGCCAGAAGCATAGGTAGCACTAGCGATGTCGGGATTGCCAGTATTGTAAGCGAATGAGACACCTGCTGGATCGGTTGGGAAGATGGCAGTGTTGTCGATCTTGCCGGAGATCCATCTTTGCATCAGAGAGATGTACTCGTGGGCGGGGACCTCAACAGGCTCTTTTCTGGCGTTCAGCCAGGTGAACGAATGGTTGCTAGAAGGAATTAGATCGATTAGCAGAAAGGGCTGCGGGAGGAGACCTACGCGCCAGCAGACATGCGGGGACAAGTTTGAGAATTACAGATCGAAGTGCCCTCTTCGTCCTTGTCATGGATAACGCGTACAAAGTTCCAGAGGTTGCGATAATGCTCAACGACTGAGCAAAAAATGTGTTAGCAGGGCTAGTACAGAGAACGATCTAAAGCATTCACCTTGATGTGCGATCCATTCACCTTGCTCTACGGTCTTTGGTCGAGCCGACAATGTCATGAAGTTGCCTTTGACGATGTGCTTGGCGTAGGAATCATTCAGCCAGATGGGCTTGGGGCGGGGAAGGTTGTAGAAGGAGAGAGCGTCACCGCTGGGAAGGCTTCCAGTTGAGTCATCCATTGATAGGGTTTGTGAAAGCGACGGGGAGCTGGGCAAGGGGGGCATTCTGGGTGCTAAGCTCGTTGACGATGAACCGCTCTGTAATGTGCCTGTAGGTGATGTTGGCTGTGCTCCGTTTGGCGGTCCAGGACTCTTGGTACCACCGTTCTTACCACCACCGCGGAAGCGTCCACTGCTGTAAAAGAGTTCGTTAGCAAAAGTTCCGAGATCGGGCGAGGTGGCATACATAAACGAGGGGGGAGGATAGCTAGCTCGGCAAAACACCGGGAAAACATGACAGTAAAGAAGTTCATTGCGACAATATTTTAGAGGACTGAGACTTCAGAAAGATCGTTGGCGTCCAGTTGTCAGAAATCCAGCAACTTGTAGTAACGATCTAGTTTCCCAGACAGAGAACAAAGGGCAGGCTTGAGAACACCTAATACTGGTACAAAGCTGAGGGGAGGGATGGAAGATCTAGGCCAATCAAACGTAGAATACACTCGGTTGAGAGTGTCTAATGCGTGAGGGGCAGGAATAGCTTTGGAAGAGCTCTCGGATCAGAGGTCACCGTCAGCTTGAAATCGCGGCTGAGCCACTAGCCCAAGTAGTATTGCACTGATGCCACATTTTAAATGTAAACCAGAATGTAGCTTCAAGGAATTCAACTACAGTGAACACCAATAACAAATTCCCATCCCCCAATTTAATGTGGACAAGAAAAAGATACCTACATCCCTGAGAACAAGTTCGACATGCTGGCTGACAGTCAGCTGATCAGAGCCCTAAGCGGCTCCTCGACGAGTGGTGAATGGACAGCCGAGCTAATGGTTATTGTATCGGGGAGGAAGCGTGTTGTTGTAGAGAAGAGGATCTGAGGTGGAAGTTTGATGATAGATTTAGGAATAGGGGATCTGGGACGAATACCGGTGTGCACTAGCTTGGCGGCCGCCCTAAGGGTACTACAGTGCAGTAGAAACCATCTAAAGCGGCATCGAACTTTATTGTTTATTTTACTGCCTCGAATTTGGCTTGAACATTCATCCCAGGGCTGTCGCAAGAGAACGGCGAGACTTTAATAATTCCCTCATCCAAACCATTCAACGAACATCCTTCGCCAGCTCTTCCACCCTCCACGATACATACCATGGCCTCCTCAGAAGAAGAAGACGTGATGGACAATGCAGCAGAACTTGAAGATGATCTCTTTGGCGATGATGATGAGGAGGAGCCTGCGGAAAGGGTTCGAGAATTGAGTGACAGAGAGCTGGACTCCGGAGATGATGAGGAACGGAATGATCGAGCGCCTAGGGATGATGCTGAGGAGATAGATTATGGAGATGGACGAGACGTTCAGATTCAAGAATCAACCGTCTGGAGACATCCAGTTCCAAAGCCAGTCGACGGAGAGGTGAGATCGAATATCCTTTCCATCAGGATAACGCTGACAAAGTCCAAGTTGAACTCCCTACGACTCCCAAAATTCCTTGGCATAGAACCTCATATTTTCGAGCCAGAAACATTCAAACCCCCGGCTGCTGATCATCATAGCGACACGAAATCCGCGAATTTTTCAGCTAGTGCTGTTGCAGCTTCCACAATGCGCTACCGCAAAGATCCTGCGACTGGCAAGCTCGAGAGCAATACCGTTGTGTACAGATGGAGTGACGGAAGTACCACACTGTCAGTTGGAGACCAACATTACGAGCTGCAAACCAAACCACTTGCCCCTCCTCGAGATAACAAAACCTATCAGGAAGTTCAAGACTCCCACTCGTATGTGGCTACACCATCGCTTGTTTCCCAGCTTCTCGTTATGGTTGGACATATGACGAACGAGTATACTGTTCGACCCAACAAGGAGGTCGAGGATGATGCTCTTGAAAAGCTGCAGAGAAGCTTGGCTGCAGCAACTCGCGGAGGCCATAAGGGTGACGACAAGAATGGACCTGAACTTATTACCAACACACAAGACCCCGAACTACAGAAGAAGCGAGCCGAATTGGCTGAGAAAGAACGGATGAGAGCCCAACGTCGTCGCGAAGCAGCAGCAGAAAAGGCTGGCCTGCGAGGACCGACAAGTGGACGCGGTGGATTAAGTGTGGATGACTTAGAAGGACGGTCCGGCCGGAGAGCACCAGGCTCAGCCCGGAAGCCAGCCAAGCAGCGGAGACATAGACCAGAATATGATTCGGACGATGATCTCCCGAGAGGCGGTAGAAACAGGGAAGACGAATATGACAAGGAGGACGATTTCCTTGCTTCTAGTGACGAAGACCTGGAGGAGGGAGGCGGAGATGATGATGAGGACGAAGAGGAGATGCTGGACGAAGAGAGCGAGAGGGATGAACCAAAACACAAGAAGCTGAAGCTGTCGAAGCCAGAGGAGACGAGTGATGCCGATGCCGATGCCGAAGCAGACCTCGATGACGATGAAGCTCCAGCAGCACCTGTTGTCGAGCCTGCGGTTGGCAGAGGACGAAAACGCAATATCATTGAGGATGACGATGATGAGTGAGAGATAGTGCTGCCGAGTGTTCCAGGAGCTATTCAGCAAATACCTTCCCCCTCAACTGTAAGTTAGGATTAGAAAGGATCATCAAAATGAACACAGTAGAAAAGTGGCTAGTTGCCGCCCGCACTAGGAAAATAGAACTCATTACAAGGAATGAGCGGACTTCCCAAGTCAAGAGGTGCAGTCACTATACTGCTTTCGTCATCTAATGGTAGAGTGTGATATCGGCGTTGAATCTATAGCGATCATGAAACGGTAAAATTGGGTTGGCGGAGAAGAACGAGGGGATGCAGCGGTGTCATGATCAATGCATTTTAAGGTTATAATTGCTGCTGTAAAAAGATACTGTGAACCGGTACTCCTCGCTAAGTTCACAAGACATGAAGTATCGCGATCGCTAATAGAATCCCAGCCGGTCAAACACCAACAAAGCGAAGCAAAACAGGAATCAAAGCATCAACAGGAGATAGCTGCCCCAGCACATCGTAGCGTATACACGAAAGAAAAAAAGCACATCCCCAGCAACTCCGAACCCCATAAAAGAGGCCTGTGAAAGCCTCGGGTATCAACCTCGTACAGTCTATATTTAACCCCCTTCAGTATGCCCTTCCAGTTCGGAGGGTCAAACTCATCACTTCATGTCGTCGTTAATATGAAATTCCGTAAGTCCACTCAAAGCCAAAGCGTAGTCACCAGGACGCAGCTTCCCACTCTCTCGATCCCAGGATCCAACTTCCGCCACCGGATCCATGAGACCCCAGCTATCATATCCCGTCTCATGGCTGCCACAGCTCTGCATGCTCATGTGGCTCTCTTTACTGCGCTTCGTTGACGCGTGGCCTTTCTTCGAGGATTGGATGTAAGGATCCTGAGGGAGAAACCTGGTCTCCAATGGTGGTGCATGCTCGGTGGCGTAGTGCTCAGGGTAGTCACGTCCGCCGAGAAAACGAAGCATTGGTACGGAATAATCGGAGTTGAAAGATGCGGTGCGTTGATGCTGAACTTCATTCAATCCGATGGGAGGTCCCAAAGGAAGATAGGTAGGGGCGAAGTGCATGTTGGGATCTTCTTTTTCTGGGCCCTCAGGGCAGGGACCCGATAGATTTGATGATGCATAGGATTGAGGACTTTGGTTGTGGTACTGAGTTTGAGTTGTTGTTCCATAGTGGTACATTGGCTGCTCGCGAACCATTGGGTGTCCGGCGCCATTGGAATGAGTTCCAACCTCGACGGAGCTAAAATGCTCACAATTGTAGTTTAGAGGACGATCAGATGATATGGGTTTGTTGCTTTGAAAGCACGCCAGTTCCCATTGATCAATCTCCTCATATGGTTGATCAGTATTGTCAATGTCATGGTTCTGGTGAGGCATGTTGAATGCGCGAAGTCGAAATGGCCAAAGAGAGCTGTGGTGTGTTAATTGATATTTGTAATATAGGGATGATGTGACTTACGGGGTAGGGAGCTGCTGAAGAATAATGAGGCTGATCAATAGCGAAGACAGACTGGGCAATGCTCTTTGGAATCAATAAAAGATATGTTCGTAGGATTGAAGAGAAAAGCACGATTAGGAAACTAGTGGCATATAACTCGCGAGCAGAAAGGAAGTTAGATTAGAAATGAATAGAAACAGTAATTCAATGCAAGATCAATTCGTTACAGTAATGATGAGAATGAGACTGTGGAGGCAAAGGTGCAGGAGCGAGGGAGGCTCTTATAGACCCCCCCAAGCCCATCCGTCAAACATCCTACGGTCAAGAACAATTCATCTCAAACTTAAGCCGATGACACGGCGTCACGTTGACCGCTCATGGCTTGGATCAGCTGGCTGATACTTCCGATTTACGGACTGATTTCTGGTGCCCTTGTCACTATGTGCGAACCACGTTTTTGGAGTTCGCATCATCCAAGATCTCTGTGCATGACGCAGTACGCCCGACTTGACAGTTTGGGACTTCTTGCACAAAGGCATGTGAAAAGGGGCCCAGGGTCCAAGCTCCTAAAGCTTCGACAAATAGGATGTAGATTCCACAGATCTCCCAGACAAGGCCACTCCAACGCCAACCACTTTGCAGGACAGCTAGGCAGCCTCACTTCTGTCGTGTGGGGCTGAGCTCCACGGGCGATCGTCGAACCGTTGTATCTGCAGATTAGCATGAAATAAGGTCGACTTTTTCAAGTTAAACAACAAATCAAAGTTGTCCGGAGAATTTTGGATTCGGAATAATGAGAAGAGCAAGAGTCGCGCGGCCAGCGTCGGCTCCTCTTCTCCGACGTCCTCCCCTATCCAACAACGTCGTGACCTGGAGGATTGGTGTGAAGAGTTACACCTCAGCAACAGTCATGACGACGAAACTCAAAGATAAGGATTGATTTATAATATCACATTGTTCCAAGTTCCAAGGTTTTGCGGACGGAAGGGTTCTACAGGCCGAGTAGAGAGCGGCTCGCTCAGCCTCCACGCTTTCACCGCATCTAAGCGTGAATCGTGAGAGTGGTCGCCCATCAATACCACTCTCGAGAACCAACCTTTGGTTCCGTACAACACGGAACAAGTTCCAGACAATCCGGCCCGAAACACTGACTCATTTTCTTCGGGCCATGGCGGTCCTCGCCGGTAACCGAATGTTTCGAGGTGAACCCTACTCAGTTGACAATGCTGTTGCATAGCCCCAACTGGCCGACCTCGCTGATGTTCCACAATCGAGGCTCCAAGCGATGTTATAGCGGGGTAGTTGCACACCATCTTCATGCTAGCTCCCACAAGCAACAGCTCGTAGATGCAAGAGAGCTTCGACGTGTCTAGAGGACTGTCTCGAGGATCCCGTTCGATGCTGTATCTGTCAGCCCTATCAGATTTCGGCCCAGACAGGTCCCCTGCCACATGAATTCTCGATCATGTGTTTCGAATCTAGCGAATGTGCTGAAGCCGCGGTCGCATTTTGAACAAAGTTGCTTACATTAGGGGCGTTGCCTAATCCTTCAAGCTCGATATTCGGCTCAATACCCCGCAACGTTGGACGCCCGATGATGCAACGTATCTCCCCAGATCCTACCATTTCGCACCGGCGCTGTTGGCACGCTCACGTTCTCTTGCGGCCTGTTTGCCATTGGTATCAACTGCACTGCCTCGCCGTCGCAAGCCTCCTGCCTTCCTCCTTCTCACAAACTGGTAGCCACGATCTAGTTCTGATTCGATGGCACATCTGACCTTCAAAGCACCAACCGCAGGCCAAACACTCTTCTCTCCCCGCAAGATCCAGTAATCAAGACTAGCTTGAGTAGGTGTCTCCAGTAAACGCACAAAGTCGCTTGCGGATAGCTCAGGTACAAGAGTCACTGAAGCTGCAGGAATATGCTCATCCACTAGGAATCGCCTAATCGACAAAGGAAGGGGTCCAAGACTATCGAGTTGCTGTAGTCGATGATGAATTTCCATAGTCATGAGTCTCAGTAGACCACCAGTCAATGACGTTCGTCCGCCGCGTGTGTAAAGTGGTGAGGGGCCATGCATATCAGATTGGAGGAATGGTACGAGGTATGGCCGAGCTTGGCTGACAATGAAGTGATTGACATTGAAAAGCTCCGCGATTCGAGATAATGGTGAATCTCTGTCATTGTAGGAAGCATGAGTCCAAGGTCGAAATGTCGTGTCGGATGCCACAGACCACGGGATTACCGCGCCGGAGGTGTCCTTACATCTGAGAGTAATTGAGCGTCCATACAGAGATGGGGAAGAGGCATTGGAAGCTATTGCTGCCGACCAAATTAACTATAGAAAATTAGTTCGCAGAATTGGTTGTGGTGAACGACTTTACTAACAACGTTGGGAGCCGTTAAATAGTTCAAAAGATTGGGAACTCCCCCCCTTCCAGTAGTCGCAACCGTGATATTGAGAACCCGCTTTGTTCTGTTGTATGCCTCCTCAAACGTCAGGTCACCCACGTTTGTTCTCACACATTCCTCCAACACTGTTGCATCCAAGAAGTAGCCTTCTCGGAGGAATCTCCGAACTCTTCTTGTCAAGGTATCCCACCAACCATCGAAAAACCCTCTCTCTTCCTGTCCGCTCTCCCCAGCTGAGCTCTTGCCAGCAAAGGCAGAGAGGTCGATGCTATCGCCATTCAGAAACATTGGGAGCTCGTCTTCGGTATGTATTCCAACTAAAGCCGCGATCAAGGCTCCAGTAGCAGTTCCCGTAATAATCCTTGGTAACAAGCCCCGCCCAAAGAGAGCCTTCACAACTCCCAAATGGCACAAACCAAAAATGGCGCCACCTTGGAGGACCAAGGTACTTCTTCCAAAAGCTTGTCTTGTATCATGTAATAAATCAAGCTTCGCCTGACTGCTGAATCCTGGTATCACACCATTGCCATCTGCACCAGGGGACGTCGGCAGTTTCGTGACATCTGCAATGGCTTGCGCAACTTGTGTAATATAATCTTCGATCAATAATTTCGTCCCAGCAAATGCTCGATTGAACAGTCGAGGGGTGGAGATATTGCCCAGATTCCGCACAAGACCAGACCGTAGCAGATTGACAAGCTGCAGGATATCGCCCTCTTCGCGGGCAACGATGATAGATTGGAGCCGGTCGTGGATCAGTCGATAATCGTAGTATTTCGAGGTGGGATTTTGACGCCTATGCATTAACATATTAGATACGTCCACACTCTTCCCAGTACATTTCGACATACCACAAGTCATTTCCCAAGAGCACGTCCAATTGAAAAGCTGCCTCCTCCCACTCCTCGTAAGACTTCGCGTTCCTCAGGATCTCGAACCAAACCTCCACAGGCTTCTTGCGTGTCAACCATCTGGAGAACCTGATTTGCCAAAACAGGAGCACATCGACCAGCATCCCCCAAATTGCTTTGAGAACTCCCGCCATTCCGAAAGGCATTCGACAATGACAAGCTTAGAATCAGAAGCCCCTCTTTGACGGTACAGCCTCGTAGTTGAAGGTACGAGGCATTTGTAGCAGAAATGGTGATGCTGATGAAAAGACCTCGAAAGAGGTGATGAAGGAGAAAGTTTGTGCTGACATGTGATGGGCCGATGTTGGCTGGAGCGAACAGGGGCAAGCTTCCCCGGATTTTTTCTGCGCTAGGATGCAGTGGCGTCGCCACAGCTGCTCCAAACACGGAGACAAGATTATAAATAGAAACTGCTGTCCTCGTAATGCGAGAAGCACCTTGATCACTGAAGGCTCTTCGCATTGGGAGGTATAACAAACTTGATTCTCGATTAGAATATTGTGATCTCTTACCTATTTCGCTGTGGACAGGAAAGACGGCACTGAATCTCCAATATCCCAAATCTAGTTGGTACATTTTAGAAAGGCACCCTGCGAATGTTCCTTCGACTTGTAGTAGATTCAAAATCTCCCTCCTGGACTATCTCGAGAATCCAGAACAATAATATTCGGATGTCCTCCAGCCTAGTCAAATGTACCAGCTAGATTTGGAATATTGGAGATTCAGTGCCGCTTTTCCTGTCTACTAGCTGCCTATGCAAAAAGTGGAAGATTACGGAATGGTAACTGAATAACTTTTTTTCGGTCCTCGAATGTCCCGAGTTATTTAGGACATTCTAATTTCATAGTCGTTGATGTCCTTCTCGAGTAAAACATTGAAATATGCTCAGTTCCTTTATTCTAGACGATGAGATCATAGACTCAACCAACAACATGCTCTAGTACTAATTAATTCAATCTCAAGTTCATCGCTAAACCCAAATCTATTTCTACCTCTCTATCTCTAAATTTCCTTAATCTCCTTCTTCCCCTTCCCTTTAAATACCCCCTTAACAGCCCCGCCCGCCTTCCCCGCAACCCCAAAAACATACCCAAACCCAAAGCTCCACCCCCGAATCCTTACAGTATAAATAAAAAAGTAGACCAGCGCCCAATTACTGACGCAAAACGCCAGGAATATTCCAAAATATCTCCACTTATCTTTGGGCTCGATGTTAAGAGTGCGCATGTAGTCGACGCCGGAGCTGTACTGGCAGTATCCGCAGTCTGTAGTCGCGTCGGGGTTGGTGAGGTATCCAGTTGCTGAGTCCACGAATGCCTGAGCGTAGGAGGAGCAGGTTGAGCCTGGGGGCGGGTTGAAGTATGCTGCTTCTTGAGGCGCACACCGGACGGGGGTGTTTTTCAGTGTTGCAGCGAGGACGCCACCGATCCAGTAAGTAGAGGGGTTGAGGTAGTAGAGCCAGTACCGCCAGAAGACGGAGAGCTGGGCATAGGGACGCACGACGCCGTTGAAAAGGGAGAAGATTACGAAAAAGAAGGGGAGGACGTTGGAGATGACTGTGAATGAGGGAGCGAAGGCACAGATCTGTCATCGAATTAGTATGTAGTTTCGCTGAATTACTAAAGAGAGTTCAGGAGCTGAGGAGCCAAGCTCGCGAGACAGGAATGCGTATTCCGGCTCCCGCTCCCAGGCTCCCAGCTCCAACAGAAGAAAATAGCAATTCGTTACGGAAATAAACTTACCCATTGCCCCCATGCTGATTGAAATAAAAACTGTTATTATTAGGTGAATTCAAAATGCAATGGACAAAGAGGAGACTCACGAAAAGCATGGTCATCAGGAGAACGTAGCCAGATGTTGATGAATCAGTCGGGAGACCAGTGGGCCAGTACCACAGAGCCCAATAGGTTGTTGCGCCGAGAATTGCAATTGGAATCTCAGCGACAACATTGGCCGTACAAAATGCAACCCAGCCATAAATTCTGGAAGGAAGTTCTCGCACCTCCCAAAGAGCTCGGTTCTGGTAAAATTTTGGTACAACGGCATTGACGATAGTTGGAGGAATTAGGAGAATGAGGAAGGAGGTGAACATTCTGTCTATTCGTCGAATTAGTATGGAAGTTTCCTAAAATAAGGGAGAGATCTCAGGAGCTGAGGAGCCGAGGAGCTATGCTCCCGAGACAAATGCGCATCCAGGCTCCCGTGAAGTTCCCGGCGCTGAGCTCTCGAACGAAAAAAGAGCAATTTGGATTACCTTGCATATCGGCCACGGTGTAACCTACGAATGAATTAGCTACGTATTTCTTTAGGGAAAGAGACGAGAGCATGAAACATCCCCCGGACCAGTGAGGTAAGGAGCTTGGGATATAGGACAAAGAAATAGGTTGGTTACCCAATTTCCAGAACGTGAAGCCGTTGAAGATACCAATGATGACCGAGACGAAGAGCTTGCCGTAAAGGTATGCTGGTTCTCTCCAGTATTGGATGAACAAGCGTTTCGTGAGCTCCGTTGTCTGTAAAGCTACAGGTGAGGCAAATTCATGCTGATCGCCTGCGGCTCGAGTTTCAACTTTGCTTCGCTCGGTCTTGATTCTCTGGATCTCTTGCTTGACCTCCTTTGCGTTTTCTGAATTGAGCCACTCGTCGTTCCAGTTGAATCTCTTTCATCTGATCGTCTGCCTCCTTTCGCCGCAGTCTCAAGAATGAATTCAGCCACTGTTCTAGCCGTCAGGATATTGTTCAAGTCTGTGGAGAGCGACTTACCATTCTTGTTTGGTGGACACTGGACGCCTCTGTCGGCAAAGTACTTGATTACCGCACTGCCATTGTCTCCCACAGCACCGAAGTAGAAGGTGTGTCCACCAGGATTCAAAGCAAGAATCATGTCGAATTCTTGAATAAGGACTGAAGATGGTTGGTGAATAGTACAGATGATTGCTTGCCCGGCTTGCGACAACTTCTTCAGGAAGCGAACAATGCTGTATGCCGATTGAGAATCAAGCCCAGAGGTGGGCTCATCCAAGAAGAGCAATAGATTAGGCTTGGCTGCCAACTCAACTCCGATAGTAACCCGCTTGCGCTGTTCAACTCCCAAGCATCTGATTAAAGCGTCTTGCATATCGTGGAGTTCTAGAAGATGAATGATTTTGTCGACGTAGGCGATTTTGTCAGCTTTTGAGATGTTGCGGTCTTGTCGAAGAATGGCTGAGAACTCCAGAGCCTCTCGAATAGTTGCAGTGCCATCGTGGAGATCCATTTGCTCACAAAACCCTGTGCCCCGTTGAAATTCAGTGTCTAGGGGTCTTCCGTCGACAAACATATCCCCAGATACAACTCCAATCTTCTGTCTCTGAGACAAAGTATTCAGAAGAGTTCTGTTTCCAAGAAATCTGAGTCAGTGTACTTCGTTCAAGTGTTTTGGGAGTAGAGTGTTCCAGGTACTGTTGGACATTGCTAGTAGAATGTCGCAGGAGCTGTGGAACCTTGCTTCAAGACGGATTAAGTTCCGAGAAGTTGGGACTTACGTTTTACCGGCACCCGACGCGCCCATAAGTGCAATCACTAAAAGTTTTGTCAGTATTTGAATCACTCAATTGGGGGGGACCAAATATGAACATTGTTTACTTACTGACTCCAGGCTTAGCATAGCCGCTGATTTTGTTCAGGAGTTTTCGTTCGTCTCCCATGTACGGAACACTGTATTCTACATCCTCCCAGGTGAAGATACTTTCGGAGCCGGAGATCTGTTGGAGGGCCTCTTCCTCTTGCACCCCTAGAATGTCGCTAGATCCTGATGAATCGCTGGGAATGCGTTCCTTGTTTCCTTTCTCAACATCAGAAGGAGCAGTCGCTGCCTTGACCTTCTTCTTTGTGGCTTTCGATCTTTTGAACTCGAGAGCACCGCCACCACTAGCATTGAAATTGAAGAGCTCAGATGCAATCATCGTGATCCCGATATACAGAACGGTGAAGGCGATTACTGAACCGGTCTTAGCTATATCCAGGATTTCAAGCGTGAGAGCTATCACTTACCAACACCAAAATTTCTCCAAAGATGACTTCTTGAATAATTGAAAGACACGTTTAAATATCTTGATCCTGGAACATTCAGAGATCCAACCTCAGCTCCAGTAAAGGCACATCCCTGATATAAAGTGTTGTCAAAGCCAGGGCCGTTTGGCACAGTCTCAGATGGGTTGCAAGTGAGTGTGCGGTCGTAGAACTCGTCTGTAATGACAGCTTCGAAACTGTAAGCAATTGGGTTGACCCAGTATAACCATCCAAACCAGATATATTTGGAAAGCAGCTGCGGCCGGGGGATAACATATCCGGTATAGGTACTAATCAAAAGTTTCAACAAGGTTATTGTACAGTAGGGAGGGGGCAAAAATGGGATACTCGAGCCAGGGAAAGCAACCTACATCAGAAGATTGAGCGCAATGCCAGAGAATCGTACTGCATCATCGATGCCAGGAGACAGAGCGGCAAACATTCGATACAAGCATGTAATGCAGAGTGTCGTTACGTAGATAAACAGGAAATAGATGAAGAATTTGGAGACATCTACGTCCAGACCGGTCAAGAAGTACTGAAGAATATCAGTTCCGTCCTTCTGAAGTTGGGACTCGCTTACCATGATGATCGAGAATGGGATGACCTGAACCAACAGCATAGGGAAATCCTGGAGGACTCTAGCGATAACCACAGCGGAAGGTCGATAGAAAGCATAGTCGTTGTGTCTGGCAATGATAGTGCGACCCGAAACCTATTGCCAAGAAATCGGGGTAAGCATGCTTCTTTCAGGCAATTCCTGGAGTAGGATGTTCCAAGAGCTGTTGGACGTTGCTACAAGCGGATCAATACTCACAGCTTTCATCAGCTCAGACAGCTGAAGCCATCCCAAAAATAAGATAGAGAAGAAGAGTGTTCCACCTCTTGAGAATGCACCCGCAGTATCGGTACCTTGTCCATAAAATAGAGACCCAACGATAAAGCCGTTCGAGATGATAATGAAAAACTTCGTGTAAAGGGTCGTTTTATCGCCCCACGTCAGCCAGAACTCACGCTTCGTACAAGCAAGGACTTGTCGAACAAACGAAACCGTGTAGCTTGATCGTTTTGACACCGTTCGGGACTTTGTTTCCTGTACGGACTGCTTGAACTCCCTGGCATCGGCATGATCGGTCTCGTGAAGCATTTTCTCATAATTCTCGACATCCCGAAGGACAAGTTTATACGCTTCACTCTCCCGGAAGGCCTTCTCGAGCTCAACTGGGCCCTTCGGAATCGGCCCATCGAAGTCGTCTCGGAATCTTCGCTCAGTCGGGTCAGTACAAGCAGTTAGGAAATCTGCTGTTGTCTGTCTCTCTGGACAGTAATACCCAAGATCCTGGAAATATTTCTTGGCAGCGCCTGCGGGTCCTTGATACACCATTCGGCCTTCATCGATAACGAGAACCTTGTCTACAAGCTCGTAAATGCCCTCCCCGGCCTGGTACAACGTTACAAGTGTTGTTCTGTTACTGATATCGGTCATGACTCGAAGCGAATGGGCGTAATCGAGAGCCGTTGAAGCGTCCAGGCCACGGGTGCTATTATCCCAAGCAACGACTGTAGATTTCGTCGCAAGTGTTTCCGCAATGGAAACACGTTTTCGCTCACCACCAGAAACCCCTCGGACGAAAGCCTAAAAGGTCAGCAATAATGTACCATAAATAAGCAGTACACTAGAACACTTACATCACCAACCAATGTGTATCTGGTGTGGGAAATCCCAAACATCTTCAAAAGCGCACCAATGATAATCGGAATATCTCCCTTCTCGTGCTTCTTCGTTTTGTTCAGGAGTGAGAACTCGAGTGTTTGCTCCACAGTCAGAGTTGGAAAATGCTGATCGTCTTCTTCGTTGTAATTGACTTCTCCTTTGTAATGTTTTGCTTGTTCTTTGGCCGGAATGCCTCCGTAAAACACCCCGCCTTCGACGCCTGCGAAGGCCGCTCTTTTGTTGCTAACAGCTTTCAAGAACGTACTGCATCCACTTCCTGGCCGCCCGAGGACCAGAAGCATCTCGCCATCTCGAACAAGACCGGTGAAATCACGGATCAGGTCTCGCTTCTCTCCTACAGAGCCAGGTTTTGGTAACCCAGGGATGAATCTGGAAAGTAAGTTGTAAAGGTCTGGGCCGAAAGTCTGCAAGATGGTCAGCATTTATTTCGTTGCAGATATTTCCTTCGCAATGGAAACAACTTAAATCATTTCTTGGGGGAATCCAAAGCTCTTACCCCGATAACAGCAGATGGTAGGGTTTTGACAAAGGTAGTGGTCGCTCCCACTCCCTTCACTGTAAGATTCTTATAGACGACACCAACTTTCTTGGTTGACATTCCAGCCCGTCTCTTCTCAAAGTGGCCATCCTTCAAGAACTCATCCAATTCGAAGTCACCCTCACTACCCTCCTCAGGCTTCTCTCCCTCCTGAGCTTCAAGATTTCGCTCAAGTTCATTGCGAGCATCGGAAGCTGCACGAGAACGACGACTTCCAGCCGCCGAGATCCCTCCTAGCCTAGATTTTTCTCGTGTTGCATTACTTTTAATGCTTTTCTCGGTGCGAGTTTTCGAAAGAGCGGTCAATTCCCGGCGCATTTCCTCATACTCGCTCATAGCTGAACGGAGATTGACTGGCACTCCAATATCACGCTCGCCCCATGTTCCATTGTTGTCGACATCACTCGTAGAGGAAGAAGCCTCCTCAGGCTGATGTGGACGCTCGCCGGTATTGTCAATGTTGTGAAGAGGAACGCTGGTGCCATCAGGTCCCTCCGCGTTCTCAGTGAACATGCGGTCCGACTTTGTATAAAACATGGTGGAGGTATTGCAGGCACAGGGAAAGAGTAAGAGAAGAAGAGAGAGAAGATACAACTTGGATCTTTATTGAGACGTCAAAGATGATGTTAGATCCGACTTTGGCTAGGCACTGGCGCAGCCACACCCAATCTTCCGGCGAAGCTTATAAATAGGAAAACGGAAATGTGAAAGGGGCCATCGAGGTGAAGACGAGGGCTTAGCTCTGTGCGGTCACTGGGCAGGAGAGACGGAAAGAGTGGGACTGCTGTCGATTGTACGGGATAAGTGCCGGACTTTGGAGTTTGCAATCTGAGTACCTTTCTGCTGAGAGCCCATAAGCAGGATGCAGGAGGCATCATTGGTCCTCGAAGTCGTCGGAGGCTAGCGCCATTGCAGTGTCCAGTTGGTGACTGTTGAGGTCGATGACAAAGAGTGATGAAAATTCACCGCCGAGGCAATAGGGTTGCTCCACCACTCCAGTCCAATCAGCTATCGAGCGCATTGCCGATTCCTTAAAACTTTTGATATGCGGCGCTGCAACCCAGCTGCGTAGTCAGCGGTGTTTGTGTGTTTTATCGGAGTTAAGACGTTGGGCACTGAGCAATGCTCCCAGTGCCACACTTTCAAATAATCTTGTTCATGACTCAACCTCTTGGCTGCATTGAAAAGGTCTCCACAGTTCCGTATTTCTCTCCCTCTGAAACAGCCCTGCAATTGCGCCATTTGTCGGGGGAGCAATTGATGAAAAATCTCAAGGACGGACTTTGATGCCGCTTGTCCGTTCCCCTCATCACACCGACTGGGCATTGGTCATCCTATAAGTTCGAATTTCCTTGACGAGCCAGATACCCGTTCGTACCTTCCACAAGTTACCACTGGTGGTTCGTGAAAGCGACTGGGCCATACTAGCGACTGGGCCACCCGCAAATTTGGTGTTCCTCGCTAAATTTGTAGCACAGACCAGTATAGACGAGTTGGCTAGAAGTATCTCCCATACAAATTTACTATGTGAAATACTTGGCCCAGTCGCTAGTATGGCCCAGTCGCTTTCACGAACCACCAGTGGTAACTTGTGGAAGGTACGAACGGGTAGGTGCAGTTAGCTCCTCCACCTTGCTCTCACCATCACGTGAACGCCACAATCACGTGGTGATGGCTTGCTCTCTTGCGTTGCGAAAGGACAAAAACTTGCAGATTGTTCAAGGATTTAAGAGATTCTAGCCTCTTCGGGAAAAGATGTGCGTTCTTATCCTTTTTCAATTTCTCTTTTAATTTCTTCCAGTCAAGGTTGTACTCGCAACGTCTGGAACATCCTCGGGTTCGCATGCTATTTTTGGACATGTTCCAGAAGCCAAACCGCTTGGATATCCTTCTGTCAAGAAATTGCAGCGAGTGACATTCACGTTTTTCTTCCCGAAGCTCGTATTGGGTTACTCTATCTGGACTTCAGGGGTAATCTGAATTATGAAGCTCAAGGGAGGAACATAACTCGAGATTGGACACTGCTAGCGTTTATGGGATATTTCATTGTTTATAAGCGCCATGCAAATGCAATTTAATGAGAGTGCTGCCGTTATAATGCCACCAGAGACCTGCTCCTCCCAACACGAAGCACTCTGGGCCCTTGCCGCTGGGCCCAAGATCTATATACCATATGTGCAATGCCCATTCCCATATCTACTACCACGTCAAAATGTTTACATGAATACCGCGAACACGATACCGAGTCCGGCAACCGTGACTAATCCGCCGTTTTGTGAGAGCAATGCGGGGGCCCCGGCAGTGGTGGATTTTGCGGTTCCGCCAGTGGTCGTCGATGAGGAGGAGTTTGTGTTGCCGGTTGCAGTGGCCTTGGCGGTAGAGGATGCCTTTCCGCTCGCTGTCGAGTTTGACTTGGTCTTGTCGGTGGCTTTTGCTGCCCCAGATTCCGTGCTCTTTGTCTTTTCGGCCTTTGTAGAAGACTGTTCTTTTGTCAGCGATGGCTCGGATTGTGTTCTCGGCGATAAGATTACCTCTGATTGAGCGTAGACAGTGGCGGCTGTGAGAGCAACGAGGAAAAAGCTTGAGAATTGCATTTTGACCTTTTTGTGTGGTTTATTTGGTGAATCAAATAGTTTATTTGGTTGTAGGAGATATAGTTGATGATTGGGATGTTGCTTGATAGATAGAGGTATGATGATGATGATGATGATGATGATGATGATTGAAATTGCTGCTGGATAAAAGATTTCTCAAGCCAATACTTATAATCGAGAACCAGGCCCTAGGCAAGTTTCAGACTCCACAAAACGCTGTCTTTCTCATCGGCGTCCATTGACTGGGTACGTCCTTCTTGGGACGGCAGTCCACCTCGGGTCTCCCTAGGGGATCTCAAACGAAGACGCTGAAGTGCTTTTCGCCAGACTTCTGGCAAGTTGAGACTGGATTCGTGAGCATGGAAGGCTATTCTTGGCAGACCACGTAACTGATCTGCGGCATACCTGTTGGGAGGCGACTTCAGAAGGCATCATATCATGCCATGACAGCTAGCACCCTTGCGAAGAAACATTCAGACGACGACATCGGCCAATTATGGAAACATCGACATCTACCAATCACACTCCGTACAATACTTCTCACTTGAGATCGAAGGTGCAGCCGTTGAAACGGCGACAGAATGCACAGAGCTTCGCCGCTACTTGTGTGCGAGACAGAGTCTGGGGAGTTGCTGGTTGCTCGGGACGGAGTGTCAACCCCAGAATTGGTGGTGGATGAGTAGGGCTAGCGACTGGAGTGGTCGATGCGAACTGACGGAGGCAGAGGATGCATGGAGAAGTTGAAACAAGCTCGGCAAGAGAGCCTTGCATGCCGGGGCAGCGAGGCTTGAATTGTGCCACTCCATGAGAGACCCTGATTGGGGGGTTCTTAAAGCTCCACCTAAAAGGGATAGTGGCCTGGACCCAAACGTCGTCGTTGAAACCCGCCCCGTATCACCGCAGCGCGGTTGGGGCGTCAAGATCTCAAGCCTTTAGTACTTTTGTTTGACGGAATGATCGCCAAAGTCTGTCCAATGTCAAGACATTGGCATCGTTCACTAAGACTCTCGAGTCATTTGTAGTTCTGGGAAATAGTCATTTCCAGCCAGTTTTGACGAAGTGCTTCCTTCCTTGACAGATTGCTCACCCACTAGAAAACACTAGATGTTTCGCATTAGTATAATAGAAACATCGACCCATCACAAACAGATACTTAGCGGCCATGAGGCTCACAAATGGTTGAATGCCGGCATAGTTGCAACTTGTTTAAGCATTCGTGATCTGCACAGCTGCACGCTACATGCGCCATGCTGTTCTATAATTGGGACCAGCTAGCGTGTTCTGAATGTGCAAGACCAGTGCAATACTCCATGGCAAATTTGAAGCACCGTTTCAGCCCAACTTATCTCAACTCGGCCCCACATTGAGAACATTTTTCAAAATACGTCGGACGTCGAAGCCACAACTCTGCTTGTCCTCTGGGCGCGGGAATTCTTGCTCTAGAAACTGCCTTCCGATCTGTTCTGCATCCTCTAGTTCCTTGGTCTCTTCTTCCGAGACTTTGGCACAAGCTGCGATCAGGTCCTCACCTCGCGCTGCCAAGAGGATCAACTCGTCTGCTCTTTCCACAATCGCTGGGTCAATGCCGTTCATCAAGGCGCAGCAAGTACCAAAGCTTGACGTACTACGTCCTGGCATGAAGTTATATAGATACGTAATCTGATCTTCGACAGCCTCGGCGTGCGTGTCCACGCGAACCTCCATATGTCCAAATGTCAGCTCCGGTCTATCTTGCAGGAATCCATTTTCAAAGATCTCGTGGAAGTGGGTTGCAGCAAGAACTTTCGGCCGATGCACGCCCAGATCAAGGAGGTATTGGAAGACACCGCAACAAAGACCAGCCCCATCGGAGACTGTGGTGCCTTTGCCAAATTCATCGATGACGACGAGGGTGCGTTCTGTGGCTAGGGTCATTATCAAGGCCACCTGCTGGAGATCAATCATGAAGGCACTCTGATTCCTGGAAACACTCTCCCGGCTTGCAATCCTGGTCAAAATCTTGTCCGTCAATCCAATCGTGGCCTTTTCAGCAGGCACAAAACTGCCAATGTGTGCCATATACACGATGAGGGCGTTTTGTTTGAGATACACGCTCTTTCCAGAATAGTTCGGGCCTGTCATCATAAGAACGTTTGGACTTTCAATGCTTTCCTGGACAGCCGACGCTTGAGATCCCAAGCCAGGGCTGGCATTTTCATCGTCTCCAGTCCCACCAGCAACGAAGCAGTCGTTTAAAATGTACACCGGAACGGTGAGCTCTTGCAACGGGTGACGACCGGCTTCAATTCGTATGACATTGGATGTGGTCATTTGCGGTCGGCTGAATTGATATTTTCGGGCGCCCAAAGCCAATGCGACCAGGCAGTCGAGTTCTCCACAAAGATCCGAGGCAGCGATCAGGATCCGTTCGTGCTCCAGAACTCTAACCGCCAAGGCATGTACGATTTCAATTTCTCGGTCTGCGGAAGCAACTAGTTAGTTAATCGTCTGACGGTATCATGGTAAGTCTCACCGGCGATCATTCCATACATGTCACCAAAATAGCTGTCCATCTCTTTCATCTGGTGATTCTTGTAGTAGCCCATGTCATTGCTCACGAACATCTTCTCCCACACATCATTTTCGATTCCTTCTCCTTCATACTTTCCATTGCCCGTGTCTGGATCGAGTGGGACCACCGTGAGAAATCCCAGTTGCGGGAAGAATATGCAGTTTTGGACATATTGACGAGCCCACTCTGGCAATTCATTGGACAGCTGGGTGGCGACTTGGGTAAGGAGGCTGTCCATGCCATCGTATGTTCTTTTGAAATTGTCCAGCTCTGCGTCTACGCCCTGTAGAACCGCCGGACGGTGCTGATCCACAGATCTCTCGAAGTCCACGACGTCGGTAATCATCTGACATATCTCGCGGATCCGCAAAGGATGTATGTTGGTCAATAATTTGCTAGTAATGGTGAGTGCTGAGCTGCCATTCATTTCATGAATACCCTCGAGAATTTTCAGCACTTGAAATGTAAAGACCCGGATGTTGCCCCATACACCCCGTCCAACAATCTTTCCTTTACCCACACCGCTGATGCCCTTTTGCATGTGGATGACGACCGTGCGAATATCCTTAACTTTCCTCAAACATCTACTAATCTGCTCGAGGGCCGGCGAGTTTTCCGGTCTGAGCATAACGCTGATGGTGTTCAACCGCTCTTCAATAACTGCCAAATCTGTACTGGGTCGGAGGAACAATTGTCGAAGTTTCTGCTTGCCTTGTGGAGTGCATGCTAGGTGACAGAATAACCCATAGAGAGAAAGTCCCTCTTTGGCACCAGAAGTCGCTTTGTTAGGTCCTTGCATATGCGAGTTTGGATGGTTTTCAGACTGTATGATTTGGAGTGACGCTAATGTGTCTGCATTGACAAACATCATGTCTGACAATGTAAACATCTCAATTGTGCGAATCCGGAAGGCGACGAGAGAAGCTCCATCATTTGGGAGGTATTCGATGTTCTTCTGACGTCCTATATATTGTAATACCGCTCCAGCACATCCGACCTGTACATCCTGTTAGTGCTTATAGATATGGAGAGGCAAGAAAATGATCGAACGGTGAGTCTGCTGTCAAGATCAATCCAGCCAGCTAGTCTCATCAGCCTCCCCTGGCGGCCGAGCCCAGCTAGTTCAACCTGGCCATTTGCGGCTTTCCCAATCAACTCGTCTCCGGGGGTTGTGAATATGATGTTGGGTACTTCATCAGCACTAAGTTCGAGGTTGACCAACTTGTTTTTGGCATTCTCATAGTGGAATTCAGAGGAAGGTCGAGAGTCAAGAACGTAAGAACCGAAGATGTCATCTAGGACACGGTTGTCAGACCAGTACAATAACCAAGTGGTATCTACTTACTTGCTTCATCTCCTCGGTCGATGCCGCGGGCTTCCCTGTTGAGATGCTCCTCCAACTTTTCATCCGATCGATTGCTGATTAAAATGACAGTAGGTTGTACATGTATCTTCAAGGTATCGATGATATCGAGGCCACCCATCTTGATGTCTTCCATTAGGCATAATTTCTCTTCCCTTGCAACATAATATGCACAGCCAATTGTACCACGATCCCGCAGATCAACGGCCATGATGATCTCATTCATGGCGTCAGCGTCTTCTCGCATCTGGGTTTCTGCATCGGATTCGACGATTTCAGCTCCGATGACATGTCCATCTCGTCGTGATGAGTTGACTGACGACTGAGAAGATTGCGGTCGAAGGGAAATTCTTGTTCGCTGTGAGGCTGCTGGTAGAGCCGGTGATGATGCTTGCAGACTTCGGGGAACAGAGCTCAATCGAGAGAACGTCTGAGGACGAGAGGATGATGGCGCTCGTGATGAGGTCTCAGAGCCCAGTCGGCGACGCTTGTAGGCCATTTCAAGCTACTTGGGGCTGAAGATGGCTTGGTTGAATTAACGAGGTTGAGAAAGAAATTGGTGAAAGCGGCATTTATACACTCGCCAAAAGGAGCAGTCTGCTCGAAGGCCAACAATCTCTTGACTTATGAGCAATAGCGCGAAAATCAACGAGAAGAAATTAAAATATGCAAGAATTATCTGACTTTTATTACAACGCAAGCTTCCCAACCATCTGTCGAGAATGACTTTTTCGACAAACAGGATCGTGGGTTGATGGACTCAGAAGACTTCCTAGCATACCTCGTTCCAGCTTCCATCTGACTCGATGTTCCAAACCCAATATAGGCATCCTCTGCAGAATCTAGCTTTTGGATGCTCCAGCAGTCCCTCCTCCTTCCCTGACCCACTCTGCAAACTCTTTCCTTTGCTTCCGGATATCTATGAAGCCTGGCCGACTCTCCAACATCCTGAATGGATTTCCCACATAGTCCTTATCTACATTTCCATCACTGTTTGTGAAGCCTTTCTCTCCTTCACGCTCGATCTTGCCAGCCCAGACGCGCCATTGTATTGGTCTTAATTCTGGAGTTCCAAGCACCAGCCCCAAGCAAATGACGAACACGGCTACAACAGTTTCGATTGATATATCGATCGGTAGAGAGGCGACCGTCGATGCAACCGCTGTATGCGATGCCATGGATGATAAGGATGCGGTGCTTGTTGAGTGGAGAGCAGAGTGTTCGTGGGCAGAGTAGCAACTATTCCCCGAGCGAGCTTCGTCAGCATTTGGGCAGGAGAGTGCTACATTAATGACAACTTACGCATGCGTGAGTAACAGCAGACCTAGGCCGGTGACAGATTTAGATATCCAGGTCATCCTTACTGAGTTGGAGTGTCGATGTGAGAACGTGTCAACTGCAGTGAAGTATTGGGTGTTAATCATGGCTGGCCCTCCCGGCCGCAGTGTTTTAGCGACTCGTAGCGCGTTCTGATGGGACATTCTTGCCGGGGCAAGGGTAGGGGCATTTCAGTTGTATATTTTCACAGTTTTACAAGCTCATTAAATTGGATTTGCAAGAAATTTTTCGTATTTCTCTTCTCTTCCTTTTCTAGCCATGATGATCATTATGCGTTTAGCATACTCGTGTCATCATCCTGTAGAAAGCTAGCGTAAAAGGCGTGGAATCATGAATGCTGGCAATTGCTTCGAATCCGAAAGGTCTAATAAACCAATAACTCTCTACAACTTTTGCATGGCAACCTGAAAAGAGTCAGTTTTGTTCCAGCGATCGAGCAGACCAATAAGCTTACAATATCAGTAGACTGGACGAAGTCCTCAAACTCCTGGATCTCCTCTTGCAAGTCATCAAGACCGATCTTATCATCTTCGATAACCAAGTTGATTTGCAGCTTCTTGATGCCGAAACCAACAGGAACGAGCTTGGATGCACCCCAGACAAGACCATCCTTCTCAATGCCACGGACTGCAGCCTCGAGAGCCTTCATATCTGTCTCATCATCTAAATTATTGTTAGTAAATCAACAAACAAATATATTTGAGGTAAAGCGTACCCCACGGCTTGACATCCATAGTGACAACGGATTTGGCAGCAGGCTTGACTTTTCCTTCCTTCTTCTTCTTGTACTCAGCCAAGCGCTCATTTCTGATTCTCTCAGCCTCAAGATCTTCTTCTTCATCGTCACTGCCGAACAGATCGACTTCGTCATCATCCTCCTCCGCAGCCGGTGCCTTGGCTGGGTTCAATGTGGCAGTAGTGACCTCAGGGCCGTAGGTTGTATAGGCTTTGGAAGCATCACCTGGCAGAGTGGCGAACTCGTCGGTGTAGGAAGCAATGTGCTTGTACCATCGTGCAGCGTGGGGATATTTTGGAGAGGCTGGTGCCGACTTGAGAGCCTTGAAGGTAGCAACATCAGCTTGGGAGGGGGCGTATCTGTCCATTGGGTTAGCCTTCTGCAGGGCATCTCGGGTTACTTAAGTAGGAATGATAAAGAAGTAAAATTCAGAAATGCACTTGAATGCTTTGGAGGTCGTCATTTGAGGGTCTTGAGGCCTCTCTGAAACACGGACCAAATGTTATTCATCATGAAAGGGATTTGAAGGTGATAGCTGGCAGCACATTGCGACGGCTTCTGATCTTGCCATGCTGTTTCTGCGAGCAGCTGCCGCCTTCTTTGGGGCACATATTTGCGATGGAAAGGATATGTACGTACCCAACGATGTATGAGCGAGTGGTCAACCAGCTGTTCAGCACTGAGTCAAGTCAATTCGCGATCTCGAAGTTGCGGTCGAGTTTGGATTCTCGACTGGAGTAGGGAGTTTACCGGTAAGGCCAGCATCCGTCAGAAGGTCGGTGAATCCCATTGTGATCGATTTGGTATGGTAGGTCTTGTAAAGAAGTTCGATGTAGTTGTGTGGTGGGGTTCGAAATTTTGAGGTCGGCCAGAACTTAAAATAAAAATGTCGATGGTTGTTGTGGCAGAGTGCGGCTACGCTTGTGATAGGCTAAAACTAAAGCGGCGTGACCCAGAGGCTTTGCACATGGCGTGACTCAGAGCGGCAAGTATTAACGTTCTCGGTCGAAATTGGACATTTATCTGGGTTTGGAGGGGCAATGACTCAATGATTTAACCCTTTCTAACTACTAAGATATTTGAATGTGTAGCCTCTGACTGTTCTAGAAACATTAGAAGAAATTTTGTGTGGAATGACCAACTTGACTTGATTAATTGAGAATGGGTGCCGCTTTTTCCGTCCATGAGCGAGCTTCGAGAATCAACTCAATAATCAGATCATAGCCACATACAAACCCGCACCGCCCTTGGAAATGCGTTCCCTCTCTCCTTTCTTCTGGACATATTCTTCAAGATTGTCATAACAAGCTTCAAAAACATGATTTCAATCCGACAACTTCGGGCTCCTGCATGGCGCATCACCACTTCTGCTAACAGAGCTCTCAGAGTCGATGGACATCATCTTCGAATTGCAGCTGCGCAGGGGAATCTCGGATTTGGACAACGAATTACTCTACCAACTCTCTCAATTCGAACATATGCCAATGGACGTCCTCACCCCCCGGGAGGAACTCACCGTATGGACATGAGCGGAGGAGAGGAGAAATCGGCCCTGGAACAATATGGCGTGGACCTGACTGCTCGTGCCAAAGCTGGAAAACTCGACCCAGTTATTGGCAGGGATTCGGAAATTCATCGAACTATACAAGTGTTGTCTCGACGGACGAAGAACAATCCTGTGCTTATTGGCAGTGCTGGAACAGGCAAGACTTCTATCCTCGAAGGTTTGGCTCAGCGAATAGTTCGAGGCGATGTTCCCGAGAGCATCAAAGATAAGAGGGTTATATCACTTGACCTTGGACAATTGATTGCGGGGGCCAAATTCAGAGGAGATTTCGAGGAGCGCCTGAAAGCTGTATTGAAGGAAGTCCAGGAAGCACATGGCGGCATCATACTATTTGTCGACGAATTACATAGGTCAGTCATACCGTACCTGATTCGAATTCCAGTGCTAATTGGAAGGGTAGTCTTCTTGGATTGGGAAAAGCCGAGGGTAGCATCGATGCTAGCAATTTGCTAAAGCCAGCACTCTCCCGTGGCGAGCTTCAATGTTGTGGCGCAACAACTTTGACCGAGTACAGACTGATTGAAAAGGGCAAGTTTTAATTTGCTTAGCTAAGTCTGGGCTTGAAATCATTATTCTCTTCTTCAAGGACGTCGGGTACTCTCCCAGCTGGGAAAAGACCTGCGCTTCAGGCCATTGTTCTCAAATGCCCGTTATTGCCCCGGGTATGGCTCAGACAATAACGTTTCGTATTTCACCGACTGTGCTTTTTGTTTTCTGTAAACTTGCTGGATGCCCCTTTGACATGTTGTCGGACACTGCTTGTTCTTTTCACTTTACTTCTTGAAATTATCGGATGATGATCTCCCAAAATATTTCTCAGAACATAACATTCATTATATCATATTGTCTTTCTGACCAAGTCGACTGACTGGTTCTCATAGATGTCGCTCTTGCAAGAAGATTTCAACCTATCCAAGTCAATGAACCAAATATTGCCGATACAATTAGTATACTCCGCGGCATCAAGGAGAAATAGTAGGCATTCTCTGAGTTATTCCGTCTCCTTCCAGATTGTTTCGGGAGCTGTGAGACATGTTCCTCCTCCCAAACCATGTCAGCTGTTCTTGGATCAAACTTGATCCTCTCAAATCCATTGCAAAGAAGTAATGCTAACTCACAAATCTTCCGTCAGTGAGGTGCATCATGGAGTCAGGATAACGGACGGAGCGCTTGTCGCCGCCGCTACGTACAGTAATCGATATATTACTGACCGGTTCCTCCCGGATAAGGCTATCGATTTGATGGACGAAGCCGCTAGTGCGTTGAGGTTACAGCAAGAGAGCAAGCCTGAGGATATTCTTCGTCTTGATCAGAGGATCATGACGCTTCGAATCGAGCTGGAAAGCTTGCGGAAGGAAACCGATATTGCCAGTCAAGAACGGCGGGAGAAACTTCAGTCAACCCTTCAGGAGTGTCAAGACGAAGCTGCAAAATTGACTGAGAAATGGGAGAAAGAGAGAGCCGAGATTGATGCAATCAAGAAAACAAAGGAAGACTTAGAAAAGGCTAGGGTGGAGCTCGATCAGGCAAAAGTAAGATCTGTTAAATGCACAATTCTCCACCACGCCTTGATCTTCTGGCCTCTCGCGCTAACAAGTCATAGCGCGAAAACAACTTTGGCCGTGCAAGTGAATTGAGATTCTCTATTATTCCTTCTTTGGAAGAGAAACTACCAAAAGACGGCGAAGCTACCGCCAAAACTTCTGAAGGCAGTCTCATCCACGAATCGGTCACCGCAGATGATATTGCCGCCGTGGTCTCAAGGGTCACGGGGATCCCGGTCAACAAGCTTACCTCCGGCCATGCTGAGCGATTGATCAACATGGAGGACGCCCTTCGACAATCGGTCCGTGGGCAAGAAGAAGCCCTGAAGGCTGTATCAAATGCGATCAGAATGCAGCGTGCTGGCCTGAATGGAGAGAACAGACCTCTGGCTTCCTTCTTCTTTTTAGGACCTACGGGAGTTGGAAAGACTGAACTTTGCAAGAAGGTTGCAAATTACCTGTTCTCGACTGAGTCCGCTGTTGTGCGGTTCGACATGTCCGAGTTTCAAGAAAAGCATACGATCTCACGACTCATTGGAAGTCCCGCGGGATATGTTGGTTATGATGATGCTGGTCAGTTGACTGAAGCTGTTCGAAGAAAGCCATATGCTGTTCTTTTATTCGATGAGTTCGAGAAGGCTCACCGTGACATCTCCGCTCTCCTTCTCCAGGTATGCAAACACTCATACACCTCTGAGACGATATCTCACTTACTCTGAATTGATTTGATCGAGCAATTGTTGACTTCGTTTCTTAGGTACTGGATGAAGGCTTCCTGACGGATTCTCAGGGACACAAGGTTGACTTCAGGAACGTCTTGATAGTGTTCACATCCAATTTGGGCGCAGACATCCTCTGTGGCAATGATCCCATGCATCCATACCGCGAAGAGCCAAATGGGGACGTTTCTCCTCAAGTTCGTGACGCCGTCATGAATATCGTGCAACACAACTACGCCCCTGAATTCATGAACAGGATCGACGAATTCATCATCTTCAAGAGATTATCAACAGAAGCTTTACGGGACATCGTTGACATTCGTCTAAAGGAGCTTCAGACCCGTCTTGAAGATAGAAGGATTACCCTGGAAGTCGACGACCACGTCCGATCATGGCTGGCCGAGAGAGGTTACGACCCGAAATTTGGTGCGAGGCCACTAAACAGACTGATATCCAGGCAGATTGGCAATGGCTTGGCGGATAAGATTATTCGTGGTGAAGTGAAAACTGGCGATATGGCAGTGGTAAAGATTAATCCAAAGGGCGATGGATTGCTGGTTGGCACGGTGGAGTCACTGAGTGCTTGAGTAAAAGCATTTGTAGCATTTAAGGCGGCATTGGGTCGTATCTCTGCTCTTGGGCTGGAATACCTTGTAAACATTTGTACGTATAGTTACGGCTCTCCGCTTAGACTTTCAATTAGACTCTTCATGGATACATTGAATCCTCATCTGCTGGAACATTGAAATGTACACAGTGCGGTTCAGATATTGGAGCAAATGTGGATGCCTCATGCAAGACCAAAACAAGAATTCAGCCACTTCAATGGAACCATATCGGCGTCTTTGCCGCGTGCCACAAATACTCGGAAGTCAGATGCAGCCCTCGGTGTCCATGGTGTCATGATGTAAGGAGGAATTCTTTTATTTTAAAATTCTTGTCCCGTGACTGATTCGGCGAACGTCCCCCTGACCTGATGTCGGCTAACATGCCACTGCACGGTTTATCTAGGGACAAGCCGCCAAAATCGACTAAAATGGGCGTGCAATCTTTTGCTGTCCATCTTTTTAGCTCGAAGTACAAGACGTGCTTAATGTTCCCACCCTGCCCCCAGACGAAGTGGGGCAACAGCCCCATGAAGAAAGACAACTTTGATGTATCGAGACAGCAAGCCAGAGTCCCTGTATGTGTCAGACGTTTTCAGTACTCCACCTCCACGTCCGAAGATCAACTCAGGCCATTTGACAAGGTCATTAGAGTCTCCAATCGCAAGTCCCCAAAGTACAACAGAGTGACTGTTCGATTTTCTGAAAGAGAAGGACCAAAACCAAAACGTTTACGATATACAGATGATCGGCGAAGACTACACCGCCATCCATTTCTCATAGGCAGCATCGCCAAAGGCATCCGGAAAGTCATGTTTCTCCGGCCATTCATCCGCTTTGGATATTTGTGCGTTCTTCGAGAACGGGGGCGTTGTATGCTCTCAAACTTCTTATTTCGATATACAAATGACATACGAATTCTCACTTCACGTGAACGTCACTTAGTAAAAGGGGGTGAAAAACTCTCTCGCTGGGACGCTTTTGAACAAATAGGTTTGAATTGCAATGAGTTCGTCTAGGAGCAATTGCTTTCAAGTGATGCTGCTTAGGACCGTTCTCTTATAAGTCTGCAACGGTCCATCCTTTTCAAGTAAATTTTGAGAGCTGTTTCGATTCCTTCTCCCAGCATCGATCCGTGCAATACAGAAATAACGACTAATCTGAGGCTCATGCTTTCCCAGAACTCCCACACTCATCCATCAACCTCTCCACCTCCTTCTGAAAGATATCAATGCTATCTTCCATCAACTTCGTAATCGGCAAGAAACCCGTCTGATGCCTCTCATTCATCATCTTCTTCCACGGATCAATTAACTGCTTGTTAACATTTATCTTGCTCACCCCATGGCCAACGCACTGCTGAAAAAGCGCTTGGTCAAAAGCATTCGTCCCATGCAATACAATCTTGACTTTCCCCTCGACCGCCTTCCTCACCTTCTCCAACCGATCAAACTCCAACCACCCCCTGGGTCCCTTCGCTCCATACTCACCATGAATATTGCCAAACGCTGGCGCCAAGAAGTCGATCCCTGTAGCAACAAACTCGAGGGCTTGTTCGGGGGTAGTCAACACCCCTTCCAAATCAGCCGTATCCTTCAACCCATCCTCCCCGCCTTCAATCCTGCCCGGTTCAGCCTCAGTAGCAATCCCCCTCTCATGACAGTAGTCAGTCAACTCTTTCGTTAGCCTCAAGTTCTCGTCTTTCTCGTAGTGGCTCATGTCGACCATGATGCTGTCAAACGGCAAGGAAGCAGCGTATTTCACGAGATCGTATTCCAGACAATGGTCGAGATGGAGTGACAGTGGGACGTTGGCGGAAGCGCAGACGTCGGCAGCGAGGTTGACGAGGTGCGACTTGAACTGTGTGAGGGCCCAGGGGAAGAGGAGGATCATGGCGGGGGAGTTCTTTGCTTCGGCTGCGCGGGCAGTGGCGATGATCTCTTCGAGGTTGTACTATGAAGTTTTAGCAACCGTCTAGCGGCTTCTATATCATTGCCCCACGTGATATGAATACGAGAAGGGGGAGTTTGTTGGAAACGAAAATACTTCTAAGGGGAGACTACTCCTTGGACCCTACATGTGAATTGGGATCTCCAGGTCACTGTCAAGTGAGAGGACTTTACTTAAAGGATCACGGAACACTATCTTTCAAATTTCTCAAGAACGAAACAATAAACATACACAGACAACAGAAACGATGCCATAGCCTCCTCGTTCGGCAGCATCGAGGATAGCAATGCTTTTGTTGTTCTTGAGTTTCTCCGCACCGGAAGACATGGCTCCTAATCGTTTTGGATGTGAAACTGGGCAATTGGAATTATTTTCAAATACAGTGATAGAATGTCCTCAACCGAAGAGAAATCTGTGAACCTGTTGCAAAGACGTGCAGCTCACTCTCCGCACTTCGGCATGACCCCGCCAGAGTCGGCATTTGACGGAGACGGTCTGGCAACGGAACCCCTCCTTTTCGGGTCGTGAGCTTCGGCGTTTGCAGTATTAGCCGTGCTGAGGCACAGTCTGAGTTCACCGCAGGGACTTCCCGCAGGAAAGATTGAGCCATCGTGCCAGGAAGAAGCTAATCTTGGCTCGCTGGTGGTTGTGGTTGTGGTTGTGGTTGCCTTGCTGAGTCAGTTTGGGGGCTGAGACGGTGAGGCATCAACGCCACAGATTTATCCCTGGCTTCAAGACTTCCGTGTACCGTGAAATAATCAAATTTCCCTCCGTCCTCCTTGGGGAATGAGGCAGGCATGCATGATCTTCAATGCTCTCTTCGACTCATCGCCATTTCCAGAATAGCTCAGGAAACACCTACTACTATACGAGTATATCGGGCAGGCCGAGAAGACGTACAACACAGTTCCTGTTGCAGGATTCGCCGCGTCGCTCCTCCAGGCTCAGCTGTTCGAACTTCAAGTGCCACAGCACGGCCACATGTGGCACAGGCGCTACTCGAGAACTTCCCCTTGAGGAACATAATTAGGCAGGCGGCAAGGGAAGCAAGTCATCCTCGCTTTGCGAAACGGGTGAGAGCCGGTATGATGTGAGCCTGGTCCATCATCCCCAACTTTCTGGGTAATCGTGGGACTCAGAGCTGAGAAAGTGGCCTGGACTTCATGCCGCCAATACAAACAGGAAGTCCGGATAGCTTCTTTGAGCAACGCCCAACGCCCAATGCCCAACACCGACTGGGTATCCTGACCCAAGACCCGCACTCTCGAACATTGGCCCACGGCACTTGCACATCGACACTCAATACAGTACAGTAGTAGAAATGATTGTTGGTTCTGGCATCAGCTGGGACAGCCGGAGAGTCTCGGGTTGCTGGTGCCGCACTGCAGTCTGCAGCAGTTCGAGGGACGAGGGTGGGACCAGCCTTGCAGCGGCCCCCACCGAGTCTCCTTGGCTGAGGACCTCCTCTGGCCTATCGCTGTTCTTGAAAGGATGCTGACGAAATCCTGGCCCTCTTTCCTGGACCTGCATTTCTCCACGTCCCACGATCTGCAAAGGCCGGTCAGACCGACGGGGTGGGGTGAGGCGAGGTGTGCCAGCCTGAGTCGAGCGACGAGCGATTTGTGCCTCTCTGCCAGACCGTCCCACGATTCCATCGCCCTCCCTTAGCTTTTCCTTACTTTCCCTTACGGCCTTACGGAGTATTCTTCTACAGTAGTCAGCTTCTTTGGCCTGAGATTCACGATGCCACCCCATCAGCGCACCATCGAAGACTGACGGACTGTCCCTCCTTCCCTCTTCTGCAGTACGAAACTCGCTCCCTGCACGGGACAGCCATCCCTCCCAACCCACTCCGCTGGATCGATCCCCCCTCCCCTCTTCCACCCCCCCCCACCACAGCCATGGCGATCTTCAAGAATCCTGTCGGGCTCCCCATGCCATGTTGCTGTTCATGCGTTCGTGGCCGCGAGGCTGAAAGCCACTGCTGCGCCTCCGATCAATTGCGTTTCATGATTTCATCGAGAGCCGACTGTTGGGCTTTTGCTCAGCCAGGGGAACCGTTGCCCGTGCATGGCACACTGCAAGGGCCAGGAACCGAGGAGCCTCCGATATTGCCCAATGATCAAGCTATTATGGTGGAAATCTGACACCACAACCATACTTGTAGCAACCGTCGATAACGCTATGTCAGGATGGCAGACGATATCCTTTGCGTGGCCCAGCTGCCAGTAGTGGGCTGCTTCTTGACAACGGTGTGAATGGGAACTTGGGAAGCATCCGGTTCACCGCTTATTATTTCCGTGACTGAGGAACGAAAACCAACCGCCAAGAGCGATCCACAACGAACTCCCCACAAACAATGCATCACATTGCGCCGTTCCCGCTCCAAGCACCCCCCGTCTAAAATCTGACTCTATTTCAGATCGCGGTCCGCGGTCCACTCGGGGAACAATGCCACCTTTCTGCACGCTACGGAGCATCGTTCGGCACAGTGGCCGCTTTCAGCCCCCTTTGGCCGTGCCTGGCGATTTTTAAGTTTCAGTACCGGTCCTATTCGACAAGCTATCACCAGGCTGAAGCCTCAGATACCATGATCGAGCGGCTACTAACCTAGCATAGAGCAACCGTTGATTTCTGAGCACTCAGCCCAACAAACCAAAGCCAAAATAGCAATTCGTTGACTATTCACTGCTCAAGGGAACGATGTATCCATGGTAACGACACGACCAGTAAATTCGCAGCCCTCTAGAAAACGTGGAGAAAGTCTCTGGAAGCGATCGAGCTCAGGCTATGCCTAATCGTTCGGATTAGAGTCCGCACTCTCGTCTTTGCTGGAATTCCAGGGTAGTCTTAGTCCCTCAAGGCTGAGGCCCCAGCTAGGCTCACTGGGCTGAGGGCCCCCGCTGGCGATTCTCCATGCAGTAATTCGTCGCGCCCATACAGATGCAGGGAGGACAAGGCAGGGTAAATGATCTCACTCCTCCCCTGCTGGAAGGATTGAACCAATAAGTCCCCCGGATACTCTTCGACGGATACTTAAAATTCTTTATTCCCCTCCTCAAAATGACCGCTACCACTGCACGACCCTCGAGGCAATACTCGCTCAAGAGCAACATGGACCCAGCGGCAGACAAAGAAGAGCGCAAGCGCGAGGCAGGCCTACCCTATCGAAAGGCTTCAGCAACACCATGGCTAACTTGCTCTAGTACAATCGACTTGCTCAGCGAGAATTCCGTATGGTACCCAAAGATGCCCAACCGAGCCAGGATCACTAACAGGACGTCCAGGTCGCAGGAGAAAAGAGCATCTCCGAAACCTCGAGCAAGCACAGAAAGAACAAAGCTCCGAGCAGTCAGAGGAGATCGAGCGTCTACGGTACCAGAACGACGAACTCAGAAGAGAGAATGATGCGCTGCGAACACAGATCTACGGACAACCCTCATCGAGTCACGGTATGCTGTCGACGCAGATGGCAGTCCCCTCTCTCGGCAATGACGGGCGACAATACTCAATTTCTCCTTCAATCTCGGGCGCTTCAATGTCAGCGACAGGAAGCCCACCAGCGGCATTGGGTTCAGATATGATGCCAATGGCGGCTCTATCACTAACATCTTCGATGTTACCACCCTCGATGCAAGCATACGCCGACCACTCTGCTTTGTCATCCCCGCCATTCTCTATGGTACAGCATTCATCCGGACTCCGTCATAATTCAGTTCACAAAAGCTCACCTGAGTCATCAGGGTTCCGAAGTTCTCGATCTGCAATGGGACCCTCTTTTCAGTCTCTGAATGTATCCCAGGTCGAGGCAGCGCCGCAGGCACCAGGCCAAAGACGACTCAGCGGTCAGCCACAGTGGGTTGCACCCATCTACTATTTCCAGTCAGGATTTTACTGATAGTATCTTCAGAAATATGGTGGTGGTACCATATGATCGCAACAGAGCTCGAACAGAAATCATGGATATATTTCGACCATTGTATCAAGATCCATCAGCCGCGTCAAATCCCGACCGACATCTCGCCGTCCTACGATCAATGAGTGACAGCCTGCCTCCATCTCTCAGGCCCAGCAAAGCACAACTCGAGACACCCCACTACTACGGAATCGACATGATAGCATCTCCTTCTCTGCGAGACTGCCTGCTCACGCTGACGGCAGAGGTAGCAAGAAGCTTTGTTACAGACCTCGGAATTGCGGGAGAGCAAAGGGAAGATGTTGGACAGGTCATTATATGGGGTGATGATCCACTTAATGAGATGTCGTGGGAGCTTTCTCAACCTATATTGGAGAAATGGGATTGGCTGGTGGGACCTGGATGGAAACAAAGGGCGAATTTCTGGCGCAAGCAACGTGGAGCGCCAGAAATTCCGGAGTGGTGATTTTTCGACGGCTGGAACTTTTCAGATTTGACGAGACTCATGATATAAGGGAACAAGCATAGCAAAAAGGCGTTTGGGGCATTCTTTAGCGTTCAAGACTTCTTCAATGAAACATTTTTCAACCCATGATCTCCAATTTCTAATGTTTTTCAATTCCACACATAATGAATCTAGTAAATTGCTGCGTTCTCAGATCTCAATATCTCCGATGACGCAAGTGCTCAGACCTATCTCGAATTCCCAAAGACCCGGGCCCATCGAAGTCAAAACAAGGATTGCCCCCCACTATCCTCCAGTATTCCAAGAACTCCACCGCTTTTTCAGCCAGGAAACTCCAAGGTACCCATCTCCTCGTTCCGGCCGAACTCCATAACGTGACACTAACTACCTAGGTAAGCTCACAGCCCAAACTACTGCTAGTTCTACTCCGTAGTTCTAAGTGGTGGAGCGAAAACCAAAGTTTGGCAGGGGTAACGTTGCAAGCCAAAGTGTACGCTAAGAATGAACGGTCGGAACTCTCTTATCTTCTCCAGAAGTGGTAAAGAACCTAAGATGGGAGATCCGATAAAAACCATAGCTGCATGATCAGTGAAACAGGATGTGTTCTTCCTCCCCCCGCGCAACGCCGCTGGTATTCGTACTTGCATGAACAGTTAGGCTTTCTTCTACCCCAAAATCCAAGTCCAGATCCGATCCAAATCCAAAGGTGCGCACCGCCCCTCTCGCTTACGGAGTTTGCCTTACTAAACATAGAATCGGTTTCGTTTGCTTTAGAGTAAGATAAGGTCTTACTAAGCACAGAAAAATATGCATATTCATCATAAATGAAACGGGGTAATTAACATAGGGCTTTGCTAATGCCACAGTGCAATGCCTAAAACCACAGTCGCTTAGGAGGAATGCACAGCCTCGCTGCGCCCGATTTCTTTGGTACTTAGCGATTGGCTGTGTTCCCAATCAAAATCGGAGTACCTTTACAAACACAATGCAGATATCTAATGTCAAGTTCCCATTAAAGTGTAAATCGATAATTATATTGAAGCTATTCGCACTACCCCACCTCCCTAGTAAATTGACGATATTATACATCCCATTCAAAAGAGAACTCAGGGTCATCCACTAAGGAATCGTCGTCGTCGTCGTCGTCCTTATCAGACAGCAAGTGAGACCAATCCACCTGCTTTCTTGTACTCCTTTGCGGACGAGCAGGAGCAGACGTAGGAGGGGGGACTAGGTTGATATCAACGTTCTGAATTACGTCGTTAGACGCTAATTCGTCGAGCGTTGTATCCTCCATATCCTTCTCTGCAATCGTGCTTTTTGACCGCATATATGCCCGCTCCCTGACTGTTCCAGGGACATAGGAATCACGCCTAGTACCTGCTCCCCTAGCCAAAGCAACTTGCGTAGTCGATAGCGTAAGAGGAGGTTTACCGGAGGCGATTTCGGCAAGGGAGACGTCCAAGAGCTCCTGAGCTTCAGGAAGTATATTGCAATCGACGTCGATAAACTCTTGAGTCTCATTTTCGTCATTATCTTCCGGAGCAGGGCGCTTTTGAAGTCGTGCAGGAGCAGTCGAGGAAGGGAACTCATAGGGGTCGATTTCGAAGGCAGAAGGGTGTCGACGAGTACTAGTCTTTCCATAACCCCTTTTATGCGATTGTCCTCCTCTCCTACGACTTCCTCTCCCTCTCCCTCTTCCACGAGCCGGAGGAGCTAGAACCGGTTTATCAACCACCACTAATATGGCCGTATTCTTCTTGCCAAGAGCACCTTTCGGGCGTCCTTTGCCTTTGACGACGTCTGGATTCAAAAGTGGAATCACTTGACGTCCAACTAGCGGTTTAATGCCATCTCCACGGTTATAATACCAATGTGGATTGATATCGGATAATATGACTATTCCACCGCCTTGTATACGCTCCCACAAGATATGCCAGTACGGAATACCCATATATCGAGGCGTACCACATTCGCAAGGCAAAGGAGGAGGTTCGATACCGATTCGTGACTTTTGAGTAACGATCTTATGCAGGGCAAAGGCGTGGACGAAGCCAATTACGGTAGCAAAGAGGGGTATCTGAATCGAGTATAGAGGACGTATACTCTCATTCGCAAGGTCGTCTTCCATCGTCTCGTATTGATTACGCCAGTATAACTGGAAACGGTCGAATACGCTCTTCATATCTCCAGTGCTCTTGCGTAAATAAGACTTTAGGATAGCGTGATTGCCTTCGATTCTCGACGTAGAGGTATTGCCAAAGTGACGAACTTGATTAGTGTACTGCTTAATCTGTAGATAGTGAAGTTAGCGTAATATTCCTCCTTTAGATATTCCTCTCTTTAAGAGCAGGAGACTTACTAACTTCTCCTTCCATATTAACCACGTATCCTCCAGATATTGAACAGGCTCCCAGGGGAAGTTCAGCAGTTTTAGCAGGTTCTTCTTATATTCCTCCGTGTTTCGACTGTTTAGCACCCCATGCCAAGCTGTGTAGAATGCCTCCCATTCCTCCTTAGTGTTAAAGTGCTTTTTATAGTTCTTAAGCACATTCATATTGACGTGCCAGCGGCAAAGGAAATGGTCGGATTGAGGGAATAATTCGTCGATTATAGTGATTAAAGCAAGCTCCCGATTAGTGATTAAATACGTAGGCTCTTGGATACTATAGAGCGCCTAGCAAAGTTAGCGTAATATTCCTCTTATAGATATTCCTCTCTTTAACTTACTATATAACCCCGCAGTTGCTCTAATGCCCACTTATAATCTTCCTCCTTCTCGCCGCTCAGAAAACACAAGGCGAACTGAGGAGTCTTATTATTACCTGTCACCCCGCAAATATTCAGGAGCGGCATATTGAATCGATTCGTCTTATAGGTGTAGTCGAGGAGTAAGTAATCGGGGTTGCTCTTCCAGAGCTTGATCGACGTCGGGTATATATAAAAGAGTCGAGTGACCTTGTTTGTAGCTTTATCGTAGTTGATCTTATTGTAATATCCAAGACGATCAAGCTCCTCCTTTAGCCACTGAATTGGCGTCAATCCTCCAAGAGATTCTAGCCGTATCTTCTGCCCATAGTTATATATATTCCGAGGCAAGCACTTAGCTCCCTTTGCCCGCAAAGCTGATATAATTGTCCGCGTAGATTCGCCGGCGTTGTAGGACCTTTTGATCTCGTCTTGGTGTTTTGTAACGTCTCGTCGTCGTAGCGCAGGATGAGCGGAAGAGTTAAGTGAAGGAGGATGATTGTGAGTAAGTTGGTTGACTATTAACTGCCACACGCCTTCCTTATTAATCTCAAGTCGAAGTTGAAAGGGACAATTGGTCTTTCTGCTCCCAGTACCCGCTAAAACCCCTCCTTCAGTTCGTAGCTTTCGTGGTTTAGCTATAGACTTAGTTCGATTGCGATATACTTCTCCACGGTCACACGCAAAATATGACCGGAAGGGCATGCCAATGTCGTCTTTCTCAGTACTCCGTATTACTACGCAATACCCAAGATCTCGGGCATGATCTTGACAATGCTCGAGGGCAGCTTTGATACTGGAGAAGCTCGTTTGGGGGGGTGCCGGACCGAAGATGGAGTGTTGATTCATAGTGGAGAGGTTGGGCAACTATAGACCGCGTAAGTAATAGGAATTGCAAAGGTAATGAGGGGAGTTTAGGATACTTACTTGTTGTGTTGATAGCCCAAGAATGTGCCTCCATTCTTGAATAAACGTTTACATTACTTATTAAGAATGAAGGCATTCCGATCTCAACAAGACTACCGCATTAACTATCATGAATCTCTACAATGGAGGGGGAAGTTAAGCAGCTAAACACTGTAAAAGCATTATGGGAATACGTAAAAGACTAGTACTTATTATCTTTATTATTGGAATATATCTTCATTACTAATTAAGGCATGCGGTACTTAATGAGGCGATAACGAGGTGATGATGCTATTCACATAAGAGTTAGTGATGGAGGTTTGCGCAATTAGGCTGCAGCCTCACCAAAAAAATAAACGCAGCCTCACACTCGCTTAAAAATCGTGCATTAGCGACTGTGGTTTTAGGCATTGCACTGTGGCATTAGCAAAGCCCTTAACATACAGCTCTGATAGATAGGTAATCTTATATAATTGCGGGGAAAGGATGGGTCAAAATGTCCCGTTCCGTTTCGTTTGAGAAGACTTACGAGTAACGAGGCGGGGTAAGGTGCATGGCAGTGATAGGATATAAGGTTCATTACTGGCACAGAGTATTTCTATTTGAGAAAAGAACGAGGAGAGATAGCTGATTTGCCGTTTAATCGATCGTGTCCAGTCTGTACTATAGGCATGATTAACCTTAAGACCGGTGTACGCCACACAAAGCACCATCGATCCTCTCCCCTCTACAAAGTAGAGGCAGTTTAATTTGTTAGCTAGTTAGTCCCGCCTAACTTGACTCTTCGTTGCGAGTGTCACAATTGGCAAATTCGGCTCATTTGCAAGTCACTTCGTGTCTTGTCCAATTCCAATGCCAAAAACCTCACCTCGTATGGGCAAAAAGGATCTTCATCCAAGATCATCGTCCAAAACAGAAGTAAACACGAAATTGGACGATGGCAGAAAGCTCTCTTTTGGATTCTTTAGCCCCCGAAACGACAGGACCAATGAGAGGATTGCTTCGCTGAGCAGAGAGACGAGAGTCGTGATTGGCCCTTTTACCACAGGGGTGGGTATGCGGATCAAGCACACTTCGACAATGCCTTTGAAACTCGTGCCTCCTCAGCCTCGCTGTTGGGCTCTCTGAGCCATTTTAATGATAAGGAGCTAGGTGGTGAGATCCTTCGTGGGGCTGGGTTTAGGAAGGCGGATTTGAGGATTCTGAGCTAAGATGAGAGGAAGTGTGGCGATATGAATGAGGATTCAATTTCAGACTTCAGAGAATGAAAGCTGCATTCCCACATTCTGGGTAAAAGTGAGGAATTATGAGAAAAGATGCTCGTAGAGTATTAAGTTTTTGATTTAGTATGTGCGCCAAAATATCGTCGTTGAAGACCTGCTGCCCAAATGCAAACCAACTTGCTCCAGCAGTCGAGGCGTTGAAGCAAATCGTACTAAGTGGCCAGAAATCTGATTTCATCTCTCATATCTCTTCGTTATGTGCATCCGCTGAAATGGAAAGTGTTTACTCCATAGATGGCACGATCCTTTCACTCTTCGCTCATGATTCCTGAGCCCATCGTTTCTCTCGAACTGTCATGCCCTTTCCTGACGCCGCCCGACTTCCGTCTTCTTCTGCTCGCCATCCCCAGTACTCACCCAGCCTGAGTTCCGCATAAGAAGCATAATCAAAATCGATCTGGGATATTTGGGCCTGAATTAAGGCCCAGATTCCCCAGTAGAATCCCGGGATCCCTCGAAAGACGTCGACTTCGGCGAACAGACGATGAGTCTCGGCTTCCTCCTCTGCTGCTGATTTGTCAATACCCAGATGCTTGAAATAGCTTCGTATGTATTCACGAATGAAATCTAGTCTTTGAGGTTGCGTTGGGAGGAGATGATGCTCGCAATCGAATCCACCCCATTCTGCAAAGTGGTTCGCAAGATCGAAGGCTGCAGGTGATGGTGTAGCGTATTCGTAGTCAATGAAGCTGACTTTCAGAGGTGCTTTGGGCGTTATCGTCTCACTTGACTGTGGCTGAACGATTACATTTCCACTAAGTAAGTCACAGTGTGCAAAGACAAGCTGGTGAAGTTAGCACAATTCGCTGAAAGAAATCCGTTGTGGCCAACAACAAGGATTGCATGAAGAGGTAACTTCTGTTCTGTGCAATCCTCAAATTCTTGTCAGCCATCTTAGGAAGCACTTACGCTATTATCACCGAGACCCGGCCTGTTGCTGAACTCCGCAACGAGACGGGTCAACTCTTTCTGCAAGGTTGCTTGTCGTGCCATCTCAGGTTCGGATCCAATTGGAAGGGCATAAATCCATTTCTGCATCACCGTCCAGACATTTGGGGCAGGTTTTTCTGGAGCCACAGTGTCAATAGCTGTTTGCAATGCCGGATCCTTCTTGCTTGGCGTCGGTGCTGATATTCCGAATTGCTCGCTGCCGTCTATCTCCACAGCCAGCGGCTCTCGATGAGTAGGCAGGCACGGAACCACAGCATGCCATTCAGCTAACCGGTTAGCAACCGCACGCCAGATCTCCTCTCTCCTAAGATCTGCTGGAGACGTGACGGCACCCTTTATGAACCGGTATAGCATGCCATTATGAAATCGAGCAAGTAGGGATGGTGCAAGGTTGTACCTTGTGAGTAACTCGTGGTTTTGCGTTTCCCGCTCTCGATCGATGATCAAATCCGTACCCTGTCCATAAGCTCGTAGAAGGACTGCCTCGTTGTCTATTTCTTCATCCGATAATCCAGGTGCCCTATTCACGACCTTCAATAAGGTGTTCGTGATCCCGTCGGTGAACCGAACAAACTCGACCTTGCCATTCTCCCATTCTGGTCGGAGGGTGAGGATAAGTCGAAGAGCAGATGTTTGTGATTCGGCTTGGTTGTAAGTGAGAGGTATGAATCGAATTCCGCTTGCGTCTTTTCTGGAGCCCGACAAGGGCTCGTTCTTGGGTGCTGCCATGCCGCGCGTTCTCTTGTTGGGAAATGTCGGTGAATAAGAGGGAATCTGTATATTCTGTCAGTGTATTTCGGTCAAAGGGATTGGGAGAATGTACTTCTTAAGTATCCGAGGCCGAAATTCCGCTCAAAGTTGAAATTCGATGATCCACGCACGAGCTTCGGGGCAAGCTTTAGATGAAAGTCGAAGAGAACAGGGGAAGCGACGACGTCATAAAAGACCCAATCCTGCAATTTGAGAGCTGAACCTCGAATTGAGTATTGTTGAGCTCGGAATAGTTTGCGAGAGTCGGCCTGGGGAATCGAAGAGGTTATGTAAAAAGATTCTGAGTCTTGAGGAGGCGTGGGGGGTTTTGAATGTTGAGGGTGGGCGATTGAATATCAATGCTTGAAAGTTTCCGCCACCGATTCGCGAGCTTGGCTTTCTGTTAGGCAATAGGTCGCGTGCCAATATTTCCCTGCAGAGGATTGGGGGTGCCGTCCAGTGAAGGGTGTGTGCGAGCTTGCAAAGGGCCGGAAGCACGGATTCAGGGTTGAGAAAAGACAAATACCAGGTCTCGTGCTCCTCGTGCTCATGCTCCTCGTGCTCATGCTCATGGATCGCGCCTCTTTTGGGCTAGCGTCAGGGGCGCGAGTGGGGATGTGGACGGCAGCTTCCATGGCACTCCCAGTGAAATGAATCACTCGTCGAAGTCAGGATGTGTGTATTTACATTTGTGCCGGCCAGAAGTTCAGGTTGGCCCAATCTCAACAGACACACTCAAACTTTCGTCCTGGGCCAAACAAAGAAGTGTGAAATCATTTCCATCCAAACGATTTGCCTGTGTCACGTGAGATCAAGCCACTTGTGGGGGCGCCCGAGTCCGATGCCGATCGCTTATTATCAGTTTCCCTTATCTCATCCATTCAACGTCCTCCGATAGATGTGTCAGCCGACTCGCCGCTCTCTAAGTCCAAGATGGTTACCCCATGGATACAAACGCGGCAAGTGCCTTCTAAGAGGGTTTCGATCTTGATCATGGTTCATTCCCTTCATTCCATTGTTCTGCTTCCAGCCAGATTCAATGCCTCAAGACGAGGAAGCGAGCGAGCATACCCATCTGCTGTCTCCAAGGGTCGCTGAGTTGTCAGGACGCAGAAGAAGTAGTCAGCGGCCCAACGAGCTGGACGAGGCTTTTCCCATTATATCTTCACATGTCTCTAAGGAAGAGCGAGAACTTGCTGGTACTGCTGTCGGGGAGAGGCTGCCTTACAACGATTACGCCACCATTGATTGGTTACATGATTTAGTTTGTCTAATTGGGCTCTGGTAATAACGTTCATGTTGGCAGCTGCTTCTGATCAAGGATTCATTTCGATATCGTGGAGCCCATATCCAAGAAAAGTATCAAGGACCGCGTGCTTGCTGGCTGAGATCAATGCCAACCTTCCTGCTGCAAGCCAAGACGAAGGGAAGACCACATAGGTGGTGATGAAGGGCCTTTGGTGAGCAAAGCCATGTATATGGCAGCTGGCAGTAGGATCCCGGAAATCAAGACCATATTATCTGGGTCCAGCATCCCACAGCTCTTGGACTTCAAGGTTCTCCTTGTCAAGGCTGCGGGAGCAACATTTGCAGTCACCACGGGCATGTGTTTGGGAAAAGGAGGCCCGTTTGTCCGACAGGTGCCGAGTATCTGGTGGCCAACTTATTTCCAAAACATCGAGTCTATTGGCGTAAAATGAGAGAGATGCTCAGTACAGCTTGTTATCAGGTCTAAGTGTTACGTTCGGAGTCCCGATCGGCGGTGTTTTGTTCGGCTACGAGGTAGTCAAATAACAACTTTAAGAGCAATGCACTGATTCATTTCATGGAATAAGTACTTATTTCCCCAGGAAAGGTCTCTGGTCTCTGGAGAGCCTTTCTTTGTTCTCTCACTGCAGCAGCAGTTCTGAAAGCTTTGAATCCTACTGGAACCGGAAAGTTTGTTCTCTCCGAAACCAATTACAGTCGATGCAGGCCAGTAGTGTAAAGTCTCGAAATTACTTCTAGCTACCAAGCTATCCCAGCTCAAAACTTGAGGGCTCATGGGTGCTGGTCTGTGCTGGTGGATGGTAATGCTATACTTTATGGCTACTTGACGCAAGGAGAACTCGATTTCGCTATCCATGAGGAGGGCCTGCTGAAAGATGACGAAGCAGTCGATTTACAGAAAGGAATCATGTCTAAGTTGGTAGACCGGACACCCTTGAAGATCTCTGCTAAAGCTCCGATGAAGTACGCTGTGGAGATGTTTGGAAAACTGGGACTGTGGCACTGGGAAGGTTGTGGGAGTCATTATCCAGAGCAATTGGTGCTGTATCTGGAGGGACTACATCATTGATGCGGCGATGCACGTTCAAATTGTATAATCTTTATGAATTCGACTTGATTCAGATATTATATTACCAAGCTAATAACATAACACCTATACACATCTCAAACCACCCCCCTTAATATCTGATCAGTACCAGAAGCAACAAGCCATCAAGAAGACACTAAAACCCAGCAGGCTGCCAACAATTTCCTTGCTCGCTCCATTATTGTTGGTAGTCGTGAAGGGCGAACTATTCGTAACCTCAGGATCCGTCGACGGCCTCCTAGCTGAGCCAGAAGAGCTCGTTTCAGCCGCTTGAACACTTGTCATGAGAGTCGTGGTGCTCGACGCTGAATCCGATGCCGTCCCAGAAGGAGACCGTCCTGTACCCTTGATTGAAATCGAGGTGACTGTCGATGGTTTGCCAGAAACAGTAGTCTTACTCCCCACCGTAATGGGATAGACCACATAAATCGTTTCCCCAGACAGAGTTTTCGTCACAATTTTCGTAGAAACCGACGATTCTATAACCGTCATCGAGACAGTCGTCGTTGCTTCACTCCCCCCAGTTGCAGACGCCCCTCCTACAGTAACAGTCGTAGTCTTCTGAGCATCAAGACTGCTCGCCTGATTCTCCACACTCAGAATCGTCGACTCGGGGATTGGCGCTCCGGCGATTTCGCAGACGATTTGTAAGGGGGTCAAGAGGAGGTCGTTGTCGAGGTCGCTCTTGCAACTGTCGCGCGTACAGGTTATAAGGTCGGGGAGAAAGTTACCGGCCGAGGCTCGACAGAGACAGGCTACATCTGTGACGGAGCAGTTGTCATCTTGGGATTGATTGATACAGTCTTGCATGCATTGTGGAAGGAATGAGACGAAGGAGGTGTGTGCCAGAGGGATTGTGAGTGCTGAGAGAAGCAGCAAGGCTTTGCCAGGAATTAAGAACATCTTGATTGTCGAAGCCAGGTTGGCGCGATCGGCTCCCAACTGGTAATTCGAAGGCTCCAGCTCTCTCAAAATGGCAGCTTGGGAAGATCGGTATCGAAGGAAGAAATGGCCGTTAACTCGTTGCCATCACCATCCCCAGATTCCTCCAAAAGTGCTGTGGCTGGTGAGAGCTGCGGGGAGAGTCACCACACAAAATATGCCTTTGTTACCCGGCTGTGGCGACCTAAGAAACCCATCCTCCATTTGAAAATACCATGCTAGACACGTCAAGGTAACTGTGCTTCCCTGTTTTGCCAGCATAGTTTGGTAGCGCGGGCCGTTCGCCTAAAGCCCTGATTCGTGGAAAGCGAGGAACTTGGCTGCGGTTTGTGTTGCACCGCCACACCCGGAAACCCTATCGGGTCTGATCAACAGAGGAACAGCGTCCAGACTCCTGCCGAGCAGACATCCATGTGACGAAGAACAGTAACGTGGGGAGAAGTGTCGTAACACTCATGTGTGGAGACAAAACGTTAGATATTTCGTTGTTGGTAAGACATAAATGATTCTCGTCACTTCTAAAGAACTGCTCTACTTCTAGTCTAACTTCGATCCTCTTTAGCGGAAACACAAGCATATCTCAAAAAGCAAAGTCGACTCTACTTGAGCATCCCGAGACGCCACAAAAACAATTACTTTAGCATCCTGGTACAACCAAAACAACTCTATGAAATCTACTCCACTGAAGCCTCACTCCTCTCGGACGTGGGCGAGTACTTGAGGAGTAATGCAATTCTAGGCCTGTCACGAAACCATGGCTCTTTGATAATGGTCTTAAACCCACACTTCTCGTACAAGCCTACGGCGGCGGGATTGTCATGTTCCACTGCAATACTGAAAACTGCGGTCTTCCCAGACTTTGCTGCTTCATCAATTCCGAATTGAACGGTCCTCGCGATGATTGCTGTGGCGATACCTTGACCGCGAGCTGAAGGTAAGGTGAACATACCAAGCCCACGCCAGTGTGATTGTTCACCTGCACTCGGATCACCACTAAGAATCGTCCAAGGATCCTTGGAGGGAGATGATCTATCATCAAGCCATTAGAGTGAAACCGCAAAGCTCAAGAGGATTGAAGAGAAAAATTTTCATGGCCAGGAAATGTGCTTTGAACCCGGTCCCACCTCCCGATTTGCACTTGACATCGAGAGAAGAAATGGTCAGAAAGACTCACTCCTCAGGAGTACATGGAAGTGGCCCGCCAAGAGAGATAGAACAGACGACCTGATCTGACCGGAGGGCTAAGAAGGTCGTGATCTGTGGATTTTTCAAACGGTTGAACCAGACATCGTCGGTGAACGCTATCTCGCGCGCAAAGGTCGATCCAAAAGCGTCCGGATCAGTCTTCAACGCGAGAAGTCGAAAGGCCTTGTGTCGCTCCAAATATAGTCGAATACCCTCGTCGTCACGAGGAATCTGAATGATCTCGAACGACATCGTTAGGGGGCGTATGGACAACCAAAAACGAAAGCACTGGTCTTAGAAAATCGCCGACACAAGACCGCAAGACGGAGGATATGGAACATGGGGGGAGCAAGAAATGGGAGGAGTTTGTACCATCTGAGAAGGTTCGCGTGACTCACTTGAGGAATATGGGGGATGAGGTTTGTGCGTGGCCTGCGCGATGTTGCAGCGCTTGAATCAGCCCGTGTGCAAGGTTTCTCGGCGCCGCTAAGCCCGCCATTGTAACTGGAAGAGCCCACGGCGCCCTGTCTTACAATCCTCGTAGCCGCAGCCTTGCTGCAGCACTGCGGGCGCTTGGAACATCATGAGAAACATAAAGCCACCAACATGTCCTCTGCTTTGCTCATTAATGATCATACATACTCCCCGCGATGACACAAGCCGCTCCCGACAAGTTCTTGGACTTTGACGATGCGGACGTGTACAAAGACACCCTGGAGCGCAATCTGCGCGACGCGACACGGAACTTCGTCATCGAGTTTGGCGCAGACGAGGCTCGAATCGCCTTCAATTATTCTACTGAAGGCGTGTCGGATTTACTGAAGACAAAGCCTTCCTCGAAGCTACCTGTGAGATGGATGTGAGCAGATTCTTCTCGTTTCGAGGCTTGAAATCGTGTCCTAACTCGCTCTTTCTACAGAAACATTTGGGGGCCTCATCGACAGCCTGAGCTCGTCGACGTACTTGGAACCCATTACAAGTTTTCCCTGAGACTGCAAGCCATAATCCGATCCCCTCCACCGAAAGACCAAGCTCCTTCTACAGACAAAGATAAACATGTCAGTCGCTTCAGCAGGCGAAAACCCTGGCAGAAGAATGATCCCGAGATTGCCTTGACAAGCTTGGAATCTTCCGCCAGTTCCTCCACTGCACCTCCACTTATACGAAGTAACACCACACGAGGTATTAGTAACGATGTCGATCATTATACACTGGCAGACCAGATGCAGAATTATCATGCTCTTGATGTTGGGCGACACTGTAAGGGATCCAGGGACCCAGAACCGGGCAAATGCTAAATCCATGAAGATGTTTGTATAGGCGCCAACTGGATGCACGAGCTACCCACAAAGATAGACGAGCGTGTAGATATCGTGGAAGAAGGAAAGCAAAAGCGGTTGTACTCCTGGCTTTTCCTTTGTGATGACCGTGCGTTTCTCCACACCCCTGGGTGTAACCTTCTCTGATTCCTGAACAGATACTGTGATATCTTTCCATGAGTATCCCGGCCAAGTCAAAGATCCGACTCATCTCAAAGCCATGCGGAGCAACACCTTGAGTGTCTTGAGACAACTTTCGAATGTTGGCCTTGACAAGACGGATCCGCTCTCTGTACAGTCAGTTCGATACGCATTGAAATCTGACGTTGGTGTCCTCCCTTCTCAGACTACACCCGATATCGAGGGCTCGAGTTTGCTCCTCTATTACTTATTTGACGATTGGCGTGCCGTGTACTCTACGGTTGGGAAATTCCACGATAGACTGAATACTTTGGTATCAAAATCTTACCCCTTACTTTTCGACCCATACTAACCTATCTTAGCAAAATGCCATCTTCGACGAATTGGTGAGATGGATTCCCCCCCCCCCCCCCCCCCCGCCCCCCAACTTGTTCTGATTTCAATAGTCTCGGAAATCCCATAAAACTCCAAATGTCGAGATCATCCCCAAGCTCCACGTCCTCGGTCGTCAAGTCAGACAAATGCAGCACGTGTACAAGGGGTACAAGAATCTTTGCAACCGAGTCATTGACCCCAAGGCAACAACGATACAGGGAAGCGAAAAACCCAATGCCAGCATCGTTTATATCTCTCAGTCAGCCAGTCAGCGATTTGAACGTCTAGGTGATCGAATCGATATCCTGATTCTGAGCGAGATGGAAGAGTACACCGCCGAAAAGGAGTCCCTGATATCTACAGTTTTTACCCTCACCCTTATATGATTACAAACGCTGACTTCGTAACCAGTATTTCAACATCAACGCCCAAAAGGATTCCGAAGCCGCAGCTCGCCTGACTCGAGCCGCGACGCTCCTGGCAAAGCTCAGCGTGCTCTTCCTCCCAGTCAGCTTCCTGACCAGCTATTTCTCAACGCAGATCACTGATCTCCAACCGACATTTACGTCAAAGAATTACTGGCATGCCTTCGCCGTCATCATGAGTGGATCTTTCTTGGCTTTATTCTTTTTCAGTAGGCTATTGATGTATGTCACGGAAACTTTGGATACGTGGACGAAGCAGCTTGGTAAGTATTTCACGGATATGTTTAAAAGGAAAAAGGCAGACTGAAAATGTGGCGTGGCGTTTATTGTCATATCTGGATGGTGGTATATATGCATTGATTTCTCGATATTGGATAGGCGATTTAAATGTACCAAGGAATGGATAGTCGATTGTAGAATATAATTATTGAAACTCGGGCTCAGCGGTCGACATTCGATAGGTCAGTCGAGTCCCAGCTCACGTTTCATGGACTTGAAAGACTCAGAAAGTGTGGAAGATTCACTGTAGTTCAGCTGCAATTATCTTTAGCGTCTCCTAGTGCTTTTGAATTTTTGAGGTGGTTTTTTGGTATCTTGCTTCTTGATATCTTGCTCTGGAGTATCTATCCAGAAACCATTAGTAGACTGGTGTCTGTACCACCAAGTAGCTGATGAATGACCTAGCTTGAAGTTTGTGAATGTCCAAAAAGAATTGTTAGAACATTCTCCCAAAAGATTGCTGGTACATTCAGCACAATCACTCAAAATTGATGGAGTTTGAAAACCAAGAGAGAGAAATCATTTCCCAGAAGGGAGCCCCAAGAGGCTGACCTAAAACTCCCTTCACCTATCCCTTCACCTTACCCCTCGAAAATGCACCAAAACCTTACTTATCCGGGAGACGCCCAAGAACCCCCTGGAAATGCGTCTCTTCTGCGGGATCATGCCAAAAAACTCCCTTTCCAGAGGGCATAGGACTTGGGAAAGAGGTCGGCACCGAGAAGAAAAACAAGAGCATTCAGAGCCCTTAGGAAAGAGGTCACCACGAGAAAATGCACCAACGCCTATCCCCTAAAACGCAGAAGACCTTCTCATCCCGCAAAAGGCCGTTTTGCTCCTGCCATGCAATTTCAGTAACAAAAAAATTGATCATGGTTTGGGAAACAAGTCACCCCATCCGCACCCATCGCAAGAGCTGTTATAGCCTTCAGCACCGCACATTGGACATGGTTTGAGGGTTGTGGGTAGCTTCGGTGGCTTCGTTGATGGTTTGGTTGGTGGGTTGGAGGGAGGCTTGGGGGCTGAGGGGCGCCAGAAACTATGGAGGAGGATGAGAGGACTCGGTGGCTTCCGGAGTCTTTTTTTGTTTTTTGTTTTGGGATAGTTGGTGGAGGACTGGTTCGGTGTTCTGGGCTTGTGGGAGGTCCTAAGGGAACTCGAGGCTTTGGTAGGAGGTTGAGAGAGCGGCTGCTGGAAGTGTCTAAAACCGAAGATCGGGTTCTCTTTGTATTCGGTGACTGGGATCTATGAAATAGGATGATTTTTTGTTTGTTGTTTGTGTTGGCTGGTTTGTGGAGAAGGTTTAGGTTCTTGTTGGCATTAAATAATGGGGGACTCCGCCGGACTTGATTCGAATCATGATCTTATATCATCGATTCGCTACTGCAAAATATTTATCGAAGCGAGATATTTCGAGCACGGGCAACGGAGCAAGCATGACGTACGATGAGCTCACTGGGTCACAGAGAAGAAGATTTAGATTCAATTGATTACAGCAAGAGACACAACATATTAAGGATACGGAGATGGTAGAGCAACGAGTATCAGATTGCTAAAGTAGAAGGGTAGTATAGCCTACATGAAAGGTCCCCTGGGTGAACCAACAGTGCTTCCTCTGCCTGATATGTGCTCAGCAAGAGGAGACGGTGCCATAACTGCACTGTGTGCAGGTGCCGTTGAAGTCCTCAGCACCGCAAATTGGACAGCTGTCCATCTCTGGGGGTATTCTGAGTTCAGGATGAGAGTGTTGTGCCGGTGACCTTGTGATGCCGTGCGTGTTGTACTTGAGAAATATCGATTTGTTTGATTTGACTTGAGCTTTATTTGGGAAAGTCCAGAAGAAGAGTTGGGCGGATCGACGCAAGTTGAAGTAGAAGTATAAGATGAGTGGGCATGGTGCTGGAACCAAAAGGCGGGATGGGACTGTCCAACAGTCTACAGACTTCAAAGCCTAATGATTCAGTAGCAAGCAACGCTTGTCTGACTTTAAAGACCACTGGGTGGTGAAAGCTGTTAGAAATTGCTCGAAACAGATCGTCCCGGGAGAAAAGCATGGGAGTTCTGAAGTGGGAGGGAATATCTCTTAACACATACATGCCTGTATTGTAGCCGCACGAGCTGCAATGGCCGATGAAGCCCTCAGCACTGCATCTTGGGCATTTATCAGCGTCTTGAGGCTTGGGTGGCGTCAGATCGGAGGCTTCTTGATGCATGTTGAGGGTTGTTGGATATTGAGGGCTTTTGGGGTGTTTGATTTTTGCTGCTCGATGAGATACGGTTGTGTTTATCAAAGGAAGATGAATGTCTTCGGAGGAAGAACCGAGAATTTGTAGTCTGACGGAAACTGACTGATGCGACTGGCAATAAATTTCAAGAAGCGAATCGAATCAAATTTAAATAAAGGTCGGGGTTCTAGGAAATGGGAAGACCGGATGCTATTCAAGATGAGTAATATCAGCGATTTCAAACTGACATCTGTGAAATCATAATCTGAATCAACAGTGATGACCTCGTCATTACTACCGGTAATACATTCACACCACACTTGCCACTTGATACAAGAGCATCCGGTTGATTTGCAAGTCATTTTGCATTCATGAAAGTACACCTAAGCAATCCTTGAAAGTTGCCATTGTGACCTCCAGCCATACCTCGCAGCCAACGTAGAAACAAAGACCCCGGAGCAACCCATGCAATTTATTTCTTAGCAGCAGCTGCCTCATCGGCCTTCTCCTTCGCCCGCTTCTCACGCTTGCCAAGGTTTCTTGCCTCACTTCTGAGATCCCTCAACTTTCTGTAGGCACCACCCTCAATTGGCTCAGGCATATCACTCTTCTTGATCTCCGAGATACCAGCCTCAGCGCGGACGATAGGCAGACCAAGCTTGACGCGCGTGACAACATTCTTCACGGCCGAGACATCCTCCTTGGAAGCATCGCCCTTCTTGTGTTGACCCAACTTGCGGGGGAAGAGGATCAAACGAGTGTGGTATTCCTTTAGACGGGCGACGTTGACGGCGAGAGATTCGGTGGAGAGGTTTTGGCGGCGGGGGTCAACAGAGATACCGATGGTGGGTGCGAGCTTGCGGGGGATACCAGCTTCCTATGTATCATCAGAATCCTATTCTAAGCAGATTCTACCTCCCAGAAAATCTACCTTCAACTCAGTCAAGGTGAAACCACGTCCAGCTCGTACACGGCGGTTGTACTTGATTGTTGGGCATCGGACAACAGGTCTCAGCTTGTCAACAGGTCGAGGAGCGACTGCTGCAGCCTTCGAGAGACGAGCATTGCGGCGTCTGAGCTTTCGACCGGGCTAGAAATTGCATGTTAGGCCCTGCTGTTCCTCTTGTGCTCCTTTTGTGTAATTTACCTGGTCGAAGTGAACTCGGACTCGTCGTTGCCAATCCTTTCGGAAATCTAATGACCATCAGCATTGATTTACACAGTCGAAGGGAGAAGGAGACTGACGGTTATGGGGGATCTGCTGGTTATGCTTGATCGCCATTTTGCCGTGGTGCGATCAAGAAGTCGTTGGGCGTTGTGGTCGAGATGGAAATTCGCGACTTCGCTTGGGAGGTTTTCTTCTTTGGAAGAAAGGATTGTGCGTCACGTGAAGATTACGTGAAGTTAAAGACCACCAGCAACTTCTCCCTTTCTAAACTCCAAGTCGCAACGACAAATTCTTTTTACAGATTACAGCACTTAGTATCTCGAATATCTTCGAGTGCTTCACATAGTCATAGTTTATATTGGTAGAATTCCGTGTATGGTTATCCTCACCAAAGTTGGAACCTTTTCCGGCCCGCCTCGCTTTAGAATCCCCTCTCTGATGATTCTCGAAGGACTTGAACAATGAAAATTTGGACTATTGGGGAAAATTCTAATTACGTCTTGAATGTGATGGCTAGGTAGAAGTCGATAGGCTGTTCCCTGCAACCAATATTTTAATTGCTAAAGCTAATGTCGGCTTTGATATTCGACAACAGTTCGTCGTTATTTGGCGTGCAATATCAGGAATGTTGAGTGCCTGATAAGTCTCCCTTCCGGGGTATAGAAACCAAGGAACTGTCTACTCCAAGAAAAGGAAGAGGAACACCTTCGTCGACAAAGTCGGCGATGAGACTTGGGCGTCCTCAGCCTCAAGGCGAGGATATGATCACGAGACTTGAAGCAAACAAAGAGCAAACATGTTTGCTCGGTTTGCTCGCAAAGCTAAGCGAGGACCGCAGAATTTCTATATAAGCAGAAGTTCTCCCCCCAATAAATCTTTTCTTCTTCATACTTACGCAAGTCTCCCTACCCCACCCTTCTTGTTCCACCACACTAACAGTACTATAGCTTGTTGACGTTGAGCCGCTCACGAATGGCCTCAATGGCGATACGAGACCTCCATTGCACAGCGGGGCGTCGAGAATCGTTCAGTATCCTTCGGGGTCCTGATCGGCGGAATTTTTGATTGCATCCACGGGCTTGCCTGTACTCACTTTTCATTGTGATCCATCGCCTTGAGCGGTGGCATGAAGAAGAGGTTTGAATCGAGCACTGTCGATGTACTGCTCGAGCTCTAATCCTGACGGTCTGTGAGGTCCTGGAAACGAGACCCAGTGGCCGAATGCCCTGGTGTGCATGGAGCCTGATCGATTCTGCAAGATTCAGACTCGAGAAAGTCGTGTCTCTAATGGGTCACATTCACGGTCAGTATCTCTTCCTACTCGAACGCGCTTCACAGTCAAATATGGCGCCCTCGAGTCTCGTTCTTTTGCCTGGCGTGGCATAGCCGCGACCTTGTTCAGGATTGATTCCCGATGGTGATGCGACGTCTGCCGCAGCAAAAGAAACCATGTACATCTGAACAGGAAATTTGGAATAGCCACGGTATTCTATCTTCTCTCAAAGAGAATTAGGCAGGGACAGAAAGAGGTATGAAGAATCGGCTCAACGTGGTGGCAACTTTCTCGCTGGGAAACTGTTGTGAACTGCACCACAAAAGGAAGCTGCAAGTAAACCTTAGTATCTGCTCAGTCCTACATTGTGATCTGAAGCCCAACTTAATAGCCCTCTAACCTCGTTTTTCTTGTCAAAAACTCCAAATGTCACGTGACGCAACGCGACTTCTAAAATCGATTCGCGATTTCTGTCCTCAGCATCAAGCAAAGCTCCCTACGAACCACACTCCTTCCACCAAACGCCAACGCAAAGCTCTCTCAAACCTGTCACAACTAGAAGCTTATTGCTCAACCACAAATATGACACGAGCTCAACAAACCATCTCAATTGGACTTTTGGTCACCTCTGTACGCTTTTCTTCAAGCTAGACAACTACAAATACTGTCCTACACAATGACACAAACTAACAGAAATCACAGCTCTATCTTGCTCTTTATCTGGAACTCATCCCACTTCCAAGTCTTATTTCAAACGACATAATACCAGTCGTACGTTATGCCTCCCAAAAATTACAGCTTCTATCCTGCCCAAGGGGAAACGCCTCGTCCAGTCCCTCCCAACTCTCCAGTATCCCGCTGTTCTTGTACCGCACAACTTTCTCTCTATGCCTTCTTTTAATTCGAATGCTGATTTCTCCTCAGCTGCCATTCTGGGCCCTCGTATCCTTCGGTGCCTACCTGCTCTTCAAACTCGGATACGGCGTTTTCACGTTCAACGATGTACCAAAGGCACATGCAGAACTTATGAAGGAGATTGATCTGGCACGGGCAGACTTGAGGACAAAGGGTGTGGATGTTGACTAGGTATTGGGACTTCTACTGGGGAAACTATGCATTGACACTGGAGTTCAGAGGAGAACCTCTAATCTTGCTGCTGGCTCTATGAGACCCGGATGTGTTACTTGAAACCTAGGCGAAAATGCCATGAAGACCGACTCGTTTCATGTGTCTCCTAGTATGTGGTATATCGTCTACCCTATTGTTCCCTCCCTGGCATGCTTCTCTTTCAACCGCTTCTCTTGCTTCATAAACTCCCTTATTCCCACAGGAATACCTTTGAATAAATCTTCACTCGTAAAATCTGTCTCCAATCCCGTCCCCCAATTCGTCTCGCTCCCACCTCCATCATCATCCACGCTGATCAAAGTATGCGAAGCTCCTTTCTCTCCTTCCCCTAACATCAGCCCCGTCCCACTCAATCCACTCTTCTTCCTCCTCTTCTTGCCCTGCTCGTATCCTTTCTCTTTTCTCAAGGCGCGGTCAGCCTCCTTCCTAGCAGCCGCCCACTCTTCTAGCTCATCTCCATATCGATCCCAGACACAATTCACGCAGCCACTCATACAACAATTGTCCGGTTCGTCGGGTCGTGGAGGAACCCATACGCCTGCCACTAGCACTGACTTCTTCTGGATTTCAGAGCGTCGTTCTAAAGGTGAAGAGAGGCGTGAGGAGAAGAGAATCTTAGGCTCTTCCAGAGCATCAGAGCGGGTGGTAGAGATTGCAGGTGTCAAGGAGGGAATTGCTGTCGTAGGTGGTTTGCTAGTGATTGTTGGAGTAGAGGATTGGAGGATAGAGACATAGTAATCTCCGATCGGCTTTGCTTGTTGCGTGGAAGGTTTGCTGTTGCAGGAGGCGTATCGGAGGTGGCGTAGAAGAGGGCTTTTCAAGCGCTGTGACGTGCGGAGAACAAATTTCGTCTCCATTTGTCCTCTGAGGGCATCTCTCGAGTGAGATTCGAAAGCGAATACTATCGTGAAATCATTGAGTCTTATAGTGGTTCAAAATGCGGTTTGTTCGTAGTTCTGCAGAATATTTTCAAAAGCTCTAGACCGCGGAACGTCATAGGCGTTGTTTATAAGCAAGGAATAGATCTCGTGACCAAAACGGATACTTCAAAAACTATCTTAGGTAAAGCATTTACCATTAAACTTCATCAAATCAGCTCGTAGCATTTAATTGCTGCGAAAAATCGGCGTTGAAGGCTTCCGTGCATCTCTGGCTGATAGCGGGCGGCTCTTCGCGAGGTTTGTCCCTCACAAGTCGCGTCCTCGAAACCACCTACGCGCATGCACTTCACATCTTCAACCCCTCCAGCTCTCGCAACGAATTAACAATCTCGACCTCGCGACCTGACGTGTAATATCTCCAGCGGAATATGGAACGGCGATAGGAGGACTTGAATTATTCAATGGCAGACTCTCCCGCCAAACGGCGCAAGACGTCGCCGACAACATCGCTCCCCGTTGACGCGCCCGCAACACCCAGCCGTATTCCAGTACCTCGACAAGATGGAGCGAAGACAATGCCTGGCAGACCGTCTTTTGCATCTCCGACGAAGGCGAGTCTGGCGAAACACCATCCGCAATTGTTAAATCGACCTTCGTCCTCAGGATCTGGATCTGGCAGACTAGAAAGTCGAGGCAAGGACCTGCAGGATGTTTCTTCAAAAGCGTTGGGAGAGATACAGTCCTCTACAGAAGGCCCGTCTGTGATTACTGGAGAAGAGAGGGAGCGATTTCAGTCGAATGGGTCCTCTACACAAGAGAATGAGCTGTTGGTGGAGAAGGAAACAGAGACTCAGCGGGCCACCACGCCGAGTGCTCGAAGTACTAGATCTGTCGGAGGAGGACTATCTACTAAGCCAAGGAGATCGTCGCGCTCACCTGTGAAGCAGCCAGCAAAAGCGCCAGTTGAGGGCTCAAGTGGGGATACTGCACAAGAGCGTCACGAGAAAATCAACCCGTTTCAGAAGAAAGGTTTAAGGAGGTCACCCATAAGCTCCCAGGCTGACGCTCCAGTACAAGATAATTTTGATCCATTTCGGAAAACAGGCCTGAGGAGATCTCCCGTGGCACCAGAGCCTGCTGTCAACATTGAGGAAATGGTAATCCAAACCGAAGGACTGGTAGACGTGTCTACAACGCCAACCGGGCCATTGCCTAATCAAACTGGAATCGCTGAGATTTTGGAAAGGTCTCCGAGGCCACAGTCAGCAGAGTTGGCCGCGGAGGTAGATCTACGTCCACAACCTCATGCTCCGGAGACCTCGAGCACAGTCCCAGTGGTAGAGGAGGCAGTCATAACTCCAGACCATTTTCCTCCACGCCCACGCACGCAGACTGCTGAGGTCGATCGGTTCAATCGACGTGAAGAGCCAGAACTACCTCCAACACCTACCCAGCTAGGTATACCGGATCCAGTTGTCACGACGCCTCCGACTGGAATTCATGATACCCCAAGCAAGCGAGCTAGGAGGAGTAAAGCCCTAGGAGAAAAGCTGAAATCGTCGCCCCTCAAACCTCGAGACCCGCCGCCTGAAGAGCCAGCGAAAGAGCCAGTAAAAGAGGTTGCTTCAGCGGTCCCTCCACCGAAGCCCGAGTCAGAGAAAGCTCCAAAACGTCGGAAATCTGCCAGATTCTTGATACCAGGAGATCCACATGCCTCTAAGAAAAAGGCTCGAGATGATCTGTTCAAAGAACTCCAGCAACTACAGGCAGACGTCGCTCTGGCCAACGCAGAAAATGAGCGGCTTCGTCAACGGTCCGAGTCCAAGAAAACGGGGCCGGGACAACCTGCGAAATCAGACGAATTGGCTGCTATGCTACTACGTGCCACCGCCCCAGAAGCACCTCCAAAACCAAAGCCAACTAGTATCTTCAAGTCGATTGGCTCATTCCTACCATTCCAACCACGGAGGAGAAAGCAAGTTCAATTACCAGTCACAGAGAAACCTATCCCTTCTCATCTACCAATCCCTCTCGACGATCCTCTCCCATACCTTCAAGCCTTTAGTCCTCTAACATTTACATCGACCCTCGCAATTCTGCCCTCGGAGCCCACCTCATCGGACTCTTCAACTCAAGAGTTAGAGCCACCAATACGGCAAAGGCATGTGATTCATGCCTCCCACCCATCAGGGCTCTTCGCAACCAGATTTTCTATGACAGTAGATACCTCAAATCTTTCTATCACGAGCCTCGACATCCTCAGACTCGACATGAATGCCGAGACAGAGCTAGGCACCTTCATAAGAGACAGAGCAAGGAGGGATGGACCGCTAGGTAAAGACGTCACAACGATCTGTTGGGCCATGGGAAGATGGACCGAAGTCTCCATCCAGCGAGCGCGATTCTGGTGCGCTGTTGAGAGCGAATTTGGAACGGCGCAAGCTAGGACGAAATCCCTCTCGAGGCAGCGAAAGAAGAAGCGGAAGAGACACGGCTCTGTAGTTGAGGATGAAGAAGAGGTCAACGCCGAAGGAGACGAGGCAGAGGAGTCCTCGGTGCAACAGAAGTGGACCAGGAAGCAGCTTCTGCCTCAAATAGGACGCACGAGTATGGGACTGGCTAATGAAGAGGTGGAGCTGAGATTCGAATGGAGGATTCGATTCGATTGGACGGGGGAGGTGGATAGTCATATTGCTGCCATTGCCAGGTTGCCGAGGAACTGTAAGTCTCTTTCACTCACTTGGGTACAAAATGAGGTTGGAAACTAATGCAAAAGCACAGGGCAAGCGGCAGACGGAAGGGAAAGTCTGGCGAAGGTGCCGGAGATGTTTACTAAGCTTGTGAAGGAAAAGGGGCCACTGGGTGCTGTAAGGACTACGATAGGACTTTTGATGCCGGCATCGTAAACGGAGTAATGATATGCGAATGAAATATTTAACCGTTTGATCCTTCCAACCTCGGATTGTCGTACTTGTTGATATTTGGCCGCTCAAGAATGGTCCAAATGGTACGAGACCTACTTCATTTAGAGTTCCTGCCGTCTTCTTTGAAATTGGATTTGGATTCATCAACCCCAACTCTATCTTGCTTCCAATCTCAAGATTAGGGAGGATTAAAATTTGTCCCTTCACAAGTCATTCGAGTCACTAGGCAGAAAAACTACGGTCTAGGAAACTCCGCATTTTGGGCACAACTCCCTAGGTATTTGCTGCGGTCATTACAAGGACTAAGCCACTATCCCATGCGCTTTTATGTAAAGGATTTTTTCCCCATCCATCTCCAGCAAAATCTGGATCAGATTGTATGCAAATGTTTGCACTCAATATTGTAAGCCAGAAGAAAAAGTCACTCCTGATCTGTCTGCATATCCGCCCTTGTATGCAAAGACGCAGCGTTGACCCTCGAAAATAATCATGATGAGGGCTCCTATGCAACGCCGAATGCACCAGTAATCAATCAAATACAAGAAGATCTCCGTCGTTCAGCATATGTTTCCATCCAATGAATTTAGGAGTCGGGAACGGTGAAATCAACCCAAGTTCGAGTCAAGGTGGGAGTTGTCTCGTTGCCACCAAGAGCTTCGACACTCTCTTGCCATCCAACAGAATCCCACTCCTTAGCATTTCCATTACGCTCAGCATTGGAAACATACGTAGCCGCATGGACCTTGAGTCTACGTTTCTCACGCTCCTGGATGACGGTGTGCATGACATCTTGTCGAAGAACTGTTGTTGCCCAACCTTGAACATTGCCCAGACGTGGTGACTCCAGAACATACTTCAACAGATGGAACGGGAGGTTGAGCAATACTTTGGAAAGGGTGACCGTGACCGAGTTTGCTGAGGTTGATCGGACGCTCTCTTCGGTGGGGTGGTCGCCAAACTTGATCATGCTGAGACGGGGGTTCGGAACAGATGGGCGAAGGTCTTGAACGGCCGGGAGTCTACGGTTCCGTGTCGGCTCCCCAGCGGAAAAATCGAGCTTAAAACCTGCTGGGAAGTTGGTGATGACCCAGTTCAAGGCGCTGGAAATGAGTATGTTGACGTCTGGACCATAGGTGCTTGGGGATCGTGATATGTCGGGTTGGGCTGCCAAGGTCCACTGGGAATCAAGGCCACCGTCGAGAGAGAAGTCGAGTGCCTTTTCAAGCGTGGCCCAGTTGACAAAGTGGCTAGCATTCTCAATACCACGATGGACGACCGGTGGGATTTGAAGGATGTGACCAGCTGCAGCGTAACCAAGAGCAAGATCGAACCGATCAGTTGGGGTACCTGGCATTGGACCTGTGAATTGCGCAGTCGCCGCCATCGCAGCTGCACCCAAGTCCAGGAGAGGGCCAGCATAGAGTCTTTGCACCGCCATCCAGAACCCATCTGAGCGTAAGTAACGATCATCGGACTCGATGAGCAGAGTTCGAACTGTCAGACCATCGCTATTGCTGTCTCGAGCTTGAGCTGTCATAAGGGCCTTGAGTGCTGGGCTCCGCGCAAACATCAAGTTGTGGCCGGGAATGCGAACAGGAGGTGCACGGTCATCTGAGTAACGAAGCTCAAGCGTGTAGTCTGCGAAGGTCGGGTCAGCAAACTGAGATTGGACGTAACCAACGAGGCCGTCGAAGTGATCCATCTGTTGGTGAGTTGGGTGGCGGACTGGTCCAGGGAAGTTGTTCGCATCGGTGACGACCTGCTGAGACGCGGTACGAGTCTTTGGGCGTGGCTGTTGGTATAGGCGAACCTCGTCAATATGACCATTGCTACCATTGACGACTGCAGTAGGATACTGGCTGTAGAAGGCAGGGCCGTTCTCCTGTTCATTCGGCGCAGATGATTGCGACCCATGGAAGCTTTGCGGGGTAGAAGGGTCGTAGCTGGGTGCGCCAGAGTAAATATCAGGAGGTCCGAAGGAGGCCATTTGACGGCGAGCAAAGTTATCGTTACCACTCTGATTTATGAAGCCATCTGGACGTGGATAATAGCCTGGAGGCGGCGGTGGACCCATGGGAGAGAAGCCATTGGGCATGTTCTGAGCGTTCGCACCATTGGACTGATGAGGGCCATGACGAGCAGCTCCATGCTGAGGCGCTTGTTGGTATGGGTACGGCGGGACGTTGCCAGCAGATGGGGGAGGTGCAGGAGAGGAATTGTTCGAGTCGGGATGTCCACCAAACATGACGCTTCCAGCGGTGGGATGGGTGTGATGCATCGGAGGCTGGCCGTTGAACGGCTGCGGCGGAGGGTACTTGGCAGAATCAGGACCCATGCCGTTGAACTGGCCATGGTGCGAAGGGACGAAGGGTGGAGGCATCTGGTAAGTCGATCTCGAGGCTGAGGATTGGGTTTCAGAGGGAACCGATCTCGGCGTCTCTTGAGGTTCTTCTTTCTCCGAGTTAGCACAACGAATTGTAAGGAAGAGTGAATTCCGTTTGCTTACCTGTGGTCGTGTCTTGGGCAGAAATCTCGGTGTCCCCAACGTCGGATTGTTGTGAAGATTCCTCTAAAGCCGGTGTAGCGGAGGTAGCAGGCGTCATTGGAGAAGCCGATTCGTTGCTTTCCTCTGGTCTCTCAGCTGAGTAGCCTTTTGAAGAGCCGTTGGCTATGGCTGGGGTGATGTGCGCGGTCGTCGAGGCGGGAGAAGAGGGTGTAGGTGTTTCCACAACCGTGGGAGCAGCAGCTTCTCCTTCCCTTGCCTTGGCACGAGCCGCCTCTTGCTGCTGGCGCTTCTGAATGTATGGCAGTGGAATGGCTGGCACGACGGTCCTGGGTACAGCAGGCCGCGGGCGGTTCTGCTGAAGAGCCTTCGCGGAATTGCTTGAGGGAGCCATGTTGAAGTGAAGGTGACCACGGCCAGCTTCGAAGGGCGGCGTTACGGTATACGAGTGACGTCCCCAAGATTAACATTGACCGAGCATCTGGTCATGTAGCATCTGGGGAGTCGTTCGTCCCTGACAAAGGAGGCGGAATGGCCGTGTCGTGAACGAAATGTTGGAGGTAGCTGTCTGCGCTGCCTATGATAGACACCCCGCCTCGCAAAATCTAGAAATATCGTTTCGCTTAGGTTTGCGCCACAAGAGGCGCGTTGCCTCTTTTGGATCGTCCTCCTTTCCTCCGTTTGTAATACACAGGCCGCTCCTCAATGGATGCTATTTGGTTATCTGGGTGGGAATTTTTCTCTTGAATCGAGAATTGCATCCTATCTACGTAGGTTTGCGAGGAACAGTTTCATTTCCTCCTTACTTTCAAAAGGGAAATCTCGATGGCAAAGTCAAAAGCTTTCTTTATTGTCTGTTTCCACTATGTACATGAAGCTCCCCAGTCCCTGACCGAGAGCGACTGTTCGTGGAGGTGGTTAGAGCATCTTTAAACAACCCTCCCCAACTATTGCCAACACGTGATAGAACGCAAGATATAAATGTTAATCATGCTTGCAGTGCAGCAGTTGCTTTCTTTGGTTACGCACTCAGACCTGCAAAGCGAGAGAAGCAACATGTCTGCGCTCGAGAGCATCCAAGGAGATGTCGAGGCACGGCAAGCCGAGGCGTTTTTAGTGGTCCCCGATTCATTCTACATTCGAAACCAATCTTTCCAAATTCCTGACGTTAAAGTTGAAGAAATTGATATATAATTTTATTTTAATATAGTGTATCATCTCAATGGCTACCTCGCCCGTTAGATATATCCACACCGCCTCACCATACAGCCAAACACCGCTTTACAGATAACCATCTCCGACACACCAGGCCAGCTGAAGCATCAGTGACGAACATATTGGTACAAACACTCCTCCTCATTCCCACCAAACCACAATTCGTGGCTCCAAAGGAAAGAGGCATGATTACACGCGTTCGCTCTCAAAACGCCAAATCCCTCCCAGTCTTTTTAAAGCGCCATGGGGTTGATATACATATGAAAGTCTCGTGTAAACATTATCTGATACATGGAAAATATGGCAAGGGTATATATATAAGGCCGTATAATAACGGCCCGCATTCATAAGAAACACTAAAACATCCCGCCTTCACCAAGGCGCGGAGGACTTCCTGAGCCGATGGGAAAAGATGGAACCGCTGGGCTTGGAGCGGCTTGAGCGGCGTGTCTGGCCCGGGCATTGAGGTTCCCACCTTCGCTCGAGGATTTCCGGAGCTTCTGCCGGTGCTTGGATTTAAATTCACCTTCATCCGCGGAAAAGGTGCTCATTTCCTCGGTAGATTGAGTTGCTGATGGCATAGAGTGGATTTCATCGTACTCGTCTTTCTTTCCCATCAAGGTCCCAAAGATCGCACGGGTTTGGCGACGTTTAGGATTCACGGGAGGAATGGGTGGCGCATAAACCTCAGTGCCATTCTGCAAGGACGACCCTGGAGGAAGATTAACTGTGGTGACTCTGGATGTGGAAGAAATGAATCTTGGTTCAGAAATGTCGGACTTGTTGATGGATCTCTTCCGATGTGTAGGGATCCCACCTTGGCTCTGGAAACCCTGTACGGTTGGTGTATTGGCTCCGGAACCAGCGGGTGAAGGTTGGATCAATGCTGGTGTCGCGTTGACCACGAATGGAGCTGTGGGAGAAGGTCTAGGTGCAAGACCAATTTCAGGTGTCTCGCGGCCACTCTGAAGCATCATCGGGGACTTTTGGCTATCGTAATATCCAGCAGTTGCTAAATTGCTATTGCTTCTTGATCTGCTGTTGGAGCCAAGCATTGGCGATGGAATTGGAGACTGAGAAAATCCCATGCCTGGATTCCCGGGCGATCTTGGAGCAAAGCGTGCAGAAGGAACTTCGAGTTCTTCATAGTAGCCTTGACTAGAGCTCGACGTGCCCTCAGCCATTGCCTTTGCTAAGTCGTCTTTGTATCGCCCATTTCGACTTTTGGAACGTCCCCCTGAGGTATCAGAGCCGGATCGATCTCTTGAAGCGCCGGACGGCGGTCTCGATCCAGAGCGTGGCGTTCCCGCACTGTCCTTGCTGTCTCGGCCGCTACCTGTATTGAATGAATGGGTCACAGGTGGGGGGTGCTGTCTTCTCTCTCGACTTTGCGTGCGGGGTCCAGTCCGAATATTGGGGGGGATTCGGTCGCCATTTGGTGCTCGCTGGCGCGGCTGGTGATCCATCCGGGAATTGGACCATTCCGACTCACTCGCTTCCGCTGCCATCCGTTGTTGATTTTGTTGATGCCTCAATGTAACCTGCTTCTCACGATCACGCTGTGCATCCCTGCGAGCCTGTCGAAAATCTCTAGTCTGTGTGGGCGACGTGGGAGGCTTCGCCACCCCTCGCAGCATCTCCTCTTCTTCCTTTTGCCATGGAGTCTCCTCAAAACTTTGCTTGTTTGGTGAGTGAGAGCTGGTCATAGTCGCATTTCCAATGCCCAACATCTTCATAGCTTTGGTCTGTCCAGGTTCTTTTGTTCCGCTGATTACCGACCCACGACTCGACTTGGTCTTCAGAAGCCCCAAAGGATTGTTCTTCAAAGGTAACTCAGACCCTAGCATGGGGCTTTCGGCCTTGCTCTCCGTCTCAACGAAACTCTTCAGACTCTCTTGAACACGCCTTCGACGGGTGGCGAGCTCATTCTGGAAGTCTTGACGTTCTTTCTGGGTCTCGGAGCTTCCATTTCTGGTGTGATGATTCTCCATTTCCTTCTCCCATGATGGCTTGCGGGGACCCTGCCCAGTTACTTCAATATTTGGCGAACGAGTTGAGAGCGGAGCAGGCAAGACTTCGTCCATTCTCGCCATGTCAGAGGCGCCATCCTGACCAAAATTGGCGTCCTTATAATAATCATGATCCCAATCGTCTGATTCCCAGGGGTTGTTTTTAGTTGCATAATCATTCTGCGGTAATGACTCGGTGTGATCGAATGGGAAACGAGACGTTATGCCAGCCGATGGTTCCCCGCCATATATCGATGAGCTGTTGCTATCCGCCCTCAGGTGCTGGCGAAATTGATGAATGTCTATCAGACCCACCGTTGGACCTAGAGTAGGGGAGTCTGCTGGAGGCTGGGTTGCAGGATGAGGCTGCAGATTGGTAGTCGTGAGTTGAGTACGAGTTTCCGTAAGTCCATTTGAGGTTTCCTCATTGGTTTGCTGCCGGTTCGCAGGATGCTCTGACTCCGGAGGGCGTTCAAGATTCATTGGTAGATCCTGTCGATATTTGGCGTACAAATCAAGTGGTCGAAGAATTGCTTTTGGCTTGCTAGGTTCCTGCATCAAGTCGTTCGGAGAGCCCTGGGGGCTGCCGTCAGGCGAGCTCAAGAATGTTCCACCACCTGTGGATTCGTTTTCTGGTACAGGATTCTCAGTTCTCAAGGTTTCTGGGATTCGGTCCTTTGGTAGAAAATGTCTTTGGGCTGAGGAGTTTGATCTCGAACTGCCGGACGCGAAGGTAAGGTTCGAGTCTGCACGGGTACGGCTCACTTGCTGTTGTTGTCGAGGGACAAAAGCACGGGGTGGCGAGTTCTTCCGAGGTGGTGTTTCTCTTCCCTGTTGCATCTGAAGCTGTCTTTGAGAGTACTTGTTCTCGTCATATGGTTGGACAGGCTTTGAAAAGGCACCTAACGCTGTAGCTTTGCCTCTATCATTGGGTTGAAGTGCAAGAGAGACGGGATCGTCGTGCTCGCTCATCGGAGGACTTAGAGGGGGAGAGGTCATCCCAAAGGGCTTACTTTCAATAGCATTGTTCTGTCTTGCAGTAAAGTCAAAAGTACCCATGGCAGCGCCTGTTGGGGGCGGGCTTGCCGCTCGAAGGTTTGGCATGCTGGCTTTCCCAGCAAGCTGGTGTCGGTCCCATCTCTCGCTCACATGAGGACCTGCTGTTGGTGAAAGTCCGAGGGGTGGAGTTTGGGCTCCAATGGTCCGCTGCCTAGTCAATGTGTCAATCCTGTTCATGGCAGAAAATTGCTGTTCATGCAGATGCTGATCGAGACCAGTCTCGTATAAGCGACGGCCTTTGGTCGTGGATCTCTCAAGGGTAGGGGTGCCCGAATTGGGAACATTCGGGGTCACTGGGGTATGTGCACCACTCAGAGATGGGGTTCTTTGTGAGGTAAAGGAGGTCGCGGCTGTGGACGTCCTGGTATTTGACGGACCGGCTGAAGACGTTGTAGATGAGGTTTCCCTGTTGCGATTGTAACCGGAAGGGGGTGGTGAGCTGGGTCGTGATGATTGAGCCTCCATCTCTTCGCGCTCTTGCCGTTCTGCCCGTTCCCGCCGTTCTTGTTCCCTTTCACGCTCACGGAGTCGTTGAAAGGCTGATTGGCTGACATCATTCTCATATAAAGCTCGACCGCCCATGCCCCCACCTGCACTATCAGTCGTGGTTTTTGAGGACCCAGATGAATTAACCGGGATCTTGTATATTTTCTGCCGACCACCAAAGAGATTGTTTCCTTCGCCTGGCTTTGACCGGTTCATGATGCTGCCTGTGTGTGTAGAATCATCGTCGGTTCCGTAACCGTCCGTTGTGTGGAAGGAGTCGGCCCTTCCAAAGGCGAAAGGAGGTCTGATTGATCCGTTGATTGACGAAACCTCTGCAATATCTGATAATCCATGTGACTGAAACCCGAAGTCATTTAACCTCGACTGCCGCTTGGGAAATAGAACACTGTCATCACTCGCCTTTCCAATCTTCGATTTAGGGTCGTCTTGTTCGCGGAGCATGGAAAATCGTGCGGAGAGACCGCTCATTAACAGACTCGTCCGAAAGTCGTCTGACGATGGCAACGCAGTGGCAAGATCGATCTCTAGCTTAGGCTCCGGTTCCTGACCCTTCTTGCCTCGTCTGAAAGTCTTCGAGGACTTCACAGGTGCTAGTGGGGGTCCATCGGAATCGGTCGAGACTCGGACCAAACCTTCAGCCTCCTTGGCTTTCTTCTTTGTTCGAAATCGATTCATTTTGCTCCTCCTTTCCTGCCCTGCCGCAAGTCCTGAATGGCGTCAGTAATGGAACTTTGCCCCGAGGGAATTGACTTTAAAAGGTAGAACTGACAGCCACGATTGGAGAGAGCAAGCCAACAAGCTCGATCTAAGCTCTTCGACCTAGCAACGAGAAGAAAAAATTAGGTCGTCGAGCCGATTTGGTTCGAAATGAAGGACTGAAGTGACCGGTCCGACAGCAGGCTTGAGCGCGGGGGTTAAAGTCTATTAGGGACAAGCATCAGCCCTGAGGATATAAGAGGGAGTAAGTGTGGCAAGTCTTGGGAGCAACACACAGGCTGTGAGGTAAGGTTAATCCGTCCGAACACGGCAAGCAATGGCCGTGATGATTCGTTTCGGAGGATATCGACAAGTCCAATGTCGATGTACAATGTCACCAGTTGTGTAGGGCTACACGGGAGTGGTGCTTCAGGTTTGAGGATCGTTGTGTCGGGGTCGTTTCGGTATCCCTGGATTCGATGTCCCCATGTATGCAGAGATTATTCTGCCGAAAAGTTTATCGGCGTGGAGGGATGCTTTCGACGACAAGCGACGAGTTGTAGCTGCGGCGAGTTTCGAAGGTTCTTCGCGCGTCGATTTGTTTTTGGGCGCAATTAGAACGAAGGACGCGGCGCCTTGAGGCAGCCCAGTGCGGATCGTTGCAGCAGAATGAGCGTTGCTCGGAAATTCGTGTGACAATGCATTAATCAACAATGATCGGTTGTAAATGAGTGTGGCGGGCGCAGATCCCTTTTTTGGTCTGATGTCTCTAGGACAATGTGTTTGCGTGTTCGATTCGATTATCCGTGGATGTTTGCTCGACGAGCGGTGGCGTTGGGGGAAGGAGAGTGGAAGTGGCAGTGGAAGTGGAAGCAGAAGCAGAAGCGGAAGTAGAAAGCAGAAGCAGGAGAGAAGAAAGACCAATACAGGAAACTCCGTGAACAAAATGAAGTGACAGAGAGAGGGGGATTGGGCGCGCACCGGGGTCGAGGCTTGTGTTGCTCGGGTGCAGGGAAGGCTTTTTGGTGGCCGCGCTCGTGGACTTTTGGTCTGGGGAGGCGGGCGGGCAGGCAGGTAGGGCAGGCTACGCAGGCAAGGCAGGCGTGGGAGGTTGGCTTGTTGGAACTTGGATGCAGCCAGGAACAAGCGAGATCCTGCAGCACTGGCGTTGGAAAAGTGCCGTCCCAGACTCCCACACCCCGTCCCTCATCGAAACCCGCGAGCGAGCATCCCATCCCGTCACGCCGTGCATCCCTGGATTCGCGGAAAAGGGCCAGGCGAGGGCGGGAGTCGGGAGATCGGGGCCTATCACTTGTATTTCGCCGCCGCGGGCAAGGCACAATCAGATCGTCCAGTTGCAAGACCAAGAAAGCGCGATGTGATGTGTTGTTGCAAGAGCAGAATGAAGGAGCGCAGCGCAGAGGGGAGCAGCGCAGAGAGGAGCAGCGCAGAGCAGAGAGAAAGTCTGGTTGCACAGGAATTCAAGGATATTCGCTGTTGTCTGCAGCTTTGCTTTGGCAGCTTTGCAGACCCAGCCTGCGAGCGCCTGCCTGCCTCCCTGCCTCCCTGCCTCTCTGCTCTGCATTCGGAGCTTTGACAACCTCACAGCGTGCATCTCAGGAGCAGAAGCTCCCTGTCAACGCTTCTCGGTCCTCTGTTCTTCCAGAACACTCCACCCTTTCCTCCAATCTATCCCTGGATTTGGGCTCGAGATGCAGTAAACTTTGTTATTATTGCAGAAGCCGCAGGTTTATTGCAAACACTCGGAGCCGCAGAACTGTGCCCCACAGCTGAGCTTGCTGAAAGGGACCCCTAACCCCTTCACCAGACGATCGAGTCTTTGGTGACTTGGGATTCTGTGTGGTCCCTCGGTCCCCGGCACAGCGTCCACGCGCCATGCGGTGGTATTTTAAGCTGTGCCCTTCCAAGGATCGTGATGGCGCCGACGATTCGCTGGTTGAGCGCCAAAGGACCTGCGCAAGCGTTTCGCGTTCCCCTTGAATTTCTCCTTTCACGAAAATCACTTTCTTCAGGGTCCTGTAGGCTGTGGCAAAGCGACTTGACATCTGGAAGATGTCCTCCTTGTCTCGCAGAGCTGTTTGTCTTGCGGGTGAGTGGTGAGTCTTCTTGACCGTGTGTCCTATGTCCGTCCTCAAGTGTCTCTCGACGCTCGGACCTCGGCCTCAAGATCAGCTATCGCACCTGTGGCATTCGAAAATTTCGAAGGCCAGGTGAACATGGGTCTTTTTTTCCTTTTCATGGTGTCTCTCTCTCCCTTGACACAACGGTACGAGCCTCTCTCCAACGTCCTCCCCGCGGCCCATGGGCGTTTCAGATGCTCCAAAAGCCAAAATGCTTCTCTTCTCTCCGCCATGGTTGTCGATGTCTTCTCCCACCCGTGTCGCATGATCTCTCTAGATGTGCTTCTCAGAGGACAGAGGCAATCAATAATGGCCATGCAAGGTTGACTCGTGTGCGACGAACATCAAGTGCACTAACTGTGGACTAAAAATGGCCCAAAGGGATGATTTCGTGTGGGCAAGGCCAAAAAGGGGTTCCAGTTTGGCCGTGCAGCCTGCGGCCAGGGGTCAAATGCAAGCAAGGATGGGGACCTCTCCGAGAACCCCGGCTCGATCCCATGCACCGTTCCATCCACGGCTTCCGCAGAGGCGCAGAACCCATGGAGCCGGAGACGGCTGCATCCCGGCCGACCACCCACAGCGCAGCTGTACCTGGAGCTTTCCTTCTTTTGTCTCTTAGCGCAAATCAACCCGCGAAACCTTGCTAGTGGATGGATGTGTGGGCGCCGTGTGGGTCCATCTCATCTCCATCGTCGTCTCAGCCTCTCAGGCGTTGAGGCGATCAAGAAGATCTTCACTGCTCGCATCGCAGTCTTCGCAGAGCCAGCTTGAACTCGTCTAGTGAGGCTTCGAGTTCGTCCAAGCTGAGAGCAGATCGCCAAAGCCCTCTGAACGTTGAACCGGAATCCGCCGATCCTGTCTGTGCCTTCGTCGAGAAGTGAGACTGTTTGTCTTGGTAAGTTGGTAGGAACCAAAGACGGGGTATCTCGAGGTCACTCCATGAAGCCCACTTCCCCTCTTCTTTTTCTCTCAAGAGCAAAAGCTCCTGTTGACAGTTGACACTTCCTATGATAATTTCTTATCATGGTTCTAAGACTGACAGCGCAGGGTCTGGATACAAATCCGAGACCTTGGTTTGAGACCTCACGACAATTGTATGCTGAAGTACAACATGATTCAGACTTACTCTGAACGTGGGTTCCTGCCCGGTGTCAACTCCTGGCGATGTCATCTGCAGCTCAGTTTGCTCTATTGACGGGGACTACTGTCATCGTTGCTTAGCTATCGAGACTTCGAGAAGCAACTATCACCAACTATCGATATGTCCAAGCCTCTTGACACATAGCCTTGTATGTTAAAATTAGCCGTACAGAACACTTTCCACCGTTCCTTCATTTCGCTCCGCTCTTGAAACTCTGCCTTTACGTAGGGCTTGCAGCTTCAAAAATAACCCTCCAAGCTAGCAACGGCGATGGGATTCTCGATCTCCATCCATGATCCATGGTCCCCTCACAGGGAGCCTCAAGAACCAAGGAACAACAGAAACCCCGCCACAGGGCAAAGCGCCGGCCATCCCGAGAACTTCCAATCTCATGTTCAGATCTTGCGTAAGACGAAGCCTAAAATCTGCAAACAAACCGTCCCTCTTTCCATTTCATCACGTCATAGCCTCCCTTCCCCAGCCCATCATCATCTCCGCAGAACTGCATCCGCACAGCTGGTCCAATGAAACAGATTTGCTCACCGCTGACAGGCCCATGAGTAATCCATCCGATTACATCGTCTCATCTGACCCTCGCAAGTCGCAAGCGACTCTCACGTTCGCATCAGCTGCTCAAATAATCGCGAAAGCCACATCCCAAGGCCGAACCGTGTCTCCGGGACAGCCCAAGCCCTCCCTGCAAATCTCATCTCCCACACATCGGAAATTATCGCCATCATCACCACCAACACCACCCTCTCCGCGCATCCAAAACCTGAAAAACCAGCCCCGTCCGAATCCTGCAATATCAAAACAATCTCGAACCGCGTCTCCCTCTTGTTGAAAGTGGGGTGTCCACGCGACTTGGGCTTTGCCGCCTCTATTTCTATCTCCGCTCTCGGTCGATTCTCCACTCAAAGCTTTGAAAGCATAGAATGGACAACCCCATCTCCGTTTCCCACGTTTGCGAGAACAGCGGTAACGGGCTTGTCTGTGATATAACGGGTGGATATGAGGGCATTGCGCCGAGGGAACTGGCGGCGGGCATCGAGCCGGAACAGTTCTATCTGTTTGCGTTATCCGCTTGCATACAAGCTCACGCCAGAATCGCGAACTTGACGCGAGAATGGTTCATTGTGGGGCGGCCAATGATGGCACTTCATTGAGGGGGGAGGTGGAAATTGGCATTGTGCTTGCTGCGATATTGTGGGGTAGCAGTGGCTCCTGCAGAGCTGAGGTGAAGTGAAGAGTTTTAATTCCCTATACATTTACACGCTGTAGACGAAGTCGTCTGGCAGCCCCTGATGGACATAGTTCAGGGGAGTGACATCAAGGAAAAGAGCATGTCGCATGTCGCGTGCACCCCTTGCCCATGGATCCAATGTGGGGAGCTCCATTCTTCCTCGGGACGCTGCACCGTCATAGTTGCTTCATATAAAGTATGCCTGGCATCTATTCCAATTTTAAAGTTATTTTGACAGCGGTAATATGTCGGTAACGAGAGAACCTCGTGGCTCAGGGCCATACTGTATCATGTTATTAATTTCGAGTGCCGGGAAGAGCCTGCTAAATTAGGAGTTCTCTGAGTTGTCATCGGCGTCTCGAGATGAGGATGTAGACAGCGCCAAGCCAAGTGCAGCCGAGTACGGAGCGGTATGTGTTATGGCGGGTTCAGCCGCTTCAAATTTTGGAATTCATTTACCTGCTACATCCTGTAAGGCTATGATTTTTTTTTTCCGCGCTAGTTTGAAGTTGCTCCTCCATGATGACATCCTTCATTTCACCAAGCGGAGTTTTCAGAACTACTTTCTGGGGCTCCAGAGCATCGAAGAAACAAAGCTGTTCGTTTTCAAAGAAAACCTCGTTTGAATCCTTAATCCGTCAGGAGGTGACTTGGAAAAAGAGCGAGAGATGGGAGCGTGGAGTAGAAATCCTCGTTCTGGCGGGGGGGAACTGCAGTCATTCGCCTCACATGGCAAGCAGAGTTTTTCTCAGTAAATCCATTAATACACTTCTTTTATTCCATCCGTAAAATTGCTATAGGACCCTGGACGAAACGTCCCGGCTCCAGCATTGCAGAGTTTTCAATCACCTCGGATCATCTGATGAGCTCAACAATTTCTCAACAGCCAAGAAAATTGACCATTCTTTCAATCTATTTGGTCTCAAGTCCTAGGTGGCTGTGGCCTCAGATCTCGTGTTATAGTCAGCAAGTCGGAGATTTTCCGGAAAAGAAGGCGTGAGAATTGCCTATTTTGCGAATGTGACAACTGTGCTTCTGCGTCTAGACGACTACTGCTAGCACCTCAAACAGGCTGTTCTCCTGGAGCCAGACTTATTTAATCGCGCGTCATTTCCTTCAGAAGACTGGTCCCTGGTGCTCGCCAAGGGCCTTTAGGCTGTCAGCAACCTCCTGGAGATCAATCATCTCTGTGTGGTCCTTCTCACTGTCCCAGTATCTCAGGACAATGAGTGCGATGTACAGCAGACGCACTTCCGTGCCTCGGGTCGCGAATGACCAGTGTTCAATATTATTCCGACGAAAATAATTCCCTCGGCCCGGAAGTATCTCCCTTCAAATGTTCAAAACTTTCTGGTACATTGAGAGAGCAGCGACTTGCAAAAAGACTCATTTCCTTGCATTCACTCTCTTTCCATTGCATCAGATAGAAAGCTGCCTTTCCGTCTAAACTCTTAGAGAAACTGTGCGATACCCAACAAAACGACTTCCTACTATCCACTCTCCTCCCATATCTCCAGATGAAATAAATTCTCAGAAATCTTCTCGGTGTTCGCTCTCGTCCCATCTCCTCCGATGGTATGAGTTCACTTATCGACTAAACTTCCACAGAATTGGACGGTGTGCAACAACAATCGCAAGGAAGATGAATCCCTCGAGGGGACCTCGATCAGATGAGAGCGAGGTTGAAACTCCTTCATTTTACATTCCAATGTACTAGAAAGCTTGGAACATTGATTTGCAACAAAACATCCGGTCATGATTCACTTTCTCAGCATACCGAACATTCTGCAAGTGGCATTACTACCATAACTCCTGGCCATTCTCACTGTCTCGTAGAATGCTTCAATGGTTTCTAGTTCTCACTGTGCTTTCTGAAATTTCCTAGCAGTCTTAGGATCATCTTCTTGTTAACTGGTCAAGTGTATCAGAAGTGTCAGAGTACGCAACTACTCTCATCATCTGATCATCTGAAACAACCCGGTTTCTTGACCATGGAAACCCAAAGATTCGGTGGTGAATCATTCGCTGAGGTCTGTCCTAATTGAAACTTGTCGTCGAACTTTCTCAAAACGGAAAGTGTGACTTCGAGGAAACCCATGCTACAACGCTGCTTCCACATTTAGTTCAAGAATCAGCCTTCCTCCTTAAAACATCCAATCGCAATTCCAACCAGATTCAACTCTGCAACCTCACTTCAACCAACCAACCTCTTCCCAGAGCTTTTGGATGCTCTATTCCTAGATTCGACTCCTACCACATTGTCGGATCCTACTCCTCCGGTTACAGTTCACCATGTCTCCTCAACGCCACCTCAGATATTTCGAGCCAGGAATCCTTTTCACGATCCTCGGGTTGCTTCATGCTAATTTGCTCCTCTCCTTCGCGCACGGCACCATCACCAAGACCGTCACCGTCCAAACCCTCCCCTACGTCCCGCAAGCCTCGCCACCGTCCCAAAGCATCTCGTTCACAGATCCAACGGACCCCGATGTTACATTCATCTTCGAGTGCCCAACCAAATGCAACGGCGGAGCGGCATGCGAGTGGGTCAACCCGACGAACTGCAGCGAGTATATCAACTGCGATTTTCGACGGGAGCCGCTTCTGCTTGCTTGTGACGAAGGCTTGCATTTCTGGAGCCAAATGAGGCAGTGTGCTCCGCCGGTCCAGGCCAAGTGCAAGTTGAACAAAGATAAGGAAAAGGGGGTTGGAAATCAAGATTTGTGAAGGGTTGTGTGGGTGATGGGTGGTCATCGGAGAATGGCTGCGGGCTTGAGGGAGAGGATTACGCATGGACTTTTCAGGAACTTTGATATGGCTAGGGTGGATGCAAAAGAAACATAATTGTGAGCATTCTCTAGAATCTGGCTGTTGGGAAGAGTATTGACTAACATTGCTTTACAGGGATTGCGGTGGTTTCTCATTCGATTGCGGCGATAAGATCAATCGACATCCTCGACCTTCTGAATGGTTTACTATTATGGAATGATGAAGATAATGACAGAGATGCGCGATTGCTTACGATACTCCTTGAGACTGGTGTGAAGGGGGCTGAAAGCTATTCTTTGCGAATTGCATGGCGTTTGAGAGTTCACGAGGGGCAAAGCAACTTCGATGCATTCGTAATTCCTACCTGCTCCTAATTCCATTGGCGTGCAAAGAAATTCCATAGGAGTGGCACACACAGGCCTCTCTAGCCATATCTGCTTCTCATCCGACGCAGCCTGTCCGACTCTCTTGGTTGTTTCGCCCCATGCCTCCCAGAATAGCCACGCTCCATCCCTCTCTTTTCCAGTACGTCCGTGATGTTCTGTAGAAATTACTTCGAGTTTCAGTGCGATTCGGAATAGCTCCTCGATTCCTATATTCTGCATAAGAGAATCGTCACCACGCCCTTCACATCATTAGGAATGTCAATATCACGTCCAACCAAATGCCGAGAGACTCAAGTCCCAACAATAGACCCCCAAATATCCCCCAATACGCTATCAAACACGACAGGAATCCCGCACGACATCCTCCACGTCCACGTCCTCAACGCCATTGACTCAGACCTTGTCCTCGGCCCTCGAGTCTCCGCTACCTACAGCAGCACTCACTGCTTCCCTATCAGTCGCGAATCCGTCAATCACGCCGTAAGCTTCCAGCATCCTTGCATCTCTCAAAACGATCCCAGTTCAACCATCGCGCACATCGGGACCAGGGAGGCAGAAAGCTCGATAACAAAAGCTTGTACAAGAGGATACCCGATATAATTTTGGCCGAAGTGGTGGGTGGGAGGTCATTGTTTGGAGGTGGAAGGAGAGAAGGTGCTGCTGGCGTGGGTGATTCGTTGGGCGGGGTGGAATGATGGGTATCAGGAGGAGAGGAGGGAAGTGATGTATGTGCGAATGGAAGGATATTGTGGATGTGATGTGCGACGTGCAGTGGGTGAACTTTGATGAGGAAGAGGAAATCGGGGGCAAGGAAGAGGCGGATGGGATGATGAGTGCTGTTAGCCATGAGCCTTTGCAGCGCGGGTTTTCGGCAATTGTGAAAGGGAGGCTGTTGGTAGGTGAAAAAGAGATTGTATTGGAATCGAAGACAACACGTGCGTGCAGCAAAAGGGTGGGGGATTGGGTTCATCGCTTCCATAAGCGAGCCCCTGAAACTCCTTTTCGATAGCAAGAATGCTGAAATTTTTCGAGCCAGAGTCTAACAATATGAGGAATCCTATATAGTAGGACGTATCGAGTTCCTTCTAAGTTCGCAAGAATATCAAAAATTGAAGTCGAGAGGAGAAGAATCTTGTGGTTCGTAGGCCTGTGGGGTGAATGAAGCCGCACCGACTTTCAATTTGTCCAGTTACCATCTAGTACATTAGCTTCCTGGAACATAGGAGTGTCCTCAACCTACCTGCTTTTGACCTATGTTGACAATGACCCACATGGACCCCAACTGCTACCCAAAATCCAGATCAAGTACAATTTCTCAACTGCGAGACGATTACTGACGCGTTGGCTGAATTGCAGGAAAGAGGCGTCTTTGGCGAGCTTGAGGGGCCTTACACTTGACATCTGGATTGCGGAACCCCTGGGCACTTTACGCCGACGAAATCAGTGCTCTACTTGCACGAGCCTCTGCACAAAATTTGTTCAGCTACTCTACAAAAACTTTGGAGAAGTGAGCGAGAATGACTATCAACGCATTATACATGTGGGAACCGTATATGGTAGATTTAAACCTGGCCTGATTCGAACTTCCCTTTCCCTTTCCCTCGCTGTTTGCATTTGCTAACTAAGTAGTAGAGCTCATATCCAAATGAAAGCCCCACAATATCGTTCGAGTTCGTACTAGTGGGCTCATGGCGCCCACTCCGCGACTTCGGCGTCGAGGTCCGCACGCATTGGATTGAAATCTCTCGTCTGCGGAAGGGGATAGAGTACTGTAATATAATGCATCCAGGAGTCTGTGATCGTCTACTAAGTTGGCAGCAAATTCCACAATCCAAAACCTAATTCTGATCAATGTGAAGCGCGAGTGTCTCGTAGAAACAGAAGAGATTTTGAGTCATTGTGCTCCGAGCTACGTGTGGGGAAAGCAGCCAAGTCTGGCCACCACAAAGAGCAATTTTCGTGCTCTCTGTGAGCCAGGTATTCTCTAGAACGAGCAATAGAAGTCATAAATTCCGACAACTATTCGGGATGCAATTCGTTTGACAGATCCCGTAGGGACTGGCTTTCTGTGGGTGGACCGGCTCCGTATTATACAAGACGATGAGAAATCCAAATCCCAATTTATAGGCGCCATGAGCTCAATATACGCAAATGCAGATATTACCATCATGGTTTCTGGCGGAGCGGACGTGGACCACGGCCTTCTGGGTGTTGGCTCACACAAACGCCATTACGAGCGGTTCCTGTGCTAATTTGCGCCGGATAATTCAGTGTTTTGGAAATGCAGGGTAACCAATCACCAAGAGCACATTGACTGTGACAGTCTAGACGATGCAAATGGTCACAGAGTGTCATGGGAAACGTCGGTACTCGCCATCTCTGCGTCAAGAGGTCCTCGCCTTGATGAATAGCCTATGTTGGTGGAGGCATACAGCGAGCGTAAGCTTTCATTTCCTGAGGACAAACTCCGAGCGTTTCTAGGCGTGCTTGGAGCCCTTTGAGGCCGTTTCCAAGGAGTTTTCAACTTTAGTTTACCTGAGACTTTCTTCGAAGTATCTCTGCTATGGACATCAGCGTAAGATGCTCGTTCGACATCTGGACCAGCAGACAAGACTCAGCGTCTCTCTCAATTACTCAGTTGGTCCTGTGCAGGTTGAAGTGGTGCTGTAGGCATGTCCATGTGCTTACACACACTTCGTTATCTCCATTCCGGTTGGAAGGAACACTTCCACAGGTTCCAGGACTACGAATGCGTCAGTTGGTACCACGGTACAAAAAGCGGTCGAATTTCGAGAGCCGTGTTCCAATCAGCAACTCATTCTATGAATGGAAAGGTCTTTCAGAGAACCCGTCAGCAAAAGTCCCAGGCGGGTAGCACAGGGAGGCTCACCAAACTATCTTAGCGGGAGACGTTACACCAAGACATGGAGGGCCATGGGGAAAACCTATACCCGACGACCCTCTATCATAAGTTTTTCGGCTTGGAACTCACTTGGATTGCACTTATCGCAACATGGTACCTTCAGTCAAGGACGAGAGTAGAGAACTCTTGCAGATGAAGAGTGGCAGCCGCTTTAACACCGTCGAATTGGACTACAAGATTCAACAGATTGTGGGGAAATCCATGGTAGACCCATTTCGGTCAGAATATCTCAAAAATCATTCCAGCATCGTAGACAGCAGCGGCAAGCTATTGGGATTTCTCCAGAGTGGAACCAATGCCAACGATGGCCAACGATCGATTGACCTGATTGCTATTTCTAGCATGACAATATCACCAAGATATTTCGAATTTGCAACGCGTTGTCTCCCCGAGCTCCATTTTCGGTGCCTCTTCTTGGCACTTAATCTTGTCTACGATTTCTGTAACGTGCTCAGTGTTAAATGGCAGGGTGGAGTTGCGTACCGCATAGGATTTGGTCGGATATTAAAGGCAACTTGTGAAAGCAGTAACTACAAACAAGTTGAACTGGTTCTTGGATGATGTATTTTGAACGGAAAATATAAAAATAATTATAAACACTCTCGATAACTAAACTGTAGAAACTGACATGCCATATTCGTGACCCAGATGAGTTTTCCAACGAAAATTGTGTCCAGCGATGTCACCTAGCCCTTCGGTGGCAGTCATTCTTCGCTGACTGACTCTGGTAGCCTAGGAGGAATTTGGCGAGTTTAATGTGAACCAAATTGCGAGTCCTATTGTGCTCTCTAAACCCCAGCAATATCTTTTTGAAAATAAAGTACACATGCAAGCGGAAACGAAGGCAAAGATGTAAGTAGGAAGAAATGATCTTCAAACATATTGAAATAAGTGCAGATGCAGTGTTGACACAGGTGGGGCATAGGCGGGGAATTGCAGCCGAGGCAACTTTGTGCATACTTACTTCTTGAGGCCAGCTCGACCTGAATACAACACTGTTCACTAAATCCCTAAAAATTACAACAACACCAAGGACAGCATCTGAACACAATCATAACATCTATCTGCATAAATTCAGCGAAGAGATTTGAAAATGTCAGAGTTCTCTCCAGAATGGTTGGTTTCCAACTAAGAACACCCACCCCAAAGTCACTGACTACGTGCAAGCGTTGCATTCATTACTGGCAAGCCACGTCCGGTGCAAAATAATGGTTAGAGCTAATCTTAGAAGGTGCTGGCTCGGGAATCGGCCGAGCAGTAGCCTTGCGTCTCGTAGCTGATGGAATCAAGAACGTAGCTCTCATTGATCTCATCGAAGCTCACCTCGCGGACATAGCCGCCAAAATTGTCGAACTCGACCCGTCCATCGAAGTCCTCAAAATCGGAGCCGATTGCAGCAAAGAATATCAGGTCGATTCCGCAGTTGAGAAGACAGTTGCGACTTTCGGACGACTGGATATTTGTTTCAACGGAGCTGGCATTCCTGGAACAATTGCGAGAACAGCTGACATGAATTCCGACAATCTTGACGCAGTTCTTGGGGTTAATCTCAAAGGAGTTTGGTATTGCGAGAGAGCGCAAGTAGGTGTAGGGGCGGATGAATTTCCGAATTCTGAGTGTCTTGTGATATCCTTCCGAGACCATGACCCAGCCCTCCGGTTATGTTCTCTATCGAGCAATGGCTAACTCTAAAATTAGATTCGACAGATGTTGAAGCAAGAGTTGAGGCCGGTAACGTGAGTTTTTCTATGATAATACTGGATCACCCAGGCCAGATGTTGTGCTTCTGCGGGACAGCAATTACGCCATCCAGGGGAGAACAGCGCATCTGACCATGAAACTGACGCCTATCCAGGACTGGACTCCCACTCAAGACAAGGGGCACCATTCTCAACGTTGCATCTGTGAGTGGCAGCCTGGCCATTAGTAGAGTTTCGCCATATGTGATGTCGAAACACGGGGTCTTGGGATTGACCAAAACAGACGCCAAGGACTATGCTCCGGATGGGATCAGAGTCAACGCTATCAGTCCTGGATGGGTTAAGACTGAAATCAGCAAGATGCTCTGGGACAGCCCAAATGCAAGTTTCGGGCAGAGAATGCTCAAGGATTTTTATACTGACCTGTGAATAGAGCAACGCTGTTGCTGCGAGAGCGCCAATGGCTCGATGGGGTCTGCCGGAAGAAATAGCCTATACTGCTAGTTTTCTGCTGAGTGATAAATCAAGCTTTATCACTGGGACTTCTGTAGAGGTGGATGGGGGCTATACTGCTTGCTAATCGCTACGGCGAGAACTGTTTCTGAAATAAGTCACTAGTTTGCTTGAGAAAGGGGAGGGGGAATATACTTCGAGGGCAAGATCTACTTTCTAATTTCGAGAGAAATTCATGGACGAGTCCGTTCTCACCAACAAAGCGTGTGCAGTCCTAAGTGACTGTAACTTGAAATCTTCTCCATTCAAGACTTCGATATCGTACACGTGTATGTTGACCTCCAGGTCATGCAATGCCCAAACCACTTGAATATACATTAGAGCCCCAAACGCCTGGCTATGTCGAATACAGAGGGAAGATTTCGAGACTGTGCCCGGGTCGAAGGCCGCCATCACACGATTCAAAGCTGAGTTCCCTTTCCAACTCCCAAATCAACAACCGGGTATGGCCACCGCACCCAGCACCAGATATGTCACCACACTCAGTGCTATCGATCCTTGAAAACCTTTGGCTTCCATCCTTCCTTCAGCTCTGCTTCCCTACTTGCTTTCTCTTCCGCTTGCCGTATTTCCGACTCTATCCTCTCTCGCGCCCTTAGGATCTTGCTTTGTAGGTAGAAACTTCCACCCTTTTGCGGATCATTGACATCGAACAGCCTTTTGAATCTTTCTGTCACATCCTCCATATTTGCTTTCCCATTTTGTGGCGGCTTCACATTCAGGATCTTGCAGGCCTCTTCAAGCGTCAGTCCATGGGAGGCGAATGTGTTTGCAGCACCCGGATTGTTCTTTGCTTGCGCTTTGGCGTATTGTGAAGAGGCGGACGCTTGCTTCCATGCTTCTGCAAAGGCACGGCTGAGGACTCTTGTGCCGGTCACCACAACTTGGGTTATTATTCGATGCGCCTGAGATAGCAGTTAGCACTCAGCCATTGAGTAGTTCCTTCTGAATAAAGCAGACTTCTCTGAGTTGACCCAGGAAGCCACATACCATGCTGTAATGAAGCGACAACACACACTGCCTGCAAGATCAGAATCGTCCGTTGAATGTCAAGAATAGTTTAGATCAAAAAGGCGTGATCTTCCTCTAGGAACTTTTTCTGGTCAGCCTTCGGAACTTCCCGCGATCCAAAAATCCTCGTTCCTGACATTCAAGGCGTAAACAGCACCTCTCAAGAAACCACGTCAACCAGCACGCTGAGAACACATTCCTCAAAGCTCATCTGAGCAGCCCAGTTTACAGCTTCTTCTAGTATTCAGTTAAAGTCTCTCAAAATGTCACAATTCTTCCAACAACCACCCAATCCTCCTTACGGCGCGTCTTCAGCGCAAAACTTACAGTTCTACCCTTCGTCATACACACCAAATCCTGTGTCCGGTCACGCAACACCTTCGCAAGCTTCGTATGGATATGGAGCATCGGGTGGAAGCCCAGCTTATGGTGCTGCTGGAGGCTTTAATTCGGGCTTTGGGGCGCCGCAGGGAGTCAGTGGGAGGATGGGCGAGCAAGGAGGATTGAGAACTGGATGGTTGGCGGCATTTGGGACAGAGGGTTATGACGGGGAGCCACCGCTGTTAGAGGAGCTTGGAGTGAACTTCTCACATATTCAGAGCAAGGTAAGCTGCCCATACTGGAGCTTCATGTCGAGTTCAATGCAGCAAGGGCTGAAGCTAATGTGTGTAAAATAGACATTAGCTGTTCTCAATCCACTCGCTCGAATAGACCAGCACATAATGGACGACTCTGACCTCGCGGGTCCCGTTCTCTTCTTCCTCCTCTTCGGAACGTTCCTCATGTTCTCCGGAAAAGTCCACTTCGGATACATTTACGGCCTCGCCCTCCTAGGCAGCATCTCTCTCCACACAATACTTTCCCTCATGTCACCACCATTAGGAGACACATCGTCGGATCCATCACCTCCTGCCCATGGTTCTTCACACCTTTCCTCGACCTTAACCTTCACCCGAAGCGCATCCGTGTTAGGATATTGCTTGTTACCTCTGGTGTTGACAAGTCTTGTAGGCGTAATACTTCCAATGGATGGCATGCTGGGATATGTGTTGACGAGCTTGGCGATTGTGTGGTGCACATACAGCAGTTCTGGGATGTTCTGCGTAGTGGGAAGGATGAGAGATATGCGTGGATTGGTCGCATATCCCCTTGCACTATTTTACATCAGCTTTGGCATTATGGGGATCTTTTCGAGTAGAGGAACTAAGGTACTAGGAGCTAAAGTTGGAACGGGTCTGTGAGTGTGCATGGCGGCATAATAAATGGGCGAAAAGGGTTGGTCTTGTAATTATAGAGACAGATGTTCATTGAGCCTAGCCACTGCTCAGGGCTTTATTCAAGCACAAATATATCGAACACTTCGCGAACGGTGGTCATATGGCAACAAAATCTGAGACAACAGCAAGTCATGATTATTGGTAGTCGCTCAAAACTCCAGCCCAATGATCCAAGTAAGCCTATAATTGTGTACACGACGAGGGATGTTATTCTAATCCCATCCTGACATCATCTGCGATGCCCCAATCCGCTTCCCTAGCTCTCGGGACTCTCTCATCATCGCTGGCAATGCTTAAACTACTTCCTGTGCCTCTTCTCCTCAGGTTTGCTGGTCTGCTTTTGAAACCGGAGCTTTTTGTGGACGAGCCATCACTTTTACTAGTACTTTCTGCTTTAGACTTGCCACTTCTGATACTAGCCTTGTCGGTGTATTCTAGATTGTCCTGTAAGGGTTCGGAGAAGAGTGGTGCAGAGATAGGTGTCTGTTGTGCTCTAGGACTGTCACGCGTGGGGGTTGGTGAGGGTGTGATTTCTGTGGAGGGAGAAACCTCGACTAGTTCTGCATCGCGATACCATTTTCGTCGGCGTGTGTAGCGTCCCCAGCCATCTTGTCCTCTTCGTCCGTTCTGCCACTGTAGTGCTTGTCAGCACTGGTATCGACTTTGATCGAAAAACTGATTTTGGAACCCCACTACTATCTCATAAACTGGAGGCAAAACAAACCTTATTATCGTAGTAGATCCAACCTTGTCCACCATCAGTAGTCTCAGGCTTCGCCTTGACGCCACCTTCGTCAAATTCTCCAGCACCTTCTACGAGCCATTTACTTCCTTCCGCCCACCTCCATCTTGCTGCACCACCTTCTACATCTGGGAGTTCAAAATCTTCTCTTGCAGGAGCAACGTTTAGGTGCTCATCAGTCCATGCTGCCCTTTCATATGCAAACAAGGACGTAGTCCAACCTAAAGCAACCCACCTCCGTTGATTTTCATACAATATGAATGTGAATCTAACTCCTGGAGCATCTGGCCTTCTTTTTGCAGCTGCTGAAGCAGCTAGTGAAGCTTTCTCTTGATATTCGGTCTGTTTTCGGGGCGGTAGAGGTGGTGCATCGGAAGCTGGTGGTGGTGGGGTGAGGTTATCAGAGAAGTGGAGGCCTGTCAAGGTAGCCAACATTCGGCGAATAAGTGCGGATCTCCACAGTATAGCTCTCGATACCCTGTTAGGTCGAGAATGCCATGTCAAGAACAGTGTGCCTGCAACTAGAACCATTCGTTTGGTTGTGATAATCTGAATAGGTCTGAGGGTCAAGACAATCCAGAGTGGTGTGATGAGAAGGATTCGGATCAAGAGGGTGGTAAGGGCAGGCCTGGTTGTAGCGGATGTTGCGGTTCGTTGGGTGGAGAGGAAGTCGGTAAGCTCGAGGAGAGGATCCAGCAGCACATTACATCGTGATGTAAAGACTTTCAGGGTTTCTACAATCTCGTCCAGCGTCTTTTGGTGTTTGGTATTCGTAGCTTCGGAATCCGTCTTTTTATGTCCTTTCTTCGGCTTTTCTCCAGTCCAACTCGTGGATGAAAGTGGCGAGTAACGCCTCGAGTACATCCCCAATATCAACCCCATAACGATCGCCACGGGCCCAGCATATCGCATTACTACGTCTCCGTATAACACCACCCCCCAGAAACCGGCCAGGAGCAAGAAGCTCTCCCAAGGATCTCCACTCGTCCATGTCAGCAATCCGGCGAGCTTGTTTAGAGGCAGCAGAAACGGATGTGAATATGCCAAAGCTCTGGTGATCTGAGGAGGAGTTGCGATCAATAGCGGCGATTTCTGGTGGACAAGTATCGTAGAGCGCTGCTTGTTAGCAGATGTGGCATGAGAAAGCGTCACTGGTGAGAATGCTGCCACCGTCGGAGGATTCGGATCATTGCTGGCTAGGGAGCCTCCATCATCGTCTCTTCGTGATGAACCCGGAGTGGAAGACATCATCCAGGGTGTATCCTGAAGTACAATTAGTCATGGGTGGTTCTTGTCCATAGGGATGAAGGTACGATGTACAAATGCAGCCATTCGTCATTATTCGGCCCAGGCAAACCTGCTTGCGAAAACGCGGAAGTAAGCAATCGAGTGTGCCACGAGATTGTGTTAATTCATTAGAGAATCATTGCTTGTGGGAGACTTCGCAAAGGTCTCCAGCATTAAGCAGACTATAATTTACATTGAAAAGGACGATGAAAGCATCTCTTGAGATCAAAGGACGGTTACCCGCGCGTCACATGCATGCAAAGCTCGGCATCATTTGAAGGTAGCCTTGCAGCCAACGGGTCGCAAGGTCAGGATGACCTTCGCATTTCAAGAGGAACTCTGCAAGAATGTAAATACTAGATGACCATATATTTTTACCAATCATATTATCTTTCTTAAGAACGCCCCATTTCGCAGAATAGCATGCATTCGCTCTTGCCTATTGGTTACCAAGCAGCCACAGCCTTGTTCCCACGTGACTGAGCTAAAGTAGCGTCATCGGATGAATTTTCGAAGGAAATTCAAAAGCAACCTCTTCCTTCAACCACCTCTCGAAAGCATGACCAGGACCAAACGACGCAACAACGACAACATGTCGAGACAGCCCCCCCTTCCCCCAGGACTGCCTCCTAGGCCACGCAATGGATACGGTAATGGTGATTCATACCGCCCCCAGAGCGACAACTACTACCGTCAGGAACCCGAGCAAGTGTACCAGTTTCGCGGCGCCGCCCAGAACTCGTACAGGCCTTCGTACGATCAGCCTTCGTATGACCAAAGACCTCGTCACGAGAACTACCCTCCTGGCATTTCCCCACCTCGTGGTCCTGCGACCGGTTCGTATCGTGATCGCCCGACCGAGTTCAGCTTCCGTCATGATGCGCCACCAGCCCTTGACTTCCAGGCTTCTTCCCGACTACGATCTCCACCGCGTCAGCGCACTAATCTTCAAGACAGCAATGGCGGCTACCGTGGTCGTGCTGACAATGCCAACAACAATCGGGGCGCGACGCGAGGCGGCTATCGTGGTCGTGCTGGCCCCAGAATGGCATCAGACCGAGAATTCCTCAGAGGCAATCGTGCTCCTACACCTGAATTGATGCCAGGCATGGACGATGATCAAGGAAACGCGATCAAATATGTGCCAATGGAAGATGTTTCCGACAGTGATGAAGCTGAGATGAATCTGTCCGACAGCGAAGGTGCTGAACCGAAGAAGAAGCAAGCCAGAACCGATGCTATCAAGGTTGCAGATGGCGACAGTGTTCCGAAATGGTCAAACCCTGATCCGTACACGGTTCTGCCTCCTCTCGATGAATCTCAGCGAAAGAAGAAGGACGTTGTCAAGCTGATCAGAAAGGCTCGCGTTACGTCCTCTTATGAGAACATAAACAAGACCGAAGCAGTGACTGATGATTTCATTTCCTTTGGCTTCGATGGCGATGGTCAGGATGATAACAGTATGCTGGCTCAGCGGCCTGGAAATGGGGTCGAGGGTGCTCCGACAGGTCCAAGGCTCAGGCATCGCGACAACACACACAAGCAAGAACAACAGTCTGGTTCCCCGAACCAGTTTCGTGAGAATCAACCGGCTCAAGGCACCAAACAAATTGACAACGATTCTAAGCTGCAGCCGCCAGCAGCTAAGACCAAGCCTTTGAATGAGAAGCCTCCTCAGCACCAACTTCCCAATAAGCCTCCTCAAAACCAACTTCCCACCAAGCCAGCCGCACACATCGATCTGACACCGAATCCTGATTTAGGTAACCGCAAGCGCACCATCAGAGATGAGATCAAAGGCCCTCTCAAGGCACCGCCAATGATCCATTCCAGTGGAGGAAAGAAACCAGCTGCCACTGGTGAGATCGTGAAGGAATGGAGAGTCCAACATGACGTTTCGCCCACCCCGTGGCTGTCCATTGATCATTCCGATTCTGCTAACATGGGTGTCTGGTAAGTACTATTACCTTGATGTTCTACAATAACTAACTTCAGTCAGGCTTCACAAGGAAATCATGGACTTTTACCATTTCGTTAAGCCTCGTGATTTTGAGCAGTTCATTCGCACGCAGCTCGTTGAACAGCTTCGCAGCAATGTAAAACAATTCTTTGAAAGATACGCAGATATTCGTACGTTTGGTTCGTTCCCAGCCGGGCTGTACCTCCCTACGAGCGATATGGATCTGGTCTGTGTTTCAGACACTTACATGAAGGGCGGGAACCAGATTCTGGGTAAAAAGAACAGTCTCTTCAAATTCTCCACATTCTTGAAAGAGTGCAACCTAGCCTTGAATGGAAAGACTGAAGTCATCCCCAAGGCCAAAGTCCCTCTTGTCAAATTTGTTGACAGAGTTACGGGTCTCAGAATCGATGTGTCCTTCGAAAATGATACCGGCTTGATCGCGAATAGGACATTCCAAGATTGGAAGGCTACCTTTCCGGCAATGCCCATTCTCGTCACACTGATCAAGCATCTCCTTGCCATGAGAGGTCTCAACGAGCCGGTCAACGGAGGTATCGGTGGATTTTCGGTAACCTGTCTTGTCGTAAGTCTTCTCCAGAATATGCCACAAGTTCAAAGCGGAAGCATGATCCCCGAGCATCACCTCGGTGAGATCCTCATGGAGTTCTTGGATTTGTATGGCAATCAGTTCAACTATGAACACACGGCGATTCAATTGAACCCCCCAGGATACATTCCGAAGGTGAGTCAGCTTGCGCGGTGGGGAGATGTCGAACACTGACCCTTACGTAGGCCGATGCAAACATCCCGTACAAGAACAAGCTCGCCATCGTCGATCCTAATAGATCCAGCAATGACATCGCTGGTGGATCCTCCAACACGGAAACAATCCTGAAGTGCTTCTCTAAATCCTACGACGCTTTGCAGAAGCGGATGGGTGAATTGCAGTATGCTGCTGATCGCCGGAATCAGAGCATCCTCGGATGCATTCTTGGTGGCAACTACACCTCCTTCAAACTCCAACGCGAGCATCTTGCTCACGTTCACGATAACCTCTATGGTCCCGTTGACCGCACTCAGTTCGAGTAGAGGCTTGATTGGTGTTTCCACCCTCTTTTCCACCCCGGAAGGAACGATATCTTGAGGATCATGATATCGTCAACATTGATATGTGATGCGTTATGAAAGGGCTTGCATTTGCACTACGGCGTACGGACAAAGATGGAATGATACCCCTGGCGTTTTTCCGTCGTGAGCCTGTACAATAGCTAGAGAGATTTGCTTCCTGGCTTCATTTTATTGCGTTCCCTCACTAAAGACACCTTTCGCGACTGACCTGCTTTTATAGTGATCGAGTCCCAGTTCTTGCCAATCGATGACAGACGAGACGATCGATCACTTCCATAAAGTCAATACAAGAATTCAAGTCGCTCGTTCCTCAAATACTTGCCGCGTCCTCGCTCGAGCCATTGGTCCTAACTGCCAGAATGGCGTTTACTGCTGATCGCTCCTTCTACTTTAGATCTCACAAACGTTGGATTGAATTGGATCAACGAATATTTCCTCGACTACGTCTGGGTGTCTTGCATGCGACTCGAGCTTTTGCTCTTGTTCAATATCGCGACTCGCCTCCCTTTCTCACTGTGGTGGCGCTTTCAGTGCAGCCATGGAGAGGAAAAGCTCGTTTTTGGTCGGACGCAGTTATACTGCGCATATCTATTGAGGGCTACTGGATACCTTGATCTTCCAAGATTCATGATTCTTCAGGAGAGTTGAATCGGTTCGGTTGATGGGAAATCTAGTTACGCAGCTTTTCCTGAATTCATACCCAGCTGACACCAAGCAAGCAATCAACCAACACACCCACCCACCCCTCCCTCCACCTAATTCAGAACCCCGAAAGAAGTAAGCCACTCGACGTCGACAGGTAGTTCTTATAGCGACTCTCGCCTCCCCCGCATTCGCCTGCGCCCGTTTTCCAGTTCCAGCTTCGCATGCCAAGATCATGGAACATCAGATAAGATCTCTTTTTTGAAAAGACCAGATGAAACCCCGCACGATCTCGCAGATCATATGCTTAGCCGGCGCGCACCCCCGCTTTCTTGCAGACTTGGCAGGAGATACCAAGCTTCAGCTGCTTTTGCGAGGAAGCCGTTACGAGGCTGCAGAGTGGTTAATGTGCTAAGACGACCGTGTAATGGTGAGTGGGTTCCAGGTAAGGAGCAGCGAGCCCTTTGTCTACCAAAGCCATAAATCGGGTAGCTGAAGATGGTCAATGGAACCGGACAGGCGCCAGATATTGCATCTTTTTGGGCGGTTTGGTGAGAGGAACGGGGATTGTTCTTCCAGGCGGTTGCTGCAATTGGACGCCTCCTGTATCTCAAGACACGAAGGCATTGAAACTCCCTCGAATGTACTCGAGTGCCGCCTCCGGTGTGCCAAGATATCGTTGGCCAGCTCGCCTGCTGTGTGATATGCATTAACGGTACTGTTCCCTACATTCTGTACATATACCAACCGCTTGGCATCTCTTGTTCTTTCCCTGGCACTGGGCTTGCTCATCGCTGCTGCGCTGGTCAGCCTGGTTCCAGCGCATGGCTTGATCGCAGGTGCTGTTGGCGACTTGGGAGGAAAGGGGCAAGGACCTGGTGTCGTCTCTGGTGTCAATAGCCAAGCGGTTGTCACAGTCCTCAACGGCAAATCTGCCTTTGGGGGACTCAGGGCGTAAGATATTTCGTACTCTTTAGTGATACACTGCTAACCAAAACTAGGGCGGTGATATAGTCGTAGCTACTGCTCTGGCTGCCAAGCAAAAGCTCTTTGGAAACACAATCCCGCAGATCTCAGCAAATGCCGGTGTCCTTACCATGATCTTTCCTCAGATCAATGGCGATGGAGCTGGACCGATCGTGTATTAATCTCGACTGACGTTACAGGTAAGACGTTTACGGATATAACTGTCTCTAAGAACGTCCCAGGCACAAACGGGAAGAGCAACGCGGCTAACCAGGACTTCCTTCTTGTGGCCAACATCCCAGCTGGCACGGCTTTCACTGGCGCTATCGGAGCACTAAGGTAAAGAACGTGTATGCTGTCACGCGTGCGAATCCCGCCGGTTCTTTGGAGGCACAGTGCTTGTCCAAATCGCTGCTGCTGGGAAGAAGCGAGAGGTTATAGGTGGCAGCCTTGCTGCTAGGGTAAAGGCAATCATTGAATAGGGGCGACTGGACACTTGTAGAATTCGCTGAGGGAAAGCAGGGGGAGAAGAGGGTGTGGTGTTTTGGTCTGTAATACTTGGCCCAGGAGCAGGACTTGTTGAAGCATATAAAACTGGCAATGGCAATAATGATCTCAAGTGCATCTGTCAAGCATAAAGTTTACATGCCGATTGGAAAATCAGTGATACCTAAATTACTTTGTTCCTAGGCCTACTAAGTACTTTCATACAACTCCGCTCGGCCTTGCCAAAACAAATGAATGTAGCCAATATTTTCCACTTTCAAAACGGGCTCGCTCAATCTCACCAGACAGTTGAAATAACGAGCAAATTGTCAAGTTCTGACACCGATTCGCCACCTCCACCGGATCCCGACTCCGTTCCAAGTTTCCCCATAAATCAGTTCCCCGAGACCCGTCCCATATCAATTCGCTAACCAAGATGTCTATTTAAAGTATGAAATTCGTAAATTGTTCTTTCGCGGAGAAGTGGTCTCGTGGCCTGGAGATGTTCGATCTGGAGCAATGCGGAATGATGGAGAACCCCATTCGTGAAGTATCGTTGGAGCAGATACGGCGCCTCGGTCTCCAATGAGGGAAGTACATAGCTGTATTTGAGCGTACAATATCTCATCTTTAGCAGCTTTACTGCTACTACTATGCTTCAGTCCAAGGGTCATAATGCCAGTGCCAGTGCTTGTGCGAGCGTGGACGTTCGCTCCATGAGAGAGTAGAAAATTTGTAGCAGGTCGATTTCCCAATCTGACAGCAATATGCAGAGATGTCTCGCCATGTCGATTGCGCCGGTCAAGGTCAGTTCCAGCATCAAAGAGTCGTTGATAAATCTTCGTCGTCATATCGTCGTCCTCGCCTTCGCGGCGGTGCATGACGAATGCCATGAATGGCGTTATTCCTTGCTTATCATAGCTTGCGTGAGAGTGGCGTCAGCTAATGCTCCACTGAAACATCTCGGGAGAATTGAGACCTTGTCTCTGCATAAACGCATGAGACCGTTTAGAACAGGAAGGAGGTTTTCCCAAATACTTACTTATTTGGATCCACGCCAGCAAGTAAAAGCTGCTCCAAGTACCGCTCGCGACTCGTTGTCGAAAATTCGAGAGAAGAACCCGCCTTTTGATCAGACTGCTTGCCGGGGATCGGTAAGTCCAAACGCACTACTGCCAGACAATGGAGACCATTACGACCATCTGCATCTTCGAATTTGGGGTCTTCTCCGGAGCAGACGATTGAGCGTAGTAAGTCTGCGTGTAGCTCGTACTGTTGCAAATCCTCAAAATTCTCGACCCAGTCGTGCTTCTTGAAATTCTGAAAATTTCTATTGACAAAACTGTATTCTTCGAACTGCCCATCGCTGCTGGGATCCCGTTGCTCAAGGAACAGGTCTCCATCAACAGAGAACTGGGAATCCTTAATTGTAGGCAACGTTAGTTTAGACTCCAGTTCCTGAAGCTGGTCTTGGATGCGGAAGCCAAGGTTGTCTCGAGTGGTTGGAAGATCGACTCTGCAAAATTCAAGGGTCTGCACAATCTCGTTCAATACGTCAGGCGAAATTGGAGGTTCTGTAAGGGCGTGTATGGCTGTTTGACCATTGTAGTCTTGGCACCGGAAGTCGAATTGGCGATCAACGAGACTTCCAATTAAACTTTGAAAATCAAGAATTTGTTCGACACTTGATATATGCACCAAGTGCAGAAAAGTTTGCTTGGCATTGTTCAACGCGTGAACGTCGGCATCCATATCAATGAGGTGTAATAGGTAGCTCGGCGGTGCCTCGAGTGCTGCGGCTATGTGAAGAACCGAATTTTTGAAAGCGTCCACAACATCAAGGTCGTCTGGACGCACTCCGCAAGCTCTGATCCTGAACAGGACATCCGAACGAATAGAACGATGGGTTTCGTGCCCAATATGTTGAAAGATAGGGCCACAATCGCACGGAGACTAAACAAATATATTAGTCCCAGCATTGAAGGGTGCAAACCGAAATGCTAACCTCAACATCGTCACATTTCCGCAATTCGTTGTGGTTGATATGCTCCCAGCAGTATTGCGGAAAGCTGCCGGGTAATATGACAGGGTGTTCCATCTTTGTCGGCACTGAAATGCGTGAGATAGTTGCAGTTTTGCTGGAGGAAGTCCTGCCGGTCATTGTGCTCGACACTTCTGAAGATTCAGAAATAGTAAGACGCTCCATAAGAGACTTAATATCTCCCAGGAATGATGTTGAATATTTCGATTGCAGGCGTTTTTTGAGACTTCTGAGGCTCATGATCGACCTGCTAGAATTGCCTATTGAGAATACACTTCGAGTGTCGTGTTTATCTGGTTTGATTACGGTGGGAGTAGTAGTCTCTTCAGGCATCGACAAGGTCCTCTCACATTTTTCTGACATGGAATCGATAAGCTGGGCAGCGGTGGGCGAAGGTGTTTTGTCACGGTCTTCCGTCGTTGACTGAACATCATTGTAACCGGATTTAAACTTTCCCAAGGGCGACTCAAGGTTGAAACTGCTATTTATCCAATTGTCCGAACTCAGTTCTGTTGGTATAGGAATGGGCTCATACTCTCCCAAATTCTGGTGCGCACTTTCTATTTCATAGAGTCCCAGCGTTGACTCGGCCTTCTCGGTTTTCCAAGGTCCCAACGGCGGCTGGGCATCAATGGGCTCAAAGTGGTTGATATTCGACGAGTGGTCGAAGGGGCTCGATCCACTCTGTAGGTACGGACTTTGGGAGGCAGTAGAGACATCGTCGAGGTCGAAATCGAGCCAGGAGTTGCCCGCAGGTTCGATGGTGGACGCAGAAAGTAGCTCGGAGCTTTCTGATGGGTATCTTTCGCTGGATGTGATTTCGGATGTCGCAATGCGGTTGGACTTTCTCATTCGTTCTGCGGATCTCAGATCGCGACATTCCCTCAAAAGTTGAAGCCTCGCTCGGGTTATAGGACCTTTCGCTCTTAGTCGATTGGGTCTGGATTGAAGCAAAATGCCAACTATTTCGGCCCTTGTCAATCAGATGCCAAATCTATTTGTAAGTTGGACCTACGTTGCGTCTGGATATCTCGTTTGCTACGAATCTGTGAGCAAGAGTCTCTGCCTTCATTGTCGAAAAACATACCATGGTTGGAAATGCTTGCCACGCAAGACTTCCGCTATCTCGCCGACATTGAGGTCCGTCATCAAATACAATCGCACCAGCTTGCGCTTTCTGGTGGGTGTCCAGCCATTCCGAGGACGTCCCATAGGTTTTGGCTTCAAGCGCTTCTGAGCGGGAGCCCTCGCCTCTTCCTGCGAACCATTCTTTCGTTTCTTGTCTGCAACATACGCTGCACTGGTTACTTGCGTCGTCGGGGTCGCGTGGGCAGCGGAGCCCAGGGCGGAGGCCATGGATGGACTGTTAAGACCTTCACTGGACCAACGCATGTCTCGGAAAGGATAGAACCCCTATTCGGTCGAGGAAGGAGCGCTCTGGCGCAATCAAGAGAGCAGTGAGTCGTAGGATCAGCGCTTATGGAACGAGCATCGCGAGAGTCTCAAAGGGCCTTGGGAATAGCCCAGCACCAGCAGCATTTATCGACGAAGATGCCGATGCAAGTGGCGGTCCAGATCCAGAGCGCACCCCGCTGTGCCGTTTGCCTTCAGGCGCTCGGGGCTGACAACTCGCGCATCTGAAGCGGCGAAGCGAGGGATGATCCGAGGCGTTCTGCCCTGCACGGAGTCAGTACAGCGAGTGCAAAAAAGAACCCATCACTGATGCTGATTGGCCAGCAATCGCTGCGCCTCCTGCGGACGGATCATGTGACATGGCACTCTTGCTCTGGAATCAAACGTGGGCTCGTTATATGCCGCACTCTCTGGGATGTGCTGCAGAACCTCGGAGTGCTGGCAAACTTCATCTTCATCTAATAAGTTGTTGGCACTAAGGTGCAACTTGTTGGCCGCTGGTCTCGAAAACCGTAGATTCATCGCAGACTGTCCGATCCGACGCCTTGCTCAATGCCGCAGCACTCTAGTTTTACAAAAGTGTACATACAGTCTTCCTTCCGTCTCTAAGGACATGGCTCGTTTGCATTCATCACGAAAAGCATCGCTCAATACGCCGCCCAGCCGTTATCGTTAACTGTCCCATCTGTCCCATCTGTCCCATCTTGCCCGCCAACCATGCTAGAAGAAATCCTTACCAGAAACTGCACCAACCGATGTAATGCTGGCATAGATTTTCCAGCTTCGTCGCCTCAATCAACAACTTGTCAACTTGGATAATAAAGGTCAGCTCCTCGTCTGGCTTGAAATCGTGCCCAGTGAGCTTCTCCTTCACCCTATTCAGCACCTGCATCGCTCGCTCATTCTGCGTCTCTTGGATGTCGACGTCGGCCCCACCAGGTCCTTGAGTCGTAGAATTTGTTCTGGCACGCGGCCGAGAAGATGGCGGACCTCCTGGAGCTGCCGTAGGGTCCTGAGCCATGAGAGCTGAGGGTGGGATTTCCGCGTCCATGATAGAGGGACGACGGGCTTGCGCTGCCATCAGAGAATCACGGCGTTCAGAGCGGAAGTTTGGACCTGCTGGTGAAGTATCCCCCGTAAGACGCCAATTCAGGAGTGGATCGTGAATGAACTACTATGGTTAGTGAAAAGACTTCGCTAAGGGGGGTTGCACTTACAGCTTCAAGTACTGCCATCAAAGACTCCTTGTTATCCCTCAGAACCCTCATAACATTTTCACAAGTGATCCGGAAGCTGCCCTCGATGTTGCTTACCTCCATTGCGTATGTCAACATTCGAGTCAATCGGAAAGGCACTCGCTCTGGATACTTGTCGCGATGCATGGCGACTTCGAAGCAGTCACCAAAATCAATATGAATGATCTTGCCCGTGATTCGGTCAAGCATCAGATTCGATGGATGCCTGTCACCAAGACCGAGGATATATCCAACCATTGACATGACACCCAAAGAACGAGTGTAGTTCGTACGGCGCTCAAGCCAGGATTCGGAACTCTTGCTCTTCAACCATAACACGCGGTAGAGATCTTGGCCAGTAGTATTGTCCAGTGCATAGCCGAAGACTTCAACCTTCTGCATAAGAGTGAGATTATCGTAATCAGGAGCCATCTGGAGCATAATTCGGTGCTCGATGTTGAGCAAGATCTTGCGGCTCTCTCTGTACTCCCTGATCAAGACGTGAAGCGTGTCACTGTTTGGAACCCAGCCAAGTAGACCCGAATTCTGTGATAAGGGAATGGCGGGGTATCTCTGAATATTCAGATGTCGCTTGTATGACTCGGTATCATTGACCATCAGCGTGTTGCATAGACCAAACAGTTGCATAACACGTTCGTCCTGACGAATGTCTTCATGACCCTTCAGAACAAAAGCATACGGGACTCCGTCGCTTCCATTGAGACTGAGCTTTCGTGGACGCTGTTTGGAAGATATGACGCTAAAGGTGGTATCGAAGTTGAGAATTCGGATGATAGGCTTGCCGCTCATATAGGTGCCCGGTACTGCCAGGTCTAGATCGCGAGCATGGAGAAGTTTGGGCGATACATAGGCTAACTCTAGGTTATTGAGCTGCGGAAGTTGTCGAGCAATGCGCCGGAAAACTTGGTAATAGAGGTCCCAAGCTTGGTTGATATCACCGACATCGCCTGACTGTCTGTAAGTGAAGCACCACTCACGAGCTTCTTGCAAATCACGTCCGAAGGTCTGAGCAAAGGATATCTCTCGCAGTGTCTCGGGACCTTGGTCGAGCATGTCGTGCAATGGGGCCAAAGTAGCAAACATTCCTTCAATGTTTCGATCGCCGAAATAGAGCCTTGAAGCCTCCTCAAGACCCTCGTGCCAAAGTTCGTGCCACAACACCGCGACCCGGATAAGTTCATGACTGACGATATCTGCTTGCTCAACAAGTCTAGCGCTGTGCTGACGCATGCTGTCCATGATTTGCATCGCTGATCTTCCACGTCGAGTATTTGGAGCCGATTTCATGGCTACCGTCAGCGGGTAGACGAGGGCTTGTGGATGAGCCCTACCAACATCGGCTAGAAGATTATGGATCGATTGTCGAACCCGAGTGTTGGGCTGGTTAATCCGAGCAATGAGTTGAGGAATGACTTCCAGCCAAGTGTCCACGCTGACAGATGCAAATCCCTCGGTGACTGCCGCATTGACTTCCGGACTGCCTCCGTGGGCGAACCAAAGGGTCAACAGACGTAAGGTATCCTGCAAAGAACTGCCCATAGAGAGAGAAATGGACTTGAAGAATCCTCTGACTGCAGGAACGACATGGTCGATAAGAAGCTCCGGCGCGACAACCAAATTGTGATCTCGTTCTGCTTGACGGGTGAGGGATTGGACAAGTTCAAAGTTGGCGAGAGCCCAAGCATGCCAAGCTTTGTACCAAGTGGGGTTGAAGTGTGTGGCTGCTCGATACGAAGAAAGGACGTCAGTGACATGGTTTTCGTACCAATTACCCTTCTCTCGCGCAATTTGCCATTCCCCTTGTTTGAGGCAACATCTGGCGAGGAGCATCGTGTGCTCGGCCACAGCCTTATTAGACATTCCTGGACTGCCGACAGCACCACCGGGGCTGTTGGGATTGAAGCCATTAAGGGACATATTCGACACTCCACCGTTGATGCTGAGAACGTCGGTAGCGCCGTTCATGCCCCCCTGAGCCGCCGCGTGCACTTGATCTAAACGATCAGCTAGTTCTGCTGTGAAAACTCGCAGTGCATCCAATGCCGGTTCTTGTTTGCCTGCCGCCCAATGGTATTTGAGAACGGCATATTTGACGGGAGGAGGAACGTCCCTCAATAGAGGCTGTCGAATCTGACCGTTTTGGCGATTCCCATCCGCTTCGTCGACCCATGGCAAAAGCATGTCGAGGCTTTCATCGGTGCCAATCAGCATCTTCAGGTGCTTTTCTGCCAAGCCCATCCGACCAGATTTCCTACAGAGATTGGCAAATTTGATCATCATCTGCATGTTCTCTTTGGGTGATATCACTAAAGTACGGAGCTTTAGCATGCGCTGCCATACCTCAACGTTCCGCTGACAACCAAGGAGTCGTTTCTCCCAAGTGTGACGGAGAGTCTCCTGTTTGGTTGGATTGTTGGCACTTTGCTTGTAGACAATAAGCTCCTCTAACTCTGCCAACATTTGCACGCGAACAATGACGGTATAAGCTCGGTTGTACGACTCGCTGACCAAGGCGCTCAGCTCTGTGTCCAGCCCCTCTCTTGCTTTCTGCACGTACAGTGCAGCTTCTCGGAATTGGTTGCGATGCAAAGCAAGAGCAGCACCAAAAAAGGATCGATCTGGAGTATTGGCCTTCATGACGCTGAGATAGTCATCCATGAGATCCCACTGTCCCAGACCCCATGCAGCCGCGGTAGCCAAAGGCGCCACAGCCCGTTTGATCTCAAGAGTAGACGTATGCCACTTGTCTTGTGCCAATGCAGAGAGCGAGTCCCATTCTCCCAGTGCATGCAGGCACCTCATCTTCCCCATTATAATATCAAATGTCTCAGCCTGTTCTGGATACTCCTGCTCGCGCTTCTGGTAGAATTCAAGAGCCTCTTCCCAGCGCTCGAGTTTCTCGAACCAAGTTTCACGCAACTGGATTCCATCTTTGTAAAGTTGAGCCTTTCGCAAGATACCTATGGCCGCATCGTACTGTTGCAATTGATTGTTGATCTGGATTAGAGCTTCAACTGCTCCACTCGATTGGTCTTGAAGAAACTCCAACTCCTTGTAATGGAGAGCCTTTGCCCAAGCATGGCATCGGCCAGCTTCTCGCCCTAATACACGAATATCGATCGGAAGGGCCTTATCATCATGCTCCATAAATTCCGCAAGATTAAGCAATATTCCAAGAAGGTCGGGCGTGACATGTGGCGACCGAATTGCAAGCTCAATGTTTTGAATCAGATCATCCTATATAAAGACTTAGCTCTGAGAATCAATAGCTTTTTGACTGGAGACTTTTACCTGGTACGGTTCGAAAAGGTCACCCCAGCATGATACGAAGGCAGAGTTGAATAGTTCACGGGCCAGTGGAGGATACACGCTTGCCAAGGGAGCACATGCTCTGAGAGCCTGGTTCGGCGATTCCGTTAGGACGGTAACACTGAAACGACGCATCCATTCTTGCCAGTCCTCCTTTGTTGATTTGCCTTTCGCATCCCAAGACGCCTTCAGATGAACAGGATTCGAGTCAAGCTTTTTGTTCTGAGCCTCTGAGTAGGCCCCTTCATCGACCTGGTTACGGAAACGATCATCCGCGTTCAGATCTTGAGGTAAAACTTCTCCTTTTTGCAGCTTGCTTACCAGAAGTTCATAATTTTGATGAGAGATCTGGTTCGCTGCTAAGACCTTGTTAATGGTACCAACAAAATGCAGGTAATCTTTGCCCAGTTGGAAGATTAAGGCACAAAGTGTGTCAAGAGCAGCCAGTCTCAGAGAACTATCACTGCCAGCCAGAACTCTCGCAAGTGGATGGATAATCTTTGACGCAAAGTCGTTGAGATTGACCTGCCGTGAGATCTTGCCAATGGTCTCGATCGCGGATTTTCGAATGAATGACGGTTGCTGTTGTTTTTCGAAAACACCAACAATGACCGGAATGATTAAATGCATGTACTCTTCGCTGCTTGGGCCAAACACAAGAAATGCGTGGAGAACACGTTCCGAAGGCAAGCGTCTCGTAGAGACATCCTTTTCCAAAACACCTAGCATTAGGGGTAATAGCCCAGCCAAGTAAATCTTGAATTCGCCTTCCAAGGATCGGGAAATGGCTTCCACCAGTTGCAGAATATTCGCCTGCAAGGGAGTTGAATGGCTCCAAAACTCTTGCAACACGTTTACGATGTCTGGCAGGTAATTTCGGATGTGCTGTCGGACGATCGTTACCAAGACGCTTAGTTGACTGAAGTATGACTCGAGACGGGTAGAAGTAGCACTTCGGATGACAGCGATGAAGGCAGGGACGACCTTGTCGAGAAATGGAACACATTCGAGTCCAAGAGTCCTAAATATCGTCATGATTGACTCCACGACAAGTGCATGGTGCTGGACAAGGGACGGGTCCTTCAAGATTTGGAGCAATGCATTGACCACGACCGTAGGGAAGTATTCTTTGTTGGATGGTGTGAGTCCAGTCATCATGAGCGAGATATCAGTAAGCTGCGTCGACTCGAGGCGCAATTGAGACTCTGGAGATCTTTCTTCGACTTGCTGATGTTTGTAAGGGTCGAGAGCACCAAGAATGCCCATGAGCTTTATTGTCTCTTGACGCAGGGGGCCTCGGTGAGGTTCGGATCTGATGATTGTCTGGAGAATATCGAGGAGCATTGGGTAATCGAGGTATGGTTTAATGACATAACCCGAGTTGCTAGCTAGTTGCCCAAGAGTCCGAAGAGCGGCTTCACGCTTGACAACAGAACTTTGATCTTGTAAAGCTTCAAGTATGATCGGCATAAGCTTATCGATATACGGAAGCATATCCTCCCCTCCAACGGTAGCGAGGTCGCCAATTGCCTTTAGAATTGTTGACGATACAGCCGGGTTTGGATCGCTGGCCTTCGGAAGCAAGACGGCAATCATCGGGTCGACGTATGGTTTGATCAATCGCTGGGAGTTCTGAACTAGTAAGCTTAGTAGCTTTGCACTTTCCTCCTTGTTCCGTGCTACATCGGAGAACTCGAGCTCGGTAAGCATCTGAATGAGGACTTTTCGTAATGAGGGTATGACATATGCAGGGTTGACATGTGTGAGACGGCCGATGATGGCGATCGCGACCTCTCTGATAGCAAACACTTCATCGTTGAGGGCAAAGAACAGAGTTCGTATATTCTCTGCTTTTGCCAGGTGACGATCAAATCGTTCATCCAGAGCAGCAAGAACTGTTCTCCTGATTCCCGGATCAGGATCTGCAACTCCGACAGTGAGAAGCTTCTCGATGACTTCGCTGACAACTTGGATTGCGTGGTAGCTGGTCTGGTTGACGATCGGATCTCGGACGTAGAGTTGACAACATGTTAGAGCTGCTGCTTCTCTGATATCAGGGTTGTCGTCTTCGACGTACTTGATCGCAACATCTCTGACGAATTCATTTAAAACATGGCCGGAGAAGTCGAAACTCCCTAATGTGTTCAGCGCAAGCTTGATCTCAGTCTGGCGGTGCTCGTATGCAAGGGGATCTTTCGAGTCTTTGGGTACGATTGGTGCTGCCGCAATGCTATTCGGTGTTGGAGCCCCAAGTGGCTTGAAAGGTTCGCCACACAGGACTTTGCTTAACATATCTAAGAGTCTTTCCTGTATAGTGGGCTTGACCGGTGGGATGTAGAAAGCCATGTCCACTAATGCCTGGGTGAGCTTTGGTGTCAATTCACAGGCGAAGATAGGATCGAGTAAGGCTTCCATGTATTTGCTCAATGTTTGGCCAACTGCAACTGCAAGCCTGCTGATACAATCAAAAACAGGGTCAACTGTGCCGCTGCGTCTTCTTTGAAAAGGTTAGTGAAATTCTCTGACTTGTTCAAGAGTGCGAACTTACGATTTCAGACTCAAGCCTTCACGAACATAGATCAGGACCCCGTCAAGATATGGTGCAATAGCACTCTTGACGGCATTTGCAATATTTCCAATTGCCAAGAATGCATCATTTCGGTCTTTATCCTTCTTAAGCATCCCCGACAGGAAGACCATGAATTTGTGCAAATATGATTGAGCAAACTCGGTGGGGGAGTAATTTGCCAGTTCAGGGATCAGCATCACCACTGTTCGGCGGATCTGAACGTCTCTGTGATCTTTGTGTCGAAACACAATCTCGCAAACCTCTGGGTAATGTTCGTGCATGAACATGCCTCCTTGTTGAAGTAGTTCTTTGATGACGAGGAGAGATCCGTGGATATATTCCACTGAGCCCTGTCTCACCCCTTGAACTGCTTCATCATATATCTTTGCTTGCCAAGTCTGGCGCATGGCTTGGTCTCTCTCCCTGATAATTTGAAAACACGCGCTGATAGCTTCGGCAGCAGTTTGTCGAATGAGAAGACGTTGGTCTCGCAGTCCCACCCAAATCTGGTCAAATATGAGCCCAACAAAGGTGTACATCAGTGTTGGAGCGTTTCGAGCGAGCTCCCGGAGCACCAGGACAGCGCTGTATCTCCTTTCTTCAACCCGGTCCGATTGTAGCCATTCCAAGGCCGTCTTGACCTCACTTTCCACAAGTTCTGAAATTAAGGAGCCTCCAGGTCGGCAGATTTTCCCAAGGGCTACCGCAGCTGGTTGCATCGGAATCAGATCTCTCCCTCGTAATACTGTGCGGAGTGACTGAGTGAATCTGGTCGTCTTCTGCCCGGCATCAACACCATCGAAATCAATCAGGGCGTCGAGGGCGTGAATGCCCCCAAGTCGTTCAGCAGGATCACCGCCATGACTGATAAGCTTATTTATGTTACTGTTTACTACCCCATAGAACTCGAGGAACCGCTCCTGGGGAAGATCTAGCGCGTGTTGTGAGCTATTGAGCAACCATAAGGGAATTTCACGCGACTGACCTCTTGCTGTGACGGCAACCAACTCCCGTAATTCCAAAGCTGCTCTCTTTCGTACATCATCACTGCTTCTGTCCGAAGATGTCAGGGACGGTTTGCGAACAGGATGTCTAGGCTACTAACTTTGATTTCAGGTCCGTCACAATGCGGTTAAGAGCATCCTGTGCTTGTTGCGACATTTTGTTCAGCTGCTTTGACCGACTTCCTCTCTACAAAGCGCACTCCATTTTTGTCCATATGCGCCGGCAAGACGTCGTCGAGTTTAAAGCTGTTGCAAGAAGGGCAACATCGTTGAGGTGATTCCGTGACGAAGCGCTCCTCTAGGTCTGAATAAGGTTTAGCGCCTCTCGGAATTCTCCGCGCCATTACGATAACGAAGTTTATCTTCGGCCTAACTTTTCGGTCTCTGATATCTGTACAGCGTTTGGCAACTTCTCTTCACAACGCTCAATCCTCTGATCAATTATTGCCAACATGGGTAATGATGGAGGTAGTATCCCTACTCGTAGGGAACTTGTCAAAAACGCTGCACGAAACCCTAATACCTCGGAACTGAAAGCTACGCAAATCGAGGCGCAAACACATGCCTGGACTTACTGTCCCCTCTCAAATCGCCCCCTCGCTGCACCGATAGTTTCGGACTGTGCCGGCACACTCTACAACAAAGATGCGATCCTCGAGCAACTCCTGCCGAAAGACGATGACGTCCCAGCATCAATCATCAAAGAGAAAGCGGATGTTCTACAGGGTCGTGTGAAGGGTTTGAGGGATGTGGTCGAGGTGAAGTTCACAGTCGTCAAAGAGGGCAAGGTTGAGAAGAAGATCTGCCCGATCACCAGTAAGGAGTTAGGCCCGAGTACCAAAGCGGTCTATCTGGTACCTTGTGGACACGCTTTTTCCGAGGTGGCAATCCGAGAAGTTGCTGGCGAGAGCTGCGTGGAATGCAACGAGTCATACACATCCGAGAACGTTATCCCAATACTGCCGATAGCCAAGGAAGATATCAGGAAGTTGACTGCGAGGACGAATAAATTGAAGGAGGCAGGTGTTACACACTCACTGAAGAAAGCACCTGGTAGCAAGAAGCGAAAGAAGAAGGCAGAGGCAGAGGCAGACTCATCTGCAGCAGATGAGAATGTATCTGAAACGAATGGAAAGCCACCCGCCGAAGGACTTTCTGAGAAGACCAAGGCTAGATTGGTGGGGAGTGGATCTGGAACCCCTCAATCGAGAAGCGGCACCTCGACACCGGTTTCATCTGGGATCAAGAACGCTGCGACGGCTTCCTTGACAGCTAAAGTGTTGGACGAGCAAGAAGAACGGAACAAGAGACGTAAAATGGGGTTGAACGATAATTTAAAGAGCTTATTTTCAAACAGTGGATACAGCGCTCAGACACATAAAGGAGGCGATTTCATGACGAGAGGATACTCGTTACCGAAGAAGACTTAGGGTGACACCGTTACGGAGGGACATGGTGTCCTGGAGTTGAGGTACATACCCTGGGAGAAGAACTAAAAGGGATTTTAGATGTTCCTTCGAAAGTAATGACACCAGAAAATAGCAATGGATTTCAAAATGGTTCCAATGTGAGACGGTGACACTATCCCTCAGGACTTACTCAAAATACAATATAGTTTTGTCATTTTTATGCTTTTATACAGAACACTACATACGCCAACTCAACTTAATCCATTCCACACTTACATCTACAGCTCATCCTTCTTGGGATCTGCCTTCTTTTGCCCAATCTCACAAACAGCCGGAGTCCCCACATCCATCCTATACATACACTTTTCCTGTTCGACCACCTTCCAGATCTCATCCTTCTCAGCACACGCCAAAACAACCGTAGTTTGTCTATTCGGTCCATTCCAGCAATGCTGTCCATTTTCGTACATGAGCACCGTCCGCTCACCAGTTCCCAGCCCCTTCCCTTCAGCATCAACCTCCTCATCAAAATACATCTTGTCGAATCGAACGAAATTGCCCATGCCTGTGGTTCCGCCGCCTTTCTTGCTCTTTTGGCTTGTCTTGTCAAGCCAGCACAGTTCATATTCGTATTCCCCAGAATCCTTGGAAATGCAGGTGCCCTTGAGGGCACGGAAGATGTCATTTGGGCCGTAGTCTTTCTCAAGATCCTTGGTGAGGTCGCCGACAGAGCTTTCCTTGATTCCGAGGTCGTCGTTGAGATTTTGGTAAGCGGTTCGGGCAGCGCTGACGGCCTTGGACTCGCTGCCCGAACTCGCATTATCAGCGAGGATGCCGTTCTCGATGAGTAAGATACGCAGGTCAGTGAGTTTTTGATGGACCCAGGCGCGAACTGAAGCAGGAAGATATTCTTCGAACTTGTAAACTATGAAATGTTAGCTTTGTTCTGTTAATGACAGAGGGACCACGTACGAGCTTCAATATCTGACTCCTCCTCAATCTCCCATTCCGCCCAGTTGATTCCTTCGGTCTCGGAATCTGCCTTAGAGATCGATTCAATGTCTCGATCCTCAGCAGATTCGTCTGACTCGGGGGAAGCATCCTTCTTGGCAGCATAGTCTTCCCAAGACTTGACAGCTCTCTTCACACCCTCATCATTGAAATTGGGATTATATTCCTCCTTGAAGGTTGACAGAATAGTCTCCAATTCTTTGACCTTCCTCCTCAATTCGTCCCGCTTGTTGACAAGACCAACCAAGGCATCCCGAAGTTCTTCCACTCTCTGCTTCGCCAGCCCTGCAAGCACGGTGACCTTGCTTCCCTTGCCCGCGCTCTTCACTACCTTCCCCCTCTCACTCCTCTCAACCTCCTCGAATTTCTTCTTCAGCTCCTCCACCTTCTTCCCTTGGTCCTTGATCTCAACATGGAGGCTGCTGATACGGAGCTCGACCCCCGCCCTGAGCGCCTGCGCCTCGTTGACAAGTTCGGTCTTCTTCTTCAACGCGTTCCTCGCACTCTTTTGTCTAATCTCATCCAGCCTCCTCCACTCCTTCCCAATCTCTTTGCACTTATCTTCGCACTTCACACCTCCAACACCAGCCCACTCATCACTGCCATCACAGCAAACATCATAGTCGCAAACTCCATCATTCACATATGTATGGGATATATAGCTTGGGATGTGTCCCTTATTCTTGCAATAAAAGCCAGGGAGAGCGAGCGTGGTATTCGGTGCCCCGACAATGGGTTGGGGCGGTGAGAGAGCAGAAAGATATGTGCAAGCAGCTGTGCCAGGCTCGTCCGAGCCATCTGGACAATCGCAGTAATCGTCGTTCACTTTCGAAATATCAAGCTTAATTGATGGATTTGAAATGCAAGTAAAGCTATCCGCAGCTTTATAGAACTTCGCAACTGAATTGTACGTGTTAGTTGAGCTCCATGGCGGAATGCTGGGTCCTGGAGTGGGGGTAAAACGAACATTCTGGACCGACACCGCGGGGTCGAGACGACTCTGCGGCGAGGATGGAGGTCGAGAGGGTGCTGAGGAGCACCAATGCCTCTATTCTCCGCATGTCTAGTGATGTTGGGTGAGTGTCGTGCTGGGTTGGCTTGTCGAAGGCCTTGGGCTTGAAGATGCCACTTTGTCTTACACGAAGCTCGATCATCTTGGCACGCATGGGCCACCGTTTTCAGGGGTAGACTTCGCTTCAGTTACAGTACCCCTGACGTCAACAGGAGGAGGTCCGAATTCCAACCTCGGTCAAGAATATAAGATGACTGTGAAGAAATCAAGTGTTTCCTTCCTAGTTTCTTTTTGCCAGTATCAAAAGCTGAGTTTGTTTCATTTCCAAGTTCAACTATGCCTCTTGCCCAAAGTAGCAATAAATGGCAACGACCTAGGACATTCCGATATCCCCGCTATTCTTTCTGAGTCCCCTCTGAGCAACTTAACAAAGCCAGCTAATTCGGTGCACATCGAGTGACTTTGTAAACCGCCCGTGCATACTCACTGCGGTCTGCTCAGTCAACCTCGGACTCGACTCTGTGAAAGGCTGCTGTCGAGAGGAGGCATGTTGAGATCAGCACACTTCGATCCACTTCAGGAAAATTTCCCAAATCTTCTTCATGGAATACCCTTAGAGATGGGTAAGATCTCAAGCCGCAACCTAGGAAATAATGGAGATGTAACATGTATTTCAGCCCCATGCATCTGAGCTGCTGAATCATTACTCGGGGACGAAAATTCCTGCCTTTGGTGATATTTCTAAAATGAGAGGATTGCCATACAATTGTTTCTAGGCAGCCTTAGAACAGATCTTTTTTTTTTTATAGAACTATCGCGCCTTTCCCGTGAAGCCAAGCTGGAGTTTTCTGGGACTTACCATGAAGATCTAATGACGGTCTTCTCTGCATATCTCAAGAAAGTAGAGAGAAGCAATACAGTCTCAGAGCGTGCATTAAAACTTCCTACTCGAGGGTAGAGCATGTAAGGGAGGCGGCAAGCCTAAAGCCTCTTCGACACACGCTCGGCGTGGTGAAAAAGGAATATGAGGAATGGGCCAAGTTGCTTCTTTGAATGTGTCACTTTTGATACAGGTGGAAACACCTTTGACCCGATTTCTGGGTTTGAACACGCGGTAGGGGAAGCAAGGACTTGCTCTGGGAATTAGTGTTCGCGACCTCACGATAACTTCGCTTGCAACTGATTAGCTCGATATATCTGCAACAAATATGTATTGCTCACTACTGCTCTTCCCTCGATGGAGCCGTGCCAAAGGTTATCTTAACCTATGGCCCATCTGCCTCTCGATCGATTTCAACTACAATGTACTGTACAGAAAACTACGAAGGAAATTAACGAAGCTCCAGCTGCTTTCCCAGTATCTTGCTCTACTGTCTTCTTCGAATTGGATCGACGAGCGGCCATTTGTAGCTGTGCCTCCCCCAAAATTTATAGAATACCACACTAAAGATGATTGATGCTCCGAAGAGAAGGCAGCTCCAATTCATATTCGCCAGGGTCGGGTTTCGGTTAGAAGGGAAGAAGCCGACTACAACGAATTAGCAAGATATTTCTTTGGCAGGGAGAGAGCCGGGAGCGAGCCGGGAGCTCGGGGCATGGGAACAAAGAAATAGGTTGGTTACAGAACATGGTGGTTGTTGTGTAAGCAAGACCGACAACGTTCACAAACGGCCCAAAGACGGGACCCATGTGCCAAGGACCCCAACGGAGAGTGTCCTTTTCCGGATCATTTCGTAATCGTTTATGAAGTAGGAGCGTGATAGCAATCATGTAGGAGGAGAAGAACGCTGCCACGTTGACGGACATTATTCCGTTGAAGGCTGCTGTGCTGCCGATATTGATGAGAGCGAGGAGGAGTGATATAATTGTGCTGACCAGGATGGAATAAAGCGGAAGCGCGGTCCCAGTATCAACCTGCGGATTGTAAGGATATTGGCTGTGGGACTAAGGCGGTGTGAGGAATATTTACGCGGCTAATGTAGCTGCTGAATGGAACGCCGCCATCCCGAGCGAAGGACCAGAGCAATCGCGATGCGCTTGCCATTATGCCAATTGCCGCAGCTGCCAACATAACAAGGATCAGGGAAATCATGAGAGTAGAGCCAGATTTGCTGTTCGTAGCTTGCAGGAATATTTCAATGAAAGGAAATCCGGTAGGACTATTCAATGCATTGTTGATATCTCCAAGGTAGAAGAGCAGCGCTATCTGTTCTCGTTAAAGTCTGACCTGGAAAGTAGTGAGGCATCGCAACATACCAAGAGAGCTAAGCCCATCGTCCCATTCAACATTATGGAGGATATCATAACCCAGGGAACCACTGTGGAAGCGTTTTGAATCTCTTCAGCTATGACTGCGTTAGCTTTGCGTGCCCTTCAAAAAGCATCGCTAAGCCTACACATGTGACAAGCAGCATCGGCCCCTTGATGTAAGTTAGCACGCAGTAAGATGGGTGTGATTCCAATGCTTACCAAGGAAAGAGAACACACTCGTAAGAAGCCCGACAAAGAGAGACAATCCGTTTGATTCCCAGCCCCCAGTATTGAGGAAGGTGGCAAAAACATCCCTGGCAGACCCGTGCGGAGCCAGATAGACCAGAGGGATAAGGATGACAAAGAATCCGACAATATGCAGAATCAAAATCATTCCTTCAATCTTGGGAAGCCATCTCGCCAAATATGTGTTGACGAAGACCACAAACGCAATGACAGCATAAAATATCAACGTTCCCTGCCACCGAGTCGCATGGTAACCCGGGTAGTTAAAGATTGCGAGACCTTGGATTATTGACGCTGCCAGAAAAGAGACCGAAGCTTGACCGGCCTGCCAACCAATTATGGTAACCCATCCTGCATAGTTGTCAGCCATGCTACCTTGAGATCTCACCGATAGGCATACCTGTGATGTAGCTAAGGAATTTTGCCCAATGTGCGGGGGCTAATATTGAGACCCAATGATACTGTCCTCCAGATAAAGGCATCCTTCTTCGTATCAGTTCTGTACTCAAGCCAGGTTTCGTCAAATCTTACATGGAAGCCATCTCTGCCAACGACGCAACGGTAGCTAATGTACCAACCCAACAAAAGAGATAGCCATAAACAAGGCCGGCAGGTCCTCCATTACTGAATCCGAAAATAAATACTCTGAAAACCATGATTAGCAAGATGCCATGAAGATCAAGTAGATGCTATCGTACGCGAACATGCACTCCCATGTAGACAGAAGACTGCAAACAAATCCAGCAATGGAAAGAAACCCGAAGTTGCGCTATAAAGTGTCAGTCATTTTCAAACCCATCAGCCATCTCTTGGTTCCTCGTCAATCCTCTCCCCAACCCCAGATACTAATTCAAGTTGGGATTTGGCAAAGGTCGTAGTGACAATATTGAAGTGAACCTGCCTTCAACTGCTGTGTCTTGCCAAAATATGCCATTTCTTGTTGATCTCTGTTGGTATGCTCCGCAGTCCCCGCACTAGGTAGCTCCTCCACAGGATCTGCGAAGGTCGTTACACCAAAGGAAGCCGCCTCGAGAGTTTTGCTCTCCATTGCCTGTGGAATAGAGTGTATCTGATTGCGAAATGAGGGTGAAACGTGAAAAACGAGGATTTGAGTCTCGAGTGAATGATGGAAAGTTGAGAAGCGTCGGTGATTGAAGCTGGTCAGTGTTCGATCAGAACGCTACCCCAAGATGCGAGGCCTGACTGACAAGGACACTTTTGTTATCGAAATATGCAGTGGCGCAAAAGAGAGAAGTGTTTCACGAGATCAGCCTTCATTGTGTTCCTAACACTAGGCTGTGCAGCTTGTTACGAGCTTGGTTAAGATGTGCACGCCATGGTTGCGAAGGAAGCAAGGGAATTGTCCCGGATAGGAGGTCAAGATTCTGTTCACGTGACAGCTCTTCGTTGCCTTTGATTGGCTATACGAGGAGAAGGACCGTCCCACCACGCTAAGCTAAGGGGGCTGGTTACTGTGGCGTGCCTTTGCAGCGCACTTGCCTCTGGGAAAATGTCAGTGCTGAGGTAAATCTTGAACATCATTCGAGGGCAGCTGCAGACTGCCGTGCATTACATCTCCATCTTCAATTCTGCCGCGGCAGGCCGTGTCCAGGCCTCCATCTAACCAATAGACCTCCGTGTACAGTTCCGATGGTTACCCAAGGACAAATGGTTTCCCCGTCGTGGGGGGAGTGGTGCCGGCATTCGGGACAGCCCAGCAGCTTTGTTTTTCTTGTGAATCCCCGCCCAGGAAACGAGTGTTTCACGGCTCGTTGTCCACATTCACTTTGTGGCTACTGTTGTTTAGATCGTGGTCAGATATCAAGTGCGTCTGTCCTTTACGACAAGACTTTGGTACTTTTGACTTTCTGCGCTTCGGACCAGCAAAGCTCCCGAGTGCCTTTGCGTGATAAACGTACGGTTTTCCAAGCACATCTTGCTTGTCTTTTGGATGGATCGACCACCCGCTTTGCCTCCGATGCTCGAGGTGACAAAATCAATTGTCCCTTGCCTGGTTGATCTCGAGCGCCACAATTATCGACCTGCATTTCGCTCCCTTGAATCCATCTCACCCTTTCCCTTACCAAACATACCATCAAACTCCCATCTGCTCCATTGCGGGGCATGCACATCCTGTTCCTGATGCTGATTATCATGTCTTCTGATGCAATCGGGACGCTCTGGGCAGTGTCACTGCAGGTGGAGTTTGAGCAACCGCACATGGGAAGTTACGCTGCATACGAAGATGATGATTACAAGAGGCTAAGGGTAGTGAGCTGTTGTTCCACGTTTCTCCACACAACTCCCTATGTAGTGTATCTCAAAGAACCCGCAATCAAATCCCCTGAGACCAGAAATCTCAAAGAGCAGCTATCGCGATGTTTCTACACCTTATGGCCGCTGTCTCCAACCGCCATGTCACTGTATCGGATGAAAACGAAGGACCAGTTGTCAATATTGCGGCTGTAAGATGTTGGACTTCTCGTTGTTTGACCTCTGGCCTTGAAGACTATATCTACTCTCGAAACAGAGCGCAGTCTAACCGCGGTATAACTAAGCATGAATAGTGCTGACCCGTCAATTTCTCAGTGGATAGGAATGACCCTCGCAGTGATTTTTGTTTTTATCCGCATTGGCTCAAAGTGGAGCGTTCTTCGAAAGTGGAAGGTTGACGATACAATGATCGTGGCTGCAATGGTACGTTCACATAGTTTACCGGAAGCACATCAGACTCATGTCAATCACAGATACTTGCAATTGCTCACACGACTGAAATTTCATTGATGGTAGCCAACGGTTTAGGCCGACCTCAATATGTTCTCGACAGCGAGACTATGAAGGCTTTTGAACAAGTGAGGACTCCTTTACGAGACATAGCTTGAGGTTTCGATGATCTTAACGTTTTGAGCAGCATGGTTACGCGTCGCAGCTTCTTTACATTCCCTCACTGTGTCTCTCGAAACTCTCGACTCTGGTCTATCTCCGAGCTCTTTCCCCAGAAACACCTTACGCCCTCCTGACTCGAATCCTTAAAGTGTTTATTGTGCTTTGGGGGATAAGTCTTGAGCTCGTGATCGCTTTCCAGTGTGGGCTTCCAGATCTTTGGGCAATAATCTCTGGGAGATGTTTCAATATGGTATTTTCGCCCTTCACAGTCAGAGCTCTGTCAAACGGCTAACCTACTTAAGATACCAGTCTGGAATTCAGTCGGAGTCCTGGATATCCTAACTGACTTTGCTATTATTTTTCTCCCAGCGTACCTCGTTTGGAGCGTCCAAATGGCTCTTAGGAAGAAAGTATTCGTAGTTCTCATCTTCGGAACGCGGATCCTGTCAGTCGCTCATCCACATCTACTGGTACATTAATTGACATCACATAGCATTGCACCCCTCGTCATCCTTCGCCTTTACTACATAAATACAGATAGCTCACCCTTGTTGCCAAATCAAACTCTGATATCCTACCATGCGTACCTCGCCACAACCATACAACTCAACCTCGCTATCGTAGTCTCTTGCATTCCCTTCATGAAACCGTTCATGGAAAATCTATCTACCGGAGGCTTCACCTCAACTCTAGATCCAATGGATAGTTCATTCACCCACGGCACCAAGAGCAAATTCAGCACTTTCATCTCAAGCCATTCAAGCAGCAGCCGCAAACCCACCAACCCCGACAGCATTGGCATGGACAGTATGCCCTCACATCCTCCAACTCACTCGGTCCGCCCCGCTACCTCCAGGCAATCGAGATCAATCCCAGACAAAGATTATTGCTTCGGGCTCGAAAGTACGATCGCAAGCAGTAGCAATCAAGGAGATCTGGGAACGCTGAGACCGGATAAGGTGACTAGCTATAGCCATATCCGCCACGTTACACCCGAGCCGAACAGTGGAAGGAGCAGTCTCGAAAGCGATAGGATGATCATCAAGAAGAGGACTGAGTGGGATGTGGACTACGAACCATTTCCTGTTCTCCCAAGGCTGCCCAGATAAGGATGGCTCAGCATTAGAGCTGAGAGCTGAGAAGACTTCAGCGAGTATGACACGATGGCAGGAGAAGCTGGGCAAAAGGGATGCGTTGCCATTCCTTTCTCGTTGCAGCAAGAACCATTGCCATTGCTATGGTGACACCGAGTCTTAATAGAACATCTGTGGGCCTTTTTTTTGGAATGGATTTGTCACGACCAAAAAGGAGGGAGTGCCAGATGGAGCAAGTTCACAAACTCTCCAGTGCATTTGGCCCTGCAAGTGTTGAGGAGGAGACAGCAGTTCAGGAAGTAGGAAGGACCAAGACAGGGTTGCTATTGAGCAAGTCTTTTTTTTTTTTTGAGCTTTGTTTTTGAGTCAACATCAATCTTAGAACGAGGGGTTTCCCGTTCCCTCAGAACAAGCATATGTCTGACCGAGGATTCACCAGAGCCAGAGCTAGTACCAAACATTGTATAAACATCACCTTTTTTGTATTGACTTAGCTAACTACAAAGCAACGTTCTGAAAACCAACGAGGCTTGCTCCCATGCGTACTGAACAGACCCACCAGAACTCCGACATCACTCATACCCCAGACCTCTCCAGAAGCTATCCCTCAAACACCCCGCTAACGTTGCATTCATTTAGGGCAATTCTGTGCAGAAGCCGAAGCCGGGTTATCGCACACTCGCAATTCCATTCCGGGAGAATATCGCATATAACCATAATTGATATCCCCTTCAGCCCCAAAACTGTCAGAGTAAGTTCCTGCAATGATTTCCCAACAAGCGCCTTTAATTTCTTTGAAATAATAATCATACTTGTCAGGGTCTACATAGACCTTCTGGCTGACGAATCCTACAGGTATACATATGAAAGCAATGACACCCCCAGAAATGCCGGTGGTGCTGACACTTGCGAGATATCGGTTCTTATCAACTTGTTTTCGTAGTGTATCAACTGCGTTCTTAGCAGCTGATTCATCCATGTTGAAGCCACATCCGCAGTGGGTATGAACGTCTCGGGTGCCAAGCCCACTGGTGACATTCGATGTAGAGCGTTTATCTTCCGGCGGCATTGGTGATTCGTCTTTCAATGGAGGATGATTGCAAGTATTTGGACTCAAGGCCGGCACATTGCTGCAAGCGTCCTTCCCATCATCATGCTTAAATCCGTACATGACTGCGTGGCCCCCTGTAAATATCCAATAGGTGCCTGTAGAGTGATCGCCGCAAAGCTTCTGAATGCTTCTCGTGAATAAAGTCAACCACCATGCTCCAATTCTCAAGCTACCGCCCTGGTCTGCTTCTGAACACGCAAAGGCAACAACATCTCTTACAACGATAGTGATATCATCGCCTCCAGAAAGTTTATTTTTTGTTTTGATTTGGTGGAACTTGTCGGACAGTTGGGTCCTTGCGTTATTGTAGCTCGTTCCATCCAGAATAGAGCCACATGAACACCAGACATGGTGCCCAGGAGGGAGATCCTGCGGGCCATACTTGTCTCGAGTGTCGAGGACGGTGGAAGCGTTGACTGCCAACATTGTCAGAAGTGCTGAATCTTAGAATTTGCCGGAAGCCTTTACCTGCTCGAGTAACCTGGACGTCATGAACGCCTTTTCCAGAGTTGGATGGAACTACAAGAGTTTGCGCGAGGCAAAGGAAGCCAACAAATGCGAGCAGAGTGTTGAGAGGCATGGTGAATGGTAGCTATGAGGTGTTGAGGTGTTAAAGAAAGGGAAGAAAAGTGGTTGAGAAGGACCTGTTTAATGAGATCTTATGCAGCTGTACGACTTATATTGCATGCAACGCTTAGAGTTGATGTAGGAGAGGGAACAGATGTAATGACTGACGCGATCTTTGGTGATTGCTCTTGGAAGGTGGGAATTGAGGAGGTGGGCTTGGTTGAGAAATTAGGAAAATGGTGTGGAGGAAGTAAAAACTTCTTAATTTATACACACTCAAGCAAGCCCAATTGATGTCCAATTGAAGGTACTTGAGTTTGTGATTTGCTTGAATCGTATCTCCTTTGTTGAATATCAAGTGTGAATCTTGTTGGTTCAGATGAAGTGCGAGTTGTCACTGTCTCGAATGTTTGGAAACTACTACATTGTTAGCTGTACTGCCTCGTGCACGAACAAAGAACTTAACATACTTCCAGTATCGTGAAGGTATTAACAAAGAAACATTGACTGAACCAGAAGATCAAAAGAGGAAAGGGAAGTAATTCTGCTAGTAACCGCCTCCGGTGGAGACTAAAGAAAGTAATGAAATGGGTCTTCGGCAGCTTCCTTCGTACACATTCTCAGAACACGACTTCCATCTCGAAAGAGTGCTCCCCTTCCCGTGGACTCGTTAAGCTGTTGGGAGTGGAATCGGTCCTCTTTGCTAAGTCTCGAGTATCATGAATATAACTTAGGAGTCTGGGACTAGGCAAGGCGGCAGCTTCTTCTGGTACAATGACAACTCCTGGCACAGCACTAATCGTCGTCCGCCCTTGTGTCTGCCACAATCGAGATATTAAAAGAACAAAGAAGACATTATCAAAAGCAGATTCCTGCAGTAAATAAATCTATGTATTTAGTCAACCTCACGCATTCTTTAAACAAGTACCGCCGCCCATATCAACAAGAAAGTGGATGGGTATCATCAAATTCCCAATCCTAAAAGCGCATCCAGGTCCTATTTTTCGACCATTTTATGCAAAAATCATACAAAATCATACCATCCCCGTTTTTAGGACTGGTTTTCATAAATGTTGGAACTCCGTGCGTGCATAGTCGTAAATGAATAGCGACCATTTCGGTGAGGTTTTATACCGCGATGGCGTTACCATGTATTGAGCATCCTATACACTGGCAATGTGCCTCACAAGGGCAGCCCTCTTCTTCTCCACCGCAAGGAATGGCAGGTTGTCTATGGATGGTGCAGCCTAGACATTGGCAGTCATCTCCACATGGACAACTTTGCGTGTCTCCGCCGCAGCTATCTGATGTGAAAGGGTAGTTTACGAAGAAGAAGTCCGCTGCTGATAGCGTCTGCTCTTCGTCGTTTCCAGAAGTAGTACTTGATGGGGTGTGTGCTGTCGGTGAAGAGATTGTGTTAACTGGCGGCGGTTGAGAAGATATATTCCCGTTCGTGGGAGGTTGAGGGTTATTGTACAGTTCGCTAGCTGGCCCCTCTGAATTCATGGATGCCCAGGCTGACCAGACGTATTCTCGGCTTGCGTCGTTATACGGATGTGCGGCGCATCCAATACACTGGCAGCCGTCGCCACAGCTACACGTATGAACAGTATCGAGATTTTCTGGAACGAGAGGTGCATCAAACGGTAGCGAGCCAGGAGGTAAAGGGACTTGCGAATAGTTGTTTGATCGCACACTCTCTCTCCACGCGGAAGGTTGAAGAGGGTTTTGGAAGGAACCATATGTCGCCGGGTATGTGAAAACCGTAGGCTGAGGTCCGTATTGGGGATATGCAGCTGTATTAAACGCCATTCCATTTATACCATTTTGCGGAAGTATCTGAGACGTCATGTGAGGAGCTGCATGTACCGATCCACCGTTCGATGCTGGCTCTTGTTTGAATTTTGGTTTCAGCTTTGGAACACAACAACTTTTTTGGGCCGTTCCCTCCGAGTCTGAAATCGAGCTGGCGCTTGATGTATGGCTATGGGTCTTCTGATTTGGAGCACAGCAGGATCTACCGTTCGTGGCTGTCTGAATTTCGCCATTCATGGTGTCAGGAGATCCATAAGGACCACCATTTATAAATTTGCCAGAGTCTCCGCTTCCATATGTTGTTGGCATAGCCAGAGGACTTTCAATTACATGCTCAAGACTCCCATTACCGTTCATTCCATTGGTATAACCATTTGTTGAGCTTGCATGAACACCGTTCCCACTTATGCCATTCGGATTGGGAGGCGGTTGCATAGACACATGGCTGTATTGCGGTTGCATATTCGCAAACTGAGGTTCAAATTTATAACCTTGTGGGGGTCCAGTCATTGTATATCCATTGGCCATCGATACGGGAATATTCTGAGATCGTTGTTCATAGGGAAGCACATTGACCTGGCTCATGTTCATTCTCTCGAAGTTCACAGGGTCGAAGGACTGTCTCCTGCCCGATAATTGTTTCAATGAGGTCTTTTGCACCTTGAATGCAACCTTTGTTGGTGAAGGTGCCTCTGGCGGCATAGGAGGACCTCCTGCTCGGTCGAATGAAGAGCTTCTCGATTTCCCCGGCCCAGGAGCACCATTATGCGCCACCGCGCTCTGCGCATGCGTATCACTGCCACAATGGCACGTCTGCTTTCTGGGGATTGCTGCCGTTACACTGCCACAGCCACATGCCTGTTGTGGGGGGTGTGGGCAGACGCTGAGTGGTCTGCCGGGCTTCCTGACAGGAACCATAAGTCTTTCGTTCGCGTGGGTACATTTCGTTGATCGGTGGCCTCGAATACAGGGCTCACTGGACAGAGGAATCAGCAGGCATTCAGTACAAATACCGCTCAAGCGGATAAGGCGGGGTCATGATATTGGGAGATGAGGCTCAAGTAGGGATCAACCAAGACATGCCCCGCTTCACCAGGTGGCTTCGCACAAAGAAGTAACGTACCAGGCCATCTTCATTCCATTGATTAGAGGCATAATTGGATGAGTTGGCACCTGCCGTCAAGGATAGATAAGATGGTGTCGAATCGGCTTCTTGCAAGCAGGCTTCACAGCTATCGTTGAAGTCCAGATAGCCTCACGCTCTTCAAGACCTTGCCGCTCTCGGATCGTTACTTGCATGAACAGCCGCGGGACCGACGCAGCAGCGGCGAGACGCCTCACCAAAGCTTCCAGAGTATTAGGTAGGACGTTGGGCGCTTCTTTGGGTGGTCTAGGTCAAGGGTGTCGATCAACTAGATCGTAGGGACTCGACTCCGAACAGGGTGGACTCTGGAGGAAAGACAGGCCATAGGTGTGCGCTGGGATCGTGAGGGAGGAGAGGGAGTTTGAGCTGATTATTCTGGAGGGTCAGCACCAGATATCTTCAAAAGTCCTGCCCGTTAGAGTGATCCCAGCTGCCGATTGAGTAAGACTGGACCGAAACTTACCAGCACACTCTGAGGCTTGAGGAGTGGCTTGGTCGAAGACCTGGACACATAGAAATTGGCACTCACCCCACAATCACGAGTCGTCTGCCATGTAGGAAGGCAGCGGCGGCTGCAGGGTTTGTTTAGGTTTGCGACGGATGTCGAAGAACGGGATGATCATGGCTTGCTGGCCCGATTCTGTTCGTGGTGGGGAGGAAAGTCTTTGGGGATGTGAGCAAGTTATGATAGGCGGGGAGCGCTGCAGCACAGTCCTCATCTTCTGGGGTCCACACTAGCGAGGCTTATCGTGACCCTGGACGGAAGGCTGGCGACTTCAACACACCCGTGGGTCTTCCGCAGCCACTTTGCAAGCTTTGGTCTAGCAGCGGCCTGCATTCCGAAAGCTTAGTCGAGTGGTGATATTCGAGGGCATGGGGAATAAACATGGACGGCAGTCCTGTGGAAGGAGGTCCTATTCGCCTTCGTCTGGGTTGTTGTGTCGGAGCATTTCCTCGCTGCTTCCACTGGGCCTTGCACGGCAAGCCCAGCCAGGACCAGCGCTTGCTGCACAGCATACGCGAAATCTTATTTAATCGTTAAACAAGGGCGTGGAAAGCCGAACGAAAGGTGTTTGCTTAAAGACTTTGTTGCCGTGATGAAGATCGGCAGAGGAAGAATTGAGGTGAGGATGTAGAAGAAAAGGGGTGCGCCTCTAGCTGCACATATGCTGAGGACGCTCAAAGAAATACTGGCCATGAAATTGACACTTGGGATCCGACTTCCTGGGATTCGCATCGAAGTAGGAATTTCCTTCCTCGAGAACCTAACCAGGCTTGATGGTCATCTCAAAGTCTGAATGACACTGCTTTCGCTTCAATCAGGTAGGATTTCTTAGTAAAAATTCAATCCTCAGAGATTTTTCAAAATTTTCAAGCAGCCATCCGGGTATCATTGTCACAGCAACTGTCCTTGAGTCCATCTCTCATCCCTTGTCAGCCTGCAGGCGCATCATTCGTTTCTTCGCTTAAGCTTTCCATGTGCAAGAACTCAGACTGACACAACCCCCAGATGATCTACGAAACAACATCTCTCGGTCCCGCCCCTCACGTGATTCACCACCCCTTTATTCTCCCTGGATTTCGCCAACGTGACGAGAAACACGTGATATCGGTCGTCTCTTGACAAACCAGTCCCCCTTCTCTGTCACAATGGCCGACCAGGACTCGGACCCAGAAACGCTCGACCTCTTCGCTGAGCCTGCAGACTACGTAAGTAGTGTATGAGCAAACCCCTTTATCAAAATATCGTTGATTCCCCTTTCCTTAGTGCCCACCACCCCCAAAAGCCACAGCTCAAACGCACACCCTCCTCTCAGGCCGTACCCTCACCATCCACCTCGTCGGCCACAATCCTCTATGGGGGCACCACCTCTGGAACGCCGGCCGCCTAATCTCCACCTACCTGGAATCACACCCCACCCTAATCATCTCCAAAACCGTCCTAGAACTCGGAGCCGGAGCCGGCCTTCCCAGCCTCGTCTCTACAGAAATCGGTGCAAGATTCGTTGTGGTAACGGATTATCCGGATCCGGATCTGGTGCAGAATTTATGGGCGAATGTGGAGGAGTATTATGGAGGGAAGGGAGAGGGAGAGGAGAGGAGGATTGTGGCGGAGGGATATTGTTGGGGTAATGATGCAGTGCCATTGCTTGCTCATCTCCCTTCGTCTACGTCAAAAACTCCTGGGTTTGAGGTTCTGATTTTGGCGGATCTCCTGTTCAATCATTCTGAGCATGGGAAGTTGGTCGCGACGATAGAAGCTACGTTGCAGAAGACGGAGGAAGCGAAAGCACTGGTGTTCTTCACACCGTATAGACCGTGGCTGTATGAGAAAGACATGGCTTTCTTTGATCTAGCGAGGCAGAGGGGATTCGTGGTTGAGAAGGTGCTGGAGGAGAAGATGGAGAAGGTGATGTTTGAGAGCGATCCTGGGGATGAAGAGTTGAGGAGGACCGTCTTTGGGTTTGTGGTTAGATGGAAGTTATAGGGCTGGCGAGGCTAGTTGTCATTGTTTAGGTGAAATTGTTTGAGACGACAAGGTCTCGTTTGTAAAAGGGGAAGCTTAGCGAGCCCTTCTCGCTTCACTCTTGGCTGGGCAGAAGGAGCTCAAACACAATCATGGTCTGAGATTAGAACAAAAGAACGGACTGTAGAGATCCCATTCTAGATCGTATCGTAAGGATCTTTGGAGCTGTATTTTCTCACAGGATCGTAATGCAATGCAAAGTATCCTAATCAAGTCAAGAAACGCCTAATGCCAAATGCCCACTTCATCACCCTACCACCCCAACCAACCCTCTATATCCCACCTCATTCCTTCTTCAATCAGTCACCAACTCCTTCTTCTGCTCGGCCGTCTTCTCCTTCATCCTCCTAAACTCATGAAACATCCCCAAATCAAGCGCTATCGGATTTCCCAACCACGTAGCCCTTTGCGTGTGATCCCTATACTCATCCTCATGGTTGCCCGTTGTCGGATCAACGGTATTCGGATGAACGAGCGCACTCAACGGACCGCGATTTATGACGAGCCAGGGGATGAAAGCTCCGAATTGCGCGGGAGTGAAAAGGTTTACTTCAAACATGGCGATGGGGTGCGGTCCGATAGGTTCTTCCCAGAATCGGTAGATGCGGAGCTCGGGGACTGTGAGGGATTGGGTTAGTAATTGCTGAGATATGAAAAGGGGCGGAAGGGGACGAACATTCGCGGCGGATGCGTTCCCAGAGTTCTTTGGCGAATTCCAATTGGCTGGCGTTCTTTTGAAAGTAATAAATATGGATGTCACTGCGTAGAATTAGGAGATGGATACAAGAGCATGATAGGAAACCTTACAAGGCTCCCCTTCTGCCGTTGTCCAGCGGGGTTGGGAAAAGTTCGTAGCTCTTGCTCAGGATGCCAGTTTGGTGGTTTACGTAGCCTATGATTCCTCATAATTAGAATTGGGGTAAAATAGGGTTGGAGAACTTGTCAAGGGTTTGGAAATGTTGTAATGCTGAACTGCGACTCACTCTTGCCATCTTCAGCCTTCTCATCGGGAAGTGGGGTTGAAAGGTCCCAGCCCTCAAGAGGTGAGGGGTAGCTGTACACCGATGGGTCTGCCATTTTCTCTTTCCTGAAGCCTCGATTTCTCGTCTTCACACGGTCAGGATCGAATGACCAAACCTCGAAGGAAGCAGACAGAGATATTTATGGTTGTCAGTGTGGTGGTGCCAGGCTGAGAAATACCCCACACATAGTGCCGGGACGTTTCCGCGCTCTTCATCATCGCTTGGCCATTCCGAGTCGGGATTGCTAATCAAGCTTCTATGGCCGATCCGAGCCCTGATCCGAAGTTTGTGATGCTTTCGAATCTTTTCTGGCTGTACAAAGTTGCTCTCGGATCTCGGAGGATCAAAGTTTGCGTCACGGGGCCCGAGACAATGCCGAGTATCTTCGTGGCGTTGTTCATCTGTCATCCATGCTCATGAGCTGTAGGGCCACATTCCCCAAATGACTCTGGCAGAATGTTTTTCCGTCTCTCCGCGTGGTTCCTGGGAAGAAAGTATGTTTATCAAAGAAAAGCATGTCCACAAAAAGAGGGGAAACCCGGTGTTCAGAGGAAAGCCAATGTCTTGACCTTTTTCTCACCATCTCGATCAAGCGATGGCCAAAACGCTTCTTCATAGAGTAGTATCCTCGGAGCAGAAAGGTATTTCCGTTTCCATCAATTTTTTGGCGTTACTATTACCGGTAGACCGACATCCTTTATTGACAGTTCAAGGCCCACGGCCGATTCTCTCAGACCTGGAGTGCCAGTTTGAGCTATGAGGAGAGCCCGGAGTTCCTCATCAGCGCCATTGATCCCATTACCAGAGTTCCATAGTTTGTCGCTCAATGCGCTTCTCGGGCGCAGTCCAGCCGTTTTGCTCTTGACCTCTCTGACTCGTCTCAGGGGACAGCTCATACGCCGATGAGCAGCGGAAATCTGGCCACTAGGAGATGAAATTACCTAAGCTTTAATGACACCAATCAGCCACGTCCATTTGTGAGCATTTGAACTAGCTTGACGAATTCGATTGTTATAGGCCGCTCGAGAGGCCCATGCGCGGTATTCTTGAAATACTGGCATCTATCTCAGCTTATCAGCTTTCCAAAGACGCTCTGCAGGAAGGATCTCTTTCCAAAGACCAGCTAAGGTGTTCAAATGCGCAGACTTCCCGATCCTTGAGATGATTCTGGTGATCGAGACAAGCTTGTCGGATGGCTGGGTCAACAATATAGCAGTATTAATCTCCTTAAAACTTTGCCCAATGTGTATGAAACATCAGCAAATTGCCATTTCCAGCGAACAGATGCGAGGAACTCACGTCGATCGTCTCAAGTGAAGGAGGGAAAGATTGCTGAACCTGCTTTGGGCTGGTCTGTACATTCCTTAACACTCTGTTCCTCGACTTCGGTCTCTATACATTCCCAAGAAATGGCCCCCGTTCGGTAAAATATGGTTCGCAGAGATAGAGCTCGTTCTGCACTTCCCATTCCCGGGATGATAGGTAGTAGTGAGGAAGGCTTCGGCAGCCAGGCAAACCAATCTCATCGTTCAAACGGCAAGAGTGAAATATTAATAGATTGCGAGATGAGAAAAAACCTTCTTGGCTATCTCTTGCGGAAAATGCTACTATGGTGTAGATTTTTCCTCGATATCTCTCTCCAATAATTGCAGATTCATGTTGCCAGTCTGTTGTGGAATTCTGGGTGATGCACAGAGAATCTGCCCAAGGATATCGAAAGCCCAGACGACCAGTTTTGATAACAGCATGTTGGAATGTGAGAGGAAGAGAACACACGGGAATAGATATCTTAAAGGCTGATTCGTTGCCTTGAAGCAGTCTGGTTGTCGGACTATTGCCCCAACGATCTGGGTCACAATGGTGTCAGCAAATGCTAGACAAATATTGTTTTGACAACACTTGGACATTGCTCCGAGATAGATTCATACGACAAGCAGAATAGATGCAGGTTTTCTCCCCGTTATCTATGACTCAGGGTCATATATTCAAGACGAGGACTTTTGAGGAAATCCGCGGCGACCAGCCATATTGTCCCTCTTGATTCAGCTCCATCCAATTCCAGAGTCGCGGGGGCATTTGTTTCGCAGATATGTACAACTTAAGGCAAGAAGAGTGTTCCGAACGACATTTCTCCAGTAATGACTTACCCATCGGAACGAAACGGTCGAGCAAGTCGACAGACTGAATAGAGTATCGGTTGCAGTTTTATCCAACCTGGTAGTTATCCGGCGAGAGAGGTGCTGGGTCTGGGGCTGGCCTTGGGCTTGTTGATAGATCTACGTCTTGGAGTCCGGTGCAAAGCAGGGCGCGCATATGGCAGTCTTCTCGAATCGAGCCAAGCAGCGAATCCGCATCCTGGTAATGATCGATGGTCTCTTCCAAGACTCACCCGTCTGGTAATGGTGTGTCGTTGATACTCTCTTCCATGAATCGACTTCTCATGCCACCCTGCCATCTTGGCAAGAATACGTCGGCTTGGTCCTGTAGCTCTTTCAAATCACCAACGATAATTCCGGATTGCCAAACAGCCTTCTCACGCGTGAAACACAGTTGGTGCTGATGGAAACGAGCATCAAGCTTTTCAATGATTCTCTCTTGTAAAGTGCGAGGTGAGTCTTCGGGCATGATGAGCGTTATTTTTAAGCAGACGCAATACTTAGAATGACGGACAGTCGGCAAAATCAATTCACAGCTTCACAGCCTCACAGGAAAATTCAAGTACTTTGACTCTTTCCAGCCCGCTCCTTGGTTACCCTAAGAGGGCGATAGAATTGCTCAAGATTGGAGCGAGAAGGTGAACGATATTGAAGACCTCGGTGGCGGAAATGGAATGAGATCGGGTTGTGAAAGATGATGCTGTGATACAAGAGCATTGAAGTTGAGGTTCAGAAGTGTAGATGGATGGTAGTCCGCAAGCCTCTGCGGCACTAGTCCCGTTTTGGCAGTAGAAGCGACGGCAACCCCGAGAACGCTAACTTTGTTTCTTCTCAAAACCCCACGCTGATAAGCCTGTTCCACCTGTTGATCTTGAATACGAACTCTTCAAGCTTAAATGAAGATCTCAGAACGTATAACAAGACCTCGTGGCGCGGCGCTGGGTCAGCGGGATGTCGCTCTGGACTCGGGTCCAATCTGTGTGGTTCGTTTGCCTTGCTGGAGAGTGCAGAAACCCCACGCTGTGCGAATCCCATGGGGTCGGTACTTATCAGAGATTCGTTATACATGTCCAAGGGACATTTGTTCTCCCAAGAGCAGACCCATGTAGTCCATTGTCAGTCTGACTGGGACTTTGCAGCTTTTTCTCTGTGCCTTCCGTGGTAATGCGTGCAGTTTGTCTATTGCCTCCAGGCGTGGCTGGTCAGACCAATACAAAAAATTGTCATCAGGTTCGATCATCGATCTGAGATAAGAAAGAGACCACCATCTCAGATTGTGTCCAAGCCATATAATAATTCCTGCATTAGGTGATGCGCTTGCTCTTTCTTGGAACTGTTAGGTTAGCTAGAAGGTTGCGCTCATAAACCTGAATAGGAGTATATTCCCTGGTCGGCTTACGAGTACTTATTTGTCTTCAGATTTTTGCCCCCTTCCCGCTTGGTCCTGGATAATGCAGTCTGACAACATTAACGCAGCAGATCAGAATGATATCGAGAGTTTGTCACTGCAATGTTCGGTGAGACTCTCGTGCATAGTTCAGAGCCGATCGGTGCCTAGATTGCGCGACAGCAGTCCGTCTCGATAATTTGTTATTCTGTAGAATTATTCTAGGGACTTCAGGGGACTCTCTTCCACCTCTGGTCGCAGTCATCATTAACCGAAAGAGAACGTGGGTGCATAATTGTATCATTCCAGGGACAGACTTCCCCAATTCAGTACAAATTCGCACGCTAGCGGGCAGGCATAAAGTTCGAACGTCGTCATATCTGTGCCGCAATGGGGGACATCGTCGAACTCTGTTGAAATCACGTTGATTGTGTACCGCCCCGTTTTGACCCCTTGCTATGTGTTTGGGTTTCTGCCCTACCCGTCTAATGTGGCTCTCAAGCATGTATGGCTGCAAGTCGTAGCGGCAATGGGTATCCTTGGCCGTTGCTTGGATGGCCGCTGTTGTGCCACGTCTTTTTAAAATGAGACTTAACAAAAGATGCTCGCATCCCTAGCCGTTGGGCATCAAACCAATCAACGAGGTCTGCGCCGGAAGGCTCCATCCAGTCAATTCTAGACTGCGTCACCCACGGTCAAGTGCTATGCCTGAGATCGGGTTGGGAAAAGCAAATCGCAGAGACTAAGACAAGCGTTGATCAGAATATCCGGTGCGGATGTAGAGCAAAGCACTCGGGTGCCATTTACGTTCTAGCACACCTGCAAATTCGTAAGATTCTTCGTAAGGCTGCACATGCAGGGAGTGTGGCTGCAAACAGTTTGTTGCCCCTCGTCAGCGCCGTGCAAGCGATTGAACCGAGGTTTGTAACCCGATTCGAAGCTCTCTACAGGCAGCTTTTGCATACCGAAGCAATCAGGCTGGGAACGTCGTGAGTGAGTCCAATTGCACTCCGAATCGAACTCGTCGGTAACAAAAGAGGGTGTGCATGACTAAAGGCGAGGACGCTGCAGAAGTTTCGCCGAAGTCAGCCTTACCAATCAACCACCCATGTTTCCTTCCAGATAAGGACAACCGAGGGCAGGCACAAGAACTGTCCGGACGTTTGAACTTTGAGGACATGAAGCTTCATATCTCGACGCGATGTAGAATTCCTGACTGTTGGATTTTGAGCTAGGATTGGAATGTCCAGTTATGGAACGTGTTCAACCTCTCGACAGCCCATCATCTGTCACTGGCCCCCTTGAAATGATACGTACGGACGGACTCAAGCCCGGCCATTTGTCCCGATTTCCTGGGTGACTCTGGCGTGGAGTTTCTTGCAGCCATTACGGAGCATGGGATCTGCCAAGACTTGATCAAGCCATCCCGATCACCCGAACCCGACCCGTCATACGCTATCCTTCGCGCCATCTTGGGCATCCTTAGGGTGGCTCCCTGAAGTATATCCTAAGGCGTCTAATGTGCGGACATAATTCGTGCATGGTACGGAGAAAGATTGCGGTGCGCCAGGCTGCCTACGTTGTGCAACAGTGCAAGGCACACACGGCGTGGCCGGATTCTGGCGTCGGCTAATGCATCTCCTGCAAGCGCGAGAGATTGGTGCGTTTTGACAGACTTCCGACCAAGCAGCACTGCACCCTGACTCGATTGAGACCAAGACAATGATTTTGGAAACAATTCCACTTCTTCCTCCTCAGTCGCAGACTCGCAGTCTCGCAGTACTCCCGAGATGTAGCTGTCGTGCATTGCGCAAGTTAAAGGGGCAAATGGCTGGAAAGGGATAGCAATTTCTCAGTGCACCAATACGAGGCCGAGTTGAGTGGGAGTTTCGGAGGCGGGATGAATGTGCAGGGAGGCAACTACTGGGAGAACAGATCCCGTGGAAGCGGACCGGACGACCATTCGTAGTCTGCCCAACCACAGCAGCCGCGCCCGCTCCAACCAGGATTCAAGCATCAGGGCATCTTGCGAGCACGCCCCTCTCTTGGCCTGCTGGTCTGGGGGTCCAAGCCCGAAGAAAAGAACAAGCCAGAGGTGTGGGGGGAGTGTGACGAGCGTGAAGCGTCTGAAGAGTCTGAAGACACAAGAAGGGACCATCTGTGGAGCCTCGGACGGGCTCTTCGGCACATGCGATTGGACTGCACTTTGCAGCAACCTGCGAGGAGGTATTTTGGGGGCGATGAGGCATGAGGGAGGCATGAGGGAGGCGCGAGGAGGCATGAGAGGAGGGGCCAAGCCTTCGTCTTAGGGCTGATGGCCCCGCCAAGCTCCTGGGAGCTTCCCCCCCAGAGGTGGCCCACTGGCCCAGCCACACCTCCCCGCCTTCGAAAGGGCCAGTTGCAGCGACTTCCAGCGACTTCCAGCGCGGCCTCGGCGACGGCCTGCTGTCACGATGGTGTGCTCCGCCCTGCTCTGGCTGCAGTGTGACGTCCGGCACTTTGGGAGGTGCGCCTGCGCCCACCTGCACGCCTGCTTGCTTGCCTGCTTGCCTGCTTGCTTTCCACGTTGCACCTCGCGGCCAATACCTCTGCCCCTTGGCCCTTAATTGCCAGCCAGGAGCCGCGGCTTGCGAGCGGTGCAGGGCCTGATACCACCATTCGTTAGTTCGAGAGCCCCAAGCATTGCATTTCGCATTATTTCGGAGGCACCGACACAGACCACCTTACTAGCCGACGGTGGAATCTTTAATGTCAACGACCCTAGAAATACAAATCAACGTCGCCAGCCCCCAACATGCTCTTTGATAGTCATGAGCATATCCAGCGTTTCAGGATTGATTTCAGATCGATCTACTTCTCCAACATTGATGTCGATGCAGCTCTCGACACCACGCTGATGCTCCATTGAATCACCTCCAATTGCCGACCGCTCATTTTCAATGCAACACCACCGCAATACGTCCGAACCGATGGCCCCTTTCTTTTCAATGCCAAGGCAACAAGTCACCAAGGATATGTACCAGCGATCCTCGTCGGAGGATGAGGAAAGGCCCAAAAAGAAGCCGAGGGCAAGTAAACCCAAAGTGAAATCTGGTAAGTCTCTCGCATAACCACATAAGAACAGCGTTAATTCCGATTACTATAGGATGTATAACTTGCAAGGTACTATCGAACTCTCATGTTGTCATTAATGGTACTAATTACAGATATAGGCTCGGCGAGTGAAGTGTGATGAAACAAAACCCGCTTGTCTTCGCTGCCAGAAGTTTGGACGGACATGCGATGGCTATGCTCCTGAGCCCTACCAACCCCAAGGTGTGCAGCAGATTCGACCATGGATACCTCAGGATCATGAGGGACCAAGTTTAAACATCCATACTTCTGAAGACGAGTCTCGTTATTTTGAATTTTTCAGCGAGCGAACGGCGCACGAGCTGTCTGGCTTCTTCGATTCGGGCTTCTGGTCCCGACTGGTCTTACAGGAAAGCCAGAATGTAGCAGCGATACGGCATGCTGTCATTGCATTGGGAGCACTTAACAAAAGCTTGGAGTCAGCTCCAGGTCCCGATTTGAAAGTCAACGATATTCAGAGCATTGACAAGAGGCACCATGAAAACGCCGTCTTACAACACCTCAAAGCCATCCAAGCTCTCAACTACTATATCTCCTCATCAGATTCTCCGCAGTTGAGGAATGCCCTCATTGCGTGTCTCCTTTTTGTTTGTTTCGAGACCTTCCAAGGTTCCTATGCATCCAGCGTACAGCAAACCTATGGCGGGCTGAAAATACTTCGAAGTTACTATGTTGGAAAACCTGGCTCTCGACCTTGGATACCTCAAAAATCTACCACTGCAGCTCCCAAGCCAGCGCATAAGTCAGTCAAAGTATCGAGAGAACTTCAAGCCCGCCTGGGATGCGATAATGTCTCAAAAGAGATAGCCATTGCTATGCACCTGGAAGAGTATCTGGAGAGCGACCACACAGTGCATTTAGATACAGCCGAGGACCCAGGCTCTGAGATACGAGAGTCACCTGTTTACCGAAAAGAATCTCCTGTTCGCGATCCACAAGTGGAACATGTTAACATCCCGAGACATCAAATGGGTGGAACCGACTTCACCACCAAAGAGCAACAGCGGAGTGCCAACACATACGCGTCCCACACGCAAACGAAAACGTTTTTACAAGACAATCCGTTTAGCACAGAAGTTACAACACCATCAACCTCCGATGCCGCGCGAAAAGCCTCAACTGTAACATTATCAAGTTCCACAGTCTCTACACCAACAACATACACACCGCCTTCTACGGGACCCCACACCCCTTCACCGTCGAATCCAACCTTTACACGCCCTTCAACCTCGTCGAGCCGTAAAAGATCTCTCGCCTCTCGCAGCGCAAGTCCAGTACCTATCCTTCAAAACGATCTCACCATCGAGGAGATTCTCATTCAGAGTTTTGTTCGACTAGACGGGCAAGGCCTCTTCTTCGGAATGATCCCCGGAATTCCACCACTATATTGGGACATCCACAAAATCTGGCACCTCAATATCCCACCCTACTTCGCAGACTTCCACTCCGCTCAACGCTGCTGGGACTTCCTCATGGACCGAGTCCTCCAATTCTACCGCCGCACAACCTTCAACCGCACCTACGCCCCCACGTCCGCCGATCCACCTGCATCCATTAGCAAACAACACACCATGTACCGCAGCCACCTCGACGCCTTCGAAAGTGCCTTCCAACCCCTTCTCGGCAGCGCCATCCTTTCCGACGGAACCATCACCAACGCCGCCGCCCTCGTCCTCTCCCTGTATCAAAAACTCGTCTCCATAATCCTCGCTACCGTGCCCGAGAACTCCGAAATGATCTACGACGACTTCCTCCCGGATTTCAGATACATAACACGCACCTGCGCTCGGATCATAGCGTGTCAAGACCGCACCCAATTACCCCGCAATACCCGCTTTAGCTTCGATATTGGGATTATCCCGCCGCTGCATGTGACGGCAACGAAGTGTCGGGATCCAGTGGTGAGGCGGGAGGCCATCGATCTTATGTTTAATAGTCCGAGGCAGGAGGGCATGTGGGATGGGGTGCTGAGTGCGAGGATTGGGAGGTGGATTGTCAGTTGTGAGGAAGAAGGACTTACGCTGCCTACGCTGCCGCTGGAGAGGGGCCAGTGGTGTGGTGCTAATCAGCATAGCTATCTGAGTCCGCAGCATATCATTGACGAAACTGGTGGTGGAGGATGGGGAAATGGGAAACGGAATTCAGACGTGTGGGGTGAGGTTGGGGGACTAGGAGCCGATGAGTCTAGGAAAGCTGGTGAGATGAGAGCAAACGCTACTGTGATTCCGAGATACAACGGAATGGGCGTTGACGGAAGAGAGAACGGGACGAATGATTGGAAAGTGCCGGAGGAAAATAGAGTGCAGCTCATGGTCGTCGATTTTCATATTCCGGATCGTTATATTAAGGTTAAGTGCCAGCGGGCACTCGAGGGTAAAGATGGGAGGAGGGAGGAGAGGGAAACCGTTATTGCTTGGTAGAAACATTCTCAACTCGTGTTCCTGGAGAATCCTGGTTAGGAGAAAAGAGGAAGGAATTGGTACGATAGAGACAAGATTGTATGATTAACAGCGGAGGCATATGGTACACCATTAAAGAGGGGGTTATAGGCGAGGAGTTTGGAGTTTTCTGGGTTAAAGCAGAGATACTGCTTGATTTCACACATTGATACCATATTTATAAGTTTGAACATTTTCGGAACTTGTTGATATTCTTAGCGTTCAGAATTTGAGAAAACACGAGTACACTGCATGAATTCTATGGAGACGGACATCGAAAGCAGAAGAGCCGTTTTCACAAGTACGTTTCCTGGTAGCAGCAGTAAAGAATGGTGGTGTCAGCAACAAGGCTCACCGATTACCACAAACATGCTGGAGTGCAGCCAGAAGACTCTCCTTTTCCACGGTACTAAAGCCTCTTGGCAACGCTAGCCTTGAGCAGTGAAGCACCCACAAGTGATCACGGAACCTCAACGGAACCACCAATTCACCGAAGCAGTAACCCCGCTCCCAACACTCTTTATACTATGCCACCACCCTCTTGGTATGAACAGGGCGTCCCCGGGGCTAACCATAGCCTCGTACCCCTCTCCCTTCACCACAGTATTTCCCCAAACGGCCTCATCAAGAGCATCCCTCTCCGGCCCCTCCATCATCTCATCACCCCTAAAGCTCGCAGATCCATGTTGCCCTATCCTCAACTGCACATCTCGGAATATCTTAAACCCCGTAGCTGGCTCGAAAAGTCTAATACGTTTGCTGCTTGCTAGCTGAACAAACAGGTTGGGATTCGGATCTTTGTGGAGAGGTGTGTATGTTGGTGGGATGCCCATCCATATATTGGAATTGTATATATCCCCTTTTCCTGCCTCTTTGACGATTCGTGGTGTTGGGAAATCCTCTTGTAGCTGCTTTGGAAGATCGGCGATTTGGGCTTGTGCGATGTAGAGTCTTGGTGGCCTTATGTGGGACGGTGTTGGCTTGCAGCCTTGCAGGAAGAGGGTTAGTGGTGCGTTGAAGTGGTGGAAGGAGCGACCGTCGAAGCCGGACAGCAATTGAGCCAGGGATGTGGCCAATTCTTGCCTTCCATTGTTCTCTGCTTGTGCCCAATCGAGATATTCTTGCAGATGTTTGCCATTCGGATCGATTATGAGTTCGTAGGGGAGGATCGTGTCCTGGAATAGCGATAGGTATTGTTCCGAGAGAGTAAGCACTGCATTCGGACTAGTCCCAACCTCATGAGTGAACCACTTATGTGCCGCTGGGAGAGATTGATGGGATGATTTGGCATTTGCAGCTGTCGAAGCTGTTCCATCTCTTGTCGTTATGAGGAGAGGTCTCTCGGGAGCGAATGCTCGCTGTCGAAATTCGGACAATTCGACAGCGGCGAATGTACCAACGATCCGGTCAACTGGTGATAGGGTGTTGAATCCATGGGAGGAGGCATAGGGCCGTACAATTGTCCTCGATGTTCTGGAGAGGGTTTTGATCAGCCTTGGCATGGCATGGCATGAAGAGGTGTTGACGATGCTTTGATGGCTTCAGAAGTAGGTACACACAAGCCATGTGGTTCTGCCGTGGTTTGTGAATAGCGAATGGTACTCGTAAGTCTGAGTCGTCTGTTGTCTTTCTTTTCTGATCTTTTCGGTGGCGCACACGGATGCTCCCGAAAGCTGAAAGTCGCGTCAAAATTATTTTGACGACATCAACATCTTCTGCCAAGCATGAAGTGATTTCCAGCAAGGGCAACCAAAGTAACCAACCAGAGTGTAGAGGATTTCATAAGAAAACACTGTTCCTGATTCAAATATGGTAATTCATTCGTTCGCAATCCTTCCTGCTTTGGTAGCCTCGGCTTCTTCAAGAGCCTGGAAGTGCAGGGCCAAGGAAAGTGCGGGGAAATACCGTCCTTGAAACCTTGGGTAAGTCGGCTTTCCTCCATACTACACGGAATCGGACCATCTCTCTATCCTTGATCCGAGGCTTAAGGTGATGGCCCCTCTCCAGATTCTCCCTTTAGCGGAAGTGAGAGCTGGTGATAGCATCTCTTTTTGTGGTCGTTCACCTTGGAACGTTCTCAAGATTGTTTAGTAGCGACTTAGCACAAGATGAGTTCCTTTTTAGATAACGCTCCAGAGGTTGTAAGTTTGCGGTCTGCTCTCCTTCCCTTATCTCTTCTCTTCTGCTTCCTGGGTTGCTGATTCTTGAAACTGCAAGATGTATGGGAATACCATACACAAGAATAATGGATACGACCCCGGTAGCTATACATACTACCCCATTGCCATTATTGGTGCTGGGGAGAGTGGCATTGCTATGGGCTGTCGTTTAAAGGAAGCCCTCGGCTTTGATCAATTTCGTATCTTCGACCGGCAAGCAGGAATCGGAGGAACGTGGTGGATAAATAGATACCCAGGGGTGGCCTGTGATGTGTAAGTATTCCTCAAATTCTTCTGTATCTGTTACACTGACACAAACTTCTTAACAGTCCCGCCATCTTCTACTCTTTCTCCTTCTGCCCAAATCCAAAATGGACGACCTTCCATCCGCCTGGCCCAGAAATCGTCAAGTATTTGCATGGCGTCTGCGACAAATACCGGATAATGGACAAAATACAGCTCAACACAGATGTCAGGGAATGCCAATGGCTTGAAGAGGAGCAGGTATGGGAAGTCAAACTGCAACATTTAATGACCGGAGTCGGCGATCTCAGCGAGTACGAACGCTCTCAGAAGATCCAAGAGCATGGACGGGAATTCGTCTACGTGTCCGAGGAGACGATCAGGGCAAAAGTGCTCATAAGTAGTGTTGGCGGTTTGGTATGTACTGTCACCTTAATGAGACGAATGATGGCTGAGAACCTTGTAGGTGGAGCCAAAGGTCTGGCCCGAAGAGATTCCTGGCAAGGACAAGTTCCAGGGCCGAATATTCCACTCAGCGAGATGGGATTATAAGGTTGACCTCAGGGACAAAGACATTATTGTAGTTGGGACGGGATGCAGTGCTGCTCAATTCGTGCCAAAATTGACGAAGGAGTATGGAGCGAAGTCTGTCACTCAATTGATGAGATCACCCCCGTGGGTCGTCCCACGACAAGTTCCCCTATTTGGAGAAAAGGGCTGGGAAAAGTGGTCACCATGGCTCTGTTCAAATGTTCCAGGCTTTGCGAAGGTGATCCGACTTTTGATTGCAGCTGGCCTTGAGTACGATTGGAGGCTGTTTGGCTCGGAAGACTACCATGCCAAGGAGAGAAAGAAGGTCGAAGACCAGCTGCTGGCTCACATGAAGAGGACTGTGCCTAAAAAGTATCATCAGATCCTCCAACCCGATTATGGCGTTGGATGCAAGCGACGAGTCTTAGATGCTACCTGTAGGTGTTGTGGAGAAGTCCTTTCATATTTCTGATCCCCGAGCCTTTTTTATCGAGCTATTGCTAACTTCCCATTAACAGGGTTTCTTGGCCTGAACGACCCCGCAATCGAACTCACAACACTACCCTTGACCAGCATCGGAGATAATACAGTCACTCTCGGACCAGGGCGAACTTACCCAGACCCAGCTGACACCACAAGCTCCGCCCCTTCTCACGAAATGACACTTCCCGCCGATGTTATCATTCTCGCGAACGGCTTTCAAACCACAAAGTGGCTGCATCCACTTGACATTACTGGACGAGGTGGCAAGAAGCTACACGATGTATTTGAGGAAAGAGGGGGCCCTCAGATGTATATGGGCATGGCGCTAGATGGATTTCCCAATTTCTTCACCATCTTTGGTCCCAACACCGCAACGGGCCATTCATCCGTTATCATGGCCTCTGAGAATATGGTCAACATGGCCTTGAAATTTATCAAGCCTATGATTAAAGGAGATGTTGCACTTACAGAAATCAAGAAAGAGGCCGAGATTGAATGGGCAAGGGATACTCAGAGTGCACTGAGGAAGCGTGTTTGGAATACGGGAGGCTGTCGATCTTGGTATCAGACGGAAGAAGGGTGGAATTCCACTGTCTATCCGTACGTTCTTCAAATCCTATGCGTGCTGTGATACTGAAGCTGGAGTAGCTACTCTCAAATCTGGTTTGCTCTCCATTGCATGTTTCCCACCTGGAGTGATTGGGACATAACATATACAAGGAAAGGACAGGCCAAGAAGTACGCAATGAAAGTGCTGAATACAGTTGCTCTGGTTGCGCTGATAGTTGGTGGAGTTAAGCTCAGGCGAATGCTGCAGGGCAGAAGCCTGATAGCTCTTTTGAAGACATATATTAGGGTGACGTTCATGGCGGGAGCTGGACTGTTGCAAACTGCTGCAAGTAGAGTAGAGTAAAACAGAAAACATTCAGGATTTGTATGAAATTCAATTTTAGTTTGTACTTGGTACTCATTTCACATCAACACTGCCTTGGTTTCATTGTTATTTGTCGAAGTGGAACATGCATCTTGATTTGGAGTTGAGAGAATGACTTTGATGTCCTGGAACTTCGGATGCGTATGGGGAGACTTCAATGTACGATAGTGCGAATTAATATCGGGGAGACAGTATCGAAACTGATCTAACTTTGCGTATTACACTTGTCGTATTTCAACTCTATCTTAATCATCAAGAGGTCCAGGGGTTCAGAAAGAGCCCCAGTCACGTGATAAAACATTCGCTTATCATTAGTGCCAGTAGAACCCCGAACAAGTTAAAACCCTGATCGTCGCACGTCATTTCTTCCTCCACACACGATCAATCCCGGAACAATGAAGGGCCGCGATGCGAGGAGGTAGGAGCCGTTCGCAATCGACGAGGCTTTGCTTTAACAATCTAACTCGACTGCAGGTCTCCTCCACGCGAAATCTACCGCCGCCCGCCACTGACTGGAAGGCAGTCAACAAGCGGCACCTCCACGTCGACTCCCGAAACCCTCTTCAAAGAGTCCGACCAAGACGTCCACGAGCGCCTAACAGAACATTCCCCAACAAGAGGGCGCACCAGTCCACGTCCGCGCGCGACCAATCGACGTGCTCCCTCTTCTTCGGATTCTTCTCCTCCACCCACGAGCGCCATGTCTTCCTCCTCTGGCACGCCCGAATCCTGGATCTCGTCTTTCTGCTCATTATTGGGCCATGAGTACTTTGCGGAAATATCGGAGGATTTCATTGAGGACGATTTTAACTTGACAGGGCTGCAGACACAAGTAGCAATGTACAAGGAGGCGTTGGAGGTAGCATCATACTTCAAACTACTTGAAACATGCTAACGCGCTTTTCAGATGATTTTAGATGTCGAGCCTGAAGAAGACGAGGAGGAAGACGAAGATGAGGAGGAGGACGAGGGTGACGAGTCGATTGAAGCCGAAGAGCGATCAAATCGCAGAGCCGCTGCGGAACGCAGACACCACCGCATGGCCTCCGATCTCTCTATTATCGAATCCTCTGCCGAGATGCTTTACGGTCTAATCCACCAACGATTCATATGCTCCCGCGCCGGCATTCAGCAAATGTCAGAAAAGTATGAGCTCACGCACTTCGGAGTATGCCCACGAACAAATTGCGAGGGAACCCGAACACTACCGGTAGGATTGTCCGACGTTCCAGGCGAAGACACCGTCAAGCTGTTCTGCCCTTCCTGCTTGGATGTCTACGTCCCACCGAATTCTCGCTTTCAGACTGTTGATGGTGCCTTTTTCGGTCGAACATTTGGTGCACTCTTCCTCCTCACCTTCCCCGAATATGATCTCACCAAGAAAGGAGCAGAAGCTCTTGGTGCTAACCACAATCCTCGCGCGGTACCCTCACATCCCGCTGATGGAGACGAGAAGGATAAGATCAACGGCATGAACGCGTCCAACCTCGCGCCCGGTCTTGGCAAAGGCAAGATGTATGAACCTAAGATCTACGGCTTCAAGGTCTCAGAGCGTGCGAGAAGTGGTCCGCGAATGGCTTGGTTGAGGGATCGACCTTCCGACATCAGAGAGTTGGATGAGGCTTCCATGTACCACACCGAACACCCTGACGAAACCGACGATGACATGAGCATCAATGGCGTCCCCACTCAGCCTCGACAACCTACGAAGAGATCTCGTCGTCCCAATGGCGGTAGTCCGATGTCTATCGAGCCCAACGGCGATGCTTTCACCTGATGATGACGATCCTCACTTGCTTATGAATTGACATTGCGGGCGTTACGAGGGATGATGTTTAGATGGCGGGGCTAATGGCCTTTTCGATTTGGGAAGCGACTTGCATATGGATGGATAGCACGATTGAGTGGTCACTTTCCTCTTCCCCGCAATGATTGGGGTGGAGCGAAAAGGCTTTTATTGCAGTCTAGTCACGTTGCTACTATGGTAATGATACCAAATCCCAGCAATGAAAGATCATTGTGAATATGTCTCTTCTCTAATACCGTTCTTTTTCCGAATGGACCTTCCTGGAGGTCCCCTTTTAGTGGCTGACTAATGTTCTCAGGATGAGCTCCTTTTCGCTCTTCATCACCGTGGGTCTTTTTTCATTCTGCCCAATTTTGATCGTAAAATTATTATCTTAAGTCACGTCTCAGTCATAGGATTATTACTCGAATTATCTCTTCAATACTGTTTGCTTCGGATCCGGAATTGAGCTCAACATAAAGCCCCCCAAGTTAGTGGGTCATTCAAAAGGAGCACTGGCACATTAGCACAGCAGAAGCCGAAAAGCATGCTACTTATGGGATATTTCCCATTAAGTCTCCTTGATTCACAGAGCAAGCGCTTGGGGTATCGGATTGGTCATGTTTTGCGGACGTTCTGAGTTGATGTTTGAAGAAGAAAAAAATTGGGTTCGGAGTTGAAAGAGATGTTGAAAGAAAACAATGCTTGGGGACAGGGGTTGGAATCTGCTTCGAGACCAGCTACTGAATACTTCTTCTCTATTTCTCGCACAGCGTTCAAGCTCGAAAGGGCCGAATGGCCGCCACACAAAGTCCAAAGACATCTCACCAATTGTGTTTGGGGTTTGAAGTCTCCTTGAAATTCTCAGGACAAAGGCCCCTTCCGCGGTTTGTCCTCGGTCGGGAGCACCACTGAAGATCTAGCAGCATAAGCTGGATCTTCAATATCTTTTTGTGGCTGGTCGAAGATAAGCCACCGCGTCGACTTCTTCCTTTGATCTTCAGCAGTCCCCCCCCCCCCGCCTTGAGTCCGCTCGTTTGGGATAGCCATTTAGACGCCCAGGAAACATCATGGGAAGGGAGGTTGCGAAAACAACATCCTGGATAGCTGGAAACTTCTGGACAGGCTGCTGAGTCCGATAGACAAGTGCTTCTGCTAAAGACAATGTCAGACCTCATTGCCCAGCTGGGAATATGACAATGTGAAGGAGTCTTCTGCCAGACAGCCCATCTCGAGAGCAACATGACACGCGTTCTCAAAGGCATACTAAGTATCCTGGGGATATCCTTCAAGAATATTATTACAAAATTTTGATATCCGAACAACAGCCGGCTGATATGGCTGGGAATGACATGGAGATGGGTCAGTGGGCAGAGCCGCAACCACGAAGTATGAGCGACGATCTAGAACTGCCGAACGTCAGTATATGCGATGACCAAATTTTATCTATAAAACTTCCCGAGCGCTAGTTGCTTTCCTTGAGACCTTGATTAGGGGTCCGTCCCTAAACTCTTCCCACTTTCATCTTATGATAAAGGCTGCCTTGTTAGAATAACTATTAAACGTGCTTTGCCATCACAACTATTGGTCAATGCTTGTGTCATGATCAACGTGATGCCGCTTGCGAAATCGTGAGCATTCCAATCAAGGCCAGAATGTTTTACAAAAATTGTACACCAAGTAAAAATACAAGCAAAACAGTTTATTAGCAACTCTCTCCCAGCCAACCCGGTTTTCACCCTTTGTTTTCCATCTTCCTGAGCCACCTTGATGACCAACTCCTCAAGTAGCCTATTTACTCATCCAAACCACGCTCTCGTCCAATCATGCTTGTTCCATGAATTTACACTCTCATGGATCACTTACCACAAAATTAGCATTTCTATGCCTCATACTGAAAAGGAAGGAGAGAGAACTAACCTTCAGCATCTCCTGTGGAGTTCAACTCCATCACAATCTGATCCTTGATCTCACCCTCGATCTCCTTCTGCGATCGTCCGGTACTTCCACCAGCTGAAGGGAAGGATCGAAACGTAGTAAGCGCTCTCACAATTGCAACCATCGGCCACGCCTTCCGGGGCCAATATGCGGCCCTCCAACAGCAGAGATGACTGGCCCATGCATGTATTACGGATTATTATCACCGAGAATGAAGTTCCTAGTTATTACTGTGAATCTCCCCATAATTCTTCGCATTCTCCCCTTCTCGCGAAGACGGCAGTTTAAAACGCCGAGACCGAATAGTTCTACAACGGCATGGCGAGCAAGGAGGGGACAATCGCATCGTCCATCAAGTTTGCTCCTCCAAAACGGTGGGGAGGAAGAATCCATACATCACTAGCAATCACATATGTCAACTCCTCGTCTGTGGTCGTCTCATTTCTGGAGACTGAGTCAAGCTGCTTAGCAAAAACCCTCCACTTAATCACCATATCCAAGGTATCCGGATAACTGTTCTCAAAAAGCCGAAACAAATCAGGGTCCGGTATTTTCCCTTTCATCTCCTCTATCAACTTCTCCATCGCAGGCAAGTTGAAAGTCCGACATTCTGGTGACGGCCGATTGTAAGCAAATTTCCGCCGGCCTTCTGAAAGCGGTTCTTGTCGTAAGCGGTGTAGTTGTTGGTAGTTTATACATTCTTTCGTGGGGGTTGCCGAAGGAGCTGCTGCTGTGGTGTTTGCAGGAGAGTGAGATAGAGAAGAGATGAGATGTTGTGAGACGGTAGCGACATTCAAAATATCCACGACGCTTGGCATACCTGCTCTTCGACGTGTGCTTTTTCTGTTCATTGTGATTTCGAGATGAAGAGATTGAGAGGATGAAAAGGATGAGAAGTTGGAGCAGGGTGAGTGGGACCAAGTGACCAACCAAGTATTTGTCATCTTACATCTAGATCATCCAGAGCAGCGGCCTCGATATTGTGGCGTACGGCGGGAGAACCAGATTGACGACCTCCTTGTGGACTTCAAGTCCATCAACACCTCTTTGTAGCTGGACTATGAAACAGTCATATCTGGAGCTCATTGTAGGCAAACCAGTCTACATCGGAACACCGATACTAGCAGCTTGACTTTGAGATAAGTATTAGGGAAATTGTATATCTCGTTTCTGTCGACATTTCCCCTCTATTCTCCCCTTGTCCTCCTCGCCCCGTACCACCACAATGCCGAAACGAATTCGCGTCGGAATCCTTACCCCCTCCTCAAACACCGCTCTCGAACCTCTCACCTGCGCCCTCCTCGCCTCCTTCAACACACAACAATCCACCTACCACATCACTGCCCACTTCTCTCGCTTCCCGGTAACAACAATCTCCCTCTCTCCATCCGGCCTGGCTCAATTCGAGCTCGCCCCCATACTACACGCAGCCGAACTCCTCGCCCACGCAGAAGTCGATATCATAGGATGGTCAGGCACTTCTGCAGGCTGGCTAGGCTTTGATAAAGATGTCACGCTGTGCGAGGAGATTGAAAAAGTGACGGGGATAAAAGCTACGACGAGTGTGCTGGCTTTGAATAAGGCGCTGGAGCTTTGGGGTGTGAAGAAGCTGGGGCTGGTCACGCCGTATCAAGCGGATGTGCAGGCGAAGATTGCGGAGAATTATACGGGGATCGGGGTTCTGATTGGGGAGAGCATGGAGAGGCATTTGGGGGTTGTGAAGAATACTGATATTGCGAAGACTGGGGAGGAGGTTTTGGATGGGTTGGTTGGGGAGGTGGTGGGAGGGGGAGTGGATGCTGTGACTACGTTTTGCACTAACCTTGTTGCGGCACAACGGGTTGAGTTTTGGGAGAAAAAGTACGGAGTTCCACTCTTCGATACGGTGACGACTGTTGTTTGGGATATGCTTAGAGAGTGTGGGGTTCATGCCAAAGAACTTGAGGGTTGGGGAATGATCTTCCAAAAAGGCTGACAGCATCTCATTGCCCAAATACTGGTAGTTTCAAACCATGCATCCCTTTATACCCAGGCCGTTCGCTCTCCTTCCACCCCTTCAAGATCTCGTCCTTATTCGAAATCTCATACACGGATACGTGCAGCGGCCTGCACGTATCCAGCATTCTCTGGGCTGAATTCTCGCCCCAGCCATGCACAGAGAGATCACCACCAGGACAAGTGGACATAGCGCACAATAAGTCGGTTTCAGCAAATAAAGTGAAGTAATCACCCGGCTTCGAAGGAGAGGCCGCCCTGTGTCTTCAGTCAAATTTCATACGAATTTTTTGGATGAAAGTGACGAACATGAAATATTTCCCATCCTGGTTTAATCCAGTGACTTGAAACACATTCAGAACGTCATGAATATCCGCTTCAGTGAGACCATAAGGTAACACAGCCCGTACGAGGTTGGAATGACATTGATAATCAAAGTCATCTCCACTGAGCAGCTTGTTGACTTTGCTCATCAGCTTCATTTCCCCCTTCAATTTCCACACTTCACTTTAAGCACTTACCATAAGGATCACATCTACACACCGTCAGCAAGAACCCCCAATCTTATTTTCCGAGTTTTTACCTAGTCCCGAGCAAATCATGACATCGTCCCCCTACCTCATCAACCCCATAATCTCTCAAACTATCCTCCACGATCGTTACTAAAGGTCTGAGATATGGTAAATTCGACCATAGTCTATCACCGACCGAGACATGTGAGGCGTGCAATTGCCTCGTTCGTGCAGCCCAGAAACGTTCCCGTGGATTGTGGAGAGAGAAGATGTTTAAGTCTCCGACTTGAGGGCCGTGGGGAGTGGAGAGCCTGCATAGTTGACCTGAGAGGGGTTCAGAATTGGCTTCAGGCGAGAGGAAACACAGGAAGTTGAAGCCGAGCCCACAGATAAAACAATCCTTCTCCTTGACAAATTATATGATGTTCCATTGAGCTGCTTCTTATAACACAATTCCAAAGCGCGAGCAATCAGAAGAATAAAACCAACCCACCTTTTTTAACAACCCAAGCCTTTCCACTCCTAATCGGAATCTCAAAGCTCTCAACTAGTTCCTTCCCACCGTCTTGCTCAGCAACCTTGCCGATCCTTGCATACAGCTCTTTATCTCCGTACAAAATTGAGACGTCTTTGGCAGGGTACGCGGGTTCCGGGATTCGGTTCGTCATTTTAGATGCCTGACGAAGTTATGGAAGATTGAAGTTGGAGTGGCTACAAATATAATTGGGAAAGGGGTGAAAGGAGGGTGATAGCTCAAGAATGGAAGGAGGACATAGAGAACCGAGAGTGGGGTCTAATCACGTGGAAAACCACCGAGCTTGGTAACTCTCTAAGGAGGAATGCGAAGTACAAGACATACAGATTTGACTATTTCTCGCCGTTAGGAGATCACATTGATAGTCGGGTATCGTTCTCTCTCAAAGGAATATCTGAAATCACTTGAACTTCTAAAAAGAGTTACACTTTCAACTTTCAGATCCACAATTTTGGTTGTCAAAATCGTCAATTAGTTCAATAACTTGTCTATGATTTTCGATAATCTTCTTCGCATGTTCATGATTTAACCCCTTTAACGCCAACAGGGGGTGGCTGTTCCCGATTTGGAAGGTACTTTGCTATCTTGGAAGGCTGAAACTGTGGTATTGCTGGGGGCTTACCGAACAATGAGACGAGGCTACAGTTATATGCGAAAACTCCCTGTTTTAGCGAGTTTTTGACGAAAAGCGGTACACTTAAAAATGGGTGCACCAAAAGTTACCTAAATTATCTTTAACCACCAATTGCTCCACCAAACCACGTCCGAATTAGATGAGAAGTGGATCAATTTACTCCCCTAAAGTAGCTCTTGCTAATGATAAGAGCAGATTATGGCTCCTCACCTAAGCCCGCGCGAAATCGCGGCCATCGACGCTATCGTCGCACAACCTTATCACCCCGATTTGCACGAGATCGCAACCCGATTCAATACTACTTACGAAACCATATGATATCGGAGATATCAGATACGGGTTCGGAAAGCTCTTGGCTGGGATCCCCGGAAAAAACCAGGCCATTGATTAATAATTATACCAGAAATAGAAGAAGCGGTAATAGAGCATGTTCTGAGATATATTGACGTTTACCAGGAGGAAATTATCGACTTTCTTAATGAGGAATTCGGTATTAAACCTTACCAAACGATGATCTCGCATCTTTTGAAGAGATTAGAGATTATATATAAGAAAATCAAGGCGGTAGTAGCGGAGCAAAACCAGGAGCTTCTTAAGCAGTGGTATGACAATTCTCGATTTTGGAGAGCAGATCAGATCATTACTATAGACGAATTAGCTTTTAATAAGTATACGGGGCATAGGAAATATGGATGGGCATCTCAGGGCTTACCTACGGAGATAAAGATACTCTTAAAGCGATCTCCTAAGTAGTCCCTTTTACCGGTATATATGATTAATAGGTACCTTGATCCTTTAGTTTATTAAGGCAATATTATAGCCGAGATTTTTAAAGATTAGATAGAAAATAGGGTATTCCCATAGTATAATCCATGGCTAGGCAAAAATTCGATTATTATAATAGATAACTATAGTATATACCGGAGTCAGAGGGTACTTAATATATGCCGGATACAGGGTATTTGGATACGCTAGTTACCTCCTTATTACCCAATTTTAAACCTAATTAAGGAGAGCTTTTATGATATTAAGTCTAATATACGGAAGAACTATAGGAAAGTCTATAGGAAGTATCCAGACTTTGGAGATTATCTAATTAATACTATTCGGAGGCTTGGACAGGGGCCGGAGGTAGCTAGGAAGGCTAGGGGGCATTTCTATAATTCAGGATATCGGAATTTCTCTATAGAATTAGTATAAAATTAATAAAATCGCTATACTTAATATTACTTAAAGTTCTGGTGATTTTAATATTATAAAAGGTAGTTCCAAAATCACTTATTACTTTACTAGAGAGCCGATATTAACGCTAATTAAAAAACACTATGGTTCTTAATAACCATAACTACTATTAAAAAAACGAAAGCATATTTAGAATTATAGGAAATAGCTCTTTTAATTATTCTAATATATAAAAATCCTATAGTATAGTTATAAAAATATTTAGTATAAGGGAAAAACTTCAAATATTAATAATTGTAATATATATAGGGTTATATATGACTTAAGGGCATGTAATGAACCTCGGATATCGCAGGTATTAATCAGGGAGTTCGGTAGCCCTTTAATATCCCAACTAATTACTATTTATATTATATGTATTAGGCTTATAAATCACTAATTATATATATGCTATCGGGGCCTCCTATTTAGAGGGGGCTTCCCTGGACCTTATAGGAGGAATAGAGATTAGTTCTATACTAAATTTAATACTATGGTTTTATAATATACTAATTCATTCTATTATCTTATTACCTACTAATAAATACCTTATAAGCTAATCTCTCTACCCTCAAAGGAGGTAGTTTAATAAGTAATCATATCTCGAAATCTGCGAAATATACGACCCCTTGCCAAAACTATTCCTATAGAGGAAGTTAACTAGATTAACCCCGATATGGGTAATAGCGAAGGCTCGTCTAATACTTTTAATAGGGCCCCTCAGGAGCCTCCGAGAGCTAGTAATAATAACGGAAATAATCCCGGCAATAATTAAGACGCCGAGATTAATGCCCGAATTACTGCCGCCCAAGCTACGGAACAGGGCTTGCGTACTAAAGTCGAAGCGCTCTAACAAAAGCAAGAATTAGTGGATATAATTAACTAGCATATCCTATAGTTAGAGTAATATAAGGATACTCTCAGGGATACCTTGCGGTTTACTATATCTCATAGAAACTCTATTCGTAAGTTCACTTTTTCTTCCTTAGTAATTCCTACTAGGGAACTTCCTGAAATAGGATTAGAACCTACTTCCTTTCCTAATATAATAAGCTTTGAGAGTAATCTTAATACTATTTATTAGAAGCTACTATATAATATCCTAAAGATATATTTGGACCGAGAGAAGCTTCTCAAAGTCCGGATACCTGACTTATATTATAGAAAGTTCCTTAAGAAATAGAGGATATTCGTATTCTCCTGGAAGGCAGTCTTTAGGACCTAGCCTTAGACTTATAATAGACACTCTTCTAGAATTAATTCTACTACAAGTGCCCTTAGGAATGAATCTTATAATACTTAGGAGGCTATAATAAAGTAAAGCCCACTATTATATAAGGTTTATTAGGAGCGATTTAAGGCCTACTTGGCCAATATGCTCCAAGTACCTTAAACCCGTTAATAAGATACCTTTGAGAAACTCCGAGATCTTTATTAGAAGGACGGCAAGATAGTTACCAAGTTATATACTCGGATAATTAGTCTCAAAGTTAACTAGGACCTATACCCTAAGAGAGACCGGGTCCGGACTCTTAATATTACTTTATCTGACTATAAGACTCATTAGATACTTATATTTATTCTCTCAGGAGATAAGGTAGTATCTGTTTCCAAATAGCTTGAGAAAGCTCAGAAAGCAGAATATATTACTTACCCCAAATTAAGGAAAGCAAAGGCAGAGAAGTCTAGTAAGGGTAATTCTATTCCTAAGGACTCTAATTTAGTAAATTCTGATTTATAAGGCTATTAAAAAAGAAAGAATAAGTTCCGAAAATTACATGAGAAACCCTCAGGTAGTACTTTGGCCCCTTTAAGGCCTTAATAAAGTACTAGTTCTATTTTAGGTATGATTTATTAGACTTATAAATAGAAAAGATATTTCTCAGGAAGTATAAAGTATTCCAAGTATACTAAATAGGCTTAGCAGAACCCTAATAAGGCCAAAACCATAAAAGAGTCAAGGCATCTATAGAAGCAGGTTAATACTATTACTATAGAGAAGTGCTTTAGAGGAGACTCTCCTAAGAAATAGGGAAAAAAAAAGGCCAAATCTTGAATATTAATAATTTTGGCCATAATAAAAAAGGCATATTACTTCATATAACTATTTAAGTAAGATTAATATAGCCAGAAATAGGTACCTTAGAGATATATAGCAGACTTAGTAATACCGGATTAGACTATAACTTTCTTAATAATAATTAGGCTTAAAGCCGGGGCTTTATTACCTTAGCTAAGTATAACTAAGAGTTTATAACCTTTTATAGGAATAGATTTAAGATCTATTAAGCCTATAATCTTGAGATATTTATTATAGATAATTATAGTAAGATATATTCTTTTAAGCTCTAGTTCTATAGGTATAAGAATATTGGCTCTTATAGCCTTGTCTTTAGTATAGAATTTTATGAAATAACTCTTATATAATATATAGACTATATTAAGAAATAATAGGTATATATATTTATATAGCCTAATAATATTAAGATCCTAATACTAAAAGAATTTAGTAAGAAGCTTAACCGGTATCCTGAGCTAGTATCTCAAGTCTTATTCTTAACTAAAGGCAAATATAATTATCCTAGATAATAGGCTTTATATATTTGTAATAGTTACTAGGTCTCTACTTTATTATATAGTTCTAGTAATACTAAATAGGAGTTTTTAATATGGCAAATTAATACTCTCCGGAAAAGGGCCTTAGAAATACCTATCTATTTCCGGAATAATAAATATAAAGACTTCTTAGAGGTTTTTGACCCTAATAAAGCTTTAGAACTTCCTAATCTTGGCAGTATTAAATATTCTATTAATATAGATAATACGGTCTCATATAGGCCTTTATATAATCTATTAGAGACCTAACTAGAAGTATTATATCTATATTTATAGGATATACTTTATAAATATTAGATAAGGCCTAGTAAAAGCCTAATAGGGGCACTTATTCTTTTTATTCCTAAGAAAAATAAAGAACTATATCTTTATATTAATTATTATAAACTTAACCAAGTTATAATTAAGAATTAGTATTTGCTTTCTCTTATTAATAAGACCCTTAACTGGCTCTAAGAAGCCAAGATCTTTATAAAGCTAGATCTCAAGAATATATATTATTAGGTAAGAATTCGTAAAGAATATAAATAAAAGACGGCTTTTAGGACCTGCTATAGCTATTTTAAATATCTTATAATGCCTTTTGGGCTAGCTAATATACTAGCCATATTTCAAGTATATATTAATACTATACTTATAGGATTCCTGAATTATTTTATAGTTATTTATTTAGATAATATCCTTATTTACTCCCGAAATAAAGCTAAATACCATAATTATATTTACTAGATACTTACTAGGCTATATAAAAATAACCTATTTTATAAACTTAGTAAATATAAGTTTAATATTAAGGAAATCAAATTTTTGGGCTTCCTTATTAGAATAGAAGATATTTATACGGATCCTAAACGGGTTCGTAATATTATTAAATAGCCAGAACCAGAATTATTTTATAATATCTAAGTATTTCTTGGATTTACTAATTTCTACTATAGGTTTATTTACTATTACTCTCAGGTAACTATAGGCTTAATAAACCTCTTAAAAGAAATAGAAAAGGGCCGGAAATCCGGTCTCTTTATATAAATAGATAAAGTGGCTAAAAGCTTTAAGACTTTAAAAAAAGCTTTTATTATAATACCTATCCTGGTCTATTTTGACCTTTCTAAGAAAATTTATATTAAAACTAATATATCGAAATTTGTAATTACTAGTACTATTTTATAATAAGTTAATCCCAATAATAGCCCAAAAAAATACTAGTATCTAGTAGTATTCTAGTCCCGGAAACTTTCCGGAGCCAAATATAATTATAGTACCTATAATAGGGAGCTACTTGTAATTATTAAAGCCTTTAAGTATTAGTACTATTACCTTAAAGGGTCCAGGTTTATAATTAAGGTTATTATAGACTATAATAACCTCTAATATTTTATAGAAATAAAGTATTTAGAGAGCTATTAAGTATATTAGGTAATATATCTTATAATATATAATTTTAATATTATTTACTATAAAGGTACCTTAAACCTAGCAGATAGACCTAGTAAAAGACCTAATTATAAAGAAAGTCCTATTAATATAACTTGGCTTCTAATCTTTTAGAATAAGTTAAAGAGAGCTTTTATAATTATAATTTAGAAGTCCTTATAAATATCTAAAGAGTTCTTTTTTTAAAATAGGTATTATTTAATACTTACTATATCTATAGTAGCTAAGGAGAAATATTTATTATAAGATAAGCAGATAGATTATTTTATAGATCCCTTAACTATAAAATTAGTTAAAAAGTAAGGTATAGGGAAATGCCTTAAAGGCTCTACTACTATAGCTAAGGTAATAAGGGTATCTATAACCATATTACTTAATAGAACTAAAGATTTCTCGGTCCCCCGAGTTTTTGAATTAGATAGTTATAAATACCTAATTCCCCGTATATAGATATATATAGCTACTAAAAGAGCTATAGTACTAGCCCCTTTATCTAAATTCTTTCTAGATATTATCTAGATAGCTTAGAGAAATAATTCTTAATATTAGAATATTATAAAATAGAGGCTTAGTAAGAAAGATACTAAAGAAAAAGAAATCTGGAAAAATAATTCGGGCCTATTTAGGTACTATTCAAGAATTATTATACTTAATAATCCCGCTTTATATTAAGAAGTTATAAAGCTTTATTATAATAACCTAATAGCTAGATATTATAAAGTAAAGAAAACTCTCGAGCTTCTTAGAAGATTCTAGTATTAGGAGAATATAAAAGAAGATATTTATAATTATTATTAAGAATATAATATTTGCTAGAGAGTTAAGGCAAAAAGGCATTTGCTATATAGTCTGCTTAGTAATTTACTATAGCCTAAAAGACCCTGAAATAAGATCTTTATAGATTTTATTATAGGTCTATTACTATATAAGAACCTAATAGGAGATCCCGATTTTAATATAATCCTTATAGTTATTAACTAGTACTCTAAAATAGTAAGATATATTATATACTATAAGATTATTAACTCTCTAAAGCTTGCCAAGATTATATAGAAACATGTTTTCTTGATTTTTAGCTCCCCTAATAGAATTATTTCTAACCGAGAAATAGTATTTACTAGCTAGTTCTGGTCCGCTTTCTGCTTCTACTTAATATATAAATAGTATTTGAGTATAGCTTATTATCCTTAGATAGATAATTAAATAGAAAGGCAGAACTAGGCCCTAAAATATTACCTGAGATATTATTATAATACCTAAAAGAATAACTAGTTTAAAAAGTTATCTTTTACAGAATTTATATATAATAACTTAAAATATTAGGTTTTATAAGATATATCTTTCTATATATATTACGGATATTACCCTTAACTTCTATAGAATCCTAAGGATAGAATTATAGGAGAGGTACTAGCTATATATAAGAGGCTAGAAACCCTTAAAGCAAAATAGAGAAAGCTTAAGAATTTATAGTATTATATATAAAATAACCAGGAAACCTATTATAATAAATACCGGTTAGCTAAATATTACTTTAAAGAAGCCTAGGTAATACTATTAATAAGGAATATTAAACTTAAGGTAGGAAAGCTTAAACCAAAATTTATAGGTCTATTTAGGATCCTTAAATATATTAGTAATTTGGTATATAAATTAGAACTACTAAGTATATATAATTATTTATATCTAACTTTTTATATTTCTTTTCTTAAAAAGTATATAGTAAAAAAGAATTAGAAGCTATATCTATATCTTTCCGGAAAACTTTCGGAATTAGTAAATAATAATAAAGAATAAGAATAGGAAGTAAAAGCTATTATTAATTATTAATAAGATAGTAGAAGTAAGAAGTAATAGTATTTAATTAAATAGAAAGCCTGGCCTAAAGATTATAATACCTGGTTACCTGCTTTCCTTAATCTTAAAAATTCTAAGGAATTTCTGAAATTATATAACCAAAACCATAGCTTGGAATCCGAAACTATCTTTTAATAACCTCTTAAGATTAAAAAGAATTCTGGACTACTAAGAAAAAGGCTACTTAAAAGAAAGAAAGAACCTAAATAGCCAAGAAAAGGCCCGGAATAGTAATAGAGACGCTTTTTCCCTGGATTTTTTACCTATAAAGGTTTTCCAGGATTTTATTAAGGCTTATAAGAATTATATTTAAATTATTAGAAAAAGAATTTAGGATTAAGAAAGATTTATTATAGGTAGACTAGCTATAAGTATCTCAAATAAATAAACTCTAATTCCTATAAATTCCTAATTCCTAAAGCAAGAATACTAAATACTGGCCCTATTTAGGACTTAGTAAAGAATTAGCTAATACTCTCCGGAATCCGCTTATCTCTTAATAGAATATAATTATACTATAATAATATTAGTATTAAGGATATTAAGAGAAGTAAGTAAGAAACTTATAACTACTATATATATCTTATAAAAAGCCCGAACTTCTAAAGTTAGGTCCCGAATAGCCATAAGTATTATATTATTAGTACTTAAAATACTAGTAATAGACTACTTAGTAATCTCGGTAATAAGCTTAGTAATAAGGTTAATACCTTAAAAATAGATATTATAGTATTTCTTTAAGGAATTAGTAAATACCTAAGTATATTAGAAAAAACTTATTTTTGGGATACTAACCTAAATAGTATTATTATCTGCCTTATTAAGACGAGAAGAAGAATTCCGAAGCTTATTAGTATTTTTCTAGTCTTTAAAAACCTAATTAATAGTATTATCCTTATTAGTATAATACTATTTAGGATATGTTTTAAGAAATTTCTTAAAGATTATAACGGTATCTTCCCAGGACTAGTAAGCCTTTAATAAGTAATAAGGAATCTGAAATCATATTAGCTTTAATAGATATTAAAGCTAAAGAACTTACTAATATATAAGACTTAGAACCCTTATTATAATAGTCATAATTCTTCTTGCCAGATACTATAGTATATAAGGTAAAGGAATTAATAAGCAAATACTTAAAATATTTCAAGTATCTACTAGTAATAAGAAAGGAGGCTATAAGGTTACCTTTATACTTATTATTATAGGGACAAATAATGAAGCCAGAAGAAGATATTATGGAATTAATTAAAAATAATTAAAGAAGACTTAGAGAAGGATAAAAGAAGAGGCTAGAAAGTAATAATAGAAAAAGTTATATATATAGTTATTAGAAAGGAAGAGAGTATATAGTAATGCAAAGAGATCCTTTTATAGAGATAGAGAATTACCTAAATTAATTACTAGTTTTCGTATTAGTCCTAATTAGAAACTAGTATAACTAATTAATATATGCTTCCAGGAGCCCGCAAATAATCTCTAGGACCTCAGAAATATTTATATAGGTTTCTTATACGAATATTTATTAAATACTTTCCATATAGCTATTTAGATTATTCTAATACGAGATCTAATAAGTAATATTAATTTCGTAGGGTAGTACCTTAGTACTTTAGATCGAGCTAATTAGAATACTCAGATCCCAAACGAAATCACAATTACTAGCTAGCCCTTATATCTGGGGTATAATTACTCTTTCTTCTCGCTTACTTAGCCCTGATCTAATTAGACGATTTTTACGTCTATTATCCAGATCATATTAGCAAAACCACTTCCCAAGATACTGGAAGTTTATATTAATTAAATAAATAATTAATTAAATGTTTACTAGGATAGATTAATGGATCTTGGGGACAAGATCCTAGAAGAGGGGCATAGTTATAATATATATAGGATCGCACGTGACTTAAGGGCATATAACGAACCTCGGATATTACGGGTATTAATTAGGGAGTTCGGTAGCCCTTTAATATCCTAACTAACTACTATTTATATTATATGTATTAGGCTTATAAATCACTAATTATATGTATGCCATTGGGGCCTCCTATTTAGAGGGGGCTTCCCTGGATCTTATAGGAGGGACAGAGATTAGTTCTATACTGAATTTAATACTGTGGTTTCATAATATACTAATTCATTTTATTGTCTTATTACCTACTAATAAATACCTTATAATAATCTCGACTAAAAACAATAACTATAATACTAGTAATAAATCTCTTTAAAAGAGCCTAAAATCCTATAATCTGATTAGTTCATTCCTCGCCTCCCTAGTCCCGTAATATGTGGAAATCAAGGCTCGATTCTAAATATTATCCTCTATCTAACCCCTAATCAATTCGCAATTATTATTAAATATCCCAGGAGTTATAAACTCTTCCTAATCCTGCTTCTATAAGTTACCTATACCCTGGTAGAAGCTAATCTCGTCTTTAGGATACGTACTAAAGACAATATCTGGTCGAATCGAGTTTCCTGCTTGGGTATCCGGAATAGTGCTTTGGGAAAGAGCTACTATATTAGTAATTAGTACCGGAGCACCTATATTTGATATAGAAGATTAATTAACCTCTGAATTCCATATAGTATGCCAAGGGGAAACCTGATCCTTTATAATAAGGAGAAATCCCTATGGAATACCATATTCTTTAGCCTCCGATTTCTCTATTGCCTTTAGCTATTTCGGGTTAATCTGCTCCTCTAACGCCATAGCTATCAAATTACTAATATTAGCTCGTCGATTTCGAGGTAAGTAAGTATCTAGCCATGCCCTGAATAATACTAATTCCTCCCTAATATTAGTATCTCTACGAATTAGGCTAGACTCTTGTAAAGTATGCAAATTAAAGACGCTAGAGAAGTACTTAGCTTAATGATTGCGATCTTAATACCGGGAATATAAAAAAGTAGGAGGAGAAGGTCATTGATATTAAAAATAAGGCGAATTAGCTTATAGACGGGGAAGAAGCTGGTTTTGCTAGAGGAGTTTAGCTCAATGACGTGAAGCTTACTTAATAGCTACGAACTTAGGGGGGGGAATTGGATCGTAATCGGCGGGATATATAGGTAAACGACGGGGTAGTAGTACCCGTGGGATGCTATATAAGCTAGTAGAGGGCTCTTCTCCCTTGAATTTATTGCCATAGTAATTGTAGTTAATAATGGGTTGAGATAAGCCCTCTCTTGGTTTATCTAGTATGTCAAAAAAGTAATTAAGGTATTCCGAATATTCATGAATATTTATAATTAGCTTGAATAGAATATAATTACCGTAATACTTAAATAATTTAATTAGATTAGAATATATAATCATGAATATTCATAAATACTTTAATTACTCTATATGTGACTGTCGCACGTGATACGCTAGCCTGATTAAGTAGAGGCCCCGCTCTAGTATTGCCTTAGTGCTACCTCGCTGCCTAATTAGTATATCGAAAGGCTTGCAAAGACGAGATACTAGATCGGGAGCCATACCTAATTAGGTTAGTATATTACGTGCAATAGTTACGTGTATAGTAATTAAAGTATTTATAAATATTCATGATTACCTTAATTAGAATCTGATTAGAATATAATTAGTGGGTATTTTTAATAAATAGATTAGAATACTAGCCAGTATTCTAATCTAATCTATTTATTTGATATACTAGGTTTATCCTTTACTCTTTCTTTCTCCTTTACCTTTCCTTTACTCTCATTTCGTCGTCTACTAATCCTCTATTAATTTTCGCTATATAGTATCTATTTAATAATTAAATTAGTAGGAATAGTAGTGGTATTAGCCTTATTAGGAAGCTCATCTCTCCATTAATTTATCTATTTATGGAAGTTATCTAATTTAATCCTGAAATAGTTCCCTTTATGGATAAAATACTATTAATTCCTATTTGGGCACCCTCCCCTTTCTCTCCTATTATATCTCTAATACCGCGAAAGTAGGCTTAATCTCTCCTAATATCTTAATTGTGTCTTCCTATCCTTGACTAAAGACATAATAGCGATAGTGGTAGCTGTTTTCCTAGCCTTCTTAATAGGGGGAATACTCTTTTTAGTATTACTGTCATTATCTAAATAGACTAGCTTGGGAGGATCTGGTGTTTTTCTTCTCTTTCCTAACGCTTTCTCTGGTTCCGGTAATGATTCGGGGTCTCCTTTAGTAACGAATCGAGCTTTAATAATGTAATTAACGCCTTTTGAGCCCCTAGAAACCATTATTTTTTCGAACCTCTCAAAGCTCTTCCTATCTTGGATATGGAAGATCTGTCGATTACTCAAAGCTCCATATATTCCCTTCCATTTTCTCCTAGCTTTGATCTCCTTATCCGTCTTCGCCGCTTCGTCGACCCTCATCTGAACCCAGCCCTGCCAAAATCGGTATCCATTATATAGAATTAATAAAAAATCCTCCTGAAAAGACTCCGAATGAACTAGCTTATAATTCAGGTAAACCTGCCAGTTTACGGTAACCACGTGGGTCTTAGCTTCGGGCTCTGGAGACTCGCTGGACGACGACGACGATATTTCGATAGTACGCTCCCTTTGGGGATTAGCTCCGCTAGCACCAGTATCAGGAGAAGGCTCTTTTGGGGGCCTGCTAGCAGTCGTGAGCTTGATTTTAGGCTGTTTGGGAGCTACTAGAGCGGAGGAGGCCTTAGCCGTAGGTTTTCTCTGTCGTTTTTTGCCTACTAAAGGCGGTGGTTTCTCGATTTTTTTGCTCTTTGAACGTGCCATGGTAGGAGCTTGCGAATAAAGTCGAAATTGCCTAATTGGGATGGTGCTGGAGGTGGTAGTGCGATTGTTGGGTGAGTTTTGTCAATTATCATTAATTTTTGGTGGGGTGCGCACCAAAAGTGCATGATGCGGCTAAAATTCGCTAAAACAGGGAGTTTTCGCATATAACTGTATCAGAACGTCATAACTCCCATTGATTTCCAATTCTCATTTCCCTCATCGTTCAACAAACTTTCAAAATGGACCCTTTAAGTGCTACAGCATCAATGGCGGGGTTGCTCCTTGCGGCAGGGCAAGTTACATCAGCGATTTTCACCATAAAATCCATTTTGAGCGAAGCTCCGCAAATGGTGGATAATATCTTGAGTCAAGTTGCACAAATCGAAGCTTGCCTCTCCGCGATTCAAAAGCTTCTTTGCAAAATGAATTCGGAATCGAGACAACGCATGACTTTAATCAAAGTCGAGCACCTGGTTACATCTCTGACGCAGGCAGTTTTGACATTCTCGGAACTCGAAGCTCTGGTCAACAAAATCATTACTAGACCTAGGACTTCGCTCATGTTGCGTGCAAATTGGATGCTAAAACAGAACAAACTAGCGAGTATCATGCTACGACTTGAGAGCCATAAATCTTCATTGTCCCTAATGCTCAGCATTGCTCAATGGTCAGTTTTCAATGTCTGCTCTTCAGTACCTTGGCTGCATATTGCATCGTCTCTCATAATTTCAATTCCAAATTGCGCCCTGATGTTCAAGTAGATGTGGTACTAAAATTTCTTAGTGAATCTGATCTAGAAGCAAGCAGATCATCAAAAGAGCTACACAAACTTACCAACCAAATCTTGGCGTCGAACAAAGATGTCTCGAAACGACTTCGCCACCTGGAAGATAAGTATGAATCTGAGAGTGTTTATACCGTCTGCCACAGAAATGGAAGTAGCGACTCAGAGAGTGTGTTCAGTGCCCAAGGCATGATGGAGACCTCCGATGTATTTCAAAATATCCGACAACTTGGAACGGTTCCTGAGCTTACTGCGCACCAATCGTTTCACCTCGACTTGAACACATCCAGAGTATACAGAAGAACACTATCATACGAATGTGACACCTCATTCACGACTTCTATTGTGAGAACACATGCTTGGTCGGTGTTCACTGGCGTGAGCCTGTCCGAGATCTCGGAAATCTCTGTTATCGCTCTTCCACTTTCAGCTCGGGACATCTCAAACCCCCAGTGGTACTTCAAATGTTCTGAGAACCCTGGTCACCCTCCATCGAAACCGGACAAGAAGATACCGCCATCACCCTTACGGTCTGCTACTGAGAGACGGAAGGCAATGCAGAGAACTCAAAGCTGGCGCCTCAGCCCGTCTGACCCAGGTATGGTCGGCTGAGGAAAGAATATTGTCAAAGGTCGGCCAGAGCCCAGGTTTGGGTATCAGCCATGTCTCCCTCCTTTTGGAATTTGGAATGAGCGATTGGGGGCAGTTCTGGGCATCCACTTTGGACTGAGATCATGCAATGAGCATTCGATCAATATCGGCGAGGCCGGAAACCGGCCGGCCTCTGGATAACAGATCAAAAAGTTGCACTTATGAACCCATCAGCAAGGAATGAATCCTTCCAGCAACCCCATCATTGGACGGGATCTCCACTGCGGAGTCGTTTCAGCTCCCTTCGCAAAACGCCTCAGCAATATTCCATCGGAATTGGAGATAGATAAAAAGCTCATAATCTTGCAAGGGTGATGGATCCAACTGGGATTTCAGCAGAGGCAAGTCAGAATGTTCTTTTGGCTCCGACCCATCCAAAATACTTTCGAGCGAGCAGTTTACAATCAGCCGAAGCTTCGGCCTACAGCAATATCTGTCACGAGTCACGACTCCCATCGCCGGATCCCTCTCGTCCCGGGCTACCTGGCTCATCTGCTGGGTTTGAATGGCTGTACCCAAGGAACCTTCATATTCTATGATCTCTTGCTGGGTGAATCTGTTCCGAGTTGGTTCATACGCTTCGTTGAACAGGGACATGAGACTCTGGGGTTATCGAGATTAACCAAGGAGTCTCATACCAATTTTCAGATCCCACAGTGATGGTCCACAGAAACCACGGCACTGGCGGCCCGTTACCCGTTCTCAAGAGGCTTTTATGGCTCGAAAGCCATGACCTGATAACCACATCAAGGCAGCCATGCCAGTGTGACGGATACCCCTTTTCACTTCTCCCCCCCTAAATAAAGGTAATAGGGGGTCCCCGCAAAACTAGCCTGGCACGGTCCAGTTGCCATACCAAAAAACCCCTGCACTTTGACCCACTGTTACATTTAATTATGGGGAGGGGGGAGAGTTACATCGCCGTCAAAAGCAAAATGTCTTTCATCTGAAGTTGGCATCGACGATCACTGCCTAATTCAGCGGAGCAAGCTCCGAGGCCCCTGACATGCTGCGCCACACTCAGTCTTGGCCACTCGCCACATCGCGGGGATCATAAAAGCTTGAATGCACGTGGATTTTCTCTTCTCTTCCACACGCAGTCCTCAGTCTATCCTCGAAAATTTAAAGACCCTCTAGTCAAGTTAACGCTAGCAGTCAGGATGCCTCCTCCAATGGCCGACGAGAAGCCCTCGAACTCGAGCGTGGAACCCAACCCAGCAACCGACGCTTTAATCCTGAACTCGTCCGCTGCACAGGCAGAGGCCAGTACATCGTCGCAAAGGAAGACAGAGGTTGAAGAAGCGGCGGATAGATTGTATGAGGAGCGGATTGAAGAGGAATATGCGAAACGTGAAGGTGGTGCTTGATGGGGTTGAATATTTACTGGGGAGATGTACGATCACGATAGGTTGAAATTGGGGTGCTCAGGCACAGGAGGACATCAGGGAGGATCATTGTGATATGCTTGATACCTCTCCGTCTCTGAGTTAAATGAATAAAAATTATTCCTATTCATATCCCGCTCCCTAGCTAGTGTACCTTGTGCAGAGTGACATTATAATCTCACATGCTGAGCTAGGTCGTTCGACCAGTAAAAGATCCTATCAGTGCTGATAGCCAGGCACGAATTGTTGTAACCCAAGGCCAGTCTCACGCTGAGCCCAATGGGGGCGTTGACGGCTACAGAGTACTCCGTAGACTGCAGCACTTTGGACAGTGACAGAAGAAAGTCTGATTAATAAACCGAAAAGTCTAAAAACGCGCTCACGAAGCAACGGACAGGCAGATCGGCCCTCTTCTCGTGCCCTTCATTTGCATACCACAGTATTCAGATGCCAAATTCAAGTTTTGATCATGCAAGCCATCAAATCGCCGAGTAACTTCACCAGATCTGCAAAGTGCATGTAGGAAGTAACAAGGGGGACTTAAGAAACTCGATCTCGCGATCCATCCGCCAATCAGATGCATCGTATTACCAAGTTGTGTGCGGTGTGAAGGGGAGCAGGGAAGCAGTGCATGAGCTTCAGACGCTTTTTATGTAGTGGAACAATTGGAATCGAACTTTAAGGGGGGGAAAGCAATGAGCCAATGGGCGATTGGTAATTACTCATCTACGAGCTCCTTTTTCAGCCTTCTGCTTCATTTTGGTAGCAGCATCCCGCCGAGTGGGGGGATGCCGTTCGTAAATTCAGCCATGCGAGCAGTGAAGGCCAGCCAGAATCTAGCTGTGACCTCCTGCCCAGCTGTCATCCAGAGACCCGCCAATCAGCGGCCGGCATCTGAACCGTGGTCCCTGGTCAGCAAAAATTGTGGGGCTTCTGATTCGCCGCCGCCGATGTGCCCCAAACCACCTCGGTGCATCTGGAAACGGTAACACCAGTCTGGGACAAGAGCGACACAGAATACTCGTGTACAGCGCCATATAGGACGCCATGTCCGCTTACGAGATTGCTGGCGGAGCTGCTCGCTACGATAGACTCCCCGATCATGATATAGACGCCGACAGCGAGCCTTCAGAGCATCCAGCCTCCGGTACAGACGCAGACACAGACGCCTCCCATTCAGGAACTCCTGCAGCCTCACGCTCGATTGTGCGAAGACGACGTTACGAACCTCGGCCCTCCCCAGTCAAAGCTATGTCTTTGGTCGGATTGAAAAATCTGTTCTTCAAACAAACAGTCACTGCTGTCCCGAAGCGTACACAGCCCAGCCGCGAGTATGGTATGGATCGAACTTTTCTCTCCCCTGGACCATTGAGCTGGAATTATGTCTCAGAAGAGCTATTGCTTCGGTCGGATGAATACTCGAGTCAATTGCTAACCCCGAACCCTATTGTAGGCATTAAACAAGCATCTACAAACGAGTCGGATTCTCCAGATGTCGAAAGTCAGAGTACAGACTCGAAGAATGGGAAGGCGAAGAAGAGGAAGGGATTCCGTGTAGATGCTCGAGTCATTTCGGATGCGACAATAGGGTTATCGGACGGCTTAACAGTCCCATTCGCTCTCACGGCCGGGTTATCTGCCTTGGGGAACACAAAAGTCGTCATATTCGGTGGATTCGCGGAGCTAATTGCCGGTGCAATTTCGATGGGATTGGGTGGATATTTGGGGGCGAAGAGTGAAGCGTGGGTAAATTGTTCCTTGAGACTCGGCCCTTCCTAACGAAATCCCCAGTTCTTCATACCGAGCCCAGCGAGAAGAAGCTGAGAAATTGGTGGCTACCAACCCCCAGACCGTCCTGCAGGACATCACTGAAGTCTTTGGGCCTTATAACGTACCTAAGCAGACACTGAACGATCTGGTCACCCATCTCAGTAGCACGCCGAACCTTGTCGACTTCGTTATGAAATTCCACCACTGTGAGGAAGAACCAGCATCTTCTCGAGCTCTCACTTCCGCTATAACGATCGCCGTTGCGTACTTTTTGGGTGGTCTCCTCCCGCTGATACCATATTTTTGCATTGGAGACGAGCAGGTGTATCTCGGGTTATATATCTCAATAGGAGTTATGGTAGTGGCGTTGTTCGGTTTTGGATATGTGAAGGAAGGGGCGGTGATCGGCTTCGGAGGGGGGAGGAGTATTCGAATGTGTTGCTTCTCAGGTGTGCAAATGGTCGTCGTGGGAAGCATTGCGGCTGGAGCCGCTATGGGCCTGGTACGACTCTTCAATCGCGGCGAGCATGCGGCCGGGGTAGGTTGCATCGACAAAGATTGAAGTCCTGCCCTGACGACGATCTGATAAGCTGACTTATTACGGCGTTCGGGAGGTATGGAAATGGTTCGGCGTTGCAGAACTGCTCTCGAAGATATCGATAGAGCTTGTGGGAATTGCATAGCAAAAGGGTATGGGATGCCTAGAAGAGATTAAGTCTATAATCTTGGAAATCTCACGCCATTGACGACATGTCCTGAAGTGCCTTGGTCAATCAGTCTCCGCAGAGCTTGGGCTCTAAAGCGTGGGTTCCGCGAGGAGAGGCAGCTTGCCACTTGACTGACTCAACGGGGGAAATGAACGCTGAAGATTGGTCAAAGCATATCAGTACCAACATTGGACGCCAGAGTCCTAGTTTCATGTTACTTAAGGTGGACAACAGTGTCGTTGACGTTGATGTTTTGGTGGGAATTGAGCACGCGACATCTTGTGAAAGTAGCTCCCCACTGCTTGCTAGCCCAATGGTCACGTGCCGTGAAACAACCACACCCTTTTCAGTTCTCCAGCCTCAAATTTGACATACAATGCGGCAATGAGCGTCCACAAAAACGTTATGACAAACTCAAGAGCTACACAGGTATCGGCTGCCGAAAGTCATACGATATATCCCCAACATTCCGGTGTTATGAACTCTTTAGCGACCTTCCTTCGAACTTAAAACTCGAATACTGGGCTTCTTAGATTTGAAGGCAACCTCGAAGGTAACTGCAACCATGCGACTGACGTGCTCCAATTGCCTCGAATCTGTTTTCCCCCCAGCGCCTTCCTTCCCAGCTCGCAATTCAAGTTCAGAGGTGAAAGGAGCAACAACTCGACCAAGCAAGAGCAAATAGTTCTAAACCTTGAAAAGTACAGCCATCTAACTTATCTCAACAGAACACTAAAAATCAAATCATGGCAGCTACGTTCAAAGCTCTCCATCTCTACACAGCACCTCTCTCCGGTTGCTCAGCTAGAATCCGCATCGCAGCTTACCTAAAATCAATCCCCTTAATATACCACACCATCGACATCTCCAAATCCGAACAGTCATCCTCCACTTACCTCGCCATCAACCCAAACGGCAGCGTTCCCTCTCTAACCGTAGAGGCGTCTTCAAGCCAGAAATTCACAATCACACAATCTCCTGCTATTCTCGACTTCCTGTCCGCTCACTTTCCAGATCCACCACTATTACCTGGAATAGAGAGACCCAGAGAGCGTGCCAGGGTGATGGAGCTTGCTTCTCTTGTAGCCTGCGATATTCAACCACCGCAAAACAGCCGTATCCGTAAGAAGATCGGCCAAGATTTCAATGGTAATGGTGAAACGTGGGCTCGTTGGGTGTATGAGCGTGGCTTCAGTATTTATGAGACGTTTCTTGAGACAAGGAGAAAGGAGAAGGGAGGTGGGAAGTACAGTGTAGGAAATGAAGTTAGTCTTGCTGATGTTTTCTTGGTGCCGGCTGTGCAGGGTGGTCTCAGAGTTGGTATTGAGTTAGGAAAGTGGCCGATTCTGAAAGAGATAGTTGACGAATGTTGGAGTTTGGAAGCCTTTAGGAAAGGAGGCTTGGGGGGCCATGGAAGGCTGGTACCTTGACATATTTCTGAGTTACGGGCATGGCTAGGACCCAAAGGGGCAAAGGTCATCTCGGGCTGATGCCATGTCAAGAGAGGAACATCAGGCAGATTGAACCAATGGAAGACTTGCGCCTCATAATTGGTGTACTGCCCGGTGCATAAGACCCAATATTCTTGGGTTTCCTAGAACTTCTAGAAGCCGGAAGGGCCCATTGGATCCCATTCACTCGGCTCCCACATGACCACATGCCTCGTAGTCAGCCTTGCCCAATTATTTCTCCGATTTCTGTACTCGGCACTGAATCACGAGCCAAAGCCTTAATACCGCAGCAGCCATAGCCACTTGTACCGTGGATGTCATCAATGAATACAAAAGATAACTCCCATACTTTCCACTCACTAACAATTCAAATCAGACCACCCCCCAAAACATGGCCAAAGATCTTGACCCCTCGACCAAAACGCTAGCCACCTTCATCCTCTTCGTCCTCATAGCCTACATTTTCTACTCATTAGGAAGCTGGTCCTCCAAAACTAGCCCCAATGTCACTGCCACAAGCCTTTCTGTTGCTTGTAATCAGCCAGTTTGCAGGCAGGCAGGCGCGACGACGCCCAAGGAAGCGGATCTTTCAAGCGAGACGAGACCCACAAGAGCGGAGCAGATAGCATATGACAGAGATGTGACCAGAAGCGCGAAGTGGTATGAACTGTTCGCCGACAGAGCTCTGCGAGAGGCGAAGGAGCGTGATAAGGAGATGAGACGTGATTTGGAGAAGTGGAAGGAAGAGAGAAGATTGGAGATGAAGGGATTTAGGGAAGACCAGCTTAGATGGCTGTGGGATAATAAGCCGGAAGAGGAAAGGGGTGGGTGGTTTGGAAGAGGGAGGAGGAAGAAAGAACTGAAAGATACTTAATGAAGTAGTATGGCCAGGAAGCATACAGTGCCCATATGCAGGGAGTCCCCGTTGTCAGAGTACTTACTCGGGGTGTTACAATCTTCACTGAAGATACTGGAGCTGTAAAAAGGAGTTGGTTTGTCGATTCGATCTCCAATTATACAGGGATGTCCTAGCATAACGCCATTCCATGCAAACCACCCCTTCCCATATGTACAATCTTCGATCCAAAATCTATACATCACCGCCTGGACATCCATGAGGTCCATCCACCAGTTTTTGGTGGCTCCCCATTTCCCCCTTCTATCTCCGTCCCTAATCGGTCTAATGGCCCGCCTGATCGTTGTCTCTCTTTCTCCTCCGCAAAGACTTTCTTAGCCTTCGCCGCGATCACTATCTTCTTCTCCTCAATCGCCCTCACAATGTCACTCTCCCTCTCTCCAAGCGAATCATCCTCTTCACTCAACGCCTCATACCCCAACCTACTCTCACTACTCCCCACATCCTCACCCTGCTCCTCATTCTTCAGCCCAGAAAACAACCATTCCTTCCCCCTCTTAAAGATCCCCTTCTTCGCAGCCGCCGCCTTGGCAGCCGCCTCCAACTGCCCATCATGCTCCTCTTCCCTCCTTATGAAATTTATCTGGTCTTCTGACGCTACGCCCGCGGCAATAGCGAGGCGTGCGGAACGGACAGCGTTCTCCTTGAGCGCCTTCTGCTCTTCGTAGAACTCGGCGCGTTTGCGGCGGTTGTAGATCATCATGTCTCCTAACGCAAAGAATGTGAAGCCTCCCGCAATAACTGTTTACACGCCAATTAGCTCCAATTCTCTTCTTCTCGCCAAGTTCCTCTCTAGACAGATAGAGATATAGGGCGGAGAGTAAGGGAGGGGCATACCGGTAGCTCCAATCAAACTCAACGCCGTAAACCGATGCGCTCGATCTGCCCACACCCGCCCTCTCACCAGCAACCTATCGAGCGTCGAAATCTGCGCATCCCTCGCTCTATCAGCCGCAGCTCGTAACCTCCTAACCTTCTCCTGCGGCGTCTCTCCTGGCGGCCCCGGTGTCCGCGGTGGTAAGCTGTTGCTCCGTCCAGGCAGATTTAGAGCCGATGCTGGAGGTTTGGCGGATGCGTGGGGAGTCGTGGATGTGAAGCGCGTGGCGTCTGTTGCTGATCGTGGCATATTGACCACTATCAATATACCTGTCACAGAGAGAGACGCGAAGAGGAGTGCTGGTGGTGATTTTCTTTTACATTTGCACAGAGATTCGAAGCTCAAAAAATCTCCTGATGTATGACCAGGCATTTTTAGCGTCGGCAGGATCACGCTCCGACATCTTCTGGTACTGTAGCAAACATTCCCTCACAACTTCCAGAAATCAACAACAAATTTCCCGTGAGTGTTTGAGGGAGAGGTTCTCCCATATTTATTCTTCCAAACTTGTGTCACTTTTCTACAACCAACTGCTTTCGGACCAACAAGTTGTCAGAAGTGAGCCGATGAAGACAGTCTGGCTATGAATCTGAAAGTCAGATCTGGACACCGGCAAAAGTCATTTCTGCCATAGACATGTCATCCAACAATCAAACGCCGGATCTGGCATCCATCTTGAAAACTCTGGCAAGTTTAGCACCTCAGGCACAGCAGCAGCAAGTTCAGCCTCCTCCGCAACCACACCCACTTCCTACGCCATTCCCCGCGGAGCAAGTATGGCAACAGAGTCTCGTTCAAGCTACGCAGCCATCTCATACCCCGACACCTTCAGCTGCTCCCAAGGTGGTTGATCCTGCAACTATCATTGAGTGGTCAGCCGGTCTACGATGTGTGATGAAGCAAGTTGCGAAGCATGAGAGTATCCTCCAAGATGTTCGACGGGTACGTTCCCTAGTCTTCTCCCTACAAGTCAATATCTCACATCTGTTAGATGATCAAGGTTCAGCATGAGCATGAAGAGCAGTGGTGGGAGGGTAGGAAGGCTCTCATCGAGAGGCAAAAGGCGAGGAAGGAGGGCCAAAAGAAGCTGGACGATGTATTGTATGTTCACTTCCTCTCACTCTCCATTGGCGATTCATTGACGGCGTATAGGAAAGCAGTTGGAGGTAGCACTGCGGCAGGAACGTCCAACACCAGTCCAGAAGAGTTGGAGAAGGAGCTCGAGACCTTTGACATGAAAGTCTACAAGGCTCAGACGCAGATGGTCAAAGAGATGAGCACGAAGCTCAGAGGTCTTGGTGTTCCGTTCTTTGGGACTAGGGTAGACTTGGTCAGGCCAACTGGGAAGGAGTCGTCCGGGACGGAAGGGAGTGTCGGTCTTGAGGAGAAGGGGATGATTGACGAGGTGGAACTGGTTAGGCTTCAGAGGAAGATGCTTGCAATATTGGAGGATCTTTGCAACGACTGACAGTAAATAGGCAGGACGGAGGCTTTGTTGCACATCCATACGGAGAGACATTCTCCATGATCCGGGCATCTTGCAATGATTTGTAAGATGTACTTGCGGAAGGTGATGAGTACGAAGCTAGGAAGGGAACAGGAAGGTGGTTGAGCAAAGCAATGGAGTGTGTAGTTTGCATGGGAACCGCACGGAGACTGCCCGTCCACGGCGGCAAGATCATGGATCAGATCATTAAATCAAATTGATGAAGAGGCAGCATCCGATGCCTGTTATATGGATTTGGCAATGCAGTGACTGCTAGCCGCAGGCCCAAGTGTGCAGGCAAGTACTTTTCGTTGCACTTCGCGCGGAACTTGACCTCCCACAACTTCCCTATTGACCAATAGTACAGGGCATGAAGTATGCTGGCAAGAAGAGGCTATGTCGAGTCCAGCCACGTCCATGGTTTGTGGCGAAGAGGGTTTGAGTGAAGTAGATTGAATGGAAGGCTTTGGTAACGAAGAAAAATCGGTGTATATGCAGCAAGGTGCGGCAGTGCGCAGATTCGGCGAGTGCGCATTTAAACCTCGGAGCTTCGTGACGGCTCTGTTGGGAAAGGACTTTGACTGCCCGAAATTATACAACGCCTCGCTTTAAGTAATAGAATGAGCATTGCTCGATTAACCTCAGGAACGAGCGTGTTTCTCCCGATGAGCAAGATTCGAGAAGATAGTGGCGCAATTCAGCTTCTGGATTCGACAAATCTCGGTGTCCTTCCGTACCACAATCGATTCCATCTGGTGGAAACGGTCTGTTCTTCGGGTAACACCTCGTACTGTCGTACGACGGTTTGGAAGATCGGCGGCGGCGAGGACAAGCCTCCGTATCACCTGTGAACCAACAACCAGGATTGAGATTCGTGGGAATAGGGAACAGCCGGCTGAAAACATGGGATCACGTTGGCCGGAGGGACTGAGGTGGAATGCGCCGAATGGCTGGAGAAAGACGTTCCGGCCACCTCCATGGTCCTGTTTAGGCAAGATGCGGAAGAGATGCAGAAAATGGACTCCTTCCAAGGGTCAGGAAATTTTGTGGCCTTCCGAAAAACGTGCAGCAGAAGGCATGATGTTTTCGGATGGGATGAGCTCGTGACTTTGACAGTACCTGGAAGAGGGACCGTGAGACATCAAAACGAGCTTGTTCCAATCATGTATCAACTTCATGACCGGTTGATCACGGTTTTGCCCGGACGGTTTTCAAACTTAAAAACTCCTTCGCCAGATGGGACGCTGATTGAGTGATTGTCATCAAGATAGGCCTGAGCCCCGGCCGCTGTGTGCGACTTGCAAAATAGTGCATTACCGCGGAACCTCCTCCCTCGTCCCGAGCGCCTGGAATGTCTTTTGAGATTCCGGTCGGCGAACGGTGCGACCTGCAACAAAGAACCCATCTCATCGCCCTCTTCTCGCCCTCAGCCCGATCCTCCCTTCGTCCTTTTCTTCCAGCCTATGCTCAGCCGACCAACCACAGGTTAAGATCGGGCGAAGTGTGGGCCTAAAAGGGGAAGAAGGATTCTCAGCTGTTGCCCTTCAGCCCTTTTCGCCTCGTAGGGAGAATAAGGGCGGTCTGACGATGTGCAACAAAGCATTTTCTACAGGGCGTGGGACGGCTGAATGTTTTGGCGGTGATGTGGCGATTGGCGGGCAGAACGGGTGGAGACAAGGGTTCCCCGAAGATTCTTCAGGGAATTTATGATGTCGGAGGGGCTTTTGAAGGTAAGTGTTAAATGTGAAAGTTGTGAATCGAGGGTGTGAACGCTCGATTTTGCGAGTAGCAATTTGAAGATACAGTAGTGAAGTGTGTCTGAATTTGGTATCTATGGTAGCTTAAATTAGAGAGGAAAAATATATGCTTTGAAAAACGAATATCGTTCATGTATCGTGAGCGCTGCTGTTGCGTCATTTACAGCCCTTTTTTTTTTTAGCTCATCTCCTGGGACCCAAAAGCTTTGGTGGGGTTGTGGGGAGATACTGTAACTGGGGTGATGTGTAGCTGGCGGTCCTCCAAAGGTACGTACCCCTTTCATACATTACGAAGGCGACGGGCGAAAAAACCCGTCTATTTTCACTGGTTGCACAAGCGAATTTACCCCACCAGAGCGACTCCCCCAGCACAGTAAACCACACCAAAACAGAGGTATTATCCATGAAATCCATCCCTCCTTCAACAATATAATAAGGCTATTAATGGCCGCTTGCCTTACGACTAAAACGCGTATTCTATTTTATGGAAGCTTCTCCCATTTAGCTCTCCACGCGCGATTAGTCCATTCTATTGCATGAGGGGCATTCCACTCCCTTATAATCTCTATTCTTAGAGGCATCGAGACTCCCTCTCTTGTATTTATCTCTGGCGAGTTACCAATATGCTCAAGGTATAGAATGCCATCTTTGTCAAGCCTCCTTTGGGTCCACTTGCATGTCAGCTGCGGCATTCTTAATGTCTGTTGCAGTTGATTTGACAAGCCCTGCTCTCCGTGCAGCTTTAGCTTGGTGAACATAAAGCAAGTGAGTTAAGAAGATAGTTTTGTCAACGTCAGTAGCGTGTTTTCCCATAATGCAAGTAGAGTTAATCAGATTAATTAACGTAAGTAGGGGGAGAAAGTTTTGGTGGGGTTCGCAGCAAAAATGCTGGCTTGCGCAACAAATCAAAATGGACGTTTTTTTTTCCATCCGTCATGTTACCGTGGGGCTCCAACCAGTGGCAGGGCTGATATCTTTGCCTAGAACATGCGCGCAGCTTTGACTATGATCAGGCAAAATGAGTCAAGAATGCTCCAGAAAATAAACAATTGCCATAGAAGATGATACATTTCGTATTCATCATTAGCAAATAACGCAGAATTTGGGCTGCTAACCCCCATGCTCAAAATCGTATCCCCTAACGCCATGCACGCTAAAGCGCTATCAACTCGATCCCAATGGGAGAGTACCAAATCCGACCACCCAGATATTATATACTAATATGTGATTATGTGACTGAAGTGACCTGGGACCTTCATCCGGCACTTCTCACAATCTGCACGGTAACCCATACTGAAGCTTCTCTTCAATCCCTGAGCAGAACTACTCATTTCCAAGCCGGTCCAGTTTCGAAGACTATGCTTCGATCGTTGATGCCCTTTCTTGGTCGGCGTCTCCTTGTCGTGGTGGGATGAGTTCTCCACCTCCATCTGCATGTCACCAAATCCTGCCACGATGACACTTGGGCTTGTTTCGCCTTCACTGATAGGACTTGGCAGTCTCCGGCCACGGCGGAACCTATCGACTATAGCCTCGTCATCCGCGAAGTCGACATCGTGGTGCATCGAGGCCTTCTCGGCTCGGATGAAGGGGGCGAACGATGAATGGATTGGTGTTGGGATACGGCCAGTGAGACTGGTTGATGGGTCATTGTGGGACGAGCCCGGTGAGAGGTGAATGGAGTCTGTCATTTCGAGGTCGTCAGAGTAGGCAGGTGCGTCAGACATCTGGGTTGATTGTGAGCTGTCGTGGGACGGCCCGGTGCTGTCTAGCCATGGTGACGGCGAACCGCTTTGGGTGAGTGTGTCTGTTGTGGGAGAGGAGGAGTAGGGCGAAAAGAACGATCTTGGCTCCGCTGCCAGCGGTGTGTCTTCCGAGTCCGAGTCTGCCGGTGTAATGGTCGGTGGAGCCGGCTGAGAGGTGTAGTGTGTGTTGAAGGAGAAGGTCGGCGAGACATTGCGGGCCAGTTTGGGTGACGTTCGGTGAGGTAGGGCAGCTATGTGTCGTTTCTACTGTTTATCAGCAACGGATAAGTTGACGCGTTGAGGGAAGAGCCTTACCGTTCGGTGCTCGCTGAAGCCTGAAGGAATGTTCTCTTCCTCATCCTCTCTCGCGCGCTTCCGGCTGGTCCACTGATGGGAAAACATGGTGATGAACTCTCAACGGAGATTGGAAACTTGCGTCGAAGAACGAATCCTGTGTCGCGTTCGTCTGAAATGCAGCTGGAGGTGGGCGGCAAGGCTGGCAACCTCACACTGGGTAAGTTGGATGTAATGTTCGAAATGCGTTCAAGGAAGTGTCAGTGGGCAGAACCCTGGAGACTATATCTTCGGGTTGAGAGCGCGCGGAGACTCATCACAAGCCTCGGGTGGGGAAGCGTCCGTTGCAAAAGGGTTTCAGGATGGTTGAAGGTTTTGAGACGCCGAAGCCTGAGCGAGGCGAGTCTGGGCTCTGTTGACCGGGAGGAACGATGTAGGCGAGGCTGCAGGGGAAACCACACCAAGTCACGTGCAGACCGTGGAGTTTGATGGGAGGTGGCAGGGATTCTCCGTACCAAATCCATCGGCTCTATAGTCGGTCCGACCAAACAACAATAATTGTTAAACCACAGCCCGAATTAACTACTAACGAATTGTGCAATTATAGAATAGACGTGTGCGAATAAAACTTATTAATTAGATTTATCATAAAAGACATTATTGTTTTGAGAATTAGTGTTAAAGTATATGGACTATTGTATATAAATATCACGTGGATCATATCTCTCGCAATATGAAAGACATAAAGAATTTAAGAATTTAAGAATATGAACTTAGTTATAGGTGGGGAAATTAAAAATTCTAATTAATACAGTTCATATCAAGTACAGTAGTATACTGGTGGACTTTTCTATTTTGTTGTTCTTGTCTCGGACCGACTGGAGGAGATTCGTCGAGCCTGCAGCGGCAACGGACCCCGCCTAAAAACTAAAAAGTGTTCTCCTCGACCTTTTGACTCACGTACAACCCGCAAAAAATAAACACCACCCCCACCAGTTGTATTGCATTCCATTGCTTCACCTTCCCTCTGCATTACCCATCGTACACATTCTTTCCAAAATGCCTGGCTTGGACCTGGAACCGGCGGTCATCGACGACACGCGCAGTCAGTTAACCCCGCCAAATCCCTAGATGCAAACGCAGAAAATGACTGACAATTGAGTGTCTAACAGTCTTGGGCCAAGACCCCTTGATCCCCCCCCAATTGCTCATCTCTGAGATTCCAATCACCAACATCTCACTGAAGACAGTTGTCCAAGGTCGCAAAGATGCAATGGAGATCATCATGGGGCGATCTAACCGCCTTCTCGTCATCTGCGGCCCTTGCTCCCTCCACGATCCTGTTACAGCCCTCGAGTACGCTTCTCGATTAAAGAAGCTTTCCGACAAGCTCTCAGACGATCTTTGCGTTATAATGCGTGCCTATCTCGAAAAACCCCGTACGACCGTCGGCTGGAAGGGATTGATCAATGACCCAGACATCAATGAGTCTTTCAAGATCAACAAAGGTCTGCGGATCAGCCGGCAGCTTTTCTGTGACCTCACGAGCATGGGGATGCCAATTGCTAGCGAGATGTTGGATACAATCTCTCCACAGTTCCTGGCAGACCTCCTCTCGCTCGGAGCCATTGGCGCAAGAACAACTGAGTCACAGCTGCATCGCGAATTGGCCTCCGGTCTCTCTTTCCCTGTAGGATTCAAGAACGGTACTGACGGAAGCCTGACTGTTGCAATTGATGCTATTGGTGCCGCTGCTGCAAAGCACTCCTTCATGGGTGTTACGAAGCAAGGCCTCGCCGCCATTACAAGAACTAGTGGGAATGAACACGGCTTCGTCATTCTTCGTGGTGGTACCAAAGGCACAAACTACGATGCAGAAAGCATAAAAATGGTCAAGGAGACGTTGGCTAAGAAAGGACAGAAGCAAGCTATCATGGTTGACTGCTCGCATGGTGAGTCACCCTGTTCCAGGCCCCAAAACTCCGTTAACGTGAACAGGTAACTCGAACAAGGACCACCGCAACCAGCCCAAAGTCGCCAAGGCGGTCGGTGATCAACTACGCGCGGGCGAATCTTCCATCATCGGTGTCATGATCGAGTCGAATATCAACGAAGGCAACCAGAAGGTTCCAGCTGAAGGACCATCAGGCTTGAAGAAGGGTGTCAGTATCACCGATGCATGCATCAATTGGGAGAGCACCGTCGAGGTCTTGGAGGGCCTGGCAGAAGCTGTTCGTGAGCGACGCAAGCATTCATATAATGGTCACGAGAGCAAACGAGTTAAGGTGTTGGAAGAAGGGTCTGCCGACATGGTCAACTGAGCTTCGCCTGTTTGAGGGATTTCGCATGGCGTTCGGAGAAACTCTCTGCTACTTTTCCAAAAGTTAAGACTGATTTTATTATAAACGGACAGTTCTAGCGCCAAAGGGGCCAGGGATGGATATAAGTTTCGTTGCATGATTTCGCAGAATAGAATAAAGCGGCATAGTCAGGAATACTCTCGAAACTGCCTCAAGCAGCGAATGGAAATTCGATTTTCAAATGCCTGTCCTATGCTCCCTACCTCCACGCCATGCTTATTTATAACCTGCTAACCTTCGAGAGGTCATCATCAATAACCCCTTTGACGACTCTAATGTTCACATAGTCCTCATCTGGACTCGGCCAAGCATAATCCTTCCAGCCTCCAAGAATCTCCCAAACGCCTTTCGCCAACTTATCAACCTCTTTCCTCCTCTCCAGACTCCACTCCCTGTTCTCCTTCGCCACTTCTCGTCCAGGAACAGGTAGGCCATCCAGCACACTGTTCCAAACCCTCATCGTCTCCTCCAGCTCCTCCAAATTACTGACCCCCATAACGCTAACCCCAATGCCTCCCACCCCACCAAGAGCAGCACCCTCTCTCGCCCAAGTCTCCAATCCCCACCTAATACTCACAACCTCCAACTTCTCCCCTTTCCTTCCCATCCACCTCACCGCCTCCATAACCCTACCCCTCAACTCCTTCGGCGCGGGATGAAAGTCACCCTTCCCACCAACCGGGACGCCTTTACTCCTCAACAATCCCATACCAAGCGGACTAGCATTAGGCACACACCCCACGCCCGCCGCTCTCAAACTCTCCACACCCCCCTTCAACCTCTCATTCTGCAATGTAAAATTCGCATAACTCATCACAGCATCCAATCCCTCGCCCGTCTCCTTCAACACCAGTTCACTCAATTCACACAACAGCGGAACCGGATACCCACTAATCCCCACATACTTAACCGTGCCCTCTTCATCCCTGATCCTCCTCAACTCCCTGACCGCAACCAGAACCTCCTGCGGCGAAACGAATTCCACATCATGGCAATACACGACATCCAAATACGCCGTTTTCAATCGATGGAGAGAACGCTGGATCGAGTACCGGATCCACTCCGGGCTGTAGTCAAATTCCGAGGCGCCGATGCGTCCGACTTTTGTGAGGATCTTGTAGGTTGAGCGCGGGTAGGAGGAGGCGGAGAGGGCGAGCCCGAGGAGGGTCTCGGAGGGCCCGTAGTAGGGAGATGTGTCGAAGGCTGTCACGCCCAGCGAGAGTGCGCGTGCGATGATTGCGTTTGTAGGGAGTGAGGAAACGTCGGTGTTGTATTGGTTGTTGAAGGTTGCGGTGCCGCAGATTAGAGGGGGGAGGATGGTGGAGAGGGGCGGAGTGGTTGGCGGCATTTTTGGGGGTTGGCTGGAGTCGAGTTTTGCTCCCCGGGTTGAGAAAGTCGGGATTGCGTAGGTATGGACAGAAGAATTTTCGTAATGTCGTAACAGAAAGTGAAGGGGCGAAGAAGAAATTGAATGAAAGAGAAGTATATATATATATATGAAATTTAGCTACAACATCGTGGTGGAGTGCGATTTGCGTATGCACACAGATGGTGAATTTCAGATGAAGACATCAGGCAGGCAGAGGGCCCAGTCGGGCCGGGCTTGTCTTATGTGCGTGTACTTGCTTGACGGAGATCTCCTTCCCGTCAAGCACTTCTTAATCGACTCGTCGATCCCCGGGACTGGGATCTGCGGTGTGTTGGTTGACAAATCTAGACTTCTTCCGATTCGTAGTTTAATTTTCTTGACAGTTTTTTGGACATCAAGCACGTCACCATGTCAACCTTTTCAGCCACATTATTTCCCCTCTTTCCTTAATCTTCAGTTGAAGGAGATGGGGCCATGTTTCATGGTATAATTTGAGATCCTTGTGAAAGCTGAAGCTTTTGTTTCAACTGTTTCTGGCTTGCGTATCCAGCAGGAGGGTTGATACATTTTTTTTGGTGGATGCAGCTTTATCTTCTGCTTTTGGACAAGTCCCTGTAGATCTTCAGGCCGAGGCCGTTATCAGGGTTGGCGGTTAGATTGATTTGCATAGATTGCGCCATCCGGACGACAACAAATGAGGAGGGGCGGTGAGAGCACGCGGTTAGAGTGGGGCAGAGGCGCGATCACGTGCCGTGTTCGAGATTCTCCGCGGCCGGTCTTGGGTTCGATAATGCGGGGTTGAGTGCGAGAAGTGGAAAGAGGGAACTCCCCACGAGTTTGTTTTGGGGTTGTAGACAAAGACGGGTCGGCTGCAGGACACGTTGGATATCTAGCCGGAGGATAATATAATAATATCTGCATATTCCCCACACGACCCCGTGTATAAACCCAGTGGAGGTACAACCACGATTGAGCAGCTACTACGGTTGTTAAATAGAGTTGTGAAGAGTCTCTCATCTCAGAGGATGGTTATCGTAGGTCTCTCAAAATCCGTGTGGCTTCGTCTGTAATTAGCCAAAGTGAAGCTTCGCCCAAAAAAAGAATTCACTGGCATTGAATATGCTCATAAATACTTGAGGGTAAGCCACACGGAATTGATGGCGGATCCATCCGAGTGAGGAGTGTTAAATCAATGGAATAGAAAACTGCTTCTATATGTACTTCCTGCCTTGTTTGATTCTAGTCTTGGGCAAAGTAGTCACCCCAGGCCTGACGTTGGAGTGGGAAACCCACCTTGAATGGAAAATCTGACTATTACCTGCAATAGGACATTCGTGGGAGGATATTGCAATGGAGATCAGACTTAGATTATGGCTACAGTCCAAGTTGTACCCCCTCATATCTCCCTTGCCGCCTCCGATTAACGTCCATGAGGTTACAAGCCACGAAAATTGGAGTACATGTTGGGGGAAGCACTTTTGGACCTCAAGACCAATACGAATGCGTTAACCATTTGACCAGTAACAAGACACAGCACCTATTTCAAGCCATGTATTGCAAGATGACGGCGCTCATTGTAAGTTAATTTCCCTCGTGGAGAAGTGTGCCTCATACTGACACTTGCCAGATGAATTCCACTACATGGCCAATATGGACTTTCATGAGTTGTCTGCCGCGAGGCAATCCGGTCAAGACGATGGTTGAGACAGGAGGCTTATCTGTAAACTCCACAAGGCAAGTCTGACTTCAGATTAGATACCCAGACTCCAGTACGACACACTGGCGCATGAACATTGCGAGAAAAGGTCAAAGATGTCTAACAAGTTGAAATACCCGTTCATATATGAACGTCAAAATGGAACCGCTTGTCTTTGAATCAAGTCTGGCACGAATCAACCTCAGGAATTGCCAAGCCCGGGCATTGATCAAATCCAGTCCTAAAGATAAACCCTACTCCTTGGGCAACCGAAAATTCGTTTCCAAATATATCCTTAAGGGCTAGATCGAACTACTCGATAGCAGGTTTCAGTAAACTTAGCTGTGTGCTAATTCCAACTCAAGAAAGGAGTAAAGTCTGTAGTGCATGAATACTCAGGTACAAGTTCAGCCACAGAGAGGCTAGAGAAAGCAAGGAACATCCGGCCACCTTCAAACTCGCGCTCGCGGCCACTGGGCCAGCGTCACCCAAGGGCTTCGAGCCAACGATAACCGAGAAATAGTTGTTCCGTATGCATGGCATGCTTGGCTTTAGGCTGTGGAGCGCCGTCGGTGAGTTTTGCGCCAGTGGAAACAGGAATTCAGGACTCAGCAACAACCCCGAGGTTGACGTGGTAGAAGTAACCTTGGCAGCATAACCTGAACAACGGCTAAGGAGTGCATCGACGGTTGAGAAACTCCTTCTGTGCCTTACATATACGTATCGTCGAGCACGAGAGCGAGGATGGATTATTGATCACATCAGACCACATCTTGCTGCCAAATTGTGCTCGTCTGTGAATCCTTGCTGTTTTGAGCGTAGGCTTCGCCGAAAAACCCGAGGTGTGAGCGAGCCTGGAATCAACGTCAACACCTCCAAAACCCCTCTCATTCACTACACAATCGAGCTCGGCGCAAGCAAAAGCTCTAGCTTGCAGTAGGTGTGCATCCCATCGCGTTCAGATGACATCTTATCATGCCTTCTGCGTCTGATTAGCAACGACAACAACTGAAAACCCGGCGCTTTATCTAAGACAGCTCCTCGTGAACAAGCCGGGGCAGACGAAATCGTGTGGCTGATGCGCGGCCAAGCACAATCTTTCCCCACCGCATCACTCGCGACTCCACGTCAATCTCTTGTCCGTCAGCCTCCCTATAAGGCGTATCTGGGTTACTGGCGCAGCTGGCACCGCTCTTCCTCGATGTCCTGTTGATCCGGCGGTTGCGGATCGAGAATTTGCAATATGGGCAACAATACCAGTTCATCGCGGGGTCCCGACTCGCCGTCGACAGCACCCCAGCGACATGAACATCCCGGTGCAGCCAGCGGGCCAGCTTCGCCGACCGCTGGGCAACAGCCCCCGGTGTATGCCTCTCGAGGTCACAGAGGGAGTAGACCTGACCTTTCGTTTCTGGGAATTGGATCAAGCTCGCATGCTGAAGTACCGGAGCGAAGGGAGACGAAGCAGGAGAGGGAGGCCCGGAAATTGGAGAAGGAGAGAGTCGCCAGAGTAAAGGAAAGGGAGAGGAGTCTCAAGGAGGAACATGTTGATGGCGGATACCTGGTGACAATGGGAGTTTACACAGGCATCGAGGACTTCAACAAACCTGTCGTCAGACAGCTGATGGTGCGTTTGGGTTCAGGATTAGCAGCGTACATGCATACTGATACTTTCTAGATTGAGCGGCGGATAGCACCTTTCTGGCGAGGACTGGACGACTTCAAGGAGGAGTGGACAGAACATCAATTGGTCGCCGCTGGTAGAGGGCTTCCCATCCCAGCAGCTGATGAGATCCCTCCAGAAGAGCTCACGAGACCCCTTTCTCCCGATTCCCGGCATACCTCGAATCAAAATCTCCAGACCTTGACGGTTCCCATATCCGGACGCTCCCATTCAGCGGCTTCTGATGCGTCCGCAACCCTTTCCCCCTCACATCCCGCTTTCTCGGGGACATCTCCGGCCTCAGCAGCGCCTGCTTCACCCTCGCAATCTTCGTCCCCTTTCCGGCCTCGATCGAAGACCCTAGCGTCTCTTACAACATCCTCCAAGAACCCCTCGTCGTCAGAGTTAGTACCTCGTGAGATACAGCTCCCAGTGGACCCGTATGTCAATGGTCAAGCTATCGAAGTGTTCTTGTACAAGGATGCTACCGAATGTCCGATTTGCTTTCTTTACTACCCACCATATCTTAACAAGACCCGATGTTGTGATCAAACAATATGCTCTGAATGCTTTGTGCAGATAAAGAGACCAGATCCTCATCCGCCTGAGCACCACGACCCTTCCAATCCCGCCCCTGCGTCCACAGAAACAACGGCAGAAGCAGAATCTTTAGTCTCAGAACCAGCATGCTGTCCATATTGCCAACAGCCGGAGTTCGGTGTCACATACGAGCCCCCGCCATTTCGAAGAGGCCTTTCCTACGCGAATGTGAACCATGGTTTGGGATCCTTCGCCTCTGCGATGTCTTCATCATCTTCACTCAACTCGACCACGAGCCCAACACTATCTCCACACCCACATACGCATAAAAGACGGACCACCTCAATATCTGCCAATGCCTCAACCGTCATTACAACGGACAGAGTTCGTCCTGATTGGGCTACTAAGCTCGCAAATGCTCGGTCACATTTGGCTCGACGGTCGGCGGCAGCCACAGCCCTGCACACAGCTGCATATTTGATAGGAAATGGTGCAGCCGATAGTCGTGGTTTTGCTTTCAGTGGAAGAAGTCGTTTCGGTAGGAGTCGTGGCGATAATAGCCCAGTGGCAAGTGGAGCAGCGACTCCTTCGCAGACCACAGCTGATGGTGGTCCAAGAAGTGTAACTGAGCAACTAGCACTGATGAGAAGAGAAGCTCAAGAAACAGGCACTAGGCGGCGAAGTAGAATGGAGGACCTCGAGGAAATGATGATGATGGAGGCTATCAGACTAAGTCTGGCGGCTGAGGAAGAGAGGAAGAAGAAGGCAGACAAGGAGGCTGCAAAAGAGGCGAAGAAGAAGGCGAAGGAAGATAAGAAGAGAGAAAAGAAAGAGAAGAAGGTGTATGGAAGCGGGGCAAGTTCGGCCAGCGGAAGTGCTTTGAGTCTGTCACTTCCAGGACTTGGACGAAGACGCGGAAACAGCGGTGCAAGTAATCTGGCCCGCGAGATCACGCCTGAGGACATGGATTCACCAGCATCCAAAGGGAAAGGTGTTGACCGGTCCGTTACCAGTGCTCCTAGTTCATCTGCTAGCGGCTCAGTACCGATTGACTTTCCTCGTTCCCGCAGCACTACTGGAATTCCTGGAGCTCGACATCTTGATACGACCACTCTGGCAAATATCCATGACTTACATCAACCTTCACCTTCTCCGACAGTTCCAGATAAGCCTTCCCACCTTCGTCAAATGAGTAATGCATCCAGTCCTTCATCATCGTTTATCGAGTCTGCCCCTGGTAGCCTCAGGAATGAGTTTCATGGCCACGGCTCTTCTTCGACTCTGGATTCGCCCACGGCGTCTGGTACCAATATTGCCAATCATTCGGGAGATACGCCCGATGATGTGGATACAAATGGGAATGCTTTAGAGCCAATGTTTAACTTCCAAAGCCTTGCCGCTATGATTGGCAGTGAAGATAATAAAGAAGATAGAGAAGATGCTGCGAAGCATATCGAGTATCTCAGCAGTGGCGGAGAGAGCTCAAGGAGTAACAGTGCAGAGGGGGCGTCGCACACTGGTCTTCAAGAGAGTGTGGCTACATTGAAGGTTGACAACTCGAATGGTACCCAAAGTACTGCCCACGCAGACAGCAGGCAGACTACTCTTCTGGAACCTCACCGGACAACACCAGAAGTAACGCTCACCCCAGAAACTCCTGCTGCGAGTACCCACGATGACCACGACGGCAAACAACTTGGGTGGACAGGAACTGAACAGATCGCGAGAGAAATTACACAATGAACGAGAGATATGAATGAAGACTGAGAGATAACCCTTTCATCAACGATATACGAATTGCATGAATGGTATTTGAGAGATGGCCCTTTGTCGGGGAATTTGCATGCCATCTTGGCTCCTTTGGCGTTTGATTGTTGGGTTTCCCCATGCGGAGGTGTTTCGAGGTTGGGTGCGGTGTTCATAGGACGGGAAAGGGGATGGCTGGGCGCTTCTGGTGTGAAGGGTGCTTTTCTGAGGGCTCATGTACTTGGTGAGGCTTGGCTCTGTGTGTATAGGGATAGACCTTATGCGAATATTCATCACTCCCTTAGATCTGAGAACTACGGATACATTCAGCCACTAGTGTTCCAACTGCTCTTGCCATTATGTAATGCCAATGAATGCATTGAATGTCGCAAAGATGTTCTATCTTGAGCATTATTAGGCAGACACTCTCACCTTCAACGTCATATCCCAATTAATACATACTTGCTCACTCTGTTGTGAACAATGAGAACTCTTTCTGCTCTACAAGCCCAGTCAAATACATATCCCTTGCTGCCTCCTGAGTTCCCATGCTAGCATTGGATAATGAGGCCTTCTTCAACTGTAGCGGGTGTGATAGCTGCCAGAATATTGGTCCAAGTTTGGAGATCTGTTGGAGAGTTCCCTCACTCTCGAGAAGTCGAATGCTTGATCCGTGGCTAGACTCGTTCCTTCCATCTCTTGCGTCATTCCTGATGTAGATACTTCGTTGGATATAAGCGTCCCCGGGACAGCCGATCTTATTGGCCTTGGCCTTGATGCTCGGGCTTCGTCTTCAACCGTCCAAAGTGTAGACCATCAGATCAAACAAAAGCGAGGCTATTCATTTCGAAATCTTCAGGGTCGGCCGCTCACCACGAACAGTTGTTTCTTGCTGATGATCACAAAATACGTGACATCAGCGCCGAATAACCATGCGTTATCTCCTTCCCCCAACCCTCTCATACCCCTCCTGCGTATGCGCTATCCTAACACCTTCCCCTTTTCTCTTCTCCATCACCTTCCTCACAGCCGCCCACCCCAACAACCCAATCGTCACCCCAATAAATGTCAACACAACAATCTGGTCCTTCCTACTATCCCTCTGGAAACACGTAGTGAAGACATCCTTCTCCTCTGCGTTCTTACATATCGGTAAGTGCTGGGCGAGACAGAAGGCCTTGTTGCAGGTGTTGCAGGTTGTGCCTGCGGCTCGGGGCGTGTTGTCGGTGGTGGATGAATGCGTGGAGAGGGGGATGATGGTGCTGTTGGCGAAGCAGGTGCACTTGCAGAATGATGGTGGTGCTGGGGGTTTTAATTTGTTGAAAATCTGGGAGGGCTAGAGATGGGCTTACAAGCTGCTAATGCTGATACTATGAACGCGAAGAGCGTGAAGAAGATATACATTCTGGCCATGATCGCAGGCGCAAGGCTGCAGCTTGGTGTTGGTGATGACGGAATAGTCCCGGTTGAATATCCGACGATCCGAATCCAATGAGCAAATTATAATCGTATGGTCTGATTACATGGCCTGATCGCAAGTACAAGTACTTGAACTTGCTCGTTCAAGTTGCGGGGTTGGATGCCGTTGTTTGGTGGAAGAGAAGCTAACGTTCCTCAGCTGTTCTTTCTCAGACCACGCTAGTGCTCCTTGTCGACCTCCGCGCAAAAAGGTTGAACCCGCACCATTCGCGACAAACTTCTCAACAACACAACTATGCGCCGAATAACGAGACTCGGCAGGTCAATTGACCTGCTCCGAGCCAGGGCGGCTGCCCAAACACCATCTCCTTACCTCTGCTCGGCGTGCCAGCTCCAAGCTACCTCCTTCTCGACAACCAGCATCCGAGCAGCTCGCAACAACGGAAAAGTTCCTTTCACAGAGAAAATCCGTCAGCGGATATGGGGCACAGACAAGCCACCAGGATTAGAAGATCCCTATGGAGATAGAAGCGTTTTCGACAGGACGAAAAAACGAGCCAAGGTCGAAGAAGCCGAGGAGAGAGAAGACCAGCTGGAGGAGGCAAAGCCAACACCAGATTTGAGCACATACGAACCTGCATCTACGTGGGATGGATTGGAGAAAGTTGGGGGCTTTGGAAATTGGTGGAAAGAAAATTGGGATCCGGATCATCAGTTCCGAGGATTCCTGCCAGCGGAGGTTATAAAGGATTCGGATGAGGTTACGGCGGCTTTGCACAGAGCTATTGTGGAAGTTTTTGCGTTGCAGCAGGTTGGAATGCCGCCGAAGGATATATCAGCGGCGATACCGGGTGTTGATCTTACGCATGAAGTTCAGATCAGCCCTACTGCGACGGGAGCTACATTACAATTCTCACAGAAAGCTTCACTCGAACAGGTTATTCAATCATTAACACCGGCTGTGGACGATGAGACTACTGTTAAGGAGAACCCGACTGAATCTGAGGAAGATGTTGCAGCCGACAGATCAACGATTGATCCTCTCCATCCTAGCTCCCCTGAAGTTGAAGTGGACGAGACCGCAGAGAAGGGAAATCCAACAGAATCGGAAGAAGACGTGGCAGCAGACCGGTCTACTGTGGATCCTTTGTCGGGCTCTACTCAAATGACTTACGGTGAACTCGTCGCTTCCTGGGATCCATCATGGCTTCAGATTTCCTTGGAGAATCCCGAAATCAAATTTGCAGTAGGTGTTTGATTACATGCTGAAATGTGTACATGCTTATGATTGTTCTAGATAGTGAAGCGTACGATGCAATTGACCGGACTGCGGATACCAGATGCTGCCATCATGCCAGCCAAGACTGTCAAAGGCCTCCTCGCCCACCTCGTTAAGCCTCCCAAACCCCGCAAACTTGTCGATGCTCTTCAGCAAAAGGAAGAGCTGATGAATATTCCGAACGTCAGTATCTACGCGAAGAGAGTCACCCCAATCGATAAGCATAAGAGTGTTGGTAGATGGAAGGTCATTGAACAAAGGTTGACAGAGCGGGGCCTTCCAGTAACTGGCCATGAAGGACAGTCTCATGCGTATGGAGACTATAGATGATTGGGTGAGACTCTTCATATGGTGCAGCCGAAAAGTTTCTGCTGGATAACGCATAGCTACGGAATGTAATTTTATGGGATGTCTAGGATCGAGGAATGTGCAATACCATTTGTATTTTGCAATCTCTAAGAATGTCAATGATCAGTGATAAGAAAGACACACGTGTTTCATTCTCTTACTATTTCTTCTCCATCCCCCGCGTGTCAATTTTACAATGCATGAGAAGCTTATTCGCCTCTCTATCGTTCATTCCTAGTCTTCTATTGCTGGTCATCTTCAGACACATCCGACACAATGGCAGTTCTAGCATCCCCAAAGAAATCACCAGAGAAGTCCCCGGCAAAGTCACCGGCAAAGTCGCCTACGAAGTCTCCCACAAAGACTGCTTCCCCAGCGAAGTCGCCTCTTAAGAAAGCGCCAGCAAAGCCGAAAGCTGCTCCACCTCCTACCAGAGTACTGAGGTCTTCAGTCGAGCCTAGCGCAGTACCTCGCAAGTCGAAAGCCGCTCCCAATGCCAAAGCCGCCCCAAAGCCCAAGGGCGTCACCAAAGCAAACGCTCCAGCAAAGCCAAAAGCTGCTCCAAAAGCTAAGATCGCAGCGACTAAAGTCAAAGTCCCTGCAAAACCCAAAGCTGCTCCCAAGGCGAAGGCTAAAGCCGCTGCGCCGAAGAAGTCGGGGAAAGGGGCGATTGCTGTTAAGGAGGCAGCTACTATTACGCCGAGAGGACGGCCGGTGGGTGTTGTGAAGAAGAAAGGCGGAGCCTAGGGAGAACGTGTCGCCGAAGAAAGCGTCACCTAAGAAAGCTGCTTGAAGTGTGATTGGTTATGAGAAATCGGGAGCTTTGTGTTCGAATCGAGGAGATTGGGGTTCCTGGTGTTTATGAGGAGTCACGGAGTTGAGGGTAAATGTTTTGGGTTGAAATTGAACCGGAACGTGATGGTCCTTAAGGATCTCGTCCCACGATTTCTGTTTTTTCAATGTGGCATCCGGAGTATGGAGGAAGTGTTTGTGTATCTGCATTTTTACGTTTTACCAATTTCAACGTTTCAGTGTAAACCTTTGAACTAGTTGTCTCTTCGTACGATGCTGTTCTTCACTAATTCACTGGAGCCAGGAGCTGAAGAATTATCCAACGCTTTGCAAGACATGGAACAGGACATGGAAATCCTTCGGGGTATCATAATCATTCGCGCCTTCCCAAAACGCCATTCAATGCCATCTAACAACCAGTTCCAATCTCAAATTTACAAGAAGCAAAAAAAGAACGCAACGCCAAGCAGTGAAACACCACTAACTTGCATGATGGCGGAATCACTCGTCCCAAGTGCCGTGCTGCCTACACTTGGCTTCGTGGCAGTTGGCTTTCCCGTGGATGTCGAGGATGAAGTCTGTGTTGACGCCAAGTTCAGTGAGATGACTGGCACTCCATAGATTTCTTGGCTGGCTGAAAACCGCGATTGTGATAGATCGAAGCAGAAGGATTGGTAGATGGGGTTGAGCGTGTCTAATTGGTAGCCCTCAGCGGAAGGGGGACAGACTGAGGTTGATGCCGCAATCAGAGGGAGGATAAGGCTCGCCGTAAAGGCGAGGAGAGGTGCAGGAAGCATAGTGAGCCCCATTTTCAGCGAACATTTGAGGTGATGGAGGAGAGCGATCGTTTGTGTTTGTCCTCCTAGGAATTGATGCCAGACTTTAAGGGCGGGCATCCCCCCATTACATACCACCCGTGTGCATTGAACACTTTACGATAAGAATGGGAGCCTTGGATGTTGGTGACGACGAATCTTCGGAGGATTTGAGGACGCGGTGTTTATGCACTGCCTCGAAACGAGGCTGACTCATTGCGCTTTAAATAGAGGGGTCCAACATCAAAAGGAGAAAAATATATGATAGTTGCACAATTAACTGGAACGATATATTGAAGCATAGACTCAGAAATTTGTGGAAATGAAAATCATCTAGTAAGTCATCACCAAAGAGAGTAGTGGAAGTCCCTTGGGGAAACTTTGAAGTTCGTGAACTGATGCTGGCTCAGCCACCAGAGCCCCACGAAGGAAGACTTTCGAAACGCTAAATGCCACCCTTGCCGGTAGAATGATGAAACAGATCAGTTGAGAGAATATCAAACAATGAAACAGCGATTGCTGTCCACCTCCGGCGGAGGAACATGTTTCTCGCCTGGACAAGTTGCTTTCAACCCGAGATAACATTTGATTGACTGTCATGGCTTTCATATTGATGCTTCTACAAGACCATCTAGACAAAAGGGGTTGCGAATATCTAACCAGAAACGGTCGCAAACACCATATGTCTGAATATTAGTGCGTCCTACGCCATGATCAAGCTGTAAATGATCAATAAACGCCGATAGGATATGCGATTGGTATGTTTCCAGTGTTTGGAGTAATTTTTGGCACCAAAGAGTACGAGTTCACCTCAACTGGCATGTTTGCAAATGTTGGCATGCGCCTAACATGTGCAAGTGCTGAAATGTGAGAAGCAATATTAATAAGCTGCAAAGTCAAAACCCTGCCCCTTTATTCGTAAGCGAGTTTTCGGAAATGACAAAGGTAGTTCCACCATATCACAATGTTTAAGAAATAAGAAATATGGAATTTAAATGAAGGAGCTGGGGCATGAATTAGATTACCTCGCCTTTCGAGGGGGCCATTTCATGAAAATCCGAAAATTTTCGGGAAGGAGCGACCCTTCCCCTCCCCCGGTGTCGCTTCCACTTCATGACAAACAGAAGCAATTGTCTTGGTTAAAGGCAATGGCAATGGCAATGCAAGCAGCATGCATTTGTGCGTTCCTTGATGTACGAAAGTGGTTATGCATTATAATTTCTTCGTGGGGTTTCTACGCAATGATTCAACGAGCAAGTTCAATACAGTGCTCCTCCCATAGTTCATAAGCAGGGACGCATTTCATTTTTCCAGAACTTCAATTGGTTACAGCGCTTTGAGAACTGTCTCCGTGATCTATCAACTCTCGAAGCTCAGTAAAAGTACAGTACCGCACTCATATTCTCTCCCTAAAGCAGGCAATAGCGATGGCGAACGCGCCAGTGTAGCACTGGAGCCAGGGTGTTTCATCACGCTCCAGCCGCTTGAGAGCATCCGCCGTATTCAACCAACACCCAAATCAGCAGCTACTTCCCCTGAGTAACGCCAGGATGCAATGTCCGCTCTCCATACGTCGGCAGCTCAGTGATATGCCTTGGTTGCGTCACGTTCTCGTCCTGAACAACCAGCTGTAAACTGGGGACCTGCTCATTCGGAACAACAGTCAAGTCAAACTGCTCCAAGTCAGCACACCTCTCAAATTGGTTACGAACTCAGCTTACTTTCTGCACTCCCCACTTCAGATTATTCTCCAACCACTTCTCCACAGCCTCAACATTCATCGGATCAACGCCATTCTCCTCCAACCCTTTCGTCAAAGCAATTTCCGAATACGCGATGATGGTCGGATACGGTCCGCTGCCTTGATGTGGAGGAGGGAAAACAGAGAACGAGCCCACGCATCCGCTACTGAAGGGCCAATCTTCTGGTTTTTTGGGGGCTTGGCCAAGGAAGACTCGGACGATGAAGCGTTCGCCTTGGAGGTCGTATTTGGAGACTTTGAGAGCGACGGACCACTCTTTGGTTTGGGCAACGTGAGATGCGCCGCGCTTGTAGAATGTGCCTTGGGGGTGGTACATCCCGTTGATGATCGCGGAAACGTTTTGTTGCAGCTGGGCGGGGGTTTGGTTCCAGTCTTGGATTTCGGGGTAGGTATAGCCGAATGTGCTTGTCTTCCAAGATGATGCTGAGGTGTGGAACTGCCCTTGGCTGTTTGAGGAGAATGGTTCAAGTGGAGTCGATTGGGTGTCGAGAGTTCCTGGAGGAAGCGCGAATGTACCTGGGCCCTCCGTCAGAGGCGCGAGGTATTGGTAAGGAAATATGGATTGCCAAAGTGTAAAGATCCGGTCAACATTTGCATGATGGAGCCAACTGAATACCCAGTTGATTAGAAAATTAAAATCTCGAGCAGCGCAAGAGGAGGAAAACCCAATACGATAGTTGCAGTATATCAAGGAAGGGATAATGACTTACAAAGAAGGATCAAATGCAGCATAGCTAAGATAGCTCATATGGCCATTACCGCCACCAATGGTGCCATGTATAGTGTTATGGACATCCTCGAGTGAAGAACCACCTGTGGCAGTAGTGCAGAACGTATCGAATGTGGTGTCTTTCGTTAATGTGTAATACTACAAATCATTAATTAACCGCTGTAATGTAGCGAAGACGATCTATAGAACCCACAGTTTTTGCCATCAGACCTTCACTCGCGAGTGCCGTGTTGACATTATAAGTGAGGTCTCTGATTGTAAACTGATCGTTCGCGAGAGAACCATCAGAGGATGGGAAGTATGCTGGATTGAGTGGAAATGTGTGGAACTTGTATCTAGATACGGCTCGGTTAGTAATTCCCAGTCCTGGCTTTACAAACCTCGTTGTTTTCTTGAAGGATCAATAATTCAAGCATGATACCAATGGAAATTGCGCTCACTGATACAACGGATTTGCTACCGTCTTCACTCCAGAAGGAGTAGTAATTTGAACATATTGCTGGCTGACGACATCTGGCATAGTAGGGATAGATGCCCAATCCCAGTAAGGAATTCGAAAGTTGTTTGCAGCAGCCTGGTAGGTCGTCGAATCGTAAGTCTGAGCAATTGTCTGCACGTGACTGGCAAGGAGTTGCTAAAGGGATAAGTGAATGTTGTATGATTTGGCGAGGAGACCTACTTCATAGAGAGCGAGATACGGCCTGTGCCAAGTGAGGAACAGAACTGAGCCTGGATCATGGTAAGAAGACAACATATCGAGAAGGTCATAATGTCAATCACTTACCATGAGTACAGTAGCCACCCCATCCAGAGCCAGGGACCCCAGAAACCCCATTCCAGGGGATATAAGGGCGGCCATGAATGCCAGCAATTTGGAAGTATGAAAGTTGATCATTCTCATCCATATCTTGGAGAGCAGCCAGAGCTTGGATATAAAGAGACCTGTCTCCTGGGTCAGCACACTTCTCACAATTGGTGGAGGGAAGTCAGCTTACCATGTTGGTACATCATTCTGCATGTCCAGGATATTACGTCTCGCCGGCCTGGCTCCTGATTGACTGATGCCGGTCTGTACTCCGGTGATGGCGTAGTACTGAGCATTAACGGCTTGAGCAGAGAAGATCAAAAGGGCCAAGAGGGCCAGGAATCGGATGACGTTGTCGAAGAACATCTTGGGTTATGACTGGCGAAGGCAATAGTATGAGAAGCATGAATTAAAAGATCGTTCTAAAGTTCACAGCTCTCTCAGGAGAGGTATACTGTCCCCAGCTGGTGAGCCAGACAGGAGTGGAGAGAGGTTTGATTAGATCGGACTAAAGACGTTGGTGTGAGAGTTTGAGTAAAGAAGGAGGGAAGATAATTTTCTTTTTTACGGTTTTCTATCTTTTGAAAGTGAATCTCGTACCTGTCTTAGTCAACCTTCTCCTTCTCTGCCAAGTTCGCTTGGGATGAAAAGCTCCCGAACGCGTAGTTGCAGGACACACTATTGAAAACATGCGAAAGGTACGTAGCAGTGGTACCTGGGTGGCAGGCAGGGGCGGACTCGAGATTCATTCGTTATCAACATTTGATTTTCATACCACAGAGCTTGACTTGGGATTGAACCTCACCGACTTTCCACAACAAAAAGATACGAAGATTCTGAGTGTACTTTGGTGCAGCAGTTCGAGGTTGTCATTAAAGATGACCATTTGCAAGGAGGTAAACTGACACTAATGAGTTCTTCTGATTGTCGCATGAGTTCCTGCTCGTTGGCACCAAGCAAGCAGAGGCGCGTAGGTGAGGGATATTGCCGCTCCTTGTTCCTGGTCTCCAACACTTCCATGCCGTTTGCTTCCAGCCCATAACGGCGTGTCACCAAGGCAAATTTCATCAACGTGCTGTCCATGATCACCAAAATACGAGAACGTGGCTACATTGCCATACCACGGAAAAAAAGCAGAAATTTCCGAAAAGACTCAAAAATAGCAATTGCACAAACAAAACTCGCCGGGAGTCAGAAGAATGAAGGCCAACGGCCCTCGACGGAAACATGCATACACGAATTCAACGAACGACTGGTGACTCAAGCTAAGTTGGTACAACATACGACGAACGGTTTCGATGGGCGTGAAGATCCTTTCAGTTGCACCTCAACCTTGAGTACGACAGAGAAATGAGTTTGGGGAAATGGGAACATGCAGACAACGAGCACAGTACCTCGGAATTGGTTGTTTGATTCCGTTGACTTCGATTTAACCTCGGAGGCATTTGGCTTGGCATGTTTTCTTGGTAGGCATGCAGGCTCCCGTAAGCACTTCACTTGTGGCTAAATCCATGTTTGTTGACGGTGAGGTGGATTGGAAACGTTGAGGTATTGCATGGACATAAAAGTAACGTAAGATTCATGATGAGTCATGCTGCTGTTATGTGATCTTGGTAAATCATGATTTTATGTTCCAAGAAAAGGACCTCGCCAATCATATACATCGAAGTACCGCAATGCCGCCGTCTGTTCCCATTGGGAAAGAATGTGCGTGCGTGTTTATACGCTCAAGAGTATCCAGCCTAGAAAATGGGGTCCAAAAAAACCAACCAGAAAGGCATGCCAGCCAGATATACAAGAATCGAAAGGTCGAACAGAACAAAGAAGCTCGTCTATCAAAAGATCTTCCCAAAAGACCCGTATCTGGCGAAATATGCGTACTTCAGTATAACGAAAGCAACGATAGAGATGATGAAAGTCAGAAGCTCGAGTGACGCCTGGACCAAGCCAAACTTCCAGCCGTAGCTCACAACGTGACAGACAAGTCCGAAGTCGAGTACGTCGCTGGCAATTCCCTTCTTGTGGTTACCGCATGACCATTTCCAGAGATCGTTTTCAAGACTGGTCTGCTTGTTTAGAAAGAAGCATGCGCCCATGGATGATGCAAATCCGATGGCACTGAGAATTGCGAAGACAGCATTTATAGCGTTCCTGCTTTTCCTGAACTGTGCAAGAGTCAGATCCATTGTCATTCAGAGGATAGTGTGATTTACCTTGCTTGAAATGCAAGAAAGGCTGAAAACAACGATGCTAAGCACAAGGTTCAAGGCTGCAACGCCAGAAAATACAATACAGGGATGGTCTGTAATCGTGGCCGGCTTTGGAACGTTATCGAGAGGATGACCTGGTTTGTTTTGGGCCTTCCCAAACATAATGACAGCCGTCAAGATCAGAGAAAATGAGACGAGCATTATAAGAATAGCAAGAACTCGAATGTAGATCTGGTAGTCCTGGATGAATATCAGGACCGACTTTTGCATCTTCCCCGTCGATTCTTCTTGCTCTTGCTCCTCGTCTTTCTCCTTCAGACTGTTGGTCTCGGCCGAGGAGGAATGGACATCTCGTTTGACGTAGACATTGGGATCATTAATTTCGTTTGGTGGGGCTTTCGAATATCCAAAAGACACTTGACGGGAATAGGCTGCGGGCACGGGAACTACTGACTCTTGAAGAGCAGATTCTGCATTGCTCAATTAGCAATCTTCTGGGTTAAGAGAAGGGGGGTTCCTTACCAGTATGGCTTGACATTTTGCGAAGAGTATCTGCAAAGTTGGGTATTCTAACACTCAATGAAGAGGTCTGAAGGAATGAGTAGTCAGGGGAGAGTCAGAGCAACGCCCTCACCGCGTCCGCTCCATCGGCAGCCATTTCTTATATTCTTCATCTACATGCAAATTATGTTCAGCCAGCCTCACGCTGCCGGTGAACCCATGAAAGGCTGTTCAACGCCACCCCTCCGTAAGGCTGTACGAATGACAGATCGGCGTCCCAGCCTGAAGGTCGGTCACGGCCACTCACAGCAGCTCGCGGGAGATCCCGACCTGACGTGGGAGTCGGGTGTTCCACATGGTCTGGTGGCTGCATCTCTACGAGGAGAGTGGGACGATATCTGGGGCACGGGGGTGCAGATGAGTCGGCGTTGTCAAATGCGGGTTCCCTGCCGCATCCGAGCTGACAGGGCGGCCAGGCCGAAAATGCAGCATAGCCCAAAAATAGGTCAATTAGGGGATTTCTCGGCAATTAATCCAGCAAATTAGGGCCAAAGAAGAACAACCTTCTTCCGTTTAGATGGTGCACTCTACAGCACAGCCACGATGATATCTGGATCAGAAGCACAACAGTCGTACTGAAGTGTGCACTCGTAATCCGGGTCTCTCAATCGGTATCCGAGTCGGCGTTGCCACCATCCGGGAATCACCCCTCCAATGATTTCCTCCTTTTCAGCCAGGTTTCAAGAAACAGAGAAGCACGCAAAACATCTCTCGACTCCTTCTCCTAATCTCACAAGACAAACACCCAGCAATCCTGCCGCAAGTGGCAAACTTCTGTCGATCTCTACCCCACTGCTGCATCCACGAGGCTATGCTTTGGCCAAAGATCTCAAATCCTTATCAATCTCGAGATATTAGGGGCTATTTAAAGAGCGGCAAAAGTCAAAATGGTGCTGCAGCTCTCTGTTGCAGCGGAAATAGATGCAGACTGCATTGCATCTATCCACCTGGCAGCTTTTGACTCCAACCCCTTACTGCATGCTCAGTTTCCAACACCGAGCAGTCTTGAAGGATTGCACGCAGCTTTGAGCCAAGATGCTCTGAACACCATCAGGAATGGAGAGGGTTGTGGAACGATCGTCTTGGTGGTCAGAGACACAGAGGTTGATGGGCAAATCATCAGCTTCGCCAAGTGGGATCTACCTGAAAAGCCCAAAGATATCGTTCATTCTGATATCACGTGGCCGGAAGATTGTCGACAAGAATACCTGGATGAATACCATGAGAAGGCGAAATCTGCTAAGAATAGAGTCATCGGGAATAAGCCATATTACCGTAAGAATTGTATCTCCTTGTGTTTTCATAGTATTTTCTTTTGTTACTGTTCCTGATATAACTTGTTGTACACTTAGGCGATGAGTAAGCGCTTATTCACATGATCGGATAGCTTTACACCTTGAGAAGGATGCCAATCTTCGCTGTGCAGAAACACGCTTACAGCATGTGCAGATCTCACTTTCGTCGGGACCCTCCCGAAGTATGAGGGTCGTGGAGCCGCAACTTTGCTGACTGAGTGGGGCTTATTACGAGCAAAGAAAGACAATGTGCCAGTCTATCTTGAGAGCACTATCGCTGCATCTTCACTCTACCGAAGGTTGGGATTTGTGGCCCTCGATGGATTCTCAATGACGTTACCTGGGAAAGGACCAAGGAACGGACCAATCATTTACGAGGAGCTGGGTATGCTGAAAATATGGGAAGACCACGAGACAGCCGGAATGGATTACTGGGATTCCAGTCTAGGTATTACAAGTCTGTCACAAGACTATGAAGCTGGCATCAAACCTCAACATGTGGTGCAAGCTATATTTGACCGCATAGACGCGTACAAGCAAGTACAGCCGTCGGTTTGGATCCATCTTCAGCCCATCGGTGAGGTCATGCGGGCTGCAAATGAGCTCTCCATCCGCTGGCCAGATCCCAAGAATCGGCCGCCGCTGTACGGAGTTGCTTTCAGTGTCAAAGATAGTATCGATATTGCTGGTATCCCGACCACGACTGGTTGTCCTCCTCTTGCCTTCACGCCAACCGCCTCAGCGCCTGTGTATCAACGTTGCATCGATGCCGGTGGGCTTTTCATCGGTAAGACCAATATGGAACAGCTTGCAACAGGCATGACGGGCTGTCGAAGTCCTTTTGGCACGTTACACTCAACTTTCAGCAAATCTCACATTGTTGGAGGCTCGAGCAGTGGGAGTGCAGTCACTGTAAGTCAAGGGCTTGTATCGTTCTCCCTTGGAAGCGATACGGCAGGTTCAATTCGAGTACCAGCAATGTTCAATGGAGTCTGTGGGTTCAAGCCAACTAAAGGGACCGTGTCTGCAAGAGGTGTCTCACCAGCTTGTTTGCACCAAGACTGCGTATCGTTTCTGACTTCCAATGTCGAAGATGCGGAAATGTTATGGGACGTATGCAAAGGCTTTGACAAAGGGGACTTCTTCGCCAAATTGCCTTCCACGCGCCCTATTCGGAAGTCGAAACAGCTCCGGTTCAAATTTGGTGTTCCTCCGGCCTCAGCACTGGAGATCTGCAGTCTTCCATTCAAGAAACAATTTGCCGAGGTCATTGAAATCATTCAGAAAAGCGGAGGCAAGCTAGATGACTTGGAGTGGAACCCCTTTGCAGCTGCCAATGAACTTCTCTACAACAGTTCATTCGTCATGGAACGATTGACCATTCTACCAGAAGGCTGGCTCGCTCAGAACAAACAATTGCTTCACCCTGTTACCAGACAGGTCTTTGAGGGGACATTGGCGAGGAACAGTTCTGCTGTCGATCTATTCAAGGACCTGCACAAGCAGGCTGAATACAAGAGAGCTGTTGAGGATATCTTGACATTTGAGGAAGACATCGATAATGAAACGGATGAAATAACACTGATGATCGCCCCAACAACCCCGTTTCATCCTACGATTAAAGAGGTCGACGAGGATCCGATCGGAATCAATGGCAGGCTGGGGAGCTTTGCTCACTTTGCTAACGTCCTCGACTTGGTCGGGATTGCGATGCCTTGTGGGACTTATGAGATTGAGGACGTGTTTGAGGGCAGGAAGACGAGATTGCCGTTTGGGGTTACTATTTTGGCTGGTGCTGGGTTAGATGGGGAGTTGCTGAGGGTTGCTGCGATGCTCGAGGAGGCTTTGCAGGATGTTGGCCAGGAGGAGTAGCTTGGTTGTTCTTGTCCTCCTAGGACGTGACCCAATGGATTGAAAACAAACCGCTGCAGAAGTCTCGGCCTCCGGTTTCCAACCCTCCCTCCTCCTCCGGATCAAGTCCAAGATGAAAAGGGGGTCATCACGTGTCTCCAAGTCACGTTCCACCCCTTTGTTCGGCCGACCTCGTGCCCCGAGCTCTGGAACCTTGCCTCTGGAGCACTTCCGTGACACACAAAATTTCGTGAGTGAAATGTCTGCAATCTCGACATTACCTAACTCCCACTGTGGACCCTGACCCACTTCATGCGGTCGGCATGTGCTGCCCCCCAGCCTCGTCCCGCCGTGGCCAATGGGGAGCGCGGAATTGGAATCTTTTAGCAATCCGGAAGCGACACCTACGTAGGATCTGTGGGGTAGCCCTGCGCCTCCGATCGGCTCACGCGCGAAGAGGCCGAGCCTCACCGCCATTGGGCCAGGAATCGGATGTTTCGCAGGACGTCGTCCAGATGCACCGTCGATTGCGATAAGGATATTCTCGCTGAGTGGTGAGAAGGGGCAAAGGAGCACGGGGAGCACGGAGGCCCTCGTCGGTCGAAATAGAGTATTTGCGGTCGCAAGAGCACAGCCAGTCAGGAGCTGGGCTATGGTCAGTGATTACGTACCAAATTGCTAGACGGAGGTTTGCTGCTGTCATCAAACGTTCGGGAGGCAGGCTGTCACAGGCTGTCCAAGGTCTCGCACGAGTAAGGAGCGGATTAGCGCGTCCTCTGACGCGGTACCACCAGTAGCTGCGAGGTACGGATTAGTGTTCGATTCGATAGAGATATATCACATCAATCAATCATGCTGCTTATCTGCAGCTGCAAACGTCGTTGTCCCACGCACTGCCACCCGCTCACGTCGACAACGGCTTTCTGCGGTCCAGCTGCTGGGGAGATGTGATCTGAGTGATATACCGCCCCCAACCTCGATTCAGCCTCTCGAATCCCCCCCGCGTTCTCCAGGTCAAGGTGCCAGCTCAATGACGGCGAAAAGCATTCACCATCTGATCTTGCTTCAATCACTGGCTGGGTCGTACAGCAGTGGCGGCCACTGAAGGGCTTCCAGAAAGAACGAAAGAGAGAAAGAGAGGGCCGTGGTTTTCATCCCAAATCCAAATTTAAATCCAAAGTTTGGAGTGGCTTCTCCCTCGGCCTTATCTAGGTTGTTGTCCTTTATCAACTTCGGTATCGGTCTCTGGGACCGAAGACAGCAGGACTGGCCAGGCCGCTGCTGCTCCCACGATTACCTTCCCGCCGATAAGCTCGTACCCCGCCGGGCGACCAGGTCTTTGCCAGAGAGAGAGTGGGGAGACACGATAGGCGCATCTCCCGGTATTCTGCTGGGCCAGTAAACATCACTCTCGCTGACTATCAGAACGTTTCTGCCGGTTCTGCGTGCTGGACCTGCTCTTTCGAGCTCCTGCGTTTTGCCACTCGGCCACTCACAGCTTTGCCCCCAGCCTTCCCAGCCTTTCCTGCCTGCAAGAGCTGGCCATCGCCCTTCTCCGAGGACAGGGAAGAGAGCCCAAGAGATATCCAAATCCTCCTAGCTGCAGCTCCCGCCCACAGTCCATCTGCATCGGAGCCAACCGCCGATAGCACAGTTGGTCACCGGCCCAACACAGAATTCCGGTACCTGGTGCGGATCCGCAACCCTATCGAGCCTCATTACGCCATGTCGACCCCAACTGCGGTTGCTCGCACGGCTCCCATTGCTATCGCTGCGAGAAAGCCCCGTCCTGACACCTCACTCGAGCTCCCGAACAGCAACACCAACGGCAGAGGGCACCTCTCGGCCAGCATGAGCAGTACAACGTCGGCAGAATCGGGATCCAATATCAGAAGTCGGAAGGATAGGCCGTGCGATGCGTGCCGGCGGCGGAAGAGCAGATGTGTGATCAATGAGGGGCAGACGAGCTGTGTGTTGTGCCAGTTTCATACCCAGGAATGTACCTTCGTTCAGAGCCCGCAGCCGAGAAAGAGAAAATTGAACACGGAGGGGAAGGAAGAATCTGTCGCGAAAAGAAGGTCAGCAGATTTTTTCTTCTCCTGCTGTAGAGCCCACTTTTCCCCTGTATTAATCAGTGCTTGTACAAGTTGACAATGGCTAATTTTGGGTACAACAGATCACCAGATAGAACAGACGAGAGAAAGCGAAGACCGACCGAGTCGAGTGTCTCGAGCACTGGAGCTACCAATTCGCTGATTGAGGATATGGCCAATATTGGAGGGCCGACTCTGCTGAAGCGAACACTGGGACTCCAGAACGATCGATACAGCCAATATATTGGACCCACGACCGATTTCGAGCCATCGCTTATCGATTTATCGCCTTTCGACCCTCAAGATGAAAGTTTGTTGTCGCGGGGGACGTTGAGGAAAGTTAGCGATGTGGATACTTTTCTGATGTTGCCGGACTACAGCACGCCAGGTCACGAGCACCAGGTCGAGGATGCCGACGCAATCGAGAACATTATTGCACCACACGGACCCGCGCTGCTCGATCTATATTTCCAGATCATTCATCCCAACTTCCCAATCCTTCAAAAAACAGTTTTCTTCGAGAAGTACAATCGATCATATCGCGAATTTTCTCCCCCAATCCTTGCAGCTGTTTATATCCTGGCCATCAACTGGTGGGACCACAGCGAAGAGCTTGTCAATGTCCCCAAACCGGATATTCATGAGCTGGAAAGATTGGCACGGGTCACGTTGGCAGATGCCATGTACAGACCGAAACTATCCACGGTTCAGGCGGGGCTGCTGCTCTCCCAACGGCCCGAAGGCGATCAATGGGCACCGACGGCGCAACTTGTGGCGATTGGACAAGAACTCGGACTCCATCTGGACTGCTCTAATTGGAAGATCCCTCCGTGGGAGCGTGGGTTGCGAAAACGTCTTGCCTGGGCTTTATACATGCAGGACAAGTGGGGGTCACTGGTCCATGGCCGACCCTCCCACATCTTCGCTTCCAACTGGGCGGTTCTACCCCTCTCGCCAAGTGACTTCCCCGACGTCGAGTACGACGAATCAGACACCGAAGAAAGCGCCGAGTACGAAAAGGGTCGTCTGCTCTTCACCCAGACGATCGTCCTCTCTCAGATCCTGGCCGAGGTTCTCGACACTTTCTATACGCTCCAAGCCATGGCAGCCGTGGCCCAAGCCGGACCTCAAGGCACGCATCTCGTCCTCCAACTCGCAAAGCCTGTGCAGTTGAAGCTGAAAGACTGGTTCGCCGCCCTTCCTCAATGCCTACGGATGGACTCCTCGTCAACCACCTCCCCAAATAGCACCAAGCTCTCCTCAACCGGCTTCCTGCACCTCGCCTACTTTGCCACAGAAATCACTCTCCACCGCCGCATCATCCGCTCCCTCTCCACCTCAACCACATCTCCCTCCTCCCCTTCATCCCCTACCGCTAAGCCATCCCTCGACCCCTATATCGTGCACATCTGCCGCAGCGCCGCCAAGACCCGCCTCATTTCCGCCATGGACTTCGTGAACCGCCTCACCTCCTCCCATCTCCGCTCCTTCTGGTACTTTGCTTCGAAGACGAACTTTGCCTTGATAGGCACTTTTGGCTCGTTGCTCTGGGCTACGGCGCCGGGACGGGAAGAGGCGGATTGGTATCGCAGGAGACTGGGCGAGTATCGGTGGACGTTGGGCGTGTCGTGTAAGGGCAGTGGGACGGAGGGTGGGATTGTGAGGTTGACGGAGTTTGCTATGGGGATGTTGGATGTGTCAACTGGGCTGCTGAAGGCGTTGCCTGAGAAGCCGGCGTTGAGTCGAGTTGGGAGCGAGAGTGAGAATTTTGGGAGCAGGAGGCAGAGGAGCATCGCTGAAGGGTATGGGTATGGGTATAATGGCGGAGGAGGCGGGTTCGGAATTGGCGGTGCGAGGGGTGATGGCAGCGTGGGCAGCTTTGGAGCGGAGAGGGATGGCGAGCAGGATGCTGGGTTGGGGATTAGGAGTGGGCTTGCGAGCCCGAGTACGAGCGTGAGCTCGTCTGGAGGAAGTGGAGCGGGCTATGATACTTACATGGCTTCGACGGGCTTTGGTGTCGCGGGAGGTGGCGATGAGGGATATTAAGGCGGTGAAAAGATATGATTTACGAAGCAATTCATGTTTGCATTGCGAGGATAGCAGGCTTTCTTTGGGGTGTTGGTAGCGATAGATCTGATAGGAATTTGCAAGAAGATTTCATTAGCCCCGCTGGCCTCGTCTTGGGTATCGCTTCCATCCCACTTACACGCGCCTCCTCGCGAAACAAAAACAGAGAGAGGACAAGAAACTCGCTCACAGGTGCGAAAGTCGCTCAAAACGATATCAACACCACCTCGCGTCATCCTTAGCTCCAAAAAAAAAAACAGACGGCAAAACACTAGCGAAACACCTTCGAAATGGTGGTTGCCGTAGAAACCCAGGCGAACTGATTTTTGGAGGTCGTCGGTGCCCTGGGTGGGAAGGGGGCTTTCGATCTGTTCACATGTTAGCTGGCTGTTTTCCTGAGAGAGGAGGAATTTTGTACTTGCCGGATTGGCGGTGCTCGGGGGAGCAGTCTTTGGTGAACTATACCCGCTTCCTTGGTGGCCCCCCTGGATCTACTGCAGCGTGCGTGAGGTAGACCAGCAGTCCTCACCGAGTGGCCGCCGGCCAAGGCTGAAGCAACACACCGCTCTACGCCGTCCACCTCTCGCCTCACAGTGGGCTCCCAGTCTGGGGGTTATACAACATCTGTGCCAAACCCACCACCCGGACCCTCGCAATTGTTAGCGAGAACGAATTGCGGAGTGTTTTTTGTCGAATCGATTTTCCGACCGAACTAGAATTAGTGAAGGCATCTTCTCTTATTCCGAGTTACAAAGGTCACTTTGCAAAAAAAAAAAAAGGCGAGGCTGTAAGCGAGAGGGGGAGGGAAAGGAGTTATTTTACTTCACGAGTGAGTTGCAATGTTGGGATGCCTACTTGGAGAATTGCGCGGAACGGGAAGGCACGAAATACTCGGGGTGGGGTCGAAGAGAGTTAGGGCTGCCAGACGATGGGCGTTCGATGTCCCGGGCGACGCCTGGATAATCAACGATAGCCTATGGACATTGAAAGAGATGGACAGCTTCCGAACCGACAGGAAACAGTTCATTGAGAGAATGGACGGAGAGTGCGGAGCAACCGCTAGCAGAATTCACGACCGACAAGATTCGAATGTCCCAGGAAATGCTGAACATCAAGTCAGTTCCCTTACCTTGAGGAGGTTGCAGTGCTGGCAGGCCGCACGGGAGCTGACTAGCAGAAGGCCAAGGCGAGAACTGCAAACAGGTGTGATGGAGAGAGAGTGGAAGCAGTACCATCGCAGCAAAGTTGGCTCAGGGTAAGATTTTTAAGTCTCCTTCTCCTCCTCGTCCAGAATTACCCCACCAATACCTGACTCATCTAACAGCTGTTCCTCCAACCCCCTTAGTTCCGCCTCCATGGCCTCACTGTCATCCGATCGCTCTGCTGTCTCAAAATCGATAAGAACAGCACCCCCTTCCGAAATCAAAAAGTTGTGCTTATTTAGATCCTTGTGAAGGATACCCAATCCATGCAGTTGTCTAACAACAGCCTTGCAGGCAGGAAGGTCCGAGATGGTAGCGTGGCGGCCATCAACGTTTTCGATGAGGAACCCAATAACCCAGCCATCTTCAGTCAGGTATCCTAAGAACTCTGGGCCGATACTGCTGCCATCTATCCACGAATAAGCTTGAGTCTCAGTGATATAGTATCCTATTTCCCACTCGAATCTTGCAAATTTGGCGATTATTGGTTTCCTGAATTGCGGAGAAGATGCCACGTAGACATTTGCCCTCAGTCGCTGTCCGATCTTGAAGGATAAGTAGTCGTAGGACTTTGCATGCCATAGAGGCGTGATTGAGGGAAAGTCTTTCCTGGAGGTCTCTGCGAAGAACGTCGTCGCGTTCTCCGCTGCCTGCGAGATGCGGCCATAGTTCCAATTACCGGCGGGAAATGGCGGCAGCTTTGATAGCAGAATTGGTGGAAAACACAGATCATCGACTTCGTGGATTTTTGGTTCGATCGTGATGTACTTGAAGTCCTTTTTGTTCACGAGCATTCTGTAATGGCTAGGTGTGTTGCCCTCGCAATCTATTTCTTGATTCAAGATCTCAACCGTCGTAGGACACACAACTTCGGTGGGCGCCATGCTTCAACACCGTCGAAAATCTGTGGAAGTACAAATTTGATTACGACTACTCGATCGGGGGCTGATGGCAAGGTCTGTTGGAGAAAGGCGTAGACTTGTTGATTGGGTCTCGCTAAACAGAGCTGAAAATTCGCGGCAGCAACGCATCCATGACACCGCGCCTCCGCTTAATCGTGCGTCAAGACTTGCACTAAAGCCCCTGCGTCCCTGCAGGTTTTACTGATGCACAGGTGGGCACGAGTACTTCGAGATATCTAGTCTAGCAAGTCATGCCACCATATCACAACTTGCAGTTGGTGCATTTCCTTTCTCGATCTTGACCCACACTTGCCCCACGACGACGGATATTCCCCTCAACAGCCTCGATCTCTCCTTGAACACGATCGACTCGTTCTCTCCTACACTTGATCAGCAACCCGTACAGCCAGGCCCGACTCATCGATACCATTGTAAGGACTTATAATTTGGAATTGCACCAGCCGATCCCAAAATAGATGGCTGCAACTGGAAAAACGGCGGAGGAATAGTCAATGACACAGAACAGACGAACGATCCTCGGTATTCTTCGAGCATAGCGTGTGTGTATGTTACTGTTGGAGAGAATGAATCGAGCAGAGAAATCGTGGGATTGATCGACAGAGCAGATGCCAGACGGCCTTAAATCAACCAAACTTTTGAGATAGATCAGAGCGTCTCACACACTAGCATTGTTCCTTCTCAAGCGTTTCAAGAAGCTGCCTCTCCTTGTCCAACTCGTCGACCTTGCGCTGAAGCTCACGACGTCTGTGAGACTACGACTATTAGTGAAAGATAAGGATAGCCAGACTAGAGAGGAATACATACAGTCGCGCGGTACACGTGGCTTGAAGGGGAGCCGCAAAGCAAGTTGAGCCAAAGAAGAATTCGGATATACAAGTGTACAGGTATTGATGCATGGAAATCTCAGACGACGATTTTGTGACGTGTGGATTAGATGAATCGAAATGGAGATTGTGAGTGTTCAGGTTTGGCTCAAACCAGACTGGAAAATTTCTAGCTCCCGCCACGCACAAAATTACACGTCAATCTGATTTGTCGGAGCAGGCTTGAGACAAGGCTCCGTGATAATTGAGAGAATCAATTCTGAAATAAATTCACCTACTCTATCTCAACTACCTATTTACCAACCTTGATACACGCCTCCACACTGCACCTTCTCACTCGACCCATTCCCCACAACCGGGTTATTATAATTGGCAGTCTCATATACCAACCCAATTTGAGTCTGGCCCGCAGGGCATTGGTTAAAAAGATCCAGCTCGCAAGATTGTGAGCCATACCTTGGGACAAAATCATATGTACCGCACTCAGAGGTCTGGAAACATTCTGCGCACTGGGCGCTGGCGATAAACACGTTGTTGTCTCCCTCTTCGGCGGATAGACCAATTTAGTTCCCGTTCGCATCTGATGTGACCATGTTTTGGGAACCGCACGCGGCGTAGTAGATTGCTTGAGGAGGGAAAGTGGTGGTCGATGCTGTGGTGGTGCTGGAATTGAAGATGGATTAGCTTATGATAGACGGACAAAGTTTGATGGGTGGTCATGACTGTGGGACGAAGCTGGTGTGTAAAGCTACTGGAGGTGGGGTGGATTATTTGCCGATGTATGAGCTAGAGAATGAAAGAAATAGTGCTTACCTAGTCGTGGTAATGTAAGTTGATACACTCTAAGTTATGGTCGTTATCGTTATAGTCTATGCACAAATCAGCATGGCCTCTTGGTCTATTCCTCAATGTCAAAGCCTTAGAGACACCTAAAACTCTGGATTTAGCTCTCAACCTAGCAAAACTTGACTCTTCCCAGCCGTTTCCCCAAGCCTGGAACTATTCTAAAAGAGCAATAGCCAGTGCTAGGATAGAACTACGGACACGAAAATGATTTACCTACTAGGAACTCAGAATGCAATGTAAAATCTACCCTCATGTCTGGCGATCACGGAGCACTTCTGGACCTCCATCGTGTGGCAAAGAGCAAATCATCACTACCATACCTCTAGTGAAGCCTCATTCAAACTTCCCTCCCCATTTCCTTACATAGACCGCAACACTGCGGGTGTTCCGCTGAGAGTCATATGTATCGGTGCTCCTGAGATGGATTGAATATTGGGATGCTAGTGACTTTGACGGGAATGAGGGGGGCGACACTGCGAGACCCGGCTGGTTGTCCTGGATCAGCCGCATGACTAGGGTGCCTGGGTGCTTTTGATTATAGAGAGGAGGATGGAGATGATACTGCTGCTGCTGCTGCTGAAGTTATACGGGAAGTTCATCGTGTTGAAGCTGCTGAGAGCTGAAGAGTTGCCGAAGTTTCTCTGTGGTATTAGCACGTCGAATTCATTGCATGGCCGAAGGAATGCAATCCGACCGATAACTGTCGGATGAGGCGTTCCCCACACTCAATGCTGTTGGTCACCGACGCAAGTTTGACTCTGATTATTCATTAGGTGCCTGGACTGGATTCTCATCAGCTCGGCAGATTAGTAATTTGGGTGAATGGTAACCACCAGCCTGCTGTTTTGTGGTTTTGCTTCTGACGTTTTTGCCAATGTCTTCAATTTTAGCATTAAAGTGGGCCTCTCCTGTGATACACAACCACCACTTCCTTTCCCCTCGAACATCTGATGATGAGACCAGAATGTCTCACTAGTGACTCACAGAACCGGATTTCCAACATGCACGGAGAGCTGGACTTCCAATATGCACGGAAATCTTCTTCCCATCATATGTTTCACATTTGGATGCAACTGTCCTTTAAGGGATGGCTCTCGTGCCACGTTGACAACCTAGTCACGTCGCGTCTCCCAAGTGTATGTGGAAGGAATTGAAAATGGTAGAGTAAGTGTATGCAGCTGTGAAGCTTTTTGATTTCTTATCTAATGGTTCTAATCTTTTAATCGATTAAGACTTTTGACTTTGTCCGAGTGGCTTTTCGTGTGCGTGTGCAGCGTATTTTGAGGGAGAAGTATTGCCGAAAGCAAAGGAAAAAAGCAGAAAAATCAGGGCAGCGGTATTACAGATATTCCACGCAACAGACGCAACGCAACGTAAAGAGACGTGGGGTTTGGTATCTTCGGACTCGCATCACCAGTCATGCTGCAGACACCTGGTCACTTCGCACCACGGGCTAGACCCAAACGCCACCAAAGTAAAACGGCCGTCAAATAACCTTTGTGCGTATGACAGTTGCCCGCCCCCGTCCAGATTGCCGTCGGTCGTATTAATATTTTTCGGCCCAGGTCCATCTACAAGCTTACAAGCTCTTCTCCAGCGCGTAGAGCTCCCTGAAACCCTCCTTCCATCTCGCGCTCTGGTCGTCGGTTGGGCGTGGCAGCGGGCTGCGGCCATATCCCCCATAGCCCAACCAGCTCTCCATGCCGGCCTTGGTGCTCACAATGCCACCCTGAATAGCTGTCCAATCGCCCCTCGCAACCACCTCCTGGATCTTCTGCGCCTCGGAAATCTTGCCTTCACGGTACAGACGGAGGATCTCCAAGCAGGACTTTGGTGCGATGTTTGCCAGCCCAGCCAAGATACCGTGGCCGCCACCGATTAGACTCTGCAATGCGAAATCTGCACTACCACCCAGAACCAGGAACGGAGGCGCAGTACTCGATGACTGCGGCTTGGCAGATTTTGTGGCCGCCACAATTCTGTTCAACTTCCCGGTATTGCCGCATGTCAATTTCACACCTACAATATTCGGATGTGCTGAAAGTTGGATGATGACATCAGACGAGAGATCCATGCCGGAGACGGCTCCGGGGTAATTATAGATCACGAGGGGAATTGGCGACTGATCTGCGACTGCGTGGAAGAATTCGATGACGCTCGCAGCGGATGGAGAGAAGAGAGGTGCATAATATGCAGGCGGGAGGACCAATGCGTAGTCACCACCAGCCGTATATGCCTCTCGACAGTGTATGATCGTTTCTCGGACGGATTGGGCGCCGCATCCCACGAGGACAGGCAGGTGGGAAAAGCCGGCCGAGTTGAGTGCCGAACGGGTGGTGGCGGTGACAGTTTGGCGCTCGGCGTGGGTGAGGTGCACGGCCTCGCCATTGGAGCCTTGTGTGGTGAGCCCGGTGACGCCGACCTGCGCCAGGCGAATCGCATGCGTGGCAATCGTTTCTTTATCGAGGTCTTCCGTTACTGGATCGAAGAAACAGACAGTCGGGACGTACACCCCAGGTACCAATGGGCGGGCCATATGGTCGTCGACGTCCAATGAGTTGCTCGAGAAGGACGACGAGAGGGAGTCGTTCAGCGGAGACTCGGAGTAGATGCTGTTGCTGTTGCTACTAAAGTTTCGTAGTCCGGAACTGGCGGTTGGGCGGAATGCTATGTTGAAGCCGTGAGTAAAGCTCCCCGCAGGTGATGGTGCGTCGTTGTGGGGAGACATGTTGGAGAAGGAAGGTAGGAGGAAGCCGGAAAATAAAGTAGTCGACGGGATCAGCCAAGTGAATGGAGAGGAGGGAGGAAGGCAAGAAGGTGAGATAGTCCGAGGAGAATTGAGGCCTGAGACGGCTTTTATGTTGACCAATGTCTGAATTGAGATTGGAGAAAGATAAAAGAAACGTGGGAATTGGGAAAAGGTAAAGGGGGAGGTGGTATCGAGGCCGAGGAGGCGGCGTGTGTCTTAGTCCAATTTTTCTTCTGGGGAGGAAGTTTGGACGGGGGCTGTGTTAAGTATTATTTTGTATGTTCCTGAGGTGGCGCTGGCAGATTCCTTACCTCGGGGTGTGATTTGATGATGCCGGGGAGATTCAGGCGTGGTAAGGGTGCTGCGTGCTGTGACGGCACTCAGCGTTGTACCTAGGACATTTTCACCCCCACGCGACGTTTTTTGCAAGTGACCATATCTTGGCCTCGTGGCTCGGCTTGCTCTGCGTGGCTGGACCTGGTTCAGCCTGGGATCTCAACGGGCGTCGGCCAACTCGAGGTGCAGACAAGGTTGACTTGGAATTGTGGAGTTGATACTATATTCGTGAGTAACAAGTATCGTGAGATTCGCTGGGGGCCTGCTGGGACTAGATCAACCGCTGCAGGCTCTTCATATCAGTGTGATCATCAGCAGCGTTGCAAGTGCATAGCAGGAGAAGTGTTGTCAACCTGGCTCTGCCAGTGCAGAGCAATACTTGGCCTTCCAACGCCGTGCTGCGAAAGGGATGGGTTGACAAGATCATCAGGAGGCCAAGTATGACCTCACCCCGGCGTTTCGTGGCGCCTGCTACCCCTTTCCCCAGCAAGTCGCCCATTGTTCCCTTCTGCAAGCATCTGGATCTTGCTTATTCCCAGGCGCCTGGAATGCAGCAGGCCCAGGGCGTTCGAACCCTGCCCGGGAAAAGCAAAAAAGAGGCTCAAGCTGCCCTCAGGCTCTTCACCGTTCTTCGCAGCAGCAGCTGAGGGCGAGCCGTTGCTCCCCCAGGCCGCCCGATCACTGGCTGCAATGCAAACGCCGCCCTCGTGTGGGCGGGGACGAAGTGCTGAGGAGAGACAGTCGCTGGACGTCGTGGTTGGCGAAAGGAGAGGGTGTGTAGTCTGCTGATGCAGCGCGATATGATTCATGACCAAATTGCGGAGTCGTGCTCGCTTACCATGGCCACTCAACCTTCCCCAGTTGGGCGACACCGGAAGCACACTAGGCTGCTGATCACCCTCACGTTCCTCATTGCAGTTTAGGTATCCAGGTTCACGGTCTTGGTAGCATTTGGGCGCTGCCAGGCCTGCCAGGCCTGCGTGCCATGAGCGTGGGGTGGACGACGGGGGGGCGCCCACCGCACCGCCAATCAGGGCCGTGAAGACCCCGGCAGGGGGAGCACAGCTGCACCAGGGGCTGCATCTGGCGGAGAAGGCTGAAGGCCGCAAGGGCCTCAGTCACCGATGGTCACGAGGATGGCCAGAAATCCGCTCAAGGGCGACAAGCCTGCCAGCCTGGACCCGTTTTACATAACCACGATGCAGCGGATGCAGAGGCGCTGCCGGCAACAGGCCATTTCGCCAATTGTGGCTCTATGCCTCCTTTCCACGTCATGTAGGCATACCCGATTGATACAGGCTCGTCAATGCGTCAGGGTGACAGCCCCGGCGGAAGATCTTATGTACGTTGGGCATTCCTCTTTGCAGATTTCCGCGGTCCCACCCCTGCGCGCCACCGTGCCTCGCCGTTCTCGTCGTCCGGCTCTCCGAGATGTCGGGGGGGATGGCGAATGCGAGGGCAGTGAGGGACTAACGAGCGATATCCAGCGTGGTCTGCGTAGTCTGCGTAGTCTGCGTAGTCTGCGTGGTCTGCGTGGTCTGCGTGGTCTGCATGGTCTGCGTGGGGTGGGCGTTTCCCGGTCCAGTGCACCCGGTGAAGGAAGGCTATCTTTCAGGTTCTGGAACGACGAAGAACGTCTGAAGGTTTTGGCCTTAAGGTTTAAGAAAAGCGGCCCACCGATCAGATCTGCGCGCAGCTGTCCTCCCTTGAGCCAATCTTGTTTTCTCCACATGCAAGATCCGTTCCTGAAACGCTCGTTGGCTCCCCCACGTCTCCAAGGATTGCAGTCTTCATCCCGGGCCCCGGCCGTCCACGGATTGCACGGACCTTGTCCCATCCCGGCGCCGACCCCATGCCCGAACGAGTTTCCGACGACGAGGAAAAGCCAGAAGCCAAATCCCCGCCACGTTGAGTTGCACCACATTCCCTCCGACCACGAAACCGGCTATTGGGAGACAGAGGTCCGCGTGGTTGCCTCGTTGTTCGATTGCCGTGCCGTGCCCGGCATCTGCACACTGCAGTCAGAACCGTCTGGGGCTACTCGGTCCGCGTCTTGCATTCGGGCATCGTCAAGTTGGAGTTCAACTGGCGTGCCGCAACCTCGCAGCTCAAGGCCCCACTTCCTTACCATGGTCTTCGTAGGTTCGTTGTTTTCGAGGGTGGTGTTTCACTGGCAGCGGCTGAGCTCCGATCCAGTCAAAAAGCTTTCCCCATATTCCGGCCCTCTGTCGGCGAGTCAGGCAACATTGCGTGAGGGGTGTACCCCTCTTCCCTTGCCCATCGCATTCGCAGTCAGCCATGCAAAGAGGACCGTCACCACCCTCTTCTATTGAGAAATCGCATTTCTCAATATCTATTGGCTCGTCTATGTAATGCAAGGCATCTCTCGACAAAACGGGCTTTGGGCGATGTCAGCTGTCAGATATTTCCGTTTCGGGCCGTCCTAAGACGGAAATACTCCTCGAGACCCTTCGCAAACGGAACCCCAAGCATAGCACAAGAGGGAGGTCAAGACTCCTCGGCCAACCTGCCTCCGATAGCACCCGGAACGGGTGTTCAGGTGTTTGCGAGTAATGCTTGGCTTCGGAGTCGCCACACCCTCAGCAAGGCTAAAATTATCAACACACCCACACACGCAACCCTCTTTACCCCCCCCCTCTACCACCTTTTGGCGTGGCGCAGTGCCACCCCTTCCGCTCCCCTCTCTGCAGCTCATATTCATGGACTTTCATAGGACCCATTAACCGATGTGGCACGACGTGCATCCCTCGGAACCTGGATCGACAGCCATGCTGCACTAAGACTCCGTTCTGGAAATGTGGAGAAGTGTGGAGAAGTTACCTGTACTTCTGGATTGTCCGTGGGGGTTACAATTCGGGTTATGTATGTCTGTCGTGGCCCTCGTTGAGCAGAACTGCTCGGGAACACTTGTCCAGGTCAGCTTGGCACACGTCTCCATTCCACCCTTACTTCTTATTCCCGAATCTCGTTATGAGAGTGGAATTTCAGTAACCCCAGTGGCACCACGTCTTCTGAAAGAGGGCAACAATTCCCTCAAGCCTGGCGAGACAAGACAGGGAGCGAACGCCCGCAACGCAATATTGCGCTTAGCTGTCCCCCCTTCCCTCCCATCCCCATACAGCAGCACCCATCACTGCCGATCCTGATCTGGGCAGAGGAGGTTTGAATCCAAAAAAAACCGCTCCCTTTTTGTGTCTCTTGCTTTTTCATAAGCTTTCTTTAAAGATTTTTCGGGGGATGATATAGTCCAGACTTCGAGAATGTTTAGTCACCTGATTGGTTAAGGGCTAAGACACTGTCTGAACGATTACTGTGTCAAGCATCCCCAACACTTTTTGAATCTTTCTTCTAAGCTGTCTATGCTAGTTCCAGAATATAGTCTACGCTCATGATGGCTCACCAACTGCCATCCAATGAACTTCACTGCCATTTCGGCTATATCGGGACGGAAGCGAGGGAGGCATGCGGACCGAAGACCTCAATTCTCCAACAACATGCCATCCCACTTGACCCCGAATCACAGAGCATGGCTAACCGGGATCAGGCTAAAGCTAACCCGCGATCTCTACCCTCCATCTTCCCCCCCTCAACAAGACGGGAATAATATCCGGGAAAGTTTTCGCCGATATTAGGCCTTCCATCACAAACCGAGCACAGCATGTGTTAGGACCAGCATCTTCGCAATCCATTCTGCAGGTCCACGGACCCCGTCTCCGCCTTTCCCCTGCTCATCCATGTTACCGAGAATCTGATCTCAACAAGTTTGGTTGGGATCCCCTGGTTTCGCCACTCTGTGCTGATACTCCCCACGCAGAGCGTGGGGGTGGAGCAAGCAAGTGTTTATCGAGTTCTGCAATGTCAAATTATGACAGCAGGGTAAGGCAGGGGTTTTTCCGTTGTTTGTTACTGTTAGGTCCATTAGGAGATGAAGGGCAGAAAGGGTTACGTAACTTGGATCAGGGGGTAGGTTGTCTTTCCCCTATTGCATTGGTTGTAGGCCCTGCCCTTGTGGAGATGTGGCACGTCGAGAACGTTCCTACTTCTTTTCATGTGATAGGAGTGTTGTGTGGGTCGATGTTTCCCAAGAGCGTTGACAAGTTATTGAAGTTGGAAATCGAAGCTGCTTGTCTTGCAGCCAAGAAGCCGCGGCATCTGACTAAACAAGAGCTGAGGAGGACAATGGATGGAACGAGGAATAATGTATTGTGATTCAAGGACAGGCTTAGGAGTAACTCAGAGACAGTATGCACATACCTCGAAGTATCCTTTCGGATGTAGATGTGGAGAATGAGCCACCATGAAAGAAAAAGGGGGTGGTTTTCGAAATCCAGGAAGGAAAAAATGAAACCTAATTGGAACATGAGATGATTGTCGAAGTGGCTGATCCTAATTGCAACTTGTAACCAAGAATTGAGGCTTCTAGGAAGGTACGGTTCTGGAAAGAAGAATTTTTTCCGACTGTAAACTGTGTTGGGCTCGGGTCAGGACGGGAAGCAAACAATCTTGAATAGAGATGAAGTTGCAGATTCTAGACCCACATCACGATCTGCTTAGAAATAATCCCTCGAATTTTGGAGTCGTGTTCTGTAAACTCTAGAAACTCGATCTTAAAACTATAGCTCATTCCTGTGTTAGGAGGACATCAGGGTACATTCGCTTATATAATGCTTACATAACAATGTTCAACGACTTCCCTGTGCTCCCGATTTTGCCAGTTCACTTTCACTACAGCAAATAGCCCATAGTGAATATTGAGCTTATCGGAAGGCGATAGTACTCGATACACAATTGCCGAGATGTGGGAAATTGAGTTTTCGCCCTCCCAATCTTGCTTTTATCTTGTATTCAACTAACAACCTAAAGGGCTCTTGGTTATGCTTGGCGGGCATTGGCTTGCTCCCTCTTGTTGCCATTGCCTCGAATACCGCCTCTGAACCCTTCGACAGCAGGGAGGCAACCATTGACGGCGTGTATAATACATTGTTCTCTGGTATCACCGCCTGTCGCGATGTGGTTTCGTCCTTTCTTTCCCGAATTGAAGCTTTCAGCCCAGCGATCAATTCCATCATCAGTCTTCACCCCAATGCATTGAGTACAAACCCCCTCCAACTTGGCAGCTAATCTACTATAATATTCTAGCTATTGCAGATGACATGGATGCCAGGATCTCTACTGGCAATGTCACTAGCTCTCTCTTCTGCATCCCAGTCCTATTTAGGATAATTATGATATTCAGGGGTTACCAACCACCGGAGGATATCTCGATTTGGCCAACAACAAGCCCACAGTCGATGCCGCTGCAGTGGCGGCTTTAAAAAAATGCAGGAGCAATCATCTTGGGAAAGACAAACCTTCATGAACTGGCGCTTGAGGGACTCACGGTGTCATCTCTGGGTGGCCAGATCATCAACCCCTACGACTTTACGAGAACCCCGGGGGGTAGTAGTGGTGGTACTGGGGCTGCAATTGCATCGAGTTTTGCAGTTTTTGGCACAGGTAAGTACGGTGTGATGGCTAGATAGAGTTTCTTAGCTGACTAGGAATAGGTTCAGATACGGTAAATTCCCTACGAAGTCCAGCCAGTGCGAACAGTCTCTTCGCTTTCCGACCGACGAGAGGCCTTAATATCGCGCGCTGGCATTATTCCTGTCTCCTACACGCAAGATGCTATCGGCCCAATTGCAAGGAATGTCAAGGATTTGGCGGTTGCATTGACTGTGATGGCTTCCACTGGTTTCGATCCCCTCGACAACACCACAGGTCTGCGCCCTCCTTCGCTGTTTGGAACCGGCTATGCCAAGGACGTAATAGGAGGAAGTTTGCAAGGCCTCAGATTTGGCTTGCTCGAGGGAATGTTCAACTGGACTCCCTCCTACGAAACCACGCCCGCCAACGATGTTATGAATTACATGATCTCGGTACTTCAAAAAGCTGGAGTTGTGATCGTCCCAATTACTGAAACTCTGTACAACTGCACTGAGCTATCGTCCTCGATGGATGTTCAAGCCTCAGAAATTCGGGAGAGCATGGACGCTTATCTTCAGATGCATTCTCTCAACGGCTCTTCTCCTTCGCCATTTAGACGACTTTACAGCAGTGGAAAGTTTCTTGCCATCCCCAATCTGTACAGTTTTGTCGAAAAGGCTCTCGAATCATCTACGAGCAATTCTTCTTATGCCCCACCAAAGCTCGCCATTCAAAATCTGACAACAGCTTTGGCGAGTACATTTTCCACCCAAGAAATTAGATGCCATCATCTACCCAGAGCAGAAGAACCTCGCTGTGAAGATCGGTTCTCCTTCTCAAATTGGGCGGAATGGAATTCTTGCAGCTTTGACGGGATTCCCTGTCGTCACTGTCCCAGCGGATTTCTCTCCTCCCACAGATCATGCGCCCATTGGAGTGCCCATCGGGATGGAGATCCTGGGTCTCCCTTGGAGTGAGAGCGTGCCTCCGTACTCGGTACCAGTCATTATTCAACAGCCTTTCAAGCCGTGCATGTCCTTCTTTGAGCACACTACTTGCGTTACATTAAGAAATTTCATTTTATACAGAGACCTCTGGCTGTCAAGTTCGCCATAATACCGCTTGGTTTGTGTCGTTGAACTAATGGCTATGAGGTATGCTCTCCCATAGAAACGACAAGTCAGTGATGAGCCCTACGAGGACTAGTTTCTAGGTGCTTCGGTACTTCTTTTGCCCTTTTTTTGACTCAATGTTCGACCGGTCGTGGTTTGAAGGGCAATTGTTTGTGAAGCATCTCGCTTGACCCCTTCGGTACACCTGTTCAGCCGACAGCCGTATTTTGTTGAAGTCTTTGATGGCTGTCGTGGCGACTTGGGAGGCATAGGATTATTCTTGGGGGATACAGGGCTGTACTTGGGTGGATAGGACTGTCTAAAGCTGGCATGAAAGGTCTGCTAAGTTCAAGGATTGCTTCCTTCAGGCCGGTGACTGCTCCTCCATCCACCGATCCATAACCTCATTAAGCAAATCCTGAAGTTGCTTTCCTTCCTCAAGCCAGAACCTCTTGAATTGCTCTGCATCAGAATGCTCATTTTCCATACCATGGGTTTCAAAGTGTGTGTGTTTGGCTTTACTGGTGCTTGGTCCTGATTTGCTCGGTCTACTTGAGGGCTTTCCGTCTTTGATGACCGTTCGAGATGCCCTTGGTTCGTTTGTTGCTGTCTCGGCCATTCTATTTGCCAGTCTTCCTCTGCCTCGTCTGATGCTAGCGAGCTTCGTCGTTGACTTCTTGGCAATTGTTTTTGGTGTATTCTTAGCTGTCTTCCTGGAAGCAGGCAGATTTGTTGGGCGCTTCGTTGGACTGACAGATGCTGCTGGAGAGTATGGCTTTAGAGATGATGGCTGGGGGTCTTCTATGGTGACTTTTTCTTCGCCCTCGATTTATGCTCAGTTGTTCTTGTAGAAGGCGGCACACTTATTCCACGTTTTGGTGGACTGATTGATGCTGGGGGGAGGGGGGATTTGTGTTCTTCGGAGAAGCTGATTGCGGGGTCTCTGTCGTTGACTCTTGTCCTTCACAAAGTTGACAGGAGGAATTGTTTTTCCGGAAACGTGGGTTGAAGGGTCTCCTTCGCTGCCGTTTCACCTCAGCAATTGTTTTTGGTGTATGTAATTGTTATCTTCATGGTATCCATTGTCGTTGTGCGCTTTGGCGAACTAGCAGACTTGACTGATGAACGTGGCTTGACTGGGGAAGCTGGCGGAGGCTGAGGGCTTTCGGACATCACTACCCCGTGATCGCAGAGTTCGGATACGCGCCGTTACTTTCGTCGCCTCAGATTCGGTGCTAACTTTTAGCCCGGGCATGATTTCTTGTGAAAGAAAATAGATGTAAATTCTTGCTCTCAAAAATTGAGAATTGAAATTAAAATCGGAGAGCACCAGTCCGCAAAGAGAGGTCCTTATGGGAAGTATGAGATTGTACATTCCTGAGCTTGACAACAACACTGTTGCTGGGGAATGCGTTGCGACGGGGCAGGATCAAGAACTCCAATATATTATTGGTTCATCTTAACAACTTGGGTACATTCAAACAATATCAAGGAGATACGAAGATTCTCCATGGATTTGTAACCCTGGTCTGAAATTGCAATTTCCACAAACGATTACCATAGTAATCATTGACAAGCCAAAGGTTCAAATAAAATATCCAGCATTGTACAGATCGACTGTTGAACAATCGGGGTGAGAGCTTGGGAACTCTAGTTTCTGCAGCCCAGTGTACAGTTTACTTGGGGTATGGGAAACAAAATTCAAACATCTCTACTCGCGGGAACTGTGAAACGGATACGAATTCAGAGGTTGAAGCAGTGGGTGGGCCTTGCCCTTGCGCTTTGAGTCTACGATCTTCATCCCCTCCTGAACAGGCCCCCCCGTCCCCGCACCTTTGATTGGCTTTGCGAAGCTGTGCACTGCATGCATGCGGCGCAAAAGTTATCAGATGGTGGCTAAAGAAGGAAATTTATAGTGATGGTGGGGGAAATTTTTCGTTAGGTAACACCTTCAACGCCAATCGCGACGCCTCAGTGACTCCCCAATACGCGGAAACCGGCGATCAGGGAAAAGCTTGTTGAACCTCTCTTCAGGATGGGTTAGACGCGCAAGCCACTGTGCCGCTGTGGCAAGCATGACAATATCCTCAACCTTCACTGTGCTCTCCCCTTTCCAATTTTCAACAAAGAACGCAGGTTTGTGAATCCTTCAGGTGGCTCCGTTGAACTCGGCGACAATCTCGACCACAGCACCGGAACCGCGAAGACCTTCGTCTATTAACCACAATGGCAACCAAGTACCTTGTCAAGGTCCTGGAGGAGCTTGGCCTGGTGTCCCTCTACTCGTCCACCATCGACACTAAGCTCCTCTGCATCCAACGATTCGTCCGTCTCTTTGCGTATGGCGCCTCGACGCTCATATTGGTGGCATACCTCAGTGCCTTGGGTATCTCGGAAACAAAGATTGGTCTCTTCATGACCCTCACGCTCGTTGGAGATGTCTGTATCAGCTTCCTGTTGACCCTGTTTGCGGATGCCTTGGGGAGGAAAGCTATTCTTACTCTAGGAGCAGCATTGATGGTCATTGCTGGCACAATGTTTGCTTTGTTTGGAAACTATTGGATCCTGCTCGTTGCCGCCATTGTTGGCGTCATTAGTCCAAGGTAATGCTCTTCAATCAACGTCTGCATTCTTCTAACGATGGAACAGTGGCAATGAAATAGGACCCTTTCGAGCTATTGAGGAGTCGACCCTCGCACAACTCACCCCCGCAGCAAATCGTGGAGACATATATGCTTGGTATTCCTTGATTGGCACAGCTGGGTCTGCATGTGGGATGATGATATGCGGATGGTTGCTCAACCATATGACAAAAAATCTGGGTTATGATGAGGTCGCAGCATATAGGACTGTCTTTTGGGGATATGCTGTTGTTGGAATCATCAAGTTCTGTCTGGCACTGGCACTCAGCAAAGCATGCGAAGCAGAGAAGAAACAAGCGCCGCCTGTAGCAGATCCAGAAACGGCACCTCTACTTGGAGACGGTGCTGAGGATGAGGAACCTAAGAAGAAGCAATCGAGGTTGCTAGCTCTTTTGCCGGAAATCAGCAAGGAGAGTAGGATTATTGTGGTCAATCTTTGCATTCTGTTCGCGCTAGATGCCTTTGCATCTGGTCTTGCGCCTCTGTAAGTACTTGCCCATGCAACCACTGATCAGTTGCTGACCGTAACTAGCTCCTGGGTGATCTGGTTCTTCAAGAAGAAGTTCGACCTCAAAGACGGAATGCTTGGTTCCCTTTTTTTCACTACTAGCATCATTGCCGCAGCTTCAATGCTTGTAGCTTCGTCAATTGCAAAACGATTCGGCAATATCAAGGTACGTACCGCGTCCCGCTGTGTCATCAACAACAGGGCTAAACTACCCTTAGACCATGGTGTTTACTCACCTCCCGTCCGCCATCTTCCTCGCGCTCATCCCCATTCCAAACTCTTTGCCCTTCGCGACTCTCTTCATCGTCCTCCGCTCTTGCACACAATCCATGGACGTCGCCCCTCGCTCCGCTTTCCTCGCGGCAGTTGTCCTCCCACACGAACGAACCGCAATAATGGGCGCCATCAACGTCGTCAAGACCTCTGCTCAGAGTCTCGGACCAACTATAACTGGTATACTAGCCAATCACAACTTGTTTTGGGTAGCGTTCGTGACGGCCGGATCGTTGAAGGCAACGTATGACTTGGGTATGCTGGCTGTGTTCGCAGGGCATAAGACAAGAGAGGAGAGGGACGAAGAACAGAGACAAGTTGAAGAGGATGAGTTGTTGAGAGAGAGCGAGGATCCTAATGAGCGGTAGGGTGAAAATGGAAACTCGAGGCTGCTGCAAGTGCTACATGATATTCAGTTGTTCAGGATACCCTCGTTCTATATGATTTGGACATGTTGGCGCAAGTTGCTTATGTAAAGACCAAAAAAATGCAGGTTTTTATCAAATCAAGTGAACCTCTTGACTTCGCCATGATCTGCTGTTGCTCCCCGAGGACATTTCTAACCTCAAGAACACCTCGCAAGTGCTGTTTCATACTCATACGCTGTTCACCAAGACATGTCACTCCCGAAATAAGATCAACATCGACTTCCTCCCTCCGTTCCTCAGCCGGTTAAATGCAACCCAAACTCTTCATCTTCCCTTTATTCCAAAAATGATAAGGGACAACGAACGTTCACTTCATCCATCAATAGTCAAAATCGCTCAACCAAATATTCCCTAGCTCTGGCCCCATAGAAACGCACCACTATACATCAATAGTCGGGTTCTTTAATATGTGTCACGAGATGAAAGAGCTAATGGTCTTCTAGATCAGGTGCTCTGCATGTCGACGTCCCATACTCTTCAAGGGGTCAGCTGAGAAACGACGTCCATCCTCTCTTACAGCTGGCACACACTATTCCTCCCTATTGCAAACCGCCAAACTTTATCTCGAGGGATACACCTCAGTCATGTTATCTTTATTTGAGGCGCGGCTTATCCGGGAGAAACGTTGGGCCGTAGATTATTTATATTGTGGCTTTTGTGGCTGGAAGACGTGCCGTGGGGCTGCATTACTTGATCGCCAAGTTTTTCAACGACAGACTTAATTTGCACGTCACTTTCACTTGCGAAAAAGGAGGCGAACAATGTTTGGGATGCAAAGAGATGTTATTAAAGCATTCCCTTTACAGGACTTGCTAGGTAAATGTTTGAACTGAGCGAGAGAGCTTGACTCAAAACAACGCGCAATGAAGCACGCAACGACAAATTTTCGCGAAGTAAGCAATGGCGGCGATCGAAACGCCTGCCGGAATAGATTCGACGAGTTTAGGCGGTGGAGGTGTTTATCTCCACGGCCCGCTTCTCGTCCAGAGGTCCATGCTCTGCCTGCGTCTCCTTCTCGACCTGGTTCATGTCCAAGTGTGCAACCTCAGCGTTCTCTCCGTCGAAGATCTTAGCCAGTTCCTCAAGAGTTGGTCCTCGAGTCTCAACGTAGAAGAAGTAGACGAATGCGAGTTCGATGAAGATCCAGACCTGCAAGGTGTTAATAAAAAAAAACACTAGGCTCGGTTAAAAAAGGTTAGGGCTTACGGTGTAGAATGCAATGAAGCCGTATTGCGGGTGGACATTTTCCCAAGCGATTGGGTTGGTCTGGTTGCCAAGTACCAACGCAGCTTGGACAGTCAAGTTCATGATCATGAGTCCCTTCGCTCTCAATTTGTAAGGGAGAATCTCGAGCGCGTATGCGACGAGAAGACCGGACCATGCGAGTGAGTAGAAAACGCCGAAGAGCCAGACGAAGGCAACCTGCGGATATCCTGCGGATTTCACTGCAGTCTTGTTACTTTGCTCGAACTTCGCAGCAGTAATAGTCCATGCCAAAAACATCAAACACATTCCGGTGGTCGCAGTCAGGAAGAGTGGTCGTCGTCCCACGCGATCAACGAGGAAAGCACAGCTGACACTGACAACCAAACTGAGCAATGTTTGGCCTCCGTTGAGCTGCCAAATGTGATTAGCGAAATAAACAGAATATAGATTTGGGAGAACTTACGGGAATCTTCTTGCTTTGCTCTGTAATGCCCATGCTGTTATAGATAAGATTGATGTAGTTGGAGAACAGAGCGTTTCCAGAGTACTGGGAAATGACACCAAGGGAGACGAGGAGAGCCAACCTGTATCGGTTGCCCTTGGTTCTCATGAAATCCAGGTAGCTGCTAGTCTTCTTGTATTCGAATTCGAGTCTCAGGGTTTCCTTGATTTCGCGGAACTCGAAGGCAACTGTTGCGTTTTGCTTGTCACCATTGGCGTGGTAATAGGCGAGGATAGTCTCGGCCTCTTCATAACGCTCCTTGGAGATGAGCCAACGAGGAGATTCTGGGACCCAGTAGATGAATGTGAGTTGAATCAGGGCAGGCATGCATTGGAGAAGTGCGAGAGTTCTCCATGACCAATCGTTGGGGATTGTGGAGGTGGCCCAAGCGATCCAGGCGACGACTAGACACAAGTCAGTCTCACCCCGCAGCTCTAATGGATAACCAAACTTACAAAGTGCACCCAAATTCCAGAGACAGTTGTAGATGGCGGTGACTCGGCCACGATGTTGGGGATGGCAAAGCTCAGTAAGTAAAACGGGGGAGGACATTTGAGCCAAGGAGTTGCCGAAACCAAGGATGAATCGACCAGCGACATACACTAGTTGGTTGTTAGCATTAATCGTCGAAACATTGCCACAACCACCCCCCGGGCACCAAATTATACTTACTTCCGTAGCCGTTGGCAAAAGTTCCGATCAAACCACCGAGAATCATGAAGATACCACCAACAGCAATAGGAGTTCTACGCCCCCACCAATCTGCCATATAAGGTCTATCTGGCAATTAGTGCCCATCTGTTGTATGAAGTGAGGTGCAACCTACACGAGAGGGAAAGAGATCAAGGAACCAATTTGGTAAACGGAGTTCATGAAACCCAATTTACTTCCTGTGGGAGTGCCAAAATAAGTTTGCCATAGTGTAATATTTTGAGAGGTGTTCAACATCATTCTATTTCCAAATATTAGTTTTGAGACCTTTCAAGATAGGGAGATGGAGGAAACGTACCCATCGTAACCGGTGGTTGCGGACGCAACACAGAGAACGGCACACCAAAAGTAAAGCTTTCGCAAACCTGGGTCAGAGTGCCAGGTTACCTTCTCAAACTCAGGGGCCTCAGCCTGCGCGGCCTCCAACGCCGCATCGTGGGTTGCAACACCGATAGCGACCATCTTGTCAAGAATCAATTGACTGTTGATGGAATTGCGGATTGCTCTTCCTTGTTCGTGAGAAGCTCAACTTCGACAAAGATGATAAGAATTCGAGCTCTTCAGATGAGAGACAGGACCATGGCACTCTTAAAGGAATCCGATGTGAGAATAACCGTATGCTGAGGGTCGTTTACCCGGCTAGCGGCGGCAGGATAAAGAGGAGCTTACTGCACATCGTCTCGTGGGTGTAACGCTCGTCGTCTGTCCCTTTCCGGACCGTATATGGGATCAAACAGGTAGACCAAGGATCTAGAATTTGGTCGAGAGGGCCAATAAATATATTCAAGGCGGAGTGACTGACTAACAATTTCGAGGTTGCGGACAAACAAGATCGACCCAAAACCATGGTCTGAGAAATATTAGCCAGATATTCGTGGTCATTTCGGAATGGGAGCATCATGTGTTAGAAACAGGGGCTCGGCTTCGCTTCTGGCATGAGAGCCCTGACGCTCCATTGGGCAGTTCCATGTACAAACCCCGCGTGGGTAGAAACCGGGTGTGGGGAAGACTTTTTTGGCCTGCTCCAGCTCGGGAGACAGGGCTAATCTTTCAGGCAAAACGGCCAGCTCTTCCTGTTAAATAGGATAAATTCCCGGAGGCCACGCAGGGCGTCTGATGTGGGGCCATGCTTGTCAACGAGCCACTTTAGATTTGTGGCGTGAAGGTGCCAGATGTTGTTGTGTTTGGCGATGGATAGGTTGGCGGGCGGCGAGACGGAACGAACTCCCCGCTCGGAATCCACCACCATTACGGAGGCGGAATATTTACGGACTCTGTAGCGGGCGGGACGCTGGGCACGCATGGCAATATGCCAACACTAGGATGGAACTCAGGCCCTGTAAAAAAAAAACTGCACAAGAAGGCGATCTTCTCCTGGGTTGTCGAGGCCCGAGGGCTAGTGTCGAGACGCGAGAGTCGATAACCGTCGTTGGACGCGAGACTTGGCTGCGGCTGCTGTTGGCTGTGGGAAACTGCATACAGTAGTACTCTGCTCCATCTCCAGTCGTAAATTTACTTTCCCTTCCGCTGAAGAGCAAGTCCCACCACAGCTCGATCTGATTCCCCCTCAATCTGGCCCAACGTTGGAATCTAAGTTTCCTGTTTAATAGGGCTGAGAGAGACTGGCTCTAAGTGATGCGGTCCCTGTTGTATTGTCTAAAACTTATCTCCAACGATGTATCTACACCTTGGGCCGGTGAGTATTAATTTGAATTCTTTGGCCGGATATTGCTGTTTCAGGGGTTGCGCGACATACGGAGGAATCATGGATCTTGAGATTCAAGCCAAGCGATATGCAGCGTGGCTCGAGCGGCCGCTAGCCTCAAAATAGGGGGAGTACCACGTGATTGCACAATCATGTGATTATCTGAACACTCCAAAAGGGAAAAACTCCCTTGATCAGATGCTAATATACGACCCGGACATCGCCCAAGGACAATTTATAACCCGCGTTGGGACACGATGGTAATTAGGGATATTTGAACCGTAGCCGGGGAGGATCCCTTGAACATCGCTCTCCAGGTGAGTCTCCACGCGGGTTATCCCCATATTTGCCGAGTACTCCCTACAGGGGTCTTTAAATGTTACAACCTACAGGTGGAAATAAATGTTAATTGTCACCTGTTTACAGGGGTTTTATCGGCGAACTAGCTAGAATCTCAGGGTGGTCTGACCAATCACCTGTCTTGATTTCAGCCTTTATCGCTGTATGCAGTTAAATACATACTGGTTAACATTTAAAGCACCCTGTACGTAGTAACCAGTATTTAACTGCATATGGTAAGAAAGACTATTAAGACAAGTGATTGGTCAGACCACCCTGTAATTCTAGCTGGTTCGCCGGTTGAAACCCTGTAATCAGGTGTCAATTAACATTTAAAGGAGCCGGTAGGGTGTAGACGTCCAGAAATCAGCCAGCCTTGGATACGACCGAGCATACGAAGTGGCGATGCTTAATGACCGGATCGAGAGATTGGTTGGCCGTCCGAACTTTTTTTTGGCAATGAGCTATTGCCACACGCATCCACTTCTTCTCGAATACGGCATTGATCTGGGCTGGCCCCCATGCCTGATACCAGGACTCTCGCCTCCAGATCTCACTGATTCGCTCCTGACAGGGAAAACTCGCATCGGTGTGCGGCGTGCCATCAAGCACCTAGCCATGCAGGAGGTCCAATGCCGTACGGTCAAAGGGATCCCAGAGGGCATCTCGACGCGCCTAAGCGCGCCAGCGGCGCCGATGAGTCCCAAGGATGGCACGTGGCACCTTGCCTTCTTGGACTCCTGCCAAGTCGATGGCCAAGCTCTCGCTGAAGACGGGACGAGCCTCCAGATCAGAACAGTCAGAAGGTTAAGCGGCGTCTCGCCTGGATCCCTCCTCATGAGCAAACGCTCCTTTTGACATCAATGCAGTCTGACAGTTGTCTCCACCAGGGGCATTCCTGACCGATCCTGATGGGTTTGCATTTGCAGCGTTGTCTGGCCTTGAGCGCGCTATTATTTTCTAGGGTCCTTACTTAGCGGTGGCGTCCACCCTGCATTCGCGATTCCGCCATAACCTTAAAACAGAAACCTAGCCTTGGCTAGTGCTGGACAGTTGACTCCCAAAAGTCGCTCTTGCTCCCTCCTCCATGCATGCAAACCGTTTCGTCTTAAGCCAAAGCTCCATCGTTATCCCATTGACCATTCTTCTTGAAACTCGAAGGACTGGAACAACGTTTTCGCTTTCACAGATGCTATGCAGCCTCGTATCCCCATCCGGCCTTACGAGTAAAAGTCACGGACTCAGACCATTCCAAATCCAGTCACCACCACTCCACAGCTTCAACTCCCGGCCCGGGCCTCCATTTCCACGAATCGCACACATTTCCACCAGCGTGCCCTTGGGCCGCGGTATTCAACGCGCCTTGAGCTTTCCGCCAGCCAAGCAAGACCTGCCAAGTGCAAATGTATGGCAGTCACAAGTTCAGGCCAGTGCTCTCTCGTCAGACCAAACAAGACTGTCGGCCCGTTTGTGGCGCCCAGCCACTTGATCTTGCGATCCCGTTTTGTGAGGGGAAGACGCCACACGATGGATGCGGCTTCTCCCGCTGATTGGCTGTGTGGACGTCGAGGGATTCGGGGAGGATGAATGCCTGAGAAAGAAAGGGATCGATAACCATATTGGGCCAGACTTTAATGTGGAATTCGGTGCATGCCGTGAAAGGTGAGGAGAGAAATGAGCTGATTTTTTTCTGGTTATAAGCGGTTCAGGAGGCTTGCATTCGAGTGCAGCGCCAGCTGTCCAGCCCGTAGTTTTGGAATGGAGTGTCGGGAGCATTTTCCGAATGGCTTCAAGATGTTGCCTCGCATTGACAACATGCCACCTTTGCCAAGTCTTTTCTCGTCATTTTATCCCTTCCAAATTGTTGTCCAAGGTGTGGGTTGTTGGGGCGTCTTCCATGAGTTCCATCCCGACTCGCGAGCGGTGTTATCCTGATTTCATGGACTTTTTGCCGTGGACCCATCTCCATGGCAATAGCGCTGCACCTGGAAGAACAATTATCCCCGGTAGAGAGATATTATGAAAACATCTTGTGCTGTTGCTCCAATTTTTGGACTGACTGTTCTCGCTCTAGGATCAAATACTGTTCAAGTAATATATGTTCAGTGCCGATCCCCTAGAGAATGGTTGGCATCGGTTTTTACCCATACCACCTCCTTGGTAAGAGGTTCAGATATTTCCTTGCAACTTTTTTGAGTACCGGCATATTCGAAGCCCCCGGTTCTACAAGTAGCATAAACCAAGGCCCCGGTAGCAACAATCGAGACGGAGACGTCTGCATAACCCAAGCATCCTAGTAAGTACCAATGTACTCGGAGGGATTATAACGGCTTCTTTCACCATCGAACCTTCCACGAACCAAATGACAAAGCACCAAGAACAACAATTATAACACAGACTTCTCCCACAGCCCAACCTTGCACAACAATGTACCAAGGTACTTGAATCAACTATGATGAGTCCTTCCACCGTCATCCCATTAAAATATACGTTCCAAAGTACCGGAAAGAGCCATGATCACGGAAACTTCTCCCACCTCTCAGCAATCGGCAAGAACAACTTAAAACGCAAGCAGCCATTCTCCCTCTTTTCTCGACCCATCTTGCCTTCCATTCCTCACACCAATACTCTTCACCGCATCATATCCCCACACAACCTACTGTCCACGCTACGGAGAGATATACCTCCCGAGCCCACAGTTTCCCCACTTGGACTTGCAATACTGTAAAAACAACCCGCACTAGCAGAAAAACGTGTCTAGCCTTTAAGTCTGAAAAGTCCACGCACTCCAAGCCCCCACCTGTTGCCCAAGTCCAAGCCTTCAAATGGGAAATCATGCCTCCGCCAAGAAGGCATCTATACTGCCTCTATACTCCATGGCCTTGCTCCTCCCTCCTCAAAAAGAAGATCTAGCAAGCAGACTCTCCACTGACAATAATAGACAAACAATCCGACCAAACAAGTGGGCATAGCTTTGCACAGCAGATCCATAAGCGCCTCGTTTCCCAACCTTAAGTCGTTGAACTTCATCAGACGGAAGAAACCCAAAAGCCCTCACCTTTACTGCATGCCAATGCTGATGATATGGCCATGGCTCGTCTGTATAGCTTCCGCCAAATTCCGAATACCATCTCCTATCCGTCACCTTCCGCCGTGGATCCAAGCTAGCACTGGCAGATAGTGTGGATTCGAGGCGGAGAGATGTGCGAATGGTGCTACTTTCCACCATCCGCACACCTGGTTGTTATCTATAAATCTTCCTATGCCGAGTATCCGAGATCGACTTGAGGTGACGAAGAGGGGGTACTGTTGCTCGAAGCCGTTTGAGGGATTCGGGGGAGGAGGTGGACGTGCGATTGCGTAGCTAAAGTAAGTGACGAAAAGGAAGCTCGAATTGCTAAATCCGAGAGCTTTGTGATTGACAGAGGTGACATGGCATGCAATGAAAGAATAGCTCTAACCTTGGCGTGAAAGAGAGATATCGATAATTCATATGTAAACTTAGTTGCGGCCTGGAAGATACTGAGTGCTGATGTTTGAAATGACGTCTCCGGAAATGTACTCCATGGCCGTTTCGGTGCGTTTGCTAGAATTGTTGAGTTTCTTCATACATCTTCCGAAAGTTTCCAACCATCTCATTTAAGCATTGAGGCGACGATCTCGTTGAGTCAGGAAAGTATTCAGTCGATCTTGATATGAGTAGGGAGTTGAAGGCGACAACGTCAAGTGTGGGCACACAACACGCTTGGTGGGACGAGAAACGTTGCTCACGCGTCTCGCTTGGCGTCCTGGAATGCGGGCAAATTTATGCCGAGACCCTCCCCCTTAAACCCCCTTTAACATAATAATAACATTGACATTGACAATATTTCATTTTCATTTCTATATACAGTGCCTCTAAAAGGAATGCTAAAACTCCGAACCAGGTTTATAAACAATTCACCAGTCAATGGTAGTGCCGTTCGGTCCACCAGCAGCAACAGCTTTCTTTGCCTCGAATGGTTTTCTTCCTCTCATCCCAACACCATTCGGACCAAGTCTCCGGTCAAGTTTTTCAAATGGTCCCTCACCACTCTCCCCCTTCTTCACCATCCACTTCTTGGTCCCCAGGACGCCATCTAACTCATGAACCGGCGGTAACTTCAAATACACCATTCCATCCTCCCTCTCCTCAACCGGGAACGTCGCAATACTCAAGTCCTCATCATTCTGACACCGCCCTGCTTGCTCGCCATTCAACTCAAAGTTCCTTTTATGGTTCGGACATGAGACCCAAAGCTTATCGTTCGAGTCCCCGATGAGTCCATCAGAGAGCACGAACGATCTCTTGTGGGGACACATCTGCTGACTCGCCAGCCACTTGCCTTTAACCCTGAACACCGCAAGCTGTGTATCGCCCCTCTTAATCGTCGCCGAGATCCCATTCGGTGCCTCATCTGCACCTTTGAAATGGCTTGCCTCAATGATAGGCTGCCAGGTAAGCGACGTCCACTTCGTGTTCCTGAAATCCTCCTTCACGCTCTCCTTAGCCCAATACACGGGTCTCGTCTGTCCTCTATCTTCCTCAAGCTCCATATTTTGCAGAGTGTCCGAAGTGTTGTCGAATTGGGCGAACTTCTTGCGGATCTCAGGGTCGCGGATAGCTTCGGCCCACTCGTCGAAGAAAGTGCCGACTAGCTCTTCCATTTGTGCTTCCAGTGAGGCGCAGATCCCGAGCTTGTCTTGGAGGATTACTTCGCGCAGGTATTTGATACCACCGGGGAGGTTTTCAAGCCAGCGTGCCGTCCGTTGAAGCTTGTCGGCTGTGCGGATGTAGAACATTAGGTAGCGGTCTAGGATAGGAACTACGTCGTCTGGGGGCACGTCTTTGGCGAGGAGCTCGCTGTGTTTTGGTGAGGCGCCGCCGTTGCCGCCGACGAAGATGTTGAAGCCTTTCTCTGTTGCTATCAGACCAAAACTAATACAATATTAGCAATGTTCGGGTTCCTATTGGTCATTGGTTGGGGTACTTACTCCTTGTTTTGAGCTTCAGCGCATTCTCGTACACAACCACTGACACCTCCTTTCATCTTATGTGGACTTCGGATACTCTTATATCTCTCCTCCAATCTTACAGCCATTCCCACGCTGTCCCCAATGCCATATCGACACCAAGTTGTCCCTACACAACTCTTCACCGTTCGAAGTGATTTGGCATAGGCGTGACCGCTTTCAAATCCACCTTCAATGAGCTCGCTCCAGATAGCAATGAGGTCCTGCTTCTGAGCACCAAACATATCGATTCTCTGTCCACCAGTGATCTTCGTATACAAGTTGTACTTCTTAGCCACATTTCCAAGGACAATGAGTTTGTCCGGCGTGATCTCTCCAGCACTCACTCGAGGAATGACCGAAAATGTACCATTTCTTTGAATATTGCCCAAGAACCGATCATTTGTTTCCTGCAGACCATGGAGAGGCTTGTCCATGATGTGCTTGTTATATAGTGTTGAGAAAATCGACCCAATACTCGGCTTGCACGCCTCACAGCCTTGACTCGTGGGATCATTCCCGGCTTCCTTCATCACCTCTGCCAGAGTCTTCAACTTCTTGACTGAGATGATGTTGTAGAGATCTGCTCGCGAGTAGTTGAAGTGGGGGCACATGTGGTTCTTGACCTCTTGGCCCATGGACTTCATGGTGGAGTTGAAGATGCTGGTGACGAGGGGCATACAGCCACCGCAGCCGGTTCCGGCCTTTGTGCATGACTTGACGTCGCCGATTGACTTGCAGGTGCCGTCTTTCACCGTATTGACCACATCTCCTTTTGTGACGTTGTGGCAGGAGCAGATTTGTGTATCGTCCTCCAGGTCGTCTCCTCCATCATCCCCTTCTTTGCTGGCCCCAAGGATAAATTGACTTGGTGGAACATCGAGCAGCTTCTGGTTCTTGACCATTGGAACCAGCTTCACGTAGTCTTTCGTATCACCGATCATCATTCCACCCAGAAGATATTTTCCATCCACAGTGAACAGGTACTTCTTGTATACTGCTTGGAATGGATCCTTGTACGTCAAAGCCTTGACTGGAGGCGGTGCCGGACCATCTGTCAATTTCCTCAACGCATCAAGACTACCCTCCTTTCGACCAGCTCGAATGGGAAGATGTTTCGGGCCATCTCTATCCGCGAAGAAGTCCCCAAAACTTGCAACTTCCACACCAAGCAGCTTCAACTTGGTACTGAGATCCGGTCTCTTGAACTTCCGATACGAGTGGACCTTGGCTTGCGTAAGGTTGAAAGAAAGAACTTCCGCCATCTCAATACCAGGAGCAATCAGACCGAACGTCTGATTCTCCCAACTCGCGCACTCTCCGATGGCATATATGTCCTCCTTACTCGTGCGTAAATCCTCACCAACGACGATCCCACCCCCTCGATCCGCACACTTAATCCCGGCCCTTCTTGCCAGCTCATCCCTCGCCTTGATCCCAATAGCAAAGCAAATCGTCGAGCATTCCATTTTCTCCCCATCCTCAAACACCACCCCCTTAACAGCATTCTCCTCCGTAACCTCAATCTTGCCCACCCTCTTACTAAGTAAAACGTCCAACCCCAAACCCCTAACCTGCTCAACGACAAGGCCACCAGCATCGCCATCCAACTGTCTACTCAACACCCACCGATTCCTCTCAATCAGCTTAACCTTCTCGAAAGCTTCTAGATCTATCATCGCTTTTGCAGCTTCGAGACCTAGAAGTCCTCCGCCTACGACTACGCCAACTGTGCCTTTCTTTTGTGCTGAGTAGCCGATGAGTTTTTGCAGGTCTTCGATGGTGCGGTAGACGAAGACGCCTGCGGCATCGTGGCCTGGTGTGTGTCGTGGGAGAAGCGCATCAGAGCCAGTTGCTAGCACGAGGATGTCGTAGGGAACTGTCTCGCCGGATGAGCAGGAGACGAGCTTGTGCTCGGGATGGATTTCAGTGACTTTGGTGTTGAGGTGATAGTTTAGAGAGCCTGGTGGGCAGGCAGAGTACTGCGAAGCTGTCAGTCAAGTCCCTCGAGCCCATTGAAATTGGAAAGAAAACCCACCCATTCTTTAGGATTGAGATATAGATTTTCGACTTTCCGGTGTTGGAAGAAAGATGTGAGGCCAACGCGGTTGTATGCCAAATGTCCCTCGTCCCCAATGACAATAATATCATATTCCCTCCTCTTCGCATCGAGCTTTATTAATTTTTCTCTGTGCCCGCCATTAGCATAAAGTCCTCATAACGGATTGGAAATTGGTGGTGAAAGAAAGACTCACATAAAACTTATCCCCACCATCCCCAATCCCACAATGACAACCTTCTTCCTCTGCCCACCATGACTCTCATTCTCAGAACCCTTCACACCACCATGCCCCCCTTCAACGGGCCCAGGTTTGATCTCCTCACCAGGAACTTGAGGCTGCAAATTGCTCGACATGGTGACTGTACCAATATCTTACGCACGATCACTCACTCACCCAGAATTCTCCAGTCAATTAAGAAGAGAAGGAAGAGGAGGAAGAAGGGGAAGGGACAGAGACAGAAGCGAGTTTGAAGAGAAAGAGAGAAAGGGCAACCTAGCCAGACTCTAACAGTAGCATGCTACATTCATCGACCGTCCCGTTCGAAGCCAGCGACTCCGGAAGATGCCCACCCAAATCCACGGAAAAGTAGCTCACGCTGCAATGGCGCATCACCACACTCTTCCATCCAATCACGAGCGAAACATTAGCTGCTGCACCGTCCGGAGAAGCAGATCTCTCATCGTGGGCTGCATCGAGCAGCTAGCTTATCGCACCGAGGAAATACTCTTATCACCAGAAAATCGACGAGCAAGAAGGAAGGAGGCTATCGGCGGGCGTGTTGATAAGGATAGGTTGCGGGCTGTGATTGGCTGGTGGAGAGTTGAGGGATGGTGATTGGCGAATGGCTGCGTGGGGCTAGAGGTTGGCGGAGATGCTAAATTCGACTGGGGGGCTTGTTGCGAGTTAACAGTTGATGGGAAAGGCCTGCAGGGAATTTGTCCTCGGGGATGGAAGTAGTTCGGCATCTTGGGATTCATTTATTTCTCAATTAATTTTGGATCACGAGCATCAGTTTTTGTTTTATTTCATTGATATTATGGCAAGGAACTTTTCTCATTAATACAGGCAAGAGGAGCTTTTCGTTGCCGCACAAAGCAATGAAGCATCACCCCAAGCGCTCTATCAAGAAAACACCGAGTATGAAAACATGCTAAGCATATCCTGAATCGTTCCCTGGCAGAGAGAAAGTAGCGCGGTTATGATGACCCTTATGCGCCGGTCATTTATCCTCCCAAAATCCAAATCCAAGGAAAAACTTCGTCTTGTGACGGAATGTGGGTTGAGTTGCAGAAAGCAGAGAACTCCAGGTAGAATACAACAGAGCTGTCTCCGAAGAAAAAACCACCCAGCCAAGGCAAGGTCCCGGAGATGTCTGAAAGTGAAGAAACCGGAGAGAATTGATCAACAACCCTCGCTGTTGTCCTCATCTGCCATGCTTCCATAACCCGCATCCTCCAGACCGACAATACGCTTCGTGATTGCCAAGCACCGCTCGACCATCTCTCTCTTAACTTCCTTGTCCAAACCACTTCTCTCACATCCCTTGCCGCCGATCCAGATTCTCAGTCTGCCAGCCAGTCTTTCCAACGCAAGCGTGCATTTCTCGGCAACGATGTCATGGTCATTGATCTTCTCCATAAGCTCGAAAGCTGCTGTGAAGCCGAGCAAGGTCAGATTGATAGGATGAATAGTGCTGATGATCTTCGGAGCAGCTTCGGGAATCATGGGAGGGGTGAAGCGCTCGAGATGTGCAATAGCCATTGCACAGCGAATAGACATCTTGATATCTGGAAGACTAGCCATCGAGGTGCTTGCGTTGATGAGACTTGTGGTTGCATTCTTGCTGCCAGGCTTCTCCAATGGGCCGAGAGTTTGCAGTGCTTCTGCGATGCTTGCTCCGCGCTTCTCCTTGACGAGAACAGCACGTGCGACGAGCGCGCGGATTTGGGCTCCAGAACCGATGGGTGCGGTCTTGATGGAGAGAGCGATATCGTCAATGATAGCTTGTTGGGCTGCGAGGTCTTCTTCCTTGCTTTGGACGCTCTTGGCAAGGGCTCTTTGCAGAATGAGACTGGAGTACCATGCTGCGACGGCATCGAGGGGGCTGCGAATGGCAAAGTCGTCAACAACTTCATCCATGCCCTCGCTGGAGCCATTGGAGTTCTGCGTAGTTGGAAGGTTCCATGCTAGGTTGTAAGCACGTTGACCAATGCTGTCGGCAAGAACATCATCACAGTCCTGCTCAAGAAGAGCTAAAAGATACTCAGGGAGTTCATCTTCTTGCTTGATCTTCGTGTGTGCTATCAATCGCTGGAGTTGCTTGGCTTCGTTCCACTTCCATCTTGCCATCTTGGCGGCAATTTCCTGGAACAGGAAGAATCCATTAAAGCCTGAATTGCCAATCTCCCAGAGGAGTACACGGATGTGCAAGGACTTCAGCATCAAGCGAGCTGGGGTATCTGGGAGAGTTCCTGAGGCCAGGAGAGTCAATGTGAGTCGACTCTTGCTCACCTCGACATCACCGCCAGCCAACTGAGCATCAAGGGCGATTGACCATGCCTTGACTCTAGCAGCTTCTTGTTGTGGGGTGATTCCGGTGACATAAGTATAGCCTTGAGTGCCAATGACGTTGCGCATGCTGAGCTTCATCATCTTCAAGCACAGAGCTGCAGCCTCGAGGAAGAAGTTATGGCGAGGGACCCAGACAGTCTGGATGGCCGTAAGCCATGCTTGCCGGCGAACTGATATCGAGGAGGCGAGAGAAGGTGCCGCAACAATGGAAGAGCTCTGAGTCTTGCCATCCTTTGGCTTCGGCTTCGACTCGAAAATGGACGGCAAGAATACATAGAGAAGAGAACCCAAAACCAAGAAGAACTTGAGATAACCCAAGGCGTGAGCTGCTGGAAGGTGATAGCCGAGGACGTTGATTTTCAGCGAAGAGTGAAAGGCACTGCTCAGAGTTTTGAGAAGTTGTACGGGGACGGCGAAAAGACCCCGGGTGGCTGGTGAGTCTTTTTCTTGCTCTGATTCGGTGAAGCCTTCCATGATCATGAGACCCGCAAGAGATCCCACCATCAACTTGCCGAAGTAACCACCATTGTTCCAGCCATTGGGACCAACTGGACGGCCTTGCTGATACTGCTCCTGTGGAACCGGATATGTTTGTTGATTGGTGACACCTGCTGAAGATCAGTTTCGGTTCTGCTTACGGTTTCTCAATGCTCCCATCGGGCAGGCAATGGAAGCGAACACAAATGTCAAATGTCAGTATAAATAAAAAAGAAATAGCTTACCATGAAGTCTTCGGATATCATCTGGCACTGGGATCATTCCTTGCGGATCAATACTGCTGGGGCTTGGACCAGGAGTAGCATAATCAGATGGGTATTGGAATGAGTTGGCCATCGGGGGCGCTGGGTTGAAACCCATGGAACCAGAGCGGAACAATGTTTCGAAGGCAGCAAGACGAGCCTTTTGCTCGGCATTCTGTTCTTGTAATCGCTTGTTGCGTTTTTCAAGGTGATTAATATATTCAGTAGCTTTGCTAAGAACCTGTGTAGAGTCAGAACTGATGGGGAGGGAGATCAATTGCATAGCTCGGACATAAACACATTTATTTGAATAGTAATGAATGAAAGCGATAGGATCCTCCGCTGCACTGTGTCTTGCGGGCCAAGATTGTTGAAAGATAGATAGATAGAGTTGAGAATGGGGTGATTTCGGTTCCCGGAAGAAACAAAATCCATCACTTACAGTAGCTTTATTCAACTTGTGGGCAGGCGTCAGGCCTTGCAGCTCTTCTCTATCTGTAATTGTGTCTTCGCCACGGGCACTCTTTGTCATAATTCGTAGACTTGGTACGCTGTCCCGCAACGCTGCAATCTTGTCGTTGAGATTTGTTCGGTATCGCTTCTCAATCATGTTATGGGCTGTTTTCTTGACCGGCGGATTAGAGTCATCGTCCTCCTCCTCTTCATCTGCCTCTGCGGAGGACTTGCGCTTGCGACTGCGTTCATGATTGTCAGGAGACGAGATGGAGTGGCTCTTGGTGCTCGCAGTTGAGTTCGGACTGTGGTGAGTTCGATATTGGAGGTGCTGTGGCATCGCAATATTGCGCAGCTTCTCCTGCTGGGCTGGAGTAAGAGTATTCATCGTCATAGTATATGGCGCCGTAGAGACTGGGAGAGGGTCGACTTTCGGCTCCGGAGGCTCCCAGCTCAACGGCGTTGAGTAGAGGTTGCCTTCGTAGGGCGGAGACTCCTCCCAAGAGGCCGGGAAGACAGGATCTTCCTCGAGGGCAGCCAGATTGTCGGGGTACGCCGCACCAGCGTCGTTAAACAAAGGATCGAAAGAGAAATCGTCAAAGGTGTTCGGCAGGGCAGATTGATCGAAGGTGTCGTCCTTCGAGTCCATGATGAGAGGCGTTTACTGGGAGATCAGGAATGACCTGATAAGCCTGCGACCAGAAGATTGCCCAGGGTAAAACGCTGCGTTCGGGTTCGGATTCTCATAATCGTATGACCGGACTGTCATGTACTCACTTTCTGTGGTTCATATTCGTATTGTCAGACCACAATCCAAGCGCTAGGGTCTAGAACCACTTTGCCGACTCGTGAGCCACGTACCGAGCCAATCAGCACACAGCGGAAATGCCCGCGCTTGGTTTCCCCTCCAGGATTCACATTCTCACTTCTACTCTTAGGTGCGAACATGTCATCCCTAGTTAAGGTTCAGCGACGGCACCGTAAATTACCCTCCTTCCAAGCCCACATGCATCAATCAGTCCTGAGTTCTCAAGAAATGTTTGTGAGTGGCATATATGGCAATAGCTGGGGATAACTATTGAATGATCTATTATTTCCATTTTCTAGAAACCGGGGTTGGTTTTAAAGGTCCATCCTACCAACCTTGACATATTCTATTAGCTCCATCAATCTCCTCAGAATTGGGAGAGTCCCAATCATTCTCCAGGCTTCCTTCAAGCTCACTGTACCCGCCTTTCCTGAATCTCAGATATTTAGCCGCTCCCCTCCAGTTCCTCCATTTTTCCATCCTCATACTCTTTTGGCGCTTCCTCCCACTCAAGAGTCGCTACACCTTGAAGTCCCTTCAAAAGCCATCACAGATTTCTTCGAACTAGGCTCCTCCCCCTTTTGGGCTTGCGCCAAATCTTGGCGAAGACTCAACGAGCAATTTTGCAGTATCAAATACAAATCCCCGGCTTCACTTTCCTGCTACACAACGACAACCACGAGTTAAGCGTCGGAGCGGATCAGAGACCAGCTGTGCGATACATTGTTTGCAGAGCTGTGTCTTCATGTGGAGGCATGGGCAACAAAGTATTCTACGTCAGTAGAACTACGAAACTTGTGGATACAGTTCTCGTGTGCAGTCGCTGCAACGAGTCCAGATGAGATTGGCCAGCAACCTGTGTATCAGCTACCTTTCGGAGATCTCGACTCAAATTGTTTTGAGAATTGGCTCCAGAAATTGTTGAGGTCGCAGGTCAAGATGGGAAGGTTGGAGGAAATGTCAAGCCTGGAGGAATATCGCTGTAAGACGTGCGTTTCTACATTTCCTCGCGAGATTGATTTTGAGAGGCATAAGAAGCGGTGGAAGCATCGTGAGTTCCCTCCGGACGGAGTGAAGATTGGGATGCGCCGGATTAGCAATCAGTATAGTGGAGCTGCTGAAAATGGCTTCAGATTGCTAGAAAATTATAACAATGAATCATTCAATACGTAGCTCTACTTGCTTTGATACATGCCATTCACGGGCATTTCTTGAAAAACTCAGGACTGGTTGTGAAGTTCAGATATAGGTGAGGTGTATTGATTTTGGAGGACTACTGTAGAGGGATTGGGCCCCCCAGAGTCTGAGTAGACCCTGTGATTTAATAGAATATTTTCCGGATGTCAATAAAACCCTTCATCTGCCTTTTGCGTCATGTCGTTGCTCATTTTCATCAGAAATGGAAAATGAACTTTAAACGTAATCAATCATGACGAAGAACGACTGGCTACACCGCAACTCTTCCACTGCTCATCGAGAAACTGATAACTCCAGAAATTTACACACAAAAGGAATGTACAGCTTATAACTAGAGTCTTCCCTCAGAATATATAAGGTAAGCCTACGGGAGCAGCAAGCCAAGATTCGCATCCCAAAGCACTCCCGAACTAAGGAGTCCAAACGGAACAAGAAACGACGTGGAGAAACCGGAGGTACATTTTACTCAGATTCCCAAGGCGGGCATCTCTACAACAGTCCCCACTCAGCATACACAGCAAGGTAGCGTTGTCTCGTCAAATACTTCCATTCAGATTGTCCATCTTCACTCGAAATCGGCTTGGTACCAAGACGAAGCGAGTTCATGCGGGGGATAATGGTCCAAGTGATACACAGTTGGGGAGAAAGAAATGGAAATGCTTCTGATGTCTCGCAATTTCTGTCGTGAAGCTCACAAGAAACCCAAGTGAAGTTACTCGCGGCTTCCAGTCTCGTTGCAGGTTCAAGTTGAACCGAGAAAGTCGTCTCCATTAGAATCGAGGCTATACTGACGGCTGTTAGACAACTGTTATTTGATAGTTGTGGCCTTAATATCTTGTATCAAAAATATCATCTGCGACGGAGCGAGACAGAAATTGGTGTGGTCCTGAGCCAAGGCCCAGCTTGCCGAGCCGAGACCGTCAAAACCCCGCCACAACTTTTCCTCACTCTCACAACTTCATCTCAACTTCACCACAGCATCACCACACCACAATCCCCAAAACCATATCTGTGCATATGCAACCCGGGGCAGATCGCACTCGCAGAAAACAAAATCGTGTTGTTCCCCGTGTACAAAAATAAGCTATGAATCGTCAAGGGAGGTGGTTGTTAACCAGAGGATCCAACGCGTCTGCGAAACTACACAGGTTTCAGTGTCCGTTTCCATCGCACGGGCAGGGCTGGGCACAGAGGTCGACCCCCCCTTTTCTGAGCCAATCGAAGACCTTGCTGCGACCGTAATCCTGCCATATCTACATCCCGCGCAATGCCGCCGCCTGTCACTGTCAGAGATCTCGTTCCAGTTTCTCTCGACGTCGAACGTTTTGGCGAGTGTCAACCCAATCGAGCCTATGCCACGCCCTGATCGCTGTTTGACGATGGCTATGGTGTACTGTCATCAAATCGATGTCCGAGGCAGAGAGTTCTGTCGCCCCGGTTGGAGCCATGTGCACCATGTGACCGCTGGGCTCCTCCAGGCTGGGTCTCTCATTATTCTCACGAAGTCTCTGAGACGAACAGCCTTTCTGCTTGTTGTCGTCGGCGCTCACCATGAGATTGGAAAGACAATCCTTCGCCATGATGCGTGTTCATGAACTTTGATTCCTTCCATCCTTCCCCATAGACTGGGTGTTATCATTATAATTCTTTCCTTTGTCGGGTTCAGTTCTGCGCCTGCGCCGCGATGGCCATTTCGGATGCCGTTCAGACCCTGTCTGCGGCATTTTCATTGTCAGTTGGAAATGTACTCTGTTCGACGCTTCCCTCTGCTAACGAGTCTGGGTAGTGGTATATTGCTTCAGGCGGCGTCAGGAACGTTATTCCTTTACTACAGAGGTCATGGACCGACGATTTTTCAGGACGGCCGGAGGCTGGTCCTCGTGTTTTTCTTATTATTTGCCGCCCTGTGGGCGCAAATCGATTTTGTGAACCTGCTACTACCAGTAACGTCGACGACGGCTTGCCAGGTGACACTGGTCTTTTCAACGATGCTCGACCAACTGGCGCGAGTGGTGATGGAGCAATTTTTACTGTGGTCGGTGGGACACGGAACGAAATTGACAGCGGAGCGAATGGTTCTGCAGGTTGTATTACTTCTCAGACTCATTGCAGGCGGACTGCTTGTTGGTTTTACAAGGCCGGAATTTGCTCCCGCGTGCGTGGCCAGGACATCGGTGCTACCAGTTGCGATTGTCGTTCTTGTTCTGGATGTGATCGTTATTGGTGTATTGATCATTCGAGCCTTGTCGCTGGGCATGTTCCAAGATTTGAGGGAAGGGGATTCATGTCCGAGACAGGAACAAAGCAGAGCGTTGATAATCAGTATTGCTGGCTTCACTGTGTGGACTGGAACTAGCGTTGCGATGATATTGGGGATCCCGACTATTCTCCTCACCATCCGGACAGTTTTACCGTCCAATGGCCTTCTGATTCTTGTTGGTTCGTACTCCTGCTCTTGCCCCGGTATAGAAGTTTTCCTAAATTAGCCCAGGCATCATTACAATGTTCCTCCGTCCTCTGATGCTCGCCCGAGAGGATGAAGCAATCACTCCCGAAGCGAGATCCCCCTTTGTGACTCCCATACCACCATCGCGAGAGCTCTTCCGAGATAATGTCGCCAGCAATGGATCTCCAGTTTCCGGTCATGGATACGCCAAAAGCGGAGGGCTGTTCGTTGTAAATCCTTCCTCCACGCCTCGAGACTCACCAACTGCCATGTTCCAGGGGAATTCTCGAGGCGATACAAAGGGATTTACGAAGCTTGGAGAAGAAATCACAGTGCAAACTATGAGTAGAGATGCTCCAGGAAGGCCTGAGAGACCTGACGGAAAATATGGAGCAGGATATCGCGGGTCCAGTGGGGTCTTCCCGTCCATGTTCACCGCTTCGCCGATTGGTGTTATAGGTGCTCTTGCACCACAGATCAGACCCAATATCACTGTCAAAACACAAGATTTATCGGCAGCAATCCAGCAAAAGCGATCCCTCTTCAACAGGTCTAAGCCCCCGCCAAAGGTTAGTGTGCGAGGTCTGGCCATCTCTCAGCCAGTAATGGCCAATCCAGATGGTTCTGCCATACAGCCAGTTGCACGAATGCAAACAATCGACTTGGCAACAGCCGCCATCAACGAGCGAAAGCGTCGAGAAGAGGCCGCTGCCAGATCCAGACTCGTAGCGAATAAAGCCCCGCCTCAACCTCCTGGAATGTCAGCACAAGAGGCATTGCGCCGAAGTATCAGCGTTAAGAGAAAGGAAATGCCTTCATATCATCCACTTGTGATGCCGACGATTCCTGCCTCTTCGGCATCTGGACTCTCGGTTGACGCTGCAAATGGAAGTACGACATCAGCATCTCTTTCTCCTGGGCGAGAAGAAGTCCGACGGAGATCACCTCGCAATGCAAATAGCTTCAATATCTTGATGGACGAAAAGCCTTCTCGACAACTTCCTCTCCAGAGAAAAGTGACCCTTGGACTACCATCGAACCCCAAATCCCAAAGAATCACCATGGCACAAGAAATGGGTATCCCAAGGGAGCAGACCGTGATGTTAATGAACGACATCGTCTACGACGATCCTGGAATGGTCAAAACCATCATCAGTGGGGCACCAGGGATGTATGTCTCAGCAAAGAAAAACCATAAGACGTCGGAGAAGACTTCCATTGACTCGACGGCCAGTGGACTCCACTCCGCCAATTCCGTCATTCATCGTCCTCGGCCGTACAAACGTAAAACCCAGGACCAAAGGAATTTGTTCCCAAGCGAGCCCTCTCCAGGGCATAGGAGGAGTAGATCAGGTTCATCGATTGTGGTCCGAAAGTCATTTTTGATGTCCGACCCTGGCAGCCCTACACTACTGCCGCCGCTCCCACCTCCTCCTACGAGTGCAACCAAGTTGCCTCGTCTCCTGCCCAATGACACGAAGAGCATGACGTTTGATGAGAAGATTCAACTGCTCTTCCCAGCCCCCCCTGGGCCGGTCTCTAAACACAATCGCAGGTCCTCAGTTCCGTCTCTTCCTCGAGTACCATCCGTGTTCATGTCTGAGAGCCCGCAGGCACAGAGCCCGACAGACGAAGAACTTCCAAGCCAAAGAGCTTCGAAGCGAACAACCATAGCCTCTTTTGGGATACCCGATATGTCTAATCTAAATGGATCACCAAAATTGGAACTCTCTCGCCAGGAAGAGCGCAAAACCTACCGCTTCAGCGCAAATACCTACAGAACTATTGCGGACCAAGTAGGAGAAACCTGGATCCCAGGCATCCCACCCAAGGAAATTGATATCCGCAATTCAATTCAGCAACCTGCGCCTCGGCCTTCTGCTTATGACATGCGCCAGTCTCATTTCACTGAAGCAACAACCTCAAGTGATGAGAGTTCTCAGGATGATTCTACTACTTATTGGGGATCTATCCACTCAGAGATTCCACCCGTAGATCTTTCGAAAGTAATGCAGACAGCACAAGCAACCATGGTTCAGAGATCTGGTGCTCGAGTTAACGCTAGTCAGGGCAGAACTTTGCCACCTGTTCCACAGGTCAAGCACGAGGAGGAAGAAGTGATAATGACAGTGATGCTGGAAACAGAAGAGACTTCACGATCGTTCTTGCCCGGATCTGCCCCTAACAGAGGCTCGTTTTTCCTTGATGCAGATCAAGCCTTGCCTGGTGACAAAACACCCACAGCTCAAAATCTGCCTTCATGGCATCGCCGAATTGGTGATGAGCTCCCAACATTCTCAGAGAGGAAGTCGAATTCTAGGTCTCGCAAAATGCCACTTCCTACACCTCTCCTTTTAAACAAGACCGGACGAAAAGCTAAAGTCATCGTCCGGGCAGCTGAGCCATCTCCACCCGCAGACTCGCCTGAGCGTGCAATCCAAGAGATACAGGCACAACTCAAGCGTTTAGAAGAGCCTAGTCGAGGATCAGTTGGCTCCCTTCTGAGGCATTTGCCGAATGTTACAACCAGTGTTGACGAGCAAGACCAAAACAGCCGCCTCCGGCTTCTGGAAAATCTCGAGAAAGAGATGGGGCAACAGCAGGATCAGTGGCAGCAAATGCAAACAAATCTCGATCGAGATTCCATGTCCGTCATCATGACTCCCAAAGCTGAGCCTTCAGAAGAGGATATGTCCCGACGATCGTCTCAGAGGTCTGCCCGCACCCCACCTGGAGTTATGTCCCGTCGCGCTCGTATTCGAAGCAGCATGACAGTGCGATCTAAGGGTGAAGACTCCAGCCGCACCAACTCGACCGCAAGCTCTGATAACTCGAGAGCCAGTGTTTGGCAACAACGTCTTGCAGAGGCTCATATGGCCTATGTGGAGAATGCACCAGATCTTCTTCGCAAACGAAGCTTGAACTTCCTCTCAATTTCGAAGGCCCAGCAACAGCAGCTGGGTAGTCCAACTCCTCCTGACTCTGATACCGACTTGGAATTCGAGTCCGAATCCGAAAATGGGGAGGTTTCCAATCACGTCAGCCAAGACCTTGCCTCACTTTGGCAACTTCCAGTGTCTTCACCTAAAGCAGCTGTTGGCCGCATTTGGAGCCGCCAAGAAAATCTAATTAGTCGACCAGCGTCTCCTCAACCTCCTGCCCGTGATATTAGGCCCGCACACCGCCTCCTTAAGTATCCTCTCGTGATCACCAGCTTCAATCTCTGGACAAAGCCTCATTCTTCTACTCACAGCCGTCCAGTCGTAGCCCTTTGGGGCTCAAAGCCTGTGCGCCCTAGAAGCATTTTGACTCGTCGCGCCATCCAAAGGCCGCAGCGAAAATCGAGGCGTGTGACGTTCCTTCCGGACATTGGTAAATCAGTCCCCAAATGTAGCAACTTCGAAGCTAATTCGTCGATAGTTGAAAGCCCTGTGCCTATTCCGAATAAGAGAGATACTCTTGGTATCTTCCAATTTCCTTGGGGAGAGACATCTGATCAACCCATTTATCAACCCGCGTTCAACCCAGCTCTGCTGGCTGGCCCTGCCATCAACGCGAGATTAGATGCTCGATCTCGACAACTTGAGCCCGAATCTGAATATACATCTTCCTTCTTTGACGATTATGATGACGGAGAGAGTATGTATCACCAAAGACGTGAGGTTTGAATGGAGGCTGACATGACCGCAGCGGACCCAGAGAGTGACGACGATTTCGACGAAACCACCCTGTGGGAAATTGCAAATCTTTTGAACACGAAGGATATTCCTTCCAAGAACAGCCTCCTGCCTTCTGGAAGAGCAGAAATCATCGAAGATTATGATGAATCTGAAAGTGACTCCGAGGAGAACACCAGCAGCAAGGCGACCAACAAGGCACCGCCAATGCGTCTCCCAATCCAGCCACTGTCAGTTCCCAGGGAGATTTCGCAGCTCTGGGCGAAGGATGTTACATCTGCGTTCCCAGCGGTTGAAGTTGGTTTACCAGAACCTGAGCCCAGTGCTTGGAAGGCTCTTGTTGCATCTTCAGACAATGTCTTTCGGTCTAAGCCGCGTACCTCCGATACATTGCCAATACTTGCTACCCGTGACTTGTGGACCGTTCCGGAGATAGAAGTGAATGCTGTTTCATCTTCACCTTCTATGTGGACCACCAACGAGATCCTTGAGCAGTCATCGAGCCAAGTACCGACGCCAGGAACCAATCAGCCTACTCCAATGTGGTCGCCACCAGCAGAACGAACCGAAGACCACAAGTCTGGCCTTTTCACGAACCCTACTGAAGGCTCAGTGATCCGTACAACGCAGGCAGTACCAGCCGCAATCGAGATGGTGAAAACCCCGCGTCAAGCAACCAAAGCAGTTCCTAAAATATCATCTCGGAATATGTGGACTACGGTTCAGAATTCTGAGAGTGCGACTGAATGGATTTCGAAGTCTAGCGTACCCATGAGTGGACGATCAGTTTCGAGCCCGTCACCCCTGTGGACCACACCAGTAAAGGTGGCGACTGTCACTGTGTTCGGGCTCTTCGATCTTTCCATGCCGAGATCTGATTTTCGCCTTAGCTCTTTGGCACCAGCCGCAGTCAACATGATCTGCAAGCCTCGCAAATCTCTGAGTCCCCTAAGCGGATTGACGTCTAGTGGACTCTGGAATGGTTGCAATAAGCTGCCGATCGAACAAGATTGGATCTCAGTGTCCTCAGTGCGACCTGAAAGCCCTTCAGTATATTCTACCACTTCTTCGGGTAGCTCGTCTCCGGCATCTGATTCATCCTCCGTTGCATCCAACAGCACGAAAGCTTCCTCTTTCTGGAGCTCTATTGGAAATGTAACACCCGGTTCTGTATTTACATGGTGGGAGGGCAAGAAATCTACACCAACTTCCCTGGAAGGAGAAGCTAAGCGGTCAGCAAAGATACTCCGCCAGCAGTCTTCCAAACAGCTCGCTCCCCTGCGAGAATCGGAGGTCCTGGCATCTCGAGACTTGTGGGAATCTAGAGCCCCAGTTTTGGAGACCCCTGCAAAGAAGTTCCGCAAAGCTACAACTACGAAGTCCCTTCGTCACCAGTACAGATCTAATGTTGCCTTTCGTGCAGACTGGGAAGAAGCTCTCGCTCAAGCAATACTTGCTGGAACACCCAAGAAGTCTTTGACACAACCTCTCGCAACCCTCACTGATTGGGAGTCTGCTCTTGCTGAGGCTGTTGCTCTTGGACAACTGACCAAGCGTTCCAAATTTGACCCAACTGTGATGCATCCAGTCTTCTTCATAGAGTCCCTCGTTTCAAGCTCTATCGATATTCACCCCGCCGCAATTGGTTACGTGACGAAGAGACCTGCTTACGATGCCTCCGTTCTTCACCCTGTATTTTTCACCGAATCCCTCGTCTCGAACGCGAGAGAAGTCCACCCGGCTGCACTTGGACATTTAGCCAACAAGCGGTCGCAGGCTAGGGGTATGTGGACATCAGCGCCGTCATCTCCTCCCTCCGAACGTATGCAATTGTGGTCAAAGAACGCAGGTCAAGCACGCGATTCTTCAATGCACAGTGAGGAGTTCAGCGGTCATGCAGTCCGAAAAGCTCTCACGATAAAACCGCTAAACCTGCCAGTACTGAGTTCGTCCACGTTCTGGCAGCAGCCGGCCCAAACTGCGAAGCAACAACGCGACTGGCTGACAACGGCCCATGTCAAGCGATCTTCGTCTCGCCCTGCGGCTGTTCAACGTTCGAGAACGAATACTTTGTTTGTCAAAGATACCACCAAGTCATCAGTTACTCACTGGCTCCATAAGACATCTACCGCGGGAATCGCCTTCAAGCAGTCAGCAAAGATGGAGAAGAATGACCCCGCATCGGCCGCACTTTTCATCAATCCGCACGCCGAGCCTTGGAGCAGGAAAAAGAGAGAGGACGCGTCATCGAATAGGATTGAAAGTGCCGAAATGTGGCGTCCATCAATGGGGCTGCCTGAGAGTCCGACAAACTGGCTCGTGAATAGGAGAACTTCGAGAGTTGAATTCAGATACTGAGAGTTGCTCAGACTTGAAGTATCTACTGTATAGATAATTTTGTTTGTCAATAACGAAGGAGGAAGAGGGAAGTTTGAAATGCGATGGACATTGTTGATACCCATTCACGCGAACCTTTTCTCGAGTAGCCATTTCATGAACCGTTCAGCGTGACTAACTGTAGATACTTGGCTGTGCCATTTTCGGACCCTCCATCGTAGATCGCTCCGTCAACCCATCTGACATTCCGACTTCGATGACATTGGCTAGCCCGTGGGCTAGGTTACCAGGATATTTATTTTCAAGCTTCAGGTTCTCGACCAAATCGAGATCTTGGGGCCCATGAAGTTGGGTTTCCTCTTCGGGGGATTGTTTCTCCTCGATGCGAGAGGTAATGGCGTGAGCAAAGTCTTTGTATACGAAGAGACGCTCGGTACGCACTCTTCCGAGTGGATATTGAGCTTACGTCCTCACCTGCATTGCTCATTTTGGAGGTTCTGGGAGTTCAGGAATCCAAAAGCCCGTGGTCGCAGATAGAAAAGGTATACGCTGAACCCACATACGGCAGTGAGAGCTGATGCTAACTCGGCAGCTGGGGGAATGATGCCAGTCCCGCTCCACTTAGTCGTGCCCATGATTCCTACATTTTTTAGCCAGGCTTGATTCCAGGCAATCTCTCGGTATGCGTCGAAATATGTGCTACACCAGCTATTATCTTGATCTTCGTGCGTAAAAGTGTGCGAAATGTGGGCGAAGGCATTCATGTAGGCTGGAGCTAGCCAGAAGGTGAGTAATGCATCTCTTTCCGAGCACGCAGCCGAGTAATTCGCATATCCCGTCGAATTGGACGGCCAGAGACTTTTCCCTGTTCCTATTGGCTTGGTATATTCAAGAGCAGTATCTATTTGTTCTGGATATTCGACTAATCATTGTTAGTACTCACTCTCTCAGCACAAAGATCACGCTGTAAAGCAAAGTCTCATCTCACGAATAGTAAGGAATACTTACTAGGTCCTGGAGCGCAAGTCGTTGCGCCACGCGAGGACGTAGCAGCTTGCTGCATCCCATTAACCTTGAGTCCACGAATGTTGGAGGATACAAACCTCAACATTTCCATTGCCATTGTGGCCAATCTCTATGGTCCAATTACTTTCGGAGGGAAGTTTTTGTTCACTGTAGACATAACACTGATATGATGGGGCATATCGTTGGCTGCAACTCGATAGTTTGCTATGGGATCGCTCGCGTAAATCGGGGTTTGACTGCATGAGCTATTGGCTGTTTACCTCGACGTTAGTCTTGTAAGGAGTCATACAGAACCATGTCATCGACTACATGTGGAGTCAGTATTGTAGTATTAATTGGGGCCACTTGATAGTTATATAAAGTTTGCCATTGCAAAGCCGAGAGAGCACTTTGATTGCCAATTGTGCCACCTTTGTTGTAGCTGACCTCCGATAAAACCACAATCAATCCGTAGTTCCATGTGTTGCTGTATCATTGAGAAGTGGCAAATTGGCACCAGAAACTGGAACAATGAGAATCTGATACGGGATGCCACGATCGTTTCACCCAGAGTACGCCGAGTATGACGAAGCTTTATCTCGAGCTATGACAAGTGCGTGCTGCTGATGGTTGCGCCTGTGACGGCTCCAGCTCGGACTTCTAGATGAATGGGGTTGGTGGTGTTGGCATGGAAGGCGAGATTTCCTTCCGTCGAGTGCTCAAGAGGGACTGGATCTGCAGGCACGTGTAGAAATTGATGATTGAGTGCTGCGTCTTTGGAGAAGCTTCGTTTATGGTTGCAATGAATGCCGCCACCGCAGGCCGGTACTTGGCACAAGGCCAGCGCAAAAACGCAATATCGCAGCTGTGTGGTGAACATGGTCGGAAACAGACACACAGCAGCCTGACGGCGCTGTCGAATGGTGCTGTCCGGTACCACGAAACGCAAGTTAACTATATAAAATCAAGAGGACAGCTCGTTGGCATGGGGAAGATGGTGAACATATTTCGCTGTCCACCTGGCCAACCGATTCGAGAAAAACGCGTGTACAACAGCTCAAACAGGTCTGTCCTCCAGACGAACGCCGCATCCGCCACGTATACAGAGAGCGTGAAGGGTACTTGATCGATCCGGGCATTTTGGATTATCGGTTTTAGCCCGAAAATTCCACCCGGGGCAGTTATATTCCACTATCATACAGACTTCCTTGCGGGGAAGCGGCTTCAACTGTAGTTGCGATGAGTGACCTCATTGGTGCGGGAATCAACGGGTGGGCCCCTTCAACGACCGAAATAGTTCCTGGGGGGTGGGAGTTCGCAGTAGGGTACCGGTGGTGACTTGGTGGCTCGGAGACATGTGACTTGAATAGCCGCCACGGTCGTTCATCGTGGGAATCAGCCAGGGGGCATTGGGAGCCGCCCTTGCCGTCGTTCGGTCATGATAGAGTGCCGTAGCTGCCGCAGGACATCGGAACTCAAGGAACAATATTGTTATTTCAACATCTGCAGTTGGCTGATATGGGTGAATGCAAGGAAGTTGGAGAGCAGATGATGGTGTCGAGGGAGGGTGTGCGTCAGTCAGGGGTGCTCTGGGCGGCACAGGCGGTCGACCCATGCAAATGCAATGCAGCCTGCAAAATCTCCGCTTGCCCCTGTTCGCTTGCCCTGAACACACGTGTCCGCGGCGCATCTCGCCGCTCTGGGCCTAGCGCCTACTTAAAATTGACCTCGAGTGCACACTTAACCCCAAACGCCAGGCTCCCAAACATCCAAATAGTAGACGAGCCTCGACGTTCAATCTATCTGGCCAACGAAATAGAGCCCTGCCAGCTGCCACAAGCATGGCTCGCCGCCCACCAGCTCATCTAGACGTCATCACCTGCAACATTCTGGGCAAGTTGCAACACCATGGCGCTGGCTTCGCGACTCTCTGAATCGAGTCGACCTGAGGGTTGAAGCAGACACCCGGTCGTGGTCATAGAATGTGTGCTTTGCTCTAAGGGTACCGAAACTATCAAAAGGTACCGATATGGAGGCAAATAATATTTTTCATCATGGATTCATCACTCAGTCAGGCTATTGCCGAGACTTTGGATACCCGGGCCGATGGTATAGGATCTTGTTCCACGGATCCTGTCTATATTGCAATGCGCATATATATCCAGGATCAGCGCCGAAGGCATTTGTTCCGCCTGGCCGGATGTATATTTCAAAAAATCAGGGCATGTACCTTCGTACCCTCATCTACCGAATGCGGACATTTTTCTTTCCTCCGGCCATAGGATGCTTGAGGTTTTCATATCCCAACAGTTTCCCCAGTAGCCTTGCCTTCCACCATGGGGAGCGAAGAGTTGGCCATTGTATGATACTTGTTTTATAGCGCTAATATGTTGACATGCTTTCACTGTTTGCCGTTACTCAGATGCCCTACTCTCACTCATGTATCCTTTGCCCACTGATCGAGGTTTCCCAACATCTTGTTGCGCCCTGTAATGGCTGAGATCCTTGGTGTGCAGGCTGCTGGTTGGCATCAATTACACCAATACTGGTGGCAGTTTGTGAGCGATTCCTGGATGTGTTGGAGGATGTGATCACTGATTTTCCGGCAGATACTGGTTGGGTTTATCCTCGTTTCTGTGGGCCTCGGATCAACGTTCTTATTGTACCTAACATGTTCAAGTCTACTGGATAGATGGCCTGTAAGTTCATTCTGAAGGAGGAGAGGCACTATTGCGTTAGCGAATGCCACTTCTCATGCATTGCGTTGATTGCCATGGATGGATCAATTAGAGAGATTTTGACTAACTTGCTGCGGGCATGCAAATCAAGGCTCAAGGCCATGTCACCATCTGCTGTCAGAGCCTATGTCGAGTACAGCATAGATAACTTCTCTCCGTATTGAAGCGAAAAGCAGACAAAGAAGCCTGAGAGCTATGGGGTGTACCTTGGCGAGTTCAAAAAATCCTCCTACGAGCCATCAGATGCAAATGCTGTCAGAATGGGAATTCCTCATCTTTGATCCGCCGCAACCGGGTATGGTGGACGCGATGTCCTCTGGATTTTATCCTGTCTCATCGCAGTCTCTGGCCCGGCCCGACATCGAGTATGTGGTGGGTCATGCTGAGCTACCTCACATAGTCTCCCTGGTCGAGTGGGTTGCAAGACACATCGAACACTCCGCGAAGATGACTGGTCATCATTGCTGCTTTACCGGCCTCGTCTTCAGCAATTGGAACAACTGTCTTCCGTCCTCGGCGCTGGAAACTTTCATTCGCTTCCTTAGTTCGCTCGGGCTCTCTGTCTATCTTAAAGTTTGTGCTCCGCATTTGCTTCGCAATGTCAGTTTGGCTGAGCTAGACGACGTGACGGGTCTGGTGATCTATAATGGAACCATTATGCAGAATGGGGAAGAGCGAGATGCATTCCAGATGCCAGCTATGAGACCGACCATAAAGGTATTTGTCTCCCAAGCCTGCTTGCGCAGCTTTGTGGTCCTTCTTTGGGAGACCCTCGATAATGATATCGAACCTCTAAACGCGGTCATAAAGAGAAGTTATCAATGGTCGAAGTTCTATAGTGCGTTGCCATGGATTGGATCAGCATCAGCACTTAGGTCTGCCCAATTATCGAGTTGTCAAGATGAACCATTGGGTGCTTTCGATTGGCTGAAAGAACTTAAAGTCATGAAGATGCACGAAAAGTGGCGGACCAACCAGTATATAAGTGTCTTTTAATTGGGGCTTTTCAGATTGAGCTACGACCATAATTTCCCCGCAATAATTTACACGACACTCAACGGCGAAGCCATCGGCACGCCGCCAATCATCCGGTGGGATCATTTGGGTGTACTCAAGAAGCCCACTAAATTCAGCTTCCACCACGATGACCCGCTTATTACCTTATATCGTTGAAGTCGCATGCTTTAACAAGATGACTAGGACTAGGCACTCATCATAACCCTGTCTCAACATCCCGCGCTCGATCACGACTTTGGAACGCTTGAAAGAATACCCCTGGGTTTGACGGTGTCATTGTACGATGGCTAGATGAGCGGTTACTGAGAAAGGGGCGTCTTCTACGTCCATATTGGAGGAGGCGTGACTGTGGAAATCTTGCTAGGGCAGAAGCATTTTTCAACGAAATCGCTGATGGAGTTATGGCTGCTGTGGACCTTGATAATTCAATATCGGGATGGGCACCGTTGGCAATCAAGATCGCAGATCTTCATAGCTTTGGACGAGGCGGGAATGCGAATAGCTGCACAAGATCGAAGGACCCCGATTTCGACAGTGATGGTTTGCAGGTACTTGCCGTGGATTCAGGCACTTGGCCAAATGAAGGCGGTGGAATATCAGCTTGTCGGGACATGATCAACAATCTTCGCTCGGTGAACTGGCAGGTTATCGCGGAATCTGCCAATGATTTTGGTCTTCCCAAGCATCAGGTGAGAATGGTATGCAGGTGGTACAGTACAATTTCACGCTAACAATTCGCAGTCTGAAATGAACGTTCGCAGTCTGAAAACCATTCTACTATGGGGATTAGACTTCCTCACTCCATCGTATGGCCTTTTCAAGGACCGATTGGACACCGAAGTTGAACATGTTCCCAGGTATTCGACCAAGCAAGATGTCAAAAGGAACTTTCTGCCCATCCTTACATTTCTTGTGAGAGGGGCAAGAACGACTCATTTCACAAAATCGGATATTCAACAGACTGCATGCGCTCTCGTGAATCTCAATGCGTACTTCTCTGAGTCTATTTTTTTTATGAAAATTGATTTTTTATTATTTTTACTAATAGTATGTCTCTCAACTATAGGAATATTAAGAACTTTGGTTTATAAATAATATTAATAATATCTTTTACTTCAGAATATAAAGATTCAATTAAAGAAGATATTATTTAGCCAAAAATGGAAAAGTATAAAATTATATTAATAATTGAGAAACTAATATTAAAGTTGAACTTTGGATTGGGCGGAAAGTGGGTTTGGGTGGTTGGCGGGTGAACCCTTCTATTCCACCGGTATCTGGGACTTTGACCGAAGTTTTTTTCTTATGTCCTTCATGTTTTCCGAATTGGAGTCGGTGATCTTGAAGATATCGGAGCCGAGTGGTGGTCAGAGGTCAGCACGGACAATCAATTACCCCTGCCATGGCTTTTCGTCGTGAAGCGAGTCCATTCCGAACCCTGGAAGACGAATGAATTGCCAAACTGAGCCTAACTTTAATGGAAGAGGGAATCTCACCCCTGACGATTCGCGGACTGTGCGGCTGAGGACAAATCGTGAACTTGATAAAGAGCTTGAACAACACGAAGGGCAAGAATGGCACTTCAAGCTTGAAAGCGGTTCAAACCCTTGTTTGTGCAGTGCGAGTTCAGGAGAGAGGTTCGGGTTACTCATTCATGCTTATTCCAAAGTACTATTTAGAATCATCATCTCATCTCACGAGAAGTCGAGAAGGCGGGGAGGCGAGGAGGTTACCTCTTCGAGCATTCCTTTCGGGTTTCATCTGGAGTTTCTGCAGTCTGACATTCCCGCTACGTACCTTACCTTATGCAAAGCCACTGTCCATTTGAAGTTTACATTACAGCAGCATGGTGTTCTGAGGCAAGCCGAGCAAAGGCTGCCAATGCTGTAGGATTCAGAGAATCAAGGTACTGTCTTATCCTCCATGAGATATTCTGACTCAATGCTCATTCTCGATGTCTTGCAGTGTGATCAGCTCATCCCCGCATGCTCACAATGTCTGAGGGCTTCGAAGGCTTACCTATTTTACCAGGACCAATCGTCCCTCCGCTTTCGGGATGAAAGCCAGAAGGTCGTCCGCAAAGCAAAAGTCCCCAGAAGCACACCTGAACATCGGATATCTTCATCCGGTTAAAAAGTGTCGACCAGCAGCTCTGGTTCGTCTCCTCCCAGTTCTCCGACTTCTTCGGTAACACCTCCTAGCGGAAGCCCCCAGGCCCTTATGGCTCCAAGAGCCGGCTTTGTCATTCGTTCACTCTCCCCTCAAGGCCTTGACGAGGCGTTGTATTCTTCTTCGACAATTATGTGACTATCAACTCGAACTATCCATTAGGCAAGATTGATTTGCCTAAAATTCCCGTCCTGCAGTTGTTGTTTGCCAATCAAGCTTTTAACAATGCTGTGTGTCCTCGGTAGGATACGCTGGCTTCTCAAATGTAACAAAGAACCCCGAGACATGGTCATCGCGCGGGGGAAATATGCGACAAGCTTACGAAATATTACACTGACCTTGAAGGACACTTCGAAGGCCGACCTTGACACTGCCTTTAAATCGGTCAAGCGTCTTGCCGCCTTTGAAGTAAATTCTGAAGTCAATCTCCTACAATGGTGCTAATTGTAGGTAGATGGTGAATGGAATAGGAGGCAGTGGATCCTGGGGCGTTCATCATAATGGCGGAGCAGCTATCCTAAACTGATAGTTGCCCAACAACCCTGACGACGGCCACCGATGCGAATGCAACTTCAATTTGTCTTCTCTATTGTAAGTTGTTGGTTGTCCTGGGTCTGTGTTGTACTCCCTAACTGCTGAGCAGTATATCAAATGTCTGATAAAGGGGGAGGCATGTCCTCCTAACAATGTGTGGTCACCGCAAATCAAAAAAGCGATGACTGCCGATGATACCCATGCAACCGACCTCGCGTACATCGTTTCTCGATTCACAAACTTTCATGCCTCTATCCGGAGCAAACTTCAGACCGATTCAGATATCATACTTCGCGAAGCACTACTTCTCGATGCCGAATTGGAGGAATGGGACATGCAGCTTCCCCAGTCATGGCGATACAGGCTCAAACAGCACGCGGAGGAAACAGCAGTCATGTTCAAGGGCGTGTCGCATCGGTACCGCGATTTCTGGACAGCAAGAATATACAATCATTATCGGTGGTGTCGAATCCTGGTCAACAAATTGCTGCTGATCCAACTCGGACCATTTTCCAGCGAAGATGCTGCTCAACGTTCAAAGTCACTCGACCTCATCTCCAGGCAGGCAGCGGATATATGCAGTAGCGTTTCCATCCAATTCCACAAACCCACACTCCTCCAAGAAGCAAAGCAAAATGGGGTGCCAGCACTGTCGAGATGTTTTCTGCCCCTTTTCCCTCTCGCAGTTGCAGGTAGTGCGATAGGAGGTAAGCCTTATTTTCATAATACTTTGTTGATTTCTTCTATGAGATCTGGGAGCACGGGAGCTGTTTCGACAGCCGGCATATGCATTCATGGCTTGGGAACCTGGCTCTTCAGCTCCGTGGCCCTCATTAAAACTTCAGTAAAACTCCACACTAATTCGGTGGCAGTTTCGGACGAGCTTCATGACTGGGTGATCTCGATGCTCGAGATTATCGGCCACGGAAAAGGCGTTGCTCAGGCTTTATATCTGATTCCGGGAACAAAGCCGCAGCGTGAGAAATGGCAATTATTCGGCGATGGCCCATCGGACTGTTACTTGTTGTCGTGATTTGAGATGTGATCGCGAGAAGTGATTTTGATGGTGTTTAACTTGAAATGGGGGAGGCACCAACTAATCATATACCCCGAACACATAAACTTCCGGGACTTCATTTTGAACTCGCATCAATCCTCACGAGGGCCAACATCCGCCGCTATCGAATTTTAATGCGACGCAAGAAAGAGTTTAACTAGTACAACGTTACTTGGATTTCCCTTGGTAATGCCCTCGCCTAAGCTCATTGCGGAAGCTCATTAACGATCCCCCGGTTTGGTGATCAACGACCCCAGAATTCCGCCAGGAATATTGTGCATCCATGCCGCGCACGGTTTCTCTAATTGCGGCAAATTGCAGAAGTTGCGATTCCTTAGCGGTTGTGGAGTTTCCTCAATTTGAGTTTCTGTCAGGAAAAGGAGCCACTCTCATGACCAGATGGCTCCAGGATTGTTCATGGGACAGCGAATTTATGGAGAGATCTTCGGTACTTATTCACCGGTCCGAAAGCATGAAGGCAGAAGGATTGAAGATGCTCAAGTGAGCAGTAAGGCAGGGCGCATTGCGATCCTTCTAGGAAGGAGGGGTAACCCTACTAAGCTGGGTTTGTACGGTATATAATCGAGTTGCCTTGATTCTCTCGCAGTTCTGTTCTACAGCGAGTTGTTCTTGTACAAAATCTGTCCTCATAGGACGAGCACTCAGCGAATTGGTCAGGGAATAATTGAGAGGTTGCAACTACCCCAATTGACTATGCATTACTCGAGATTAGCTGTGCCGTTGGTTGCTGTGCTTGCCTTGCCCGCCTTGGCTCTTCCTCACAGCAATCCCCCGGGAGCTGACAATCATACCTTGAACCGAGACAGAGCAGATGCCGTGAAGGCAGCATTTGTGCATGCTTGGGATGGCTATAAACAATATGCTTTCCCACACGATGAGTTGCACCCTGTCTCTAATGGCTTCAGCGACTCCAGGTGCGTACTTACTTCATTCAAAATTCAGGATGTTTAGGCTGATGATTTACAGAAATGGCTGGGGAGCGAGTGCTGTGGATGCTTTCAGCACCGCTTGTGTAATGCAACTTCCAGATATCGTCAATACAATCTTGGATTACATTCCCACTATTGACTTCGATCACACAGCTAATGGAGTCTCTCTTTTCGAGACCACCATTCGCTACATGGGTGGAATGCTTTCCGGTAAGGATGAAAATCATGTAATAGGGGGCCAAGGCTCATTCAAACAGGTTATGACTTCCTGAAAGGGCCTCTGTCAAATTTAGCAAAAAACGCTACAGCAGTGGACGATCTCCTCAAGCAAGCAACGCGCCTTGCTAACAACCTCGCCTATGCTTTCGACACACCTAGTGGGGTCCCAAGTAATAACCTGATCTTCCCATCCGGTACCGATAGCTCCACCAACAACGGCATTGCTACAATCGGTACACTTGTTTTAGAATGGACGCACTTGTCTGATCTCACTGGAAATCAGACATACGCGGAACTGTCCCAAAAGGGAGAATCGTATCTCCTGGCTCCTCAACCAGCCTCATCTGAGCCGTGGCCAGGACTCATAGGCACAAAGGTGAATCTGACAACGGGTCAATTCGAGGACGCTGTTGGCGGCTGGGTTGGCGGTGATGACAGCTTCTACGAGTACCTCATCAAGATGTACGTCTACGACTCGACTCGATTCTCCATTTACAAGGACCGCTGGATGCTGGCCGCCGACTCGTCAATTGCACACCTGGCTAGCCATCCCTCGACGCGACCTGATATTGCCTTTCTTGCGATTTATGATGGGCAGGAGCGGATCTTCTATTCCCAGCATCGTAAGGCAACTCCCTCTTAATATTATCACGTACTAACGACCCGAAAAGTGGCCTGCTTCGACGGTGGGTCCTTCATCCTGGGCGGTCTGGTCCTCAAAGAGCAAAAATATGTCGACTTTGGCATTGCTCTCGTTAACGGCTGCCACGACACCTACGCCAGTACAGCGACTGGCATTGGTCCAGAAGTCTTCCAATGGGTCGAAAATTCAACTGCTGCCAACGACACAAAAAACCCGCCCCCACCTGCTGACCAGCAAGCGTTCTACAAGAAATCAGGCTTCTATATCACAGCCAGTGACTACGTGCTCCGTCCTGAGTACCTCGAGAGCGTTTACTACGCTTACAGAGCAACTGGAGATCAGATGTATAGAGATTGGGCGTGGGATGCGTTTGTGGCTATCAACACGACCTGTGCTGTAGGAAGCGGATATGCGGAGTTGAAGGATGTTAATGTGCCCGGTGGTGGTGGATACAGTGATTTCATGGATAGTTTCTTCTTTGCTGAAGTGTTGAAGTATGCGTATCTTATTCATGCTCCGGTAAGTTTCCTTCGTCTCTTCGTAAAAAGGGAAGACAGCTGACCCGATGCAGGATAATTCTTGGCAAGTTGAAAATAATGGTGTTAACCAGTGGGTGTTTAATACTGAGGCTCATCCCTTCAAGGTGCATGGGCCGCCAATCTAGAGAGACTGCGAAATTGGTGCAGGTAGAGGAGGATGAGAATCGTTTAGGAGGGATTTCGAGATACAAATGTAAAGAGAATTTAGACGCATCCACATTTGTTTTATCATAGCAAAATAACCATCTTTCACTTAAAGAAGTGCTCAACGAGACACTCCAGGTCACGTGACAGGAATGTAGAAGCCACTACTCTCACTTCGCTGATGTTGTGAAGGATCGAAATGGCCAGAATTGATCAAGTCGATCTCAAGTCAATGTTTAACAAGACAAGGTGCAACGAGGTTGAGAAATGCATAATTTTGCTCTACCTTCAATTTTGATGCTGAGGCTGAGGCTGCTGGGTGGCGTTCGTCCCTTGCAATGTTATCAGGAGATAGCAAGGCTCTTCCCACGACATCTTTTTTACAACTGAACGAAGTCAGTTTATCCGACGCATGATGTCGACCAAATTATCAAAACTGAGTACAAATTTCAGATCTTCGAGGCTAGGTCGTAGCCCTAGAGAACTTTTGTCTTCAACCCCACGAGGTAATATTGATTTGACCATGGCCCGAATACTCGACCAAAATATACATGCACGCGGAATTCTGTCCCACTCGAGCGCCGCACTAAGAAAGCTCGACAAACAATATTTGCTGTTTATTTTGATGGTCGAATCCAGTTTAGGACTATTTATAATTTCTCTCAATGATACCATTGTGAAAGTGAATGAAGAGACAGGAGTTGACGTGTTTAGTGGACGCTATAAATACAACAAAGGTACAATTCTCAATTTCATGCTGATCAACTGGATCACGGAACATCATGCGGAGCGTGTAGCTCTTGGGCAGATGCATGTGGAGGCTCGAAAGCAAGCTAGCCCTGAGATGGAGCGTATCCCCCTCGTGTGAGATGACTGCTCTGGTGAGCCAACTGAAAACAAATGGAACGCTCAGAGGAGAGAATACCCCACCACACCACCCAATACCTTCGAAGGGAACAGTGATTGCAAGACATCAACTTCGATATTGTATTGTATGACTTCTCTGCGCCAGGTAGAGACCAATGTGCATTCAATTTCATCTCCTCTTCCCCTAGAAGGCAAAGGAAGACATAGATAAGGAGTCTGCATGAAGCTGTGAGCCTAGTCGTGGGAGTGCTCACGATCCAGCTTTGAGAATTTGAGAATTGGGAATTGAGCATAGCAAGGGCGAACTCCTTCCTCACTTAAGGCGATTCCGCGACGGACAGATCGAGTGGCACTAAATTTTAATGTCCCAAATCAAGATTTTACCTTTATTTGAATTTGCAAGGACAGGAAATGATGATATTCTTGAATTTCCGAGATATTTAAGAGACTAGACTTTGAATGTACAATACCTTATGTGTACTTATGAGATGACGTATTTGTAATGTCCAGGTAGACTTCGGATATTGGAAATTACCGCTTTTCTGTCTATCGTCGGGCGTGCAAGTTGTCGTTTCGGGAAGGAGAGCTGGAACTGTCACGAGATCACGAAGGCTCAAGTGCTTGACATTTGCCTTGTTCAGCTTTCCACACCTTCCCACAATTATGTTTCGTCATAGTCTTCAACTGACCAGCTTCACTTAGAGTTCTTTGGGTCGGTGTGTCGTGTTGATCACGTGATACGTTCTCAATGTACCTATTGGGGATGGTTCATTCGCATTCCAATAGCCGTCCCGGCTAATTGAGGTAAACGAAGCTGATGAGAGAGATTCTGAAGAGATGGAACCGTCAATTCGAATGTCTGATGTTGGTGGGATAAATTTCGTTGCCTGTATGTACTCTAGTCCGAGCCAAAAGCATATATACAAGAATTTCTGTAGTGTCTGTCCGTCCTCTGGTGGCTTCGGCTTATGTCATGAAATATTTTGGACCCTCTCCCCCTTGTGGCGTTTGCCAGTTTATGTCCTGATCGGGGACCTTGATATCACAGGTCTTGCAATGGATGCAACTGAGCAGGTTAGCCAAAATTCCCCTTGGCAGAGCTGGGACTTACTTCTGAGCATTAATTTGGAACCGCACCCCAATATCCTTCGCCTCATCCTCCACATACTCATACACGCCCGCAGGGCAGAATCGATTCTCAATGCCTTTGTACTTAGGCCACTCCATTTGGGCATGCTTCTCCCAGTCTTTGACTTGCAAATGCACAGGTTGATCTTCCTCGTGATTGGTTCCTGTTCGACTCACACTCGTCAAGATATCAAAGCTGATCTTGCCATCCGGCTTCTCGTATTCGATTTTCGTACATTGGTCTGCTGGCTTTGTAGCAGCATAATCTGTGCCCTTGTGCTTGAGCGTCCAAGGGACTTTGCCCCTCAAAATGTATGCTTCGAGTCCGGAATACATGATACCGCCGTAGAGCTTGAGTGGGCTGTGGAAGGATGGCCGCATGTTGCGAACTGCCTTCAACTCTTTCCAGATACTTGACTTTCGAAGCGCATCTTCGTAGTCGTAGAGGAATATTGTTCCACTATCCGTATTGCCGAGAGCTGTCCAGGTTGCTTCTGCTGCGAGCATCCCTGATTTCATAGCAGTATGAGTGCCCTTGATTTTGGGTACATTCAGGAATCCAGCAGTATCACCTATCAAAGCACCACCTGGGAAGGCGACCTTCGGTATCGATTGGAATCCACCTTCGTTGAGAGCTCGTGCGCCGTAAGAGATGCATTTGCCACCTTCAAGAACAGATTTGTAGAGTGGGTGGTGTTTCATCTTTTGAAATTCGCCATATGGAGACAGCCAAGGGTTGGGGTAGTCGAGTCCAACAACCAAACCGATGCTCACAAGATTATCACCAAAATGATACATCCAGCCCCCGCCATACGTATCCGCAGGTAGGGGATAGCCCAAAGAGTGCACGACCTGACCCTTTTGGAACTTTTCCGGTTGTACCTCCCAGACTTCCTTTATCCCGAGTCCATAAGTTTGAGGCTGGCTCTCACTTCGTAGATCAAATTTCTTTATAATTCGTTTTGTGAGACTTCCATGGCAACCTTCCGCAAAAAGGGTAATCCTGGCGTGGAATTCCATGCCTCTCTCGAAGTTGTCTTTTGGCTTTCCTTGTCTCGAGATCCCTAAATCGTTGGTGGCGACACCTTTGACAGATCCATCAGGCTTATATAGCACTTCCGAAGCAGCAAAACCAGGGTATACTTCAACTCCAACCTCCTCTGCACTGTCTCCCAGCCATTTGGTGAATTGGTTCAAACTAACAATGTAATTGCCATGATTATTCATTTGTGGAGGTGCAGGTATAGGAATCGCGCTCGATTTTGTAAGGAATCTCATTTTGTCGCCTGTGGCAGGTGTAGCATGTTCGAAGCGGCTTTCGTTGTCTTCTGCCAGCCAGTCTGGGATCAATTCGTTGATTGCGGTGGGTTCTATGACAGCCCCAGACAGAATATGTGCTCCAATCTCCCCAGCCTTCTCCAGCAGCAAAACCCGGAAGTCCTCATTTCCAGCTTCATTTGCCAATTGCTTCAGTCGAATTGCCGCACTTAATCCAGCAGGACCTGGGAATGTCAATACTGGCCTCGTGGACATGCCAGACAAGCTTACCTCCACCAATTATACATACATCAACCTCGTCGCTCTCTCGGTCAATGGACTTGGGATCAAAGCCATCATTAGAATCTGCCAGCCTTCGTGGGACCGAAACGGAAAAGGCTCGTTCTTGGGGAAGGCATTTCAAGCCTGTGCGGGGGCGAGTCAAGATAGAATTTGTTTGGAAGCACCTTCGTGAGACCTGAGTCGTGACTCTGATGGGATTCCGCCTCACCAGAGTACGCTGCAGAGACGCAGTGACAGACCTGGAAGAAGCCATTGTGAATTGTCACGGCATTGCCTTGTTGTTGTTGACAATTGCTTCCTCTTAAACTCCATGATGCCGACGGCAAGCTCCAATGCCATATCTACTGTAGGCGGCCTCGGGACTCGGTTGCGGTGTGCCGCCGATTTCCGGCTTTGATTTTGGCTGGTGGTGATTGGCCACTTTTCCACAAAGGCTACTTTCGGCTTTGAACGACTTCATTCTTTCGGACGAGAATGTCTCCACAGGAAATAAGCATAAGTATTGCAAATGGCATCCTTCTTCTAGTATTATTAGCCGATCATATCACCATCGCTCGCTTCCTCTGGGTGCCTGAAAGATCATCGGCAGTGTCATGCAATTCGAAGCGAGTTTAGGTGAACCTTCCCTCTGCTGAGACATCTGAACTCTTTCTGCCAATCGATCGATCTGATATCTTTTGAATTGTTTTGCCAAGTCGCTAACCCGCTGTGAAAAACTGTCAAGACTTGTTTATTCTATTTCTGTATGATCGGTGGCTGGGCATCAGAGACGTTTCTTGTCTTGCTGAAGTCGACATCGCACAGGCGCACCCGGACAGGATCCCATTGGATGCCACCGCAAGAGAAAACGGAGAACCAGACTCGGCTGGTATGCGCTCCGGAGAATCAGAGCTCATTCTGGTGGGGCTAAGAGTGGTGACCATGTCTTGGTTGTTTTGCAATTGCTCTTGGAGCCGAGAGTGTTTGAGCGTCCGTTTGGGCCTCGGCCCCCTGTACAGCCAACAACGGGAACATCCATTTCTTCAGAGAGCCGCACCCGCGATCCCACATCATGTCCTGTCTAATCTGGAAAGACCTCGTTTCGAAGTACCGCTCAGCTCTGGAACATTCAGTGCCTCTCCATCCCTTCATGTCTGAACCTACCCTGTCAAGGTCGCCGTTCGACCTAATCTGGCCTCGGGGTGGAGAACGATATGTCACTGTGAATGGGTAGCTGGTTGAACAACGTTTCTAACTCCTCTTAGACCTCTTCGGGTGTGCCCTATTTCCGGCTACTCCGATCGCTCATGCCCTGTTCAACACAGTTCATTCGTTCCTCAGTTTTGACATCTGTCATCCGAGGGACCTAGTTCTACTTTCAGATGTAGATCAGACGAGTCACGGATCAGATACCCATTTCTTATTTTCTTCCATAGCTTATCGTTTCATCAGATCTCGATGGGTGATCTTGCGAATCCCGTGACCCACAGGAAATCATGTGTGGGTATAAGACCAAGCCTCCGCATAATCGAGTCTTGTTTCCCATCCCATTCTTTCTTTCTCACGTGCAGGCCATTTGTATATCATTTCAAAGAGGTATGTTGACCCGAATCTTGGCAGTGACAAGTGCTAACTGGTAATAGCTGTGCTCCATACTTTTACATTCTTTCAGACCCGAATAGCTTGATGCTACTCACTTTTCAATCTATCGTTATGAAGAACTTTGGATCCATTCTCACATTTCTTGCCATCTCGGCCTCTCTTGTTTCAGGTCGAGCTCTTCCTTCATCTGAAGATGGTCTTAAGGCTCGGGAACCTCTGGCAGTTGGTGAGCATCTCGCTGCTATGAGAAAAACATCGCTGACGCAGACCAGTCTCAGAAGTTTTCGCTCGTTCACCAAAGAAGAATAAGGCTGCTGGTAAGTTGCACATAGAACCAAACACGATACTTTGCTTACCTTTCTTAGCCAACGAAACAGCTACAGCTCTAGCGGCAAGCACAAGTGCCACTGGAAAGAAAGGAAAGGCTCCCAAAGGCGGAAAGGCTAGTGCTTCGAATTCCACCATCGCCGCTGCCTCAAATTCCACATCCACAGCGACTGGGAAGAAGGCGAAGGTTCGTTGGGAGTCACTTGGTAGCTTGAGATTCCGTGTTAACGTATACCAGGGTACTGCTGCCGCCAAGAATCCTTCATCCACAGCCGCCGCCAGCTCTGGCGGTGCTTCGGGTATTTTGAGCGAACTCGAGTCAGAACTTGCGGGCCTTGGGCTTAACTTGGGGGGACTCGGATTGCGATCCGCACCCGTTCTCGAGGCACGAAAGAAGAAGAATGGTACAGCAGTTGCCGGAGCCGCAGCCGTAAGCTAGCCTCGTTCGCATCGAGCGATTCGCGTCTCGATCACGGCCAACTTTGTGGAATATGGTAGCTGATTGAAACTCTCAGGCTTCTGGAACTGGAGTAGCAGGCAAAAAGGCAAAAGCTGCTAAGGCTGGAAAAGCAAAAGGTACTGGTGCCGTTGCAGCTGTAAGTTGTTTTCCATCCCCCACCCCCTCTTTCGCGCTGGAAAAGAAAAGCGGCACAGAACTTTCAATGTCCCAAGTCAAGCTGAGGTATTCCCGATCCCCCAAGCGAATGTCCCTTGGGTTATGGTAGATGCAATGTCTATGCCCTTAATATTGTCCTAGAACCTTACAATTCTCACCCTCCGGGTCCAATTTAATGTCCAATATTACTTGGGACATTGAAAATTCAGTGCCGCTTTTCCTATCTACCACAAGTCCCCTTACACAACCTCTGCATGGCCTGGAATTGTGGTCCCCGAAGCCTCCATATAAATGTGGATCAAAATGCTAATCTCATCCAGGCCGCAGCTACAGCGACCGATGTATCGGTAAGTTCCCCAACCCGCTCGGCCCGTCTCTACTAACCACCGACAGGCCGCCGCAGGAGTCGCTCCAGCGGCGACGGCGACCCAAGCAGCAAAAAAGGGGAAGGCAGCTAAGGCGAAGGCAGCAGCTGTACGTTTCCCACCGCACTTCCCCCTATTTCCCTTAATGCCTCGCCCTCTCGCCCTTGAAATTTCAAACGATCAATACTGACTCAAATTTCCAGGCCAAGGCCGCTGCCGCAGTTGCAGCCACGGTATAAATCTCCCTTCGCTTTTGGTATGGTATTAGAAAGGATTGGGAATAAATTGGAGTAGACAGGGTGGGGCACTGGGTTTAGGAATGAACAAAAAACTGATTCAATGGATGTCTGACGCAAAGGACTCTAAAAAACTTGAATTTGGGTACTCCGGAGAGCTTATATAAGCTGAAACGAGCTCAGGGGCTAAGCCCCTGAACCACGTGAGATAGACACGCAGTGGGGCCCACGTGCTCTTGTGTGACAATAAATTAGTTTGAAATGTTATGGTATTCTTTGTATATGATATATGATTGAACGACGTAAATAGAATATGCTCCGAGCCCACGCTTGAGACTTCCAGCGGGTGAAAATGGTCATATCGCGTGATGTGAAATTCGTGCGAACCGAGCAGAGCTCAGAAAGAGTCTCAGCAATACGGACTCCCCTGAGACGCTTCAATTTCAAAGAGACCAAATCCAGCCTTGCAGTGGACAGGAAAAGTGGCACCGAATGTCCCAAGTCAAGTTGCATTATTTCAGGTATTCTCAGACGGAATATGCATATCACGACCCGTGGCTGGTGTTCTGGATGCAGAATCAGCTGTATTGGGTGTGTGTATGTACGTCTAAAGAGGGAAGAAGGAGCGGGGAGCTCGAGAACTAAGATACAGGGTGTCGCGCTAAGCTAAGTCACGTGCGACACAACAATGCACTTGAGCCCTAGTACACTCAAGGTCCACCTTTTCGAATATTTAAAAAAATTTAAATGCTGAATTTATTAAGCCCCTATTCCAGAGTTTAGTTGAATATCTATTTAGCTTGGACTTGGGACAGTGAAAAAGAGCATCAGTTGCATATGGCGAAGATACCGGTGGTTTATGAAGTTGATGTGGGCTCGTTGGAGATGTATAGGATTAGAACCACGACCTTTGCAGAATACCTAGGAAATGATGATATTGGACAGCTTTTGAAAGAAACATTTGGTGTTTAAGATGGATTGAAGGCCGATATCATAATCATCACTATATTGAATTCCGTATGACATATTAATGCCGTCTCGGATTTTGGTGGATTGAATTTGCCTGTAGCAGTCATTATGACGTCCCAGAGTCTTTTGTGACTACTTATGCACCCTACCTCGCAACTAAAAAACACTGAGGATATCAAGCAAATAATATGACACTGGTGTTTGTCATAGCCACGACATCGAATCTCGCTTCCCTTCCCTCCAACCCCACCCCCTTTTTAAACGAACTCAACCTCACTTGCACAGTTGCCCACATTGTGTACCACAACGCCTCCCCGCACAGTAAGAAATGTTGACGGTATTTATAATCCACTACTTAAAAAAGCGAGTCAAGCTGCTTCAATATTATTGTCTTCCCCGGGGAAATCTAGGGATAATTAGGACCAAAATTAGCCAAAAATGGCAAAAAGTGGCAAAAAACATACAACAGCAGGTATTCGCTGATGGTCACCCACCCAATTTCAAATCTGCCGATCTGAAGATTGCGTATAGCAGAGCGGACGGGATGCCCAATTCTCCTCCGTCTGGCCCCACCTCAGCTTTAGGACTGAAGGCGGTCATTGGGTGTCGGGATCACGGAACTGGGAATTGTGCTTGCTGCTTTTTGAGACTCACGAACCAATAACCGCCGCTGGCATACTTCCACAAATTTTTAAACTTTCGTCAGACTGTGATCTTATATTTGTTGCTTCCAAATTACTGGTGAGAAATCGTTTCTGGGTTCTCATCCTCCAAATCCTGAATATGCGTTTTGGATTGGTGTACTACCGGCTGTCTGGTGGGTTGCACCAATTATCAAATGACTTGTACCACATATAAAGTCGAAATAGTCAGGTGGAACAGGCACGGAAGAAAGGTTTTCAGCTTGTTGCAAGCGATGCAAAACCTCCTCCAGGACAACAAGTATTGAGATGCCCCTAATGCCACCACCATCTAAGGAATTGGACTGAGATTAGATTTGGCCTTCCAAGGGTGGAATACTGCTTACCAAGGGAGAGAAGTCGTAGAGCAGGAGGTGGTGAGGAAGTGGAACTTCCAGCAGCGGCCATTAGACTCTGCCTCGCCCTTCAAATTAGTTAAGCAAACCCAAACTGCGACGTACTCGGTGAGGTTCTGATAGTGCGTCTCTTGTAGCGATTGAATACTGTACAGTATAATCTTATTCTCTGTATTACGATTGTAGGAAGGTTGGAGTATTCAACAAGCTGAGCAATTGGGGATTCAGGTGTGGCTGATGGGGAAGGGGCCTTGTCAGTGTCTCGCAAGTAAAGCAGTTATGCCCAAGTCGAAACAACCCTCCAAATTTGGCGAGACACTCTGTTTTTGGCTGTTCATGATTTTTGAAATGATATGAAGAACAAGTCGGCGTGTTGAAGAGGTGCCGCGCATATAAAGAGAGTCGGAGACTGAAGAGAGGTGACCTACTTCAGGCGCAGTCTCTACCACCTCACCTCCGCTCACCACCATCTGGTAGCTTGAAACTCGTAGTCACTTTTTGCATATTTTATATGCACCTCTACGGCAAGTATGCGTAATAAACTGCCCAATAAACTAACATTCTCCCATCACCCGACTGCCCTCCCTCAAACCCGCGTCCTAGTATGCTGTGCATTCTCGCTCCCATTACCACCCACCATCTCCTCCAAGCTACTGCCTTTATGAACGCCCTTTCCATCTTCCATATCCGTCTCCTTTTCACGCCCAGATCTCAACCATACAGCCACATCATCCCAGAGTCTCTCACCCCTCTTTTCTACCATTCTCCAACTATCGAACTTGAACCAGATCCTCCAGAAGACAAGGACGAGAATCGTGGATGGGATCGCGACGGCCCAGTATATCCAGGATCGAGATTTCATGATGTGTAGGGTGGTGGAGGCTTCCCAGTCGAAAAGGGGCATTGCGGAGAGTGACTAAGGGACAGTTACCAACAAAAGGGAGCAGACTTCGGACATGCCATAAACGCACTGCAAAGAATGTTCCAGGGAGAAAGACCATTGTGAGAACTGCGATTGCTTTCATCGCGGATGAATCTAGCTTGCTATCCCGGGCGATATCTCGACTTTGCTCTGATATAAGAAGGTTTGTTCTGTTACCTGCATTTGTAATATGGACGTCAAGCTGCATTCATTAAGCAACGTTAACTAGATGGGACTTGAGGAGAGCACTTACCCATTGCCTATAGATTTGTAAGTATGGTTGAGCAGCTGTCATACTTCTCTCGTATGCTCCCAGAGAGTCCCGAAGGCACACCAGTCGATCATGAATAATCACTGCTACATCTGTGAAATGCTTTTGCTGCTCCGCAGTCTGCTCATTATTTCCCTCAAAATCTTTGCACCACGAGATGAGAGTATCCATCGCACTTAACAAGTTTCCTAATCTAGTCGAGCTGGCTATAGCGTGGTGAAACGCCCTAAGCGATTCGACGGCTTTCTTCTCAGGATCTTGAATTTCCAAGGTCATTAAATGCGAGCCAAATATCCCCGCATCCCAAAGAGGCGTAATAGCGTGGTCAGTAGCATCTTTTACATCATCTTTTGCTCATCCACACAGCCACTCCATAACAATAATTGGGGTGAACATCGGGTGCTGAGACAGCGGAATTACTGGTGACTCATTGAGCCGGCCGATCAAGTGCTCTCTCTCTTCAAGAGTGCAATTGTGGATAAAAGCCGTGACTACGCCATCTTGATGGTTGTGAGAAACAAAAACAGAGACATTGTAGTACTCGGGGTTATTGTCCTCAGCACCAATGTAAATAGCTGTTCGGATATTAGTACTTATAATTATAACCTGGATAGCGAAATGGGCTTGCACGTAGTGCTTTTGATGTCTGTTTTGGCGACCCGAACCCGCGCTTCGTCATCCAAAAAAGCTCGATGAAATTCGCAGTGGTGAAGTAATGAGGAAAATGTTACAGCGCTGAAAGGATACTGGGACATTCGTTCACTAAACGTGTTTTTGGCGGAGATCTTTCTACGAGTAGATCGTGGTGGAGATATTCTTGAGACAAATTAGCGACTATCGACTGAGGCTAATAATAGACAAGGAAACTTTTGCTAGAGTGATTGAAGTCGTACAAGACGCGCAGTTCGCTATGATATCCCGTGTCTCGAGGACTTTTGACAAAGTCAAGCACACTATCTTCAGCTAGCTCGGCTTGAGTGATTTTAACATTAGAAGCATCCTGTTGGGGTTTCGACTTGTCTCGGGACAGTCCATTCCACAGTCCGACTGTCCCCAATTCTACCGATAAGCTAGGCGGTGAAGCGTGTTTCAGCGCTCTGACAGCTTCCCCGCAATTCTTATTAATAATGTAACGTCTTGACTCAATATATAGTGATTTTGGTAGTATTCGAGGCGTACTCAACTTCAAAGCAGGCTTGGCGATGATCCTGGAACGATCCGTATCGTTCCTAAGCGAGATTGTACCTTAGGCCTTAAACTGCCCTATAATTATAGGGAGCTTATAGCGTACTTCCACTTAGATTTATAAATGACTTTATAACTACTAATCGTATAACAAACTTTTAGTTACGTAATTACTCTATTTAATCCTAGCTTTCTATTTATATTATATATAAGAAATTTAGATTTAAGCTTATCTCGATGCGGCAAAAAGAAGTGTTTTGAGTTTTCGTGAGGCTCGTTTAATTAGGAAGTACCTCCTATACAAATTTACTATGTAAGGTACTTTGCCCTGGATCGTTCCAACCGTTCCAGGATCATCGCCAAGCCTGTGTAACTCAAGTTCCAAGTTCTACAGCCGCATGCGAAACACCATTTAAAATGCGATTTTTTTAGCGAGAACCACCAAAACGCGATTTTGCAGAACCATTGGTTAATCAAGACTAATCGATCCACGAATTGCTCCACAACCACCTTATCGAATAGCCTAAAACTCGAAATATATCGTGGGGAGCATGCCCCCAAAACGTTCCTCTAAGCGCTTGCTTGGAGAGGAGCTATCTGCTAAGAAAGTTACGAAACGAGCCCGAAGGCCTAACGCGAACATCCTTGACGCGTTTTCAGTATAGCAAGCTCTTGTTCGAAAGCAAAACACTGGAAAGCGGAAGGTTTTAAAGGCGTCTGGGCTTTCTCAAGATGTTCTATTACCGGAGAAGACCCCAGTATCTCTAATTCCAATTTCTAGTACTCCTGGAATACCTCCTCTTGCTCCGAGCTCTCTAATACACCTCACCCCAATTCCACTGCGCAAGAGAGCAAATGCCCCTCCTCCTTCGTCCCCATTTAATCCAAATAACGAAGGAAAGATGCCTTATAGTATATCTTTAATAATTATACTAATTATTAATAGATTACGCAAGTCTAATACCGGTATTTGTATATACCTTAATATTAATAATGTCTTTTGCAATGACCTTGAAACGCTTTACGTATACGTTTATAAGAGATACGTAAAGTAGTAGGAGGATATACGCAAGCTAATACCAGGAGAGAAACCTCGATTATCTTATTAGAATATTATAATTAGTAATCCAAAAGAATAATACTATATTCTTTATATTAAAGATACTAAAGCTTGGAAAAATATCGAAATCACGCTCTATTAAATTAAGAAGGATAGTAGAGCTTCTAGAAAACATATTTATAAGGTCAAAATTAATGCGATTTATATCTCTTATAATTATCTAGTTACTTTACCTTTTTTATAAATTATCCTATTTAGAAAGAAAAGTAAAGCTTGTCTAGATATAGTTTAATATATGAACCTTAAAGCTATTCCCGAAAATATCTCTAAAGTAGAAGCGGATAAAAGAGAAAAAGAAAATAATAATAGTAATTTAAATAATCTAGATCTATTACCTATTTACGGACGAGCCTCTATAATAGTAAGATAGCTAAAGGAAAAGAGAGCTTATAATAGTATATTTCCTAAATATTAATACTATTATAAATAGCTCTTTACCCGAACTCGGTATATAAGAGATAGTTACTTAAATAGAAAATGTAGTAGTACTAGTAATTACTTCCTCCTTAAATAAAGAAATATATATTATAAGCTTTTATAAAGAAAACTAGATAAATGGGCTAAACTAATTAGTATTAATAATATTACCCTTAATATTTCTTTGCCTAATTAGATTATTAGCTATATTACGGGAATAAACGAGTATATAAATAAATAATAAAGTTATAAGAAGGAAAAGAAAACAATTATAGTTAATTTAAAAGAAAAGACTTCTATATTTCTAATTATAGTATCTTAATTTCCTGCTCTTATATAATATTTATATCCTCCGTAACCTATACCCCTGCCTAGATACTACTAACTATAGCTCTAGTATTACCTTCTTTTCTTATAATTTTAGTATTAATATTCTTTACTAGTATATAGTTAATATTATAATATTAATTATAATTATCTAATTACTTTACCTTAACTATATTACCCGAATTCCTCTCGTTTTATAATTTCCTTCTTTTTAATTCGAGAACTATATAATAAAGAACTTACTAGACTCTTATAATATATACTAGAATAGGAAAAAAAGAAGAATAACTGAGCCTATATTAAATATAATCTTAATATCTTAAAAAGAAAGCGAATTCGGGTCAAGAATCTTATCTATACTTAATAGATAATAAATATACTATATACTAAGGATATATGAATTAATATTTATATATAGATATAAAGAATAATAAAGAAATTTAAAGCTTTATAGAAATAATATTATAATATTATATAAGAACTAGTATAAATAGGACAAGCTTAATATTAAAGAAGAAAATTAATAGCTTTATCTTTTTATTAGGAATTTAGGAGAAATAGAAAGAATAGATTAGCTAGTTTCTTTAATAATTACTAATATTCTAGTTATTTCCTTAATACGGGATTAATTTCTTTAAGAAAACTTTTGGGATATAGTAATATTAGGTAATAAAGATCTAAAAAGTATAAAAACAGGTATAAAACTATTAAAATATATAAAAAAAGGCTAATATTTTTCGAAATATTATTATAATAAAATTAAATATCTATTTTATAATTACTTTTGCCTTAAATTATATATAAAAAACTTTCTATTATAATATTAATTAGATAGCCGAGAATATTAAAATATAATAAAATTAGTAAATTTTTAATAATATATATATCTTGCTTCTAAGACTTATATTACTCCTATAAAAAAATATAAAGTACTAAAGAATAAAAAGACTAATTTAATCCTGAAATTTACTTAATTATCTAGTATTTCTTATATTCTTATATTTCTAAAATATGTCCTTACTTATTAGTAAGCCCTTACTCTAGTACTAATCTTCTAAATAGCCTATTTAAGAAAGCTCTAGTAATTATTAAATTTCCTATATTTCTAGTAATAATATTATTAAATATAGGCCTTTAGATTACTAAAGCTTTTTTTAATTAAGTTAAAATCAGGTAAGTATAGGGGAAGAAATCATATCTAAATACTATATTATCTAGCTACCTCTTTAATTCTTTATAAGTTAGAATAATATATTAAGGTATTATAATAGCGGGATTAATATAATAGTTAAAGGCTTAAAGTTTAAAGAATCTTATATATTAGAAAATACTAAGTTATAGAATAAAGTAGAGAAAATACCTTAACTTTTAGTATTATTCTATTTAAGTAATTCTGGCTTAGCTTCGTTTTATATCTATTTCCGATATCTTATCCTTAGTAAATTATACCCTTATACTAGCTATTATATTACTTCTTCTCCTAAAGAGAAATCTAAATGCCCTTATTTAGGGAATTATTTAGCTATAGTATAAAAAAGAAAAAAGAGGAAATAATAGCTATTAACTCCATTTTATCTAATCCCTATAGCTTACTTATAATTAAAGTATAGTCTTAACTTTACTAGAATAACCTAGTTCCTAGTATATTCTGGCTAGTTCTTAGTATCTATTACTTATATTATACCTATACCCATATTAATAATATAGTCTAGAAGTATTATATAGGCTATAGCTAATATTAGAACTATTATTATTAGATAGTCTTTAAATAGGGATAATAAATCAAGTCTATTCGTTAATATAGGCTTTAATATAGTAGCTT